CGTCCGATGGCCTCGGTGCGACGCTCGCGATGGACGTCGCGCGTGGCCACCTGCACCGTGTCGGCACGACGCACGTCCGGTTCGACAACGCCGGCACACTCGCACATGCGCTGCTTGTGCAGGGCGCATCGCATGGCATCACGTCGTCGCTGAGTGACGCAGGCGCTCAGGCGCTCAAAGCGGAGCTCAAGAGCGCGCTCGTGGCGCCGCCGGCCGACGCGGACGACATGGACTCGCTCGTGTACCGGTGCGCGGCGCTGATCGTGCAGCAGGCGCCGCAGCTCGACATGGACCTAGTGACGTTCCTGGTGCTCGTGCCGATGCATGCGTGCACGAAGGCCGCGCTCACGTCCGCGACGCGCGCTTGGTCGTGGGTGCTGTCGGAGCGGCCGGAGGCCATGGTCGCGATTGTGAGCGCGATCACCGATGCATGGGCTCGCTCGATCCATCGGCGCCAGGGCCTGTACACGACGCAGCTCGACACGCGCGCGCCGCTGAGCCGCAAGACCGAGATGTCGGCGCTGAACCGCGCGGAAATCGCCCTCGAGGCACAGCGCGCCGACGAACTCCTGTCAGGCCACATGCTCGTGCTCAGCCTGCTGTCCGACTGCCTCGAGGGCGCACGCAGCAGCAATGCGCCGCTCGTCACGGTGCTGACGCGCCTCGTCCAGCACATGGCCGACGCGGCGCCTCTCCTGAGCTCGCATCCGCTCACGCGTGCGCCGCGCCTTGCGCTCGTCCAGCTGGGCCTGCGTGTGCTGAGCGCCGCGAGCCTCGACGTGTACATCGAGAGCCGCCTGCGCGACAGCGTGTGCCGGCTCGCGCTCAGTTGGTTCGCCCACCCGCCCGTGTGGTCGTACGGCGGCGACCTGCGGCGCGGCGCCGACGAGCTCGTGCGCGTGCGGATGGTGTGTACGCTGCTGCGCACAGCGACGCTGCGTGCCGACTCGCTCGTGGCACCTGCGACGTTCTCGAGCACACAGCGGACCGTGCTGCACAGCGCACTGGTGCTGGTGCCGGACTGCACGCTCTCGCGTGCGATCGAGCATTTCCAGCAGTTCCTGCATCTGTTGCAGGTGCTGTACGAGAACGAAGAGGCACGGCTGCTGGTGTGGCTGCATCCGACGCAGTCCGTCAAGCTGCCAGCCGCCCATGCGACGCTTGCCGACCTGCACACGGCATGGCGCATCGATCCTCGCGTCGCCGTGCACATGGGCATGCGCTTCCACCAACCAGACATGCAGGCGGCGCTCACGAAGCTGGTGTGTGCCGAGCCGCACCGTGTCGTGCACTGTGCCGAGGCGCTGCCGTTCCTGCTCGCGCCGCGCCAGCGCGACACGCGGCGCGAGCCTCGGCAGCTCGTACAGCAGCAGCAGCAGCAGCAGCGGCGCGGGCTCAAATGGCTGCACACATGGGCGTGTGTGCCGCCCGTCGATGCTGTCGAGATGCTCACGCCCGAAGGCGGCGGCACGAGCCCGCTCGTGCTACAGTATGCGATGCGCACGCTCGAGGAGCATCCCGTGGACCTGGTGTTCTTCTATGTGCCACAGCTCGTACAGACGCTGCGCGACGATACGCATGGCTACGTCGCCGACTTTATCCTCAAGACATCGCTGATCTCGCAGCTCTTCTGCCACCAGATCATCTGGAACATGAAGGCCAACATGTACAAAGACGACAACTGCGAGGTCGAAGACCCCATCAAGCCGACGCTCGACGCGATGGTCGAGCGGATCGTCGCACAGCTGTCTGGCGAGGCGAGGGCGTACTATGAGCGTGAGTTTGCCTTCTTCAACGAGGTGACCGGCATCTCCGGCAAGCTGCGCCCGTACATCAAGCGGCCCAAGCCTGAGAAGAAGGCCAAGATCGACGAGGAAATCGCCAAGATCCAGCTCGCCGACGGCGTGTACCTGCCGTCGAACCCCGACGGCACCGTGATCGACATTGACCGCAAGTCGGGCCGTCCGCTGCAGTCGGCAGCCAAGGCGCCGTTCATGGCCACGTTCAAGGTGCGGCGTCCCGTCACGGTGCGTGCGAACGACAACGACCCGCTGTACGAGGACGTGTGGCAGAGCGCCATCTTCAAAGTCGGCGACGACTGCCGGCAGGATGCGCTCGCACTCCAGGTCATGGCGCAGTTCAAGAACATCTTTACTGCGATCGGCCTCGACGTGTACCTCGATCCGTACCGCGTCACCGCGACGTCTGCCGGCTGCGGTGTGATTGACGTCGTGCCGAATGCCACGTCACGCGACGAGATGGGCCGCGCCAAGATCAACGACCTCCTACACTTCTTTATCAACCGCTACGGCGACGAAAAGAGCATCACCTTCCAGAAGGCGCGTCTCAACTTTATCCAGTCCATGGCCGCGTACTCGGTCGTGTGCCACATCCTCCAGATCCGCGACCGGCACAACGGCAACATTATGATCGATGGCCACGGCCACCTCGTGCACATCGACTTTGGCTTCCTGTTCGACATTGGTCCCGGCGGCATGCGCTTCGAGCCGTATTCGTTCAAGCTGTCACATGAAATGGTCGCTGTCATGGGTGGCCACGACTCCCCCGGCTTTGCTATGTTTGAGCAGCTGGTCGTCAAAGCCTTCCTCGCGTGTCGCCCATTTGCGAACGAGATCGTCGCGACGTGTGGCCTCATGCTCGGCACCGACCTGCCTTCCTTCAAGGGCAAAGCCCACGCTCGACCGCCTGCGTGAGCGTTTCAAGCCCGACATGACTGAGCACGAAGCCGCCGCGCATGCGCAGTGGCTCGTCAAGGACGCGTACGGCAACATGCGTGGCACGATCTACGACCTCATCCAGGAGAAGCAGAACCAAATTCCATATCGTAGATAGAGACACAGTCGCGCACATTTGCCCGCCTTGGCTTCGCCTTGCCTCACCACGCTTGACCTGTCTATTCATTCACCAGCACATTCGCAGCTTCTTCGTCCCGATCACGACTGGCTCGAATCCGCTGCACAATCAGCGTATGGATCGCCGCCTGCGTCTTTGGCTCTAACCGCGCCAAGCGCTCATCCAAGTCTCGCCGTAGGTCCCAATTCGCACGACGCGGCGCAATGTTCGTCAGGTCCAGCTCCTCGGCCTGCTTCCTCGTGTCCTCCTGAATCACTTGCTCCTGCATGCCGTCGACTTCCTGCTCCAGCGTCATCGGCGCCTGTGCCGACGCACTCGCAAGCATGCCTGCCGGTGGCGGTCTACTCGTGCGAAAGTGCTGCTTCACTTGCCGACCGAAGGCATTCGCGTCGATCGCCGCCTGATCACCAGCTTCTTCAGCCTGCCGAAGCGCGCGCAAGGCCGCAATCCGCGCTTTTCGCTCTGCCGCTGCACTCTCGATTCCCATGGACGCCCACGCGATGCCGTGTCCCGCACAACCCCACCTGCTCGCTCGGCTGCTTGCTTTGCTCTCTCCGACACAGAGCCAGAGAGGAAGACACACCAGCTTGCTGATGAAGACGCAGCCTACCCCCGCCAGCGACTCGACGACTCGCTGTGCTTATGTAATCGTATGGGCCACCTGGGGCGGAGGATGCAGCGCGGCCGTTGGTTTCGTAGGGCCGGCCGCGTGACAGGGCACAGCGTCGTCGGATCGGTGGCGTGTGTGCGTGTGACGTGAGAAAGTAAGTGATTCTCCATAGCTGCTGCTGCTGCTGCTGCTGCTGCTGCCGTCACTGCTGCTGTGGCTGTTGCTGTTGCTGTTGCTATCCCTTTGCTCCATTGGCTCACACAATGCGGAGCACCTTGGCCGCTGCGCCCATAGCGCTCATGCACACACGACTGACCGTCGCTATGCATAGACGTGGCGCTATGTGTGTGCGTGGACAGACACGAACGTTCTTTGGTCTATTTAAACGGAAACCAGCTGCGACCAAGTCGCAAGACAGGTCGGCCATGCCACCGCCGCCTGTCCTTGCGCCAGACAATCTCTTCCACAAACTCTCCGAGTCGCCCATCCCATCCATGCGTGCGCGTGGCGACCGCATCCGCTCCTTGGCCCCTTGTCCCGTCAGCATGTCGAAATACGGCGTCCGCAGGCTCGTCAATTTCGAATGCCCCGACTGTGGTTGGCCCACGCACTACTCGGAGAACGAATGGAAGGAAGACACCGAGCACGCACGCTATGTGCCGCGACTTCGCGAAGCCAACGAGGATGAACACGACCTGCGCTCGGGGCGGCCCATGACCGAGTTCCAGCTGCCGCGCGAGCAGCCATCCGAGGCGGCTGTGAACTTGTCCGGTTGGGACCAGTTTTTTTACACACGCAACTTCCGCTCCATCGAGTCAGACCGCAGCAAGCGCCATGTGTCAAAGCTGCTGACATTCCCCTTGACCATTGTAGGTGCACTCCATGAACACAGTCCGTACACACGGCGAAACTCGCGCCTGACACACGAGGGTCTGCGCTCGCTCGCTCCTCTGCGTCAGACGCTGCATCCAGAGCTGGGTGCACGTCCTCGGCTCGATCCTGTGCGCATCTTCGTCGTTGGCGCGCGTGCAGAGTCGACGCTGCCGCCGGATGTATGGAATCAGATCGCCTATGTATTTCCCAACGTGCCGATCCACGTTATTCTGATCGGTCCCGAGGTCGCGATTGCGCCCAAGCATGTGCCGAATCCATGGAACCACCCTATGTACAAGGAACGCGCTGCGTCGTTTCCGTTCCCATCGCGCAGCATCGCTGTGTCTGACGGCCTGACACTCACTGCCATTCAGACAACGTACGAGACCGTCCACCCGCTCTTTGAGCCGTTCGACCCGTACACGGATGTCTTTTTCGCTTTTGCGCCTGGCTTTGGCTTCCCGAGTGTGATCGCCGTGGAAGAACAGGCTCGTCTGCGCGCCGAGGAACGCGACGAAGAGCGCAAGATGCAAGAGGCTCGCGAAACATACCATGCCAAGAATGCTCCTACCGATGAAGAGCCTGTGGCTCCGCAGACCGGCTTCCGCCCCACAGAGGTGGCCAAGAACCCTGCAGGCGGCGACGTTCCGTCAGATGAACCGGCGCCGGCCGTCGTCGCGATGCGTCCAGCCAAAGGCCAGTTTACCTCGCTTCAGACGGCACCGATCGTCCAAGCTCAGCGCGAATGGGCCCAGGCACTGGGACAGTTGCTTTCAACGCGTTGTGCTTTGTATATTTCTGGCTTCTCCCCGGCGGACGTCGAGCGAGACGTCCTTGCATTCGAGTCCGTCGATGGCGTCAGTGGCGAGTTCGACTGGCTCGTCACCCCTGGTGAAAATGTGTTTGCCAGTCAACAATGGGCTATTGGTTCGTATCTTACAGTGACTTTGTCGATATGCTCGCGTGCTTCCATGCTAACCCAGACAGCGGACTTTGATCCCCGTGTGGCCGTCAAGGCCAATTGGGGCCTATGGGCCGTGCGTGGCAAGCGCTATGATATCCTAGGCCCGCAGTGGGATTAATCATCGGATCCTTCCCTGCGTGACACATAGGTAGGTAGGTAGGTAGGTATCTTGGCGCCTGCGTGCACAGACATACATCAATGGCCATGCTTGAGACAATGGGTGTGGAGAGTTGCCGCTGCCGCCGCCGCCGCCGCCGCCGCCATTACCACCCTATCCCCTTCCCCCAAGGCATTGGCGCTCGATCGACTTTTAGCCACCTCCACTTTGCACGCGGGACGCCCGTTGGTCGGTGCGAGTCTACGAAAGGGCTGCGGCGACGCACGATGCTATTTGCCATCTTCCACCCATCTACGTCCCCCTCCCCGCCATTTTCATTGTATCACACTAGTTGTCTAGCGATGACCAGCGATTCTACCGCTACTGCGAATACGTCTACTCCTACACCTGTGTGTGATGTCAAGTCTGGCTCGAATATGATCGCGTCGATGCAGGAGCATTCGCACCCAGGCTCCCACTCACACTCACATTCGCATGCGGGCGCCGGCTCGCACTCACATTCGCACGGAGGTAGCAATGCCGTAGAGCATGGACACACGCATGAGATCATGGATCATCCAGGCAAGTTTGGCGAAAGAGACGTGCCCAACTATGCGTCCCGAAACTGGAATGAGCGCGCCTTTACTGTCGGCATCGGTGGCCCCGTCGGCTCTGGCAAGACAGCTCTATTGCTGGCTCTATGCAAGCGCTTGCGCGACACGTACAATGTCGGTGTGGTGACGAACGACATCTTCACTCGAGAGGACCAGGAATTCCTCGTGCGCAATGCTGCCCTACAAGATCCGAACCGCATTCGCGCTGTTGAGACGGGTGGGTGCCCACATGCTGCGATCCGCGAAGACATCTCAGCGAACATGGAGGTGCTTGAACAACTGCAGGCCGAATATGGCACGCAGATCCTCTTTGTCGAGAGCGGCGGCGACAACCTCGCAGCTGCCTTCAGCGTCGAGCTGTCTGACTTTCATGTGTATGTGATAGATGTGTCTGGCGGCGACAAAATCCCGCGTAAGGGTGGTCCTGGCATTTCGCAGTCCGACTTGCTTGTGATCAACAAGACAGACTTGGCCGAGCACGTGGGTGCGTCGCTCGACGTGATGCGCCGCGATGCCGATCGAATGCGAGACCATGGCCCAACTGTATTTACAAGTGTGCGGAAAGACCAGGGCGTCGATGCCGTCGCGGACTTGATCCTTGCTGCCCGTCGCGCTGCTGGCGCCGATCATGCCGGCCACCCACCTACCAAGTCGCATGCATCATCATAAACAGCACTGCTTTTATGTGTTTGTGACTTGCTTGTCCACCGCCTGAGAGGTCGGTCGTGTCCGGCTGATGGTGCCCTGTGCATTGGACGGATGTCGGCGTGTCGTTGCGCGCACCCTCATCACACGGGCATACCTTGCATACAGCACTACTTCCGCGGTTCCAATTAAGAGCGAAAGACCCAATGCGACACTCACTTTCCAAAGTGTGCTCGCGCTCCCCGCACCCCACCATACGGCCGTGGCTATCGCGCCCATACTCAATAGGATGTTCATAAGCGCGCTCATATGCGCACGCGCATCTCGCCACGCAGCACGTTCTTCCTTGGCAGATACCGTCATAACAGGCTTCCGTACTCGAAGCGACACCTGGGCTGGCTGCGTGCTTGTCGCCGTCATGTTCTCGTACGCCTGCTTTTCTTGCTCGAGCCGAATCGCCTCCAGCGATGCTTCAAGCTCCGGCGGCTGTGCAGGTAAGTATGTAGCCCGTAGTCACTTGAACGTACGCGTCGATAGATCGGTCGCGGTTCTACATAAACACGCGCACCACGCACCAGCTGGTCTAAGCACAGATCCGTCTCGTGCCTGGGACGCGCCCATCGTGCCACCGCCACAAGTATGTGATGGGGAATCACCACGTGCTGCCAGGCCACACCCATGTCCGCAGGCGCATCTTGATCGAGTGCCTTGCTCCGTAAGCTGGTGCGAATCTGTTCACGCAGCTCGACGGGTACGTCGTCTTGCTTGGCCAACGCACACAAGCGTGTCGCGGTCCTCTCTGGAACCGTCAGCAAGACGGTCATGCCCAGAGAATGCAAAGTGTGTGCGAGAGGCAATGTCAAGAGATACAGTCTGCTTGCGCAGATGGCCGGCCACACGATCTTTTCTACCACGTGGTATTATCGATCCTCGTCGTCAGCTATGCATGCCCACCGGGCATCTGTCTTAATAGGGGCGTTAGGATCAGAACCGGTGCGTGATTTCAGGAAATGTGCACGAATTTGCATGTACAGGAAACATTGCCTCTCTAGACAGGGCGTGAGTCGATGTGGAGGGCGCGTCTCCACCCAGGTCTGATACTTTCAAGAATGAACCGGCAAAAAAAGGGGCACGCCGCGAACGTACCACTCGACCGTCTGTCCCAGTACCCACACTCCCACCCATGTGGGCGATCGCACCTCGAGCCACCCGATGCACCGTATCATATATACCGGTTGCATTGCGCTCGCAACTCGTCCGACAATCGGCGCGCTTCTCGACATCCCAAGAAGTGCACAACACGGTCGTGTCGCCATCCGTGATGTACGAGCGCAAGGTCAAGGAGAAGCAGCTTCGGCCCGACGACAACCAGCGGCGTATTGTATCCATCCTAGATCATCTGCACTACAAGCTCCGCCATTACGAACAGCCAGAGGTGCCGGACCCCGAGGAAAGCATCCAGAACGAAGCTCATGCAGACGACGGCGGCCATCGAGGCATCTTCGACACCCTGTCTGTCTGGTTCAGCGGGAAAACAAATGAACCAGAGAGCGACGGACAAGATGCTATGCGACCGAAACATACGCCACAGGGCCTGTATCTGTATGGCGACGTCGGCACGGGGAAAAGCATGGTGATGGATCTGTTCTACCACACACTGCCGTCGAACATCACTCGCAAGCGGCGCGTGCACTTTCACCAGTTCATGATGGACGTTCACAAAAGCTCGCACGAGTTTAAAAAGAAGATGCAAGCAGCCACATCAAAACGCACGAGTGTGGGCAGGAGCGGCCGCAGCGGTGGCGGTAGCAAGGATCCTATTGAGCCGGTGATCCGCGAAATTGCGCGGGATGCCCAAGTGTTATGTTTTGATGAGTTTCAGGTCGTCGACATCGTCGATGCCATGATCCTTCGCCGCTTACTTGCAGGGCTCCTGCGATATGGCGTTGTGATTGTTATGACCTCGAATCGGCATCCTACCGAACTGTATAAGAATGGTATTCAGCGGTCCAGTTTCATACCCTGCATCCGTCTTCTGGAGACGCAGTACCATGTGGTGGATCTCAATTCTGGCACGGATTACCGCAAAGTACCGCAGGCAAGGTACGAGACGTACTTCGAGACTACGAATCCACAGGGCTTGGCTGAGTACGAGCAATTGTGGTCGAACATGACAAGAGACGAACCCGTCATGGAGGACCGATCGCTCACTGTATGGGGGCGGCCTCTCCAAGTGCCACTGTGCACGTCGCATGTGGCTCGCTTCACGTTTCAGCAGCTGTGTGGCGAGCCACGCAGTGCGTCTGACTATATCGCGCTGTGCAACGAGTTCGATGTGTTTTTCCTCGACGAGATTCCGCTCATGAACCTTGACATGCGGGACTTGGCGCGCCGCTTCATCACGTTTGTGGACGCTGCCTATGAGGCCAAAGTGCGTCTGTTTAGCACGTCGGAAGTCGATCTTATGAAGGTATTTAGCGGCACGACATCTATGGATGAGGCGTCGTCTGAGCAAATGCGTGTGCTAATGGATGACCTGAAAATGAGCATGGATGACATTGGCGGCTCCTCTATCTTTAGCGGTCAGGAGGAAGTGTTTGCATTTGCGCGTCTCGTGTCGCGACTGAGTGAAATGGGCACGAAGCATTATGCGGAAGTATCGGCCAAGTCCAGTTAATTGGATGGGTGCGAGAAAAAAAAGTGGAGCGCAGAAGGAGACTGACAGGCCACGACGCAGCGAGTGGTCAACAAAAAAGAGGGACTACATCTCACACTGTGTGGGCCAAGGAACATGCGCATACGGCCACGGGGTCGATTGGCCTCGGCGCCTTCGCCAGTATCGATGCAGCATCTCTACTATCAGGCATGCCGAAGTGCCCAGATTTCGACCTTCTTTAAAAGACCCTTGAGATTCTTGCCCGCATGGAAACTGTGCGCAGCTAGCCATACCTCCATGTCGTGCCGGAGCTCGGCCAAGAGAGGCGTGACAGGCCACATCGGTGCGTGCGTTGGATTCAACAGCAGGTCAAAGAAGCGGGTCCACAGATCCGTCTGCCAGTATCGGCGCAGAGTTTGTTGAATCTTGTAGGTCTTCTGGCCATCCTCGTTTACATAGCTCGTCGTCTCCATGTACTTGCCGAACAACAGGCAGTAAGCGATGCTCGCTAGACCGTAGTAGTCTGCTTGGTACGTCCACGGCCGCATTTCTCGCATTTCAACACAGTCCTGTGCACCAGGCTGCCAATCGGCGAGAAAGCGTTGCTCAGCCACAAAGCAACGCATATCGACGGCGCGGCCAAAGTCGATGAGCGTCACGCCTTTCGCAGACCAGCCGCCAGATCCATCCGCTGCGTACGTCGATGTCCATTCGTCAACGTCGTCTGCGCGGATCATGCAGTTATCGATCTTTAAATCCCCGTGCAGCAAGCCGGCATTGTGCATTCCTTCAACGACGCGGCAAAGTTCAATGACAAAGAACATGGCCAGAACCTCTTCGACTCCGCCACCATGGGCTAGTACATTACCGACGCCGGCCGTTGACGCATGATTCACCAGCTCCAGCAGTGTGCCTTTCGATGCATATTCGAGAAGCAGGAGCGACTCGTTCGCGCACGCCACAAAGCGACGTGCACCCACGACCGACGCTTGCAGCGGTGCCGGCAAACGTCGACGCAGTTCGTCGAGAATGTAAAACTCCCATGGGTTCGGTGGCGACTCGATCTTGAGAGCGAGCATCTGCCGACGCTCAAGCTCATCTACATCATCGGCATCCACATCCTCATACGACGCGGTTGTTTCCCCTGCGAGCGGTACACTCTCATTCATGTCCTGCGCCAAAAAGACAGACCCAAAGCCGCCTTCGCCAAGCCGCATACACACCGATAATTGCATGTCGGCGACATTTAGATCACACGCAGTACTCACAGACGAGCGCCGCTGCGACGACTGCGATCGCTGTGCGCCTGCGACTCTGGATGTGAGTGTCGGTAGGTACGTGGTTGTCATCTGCGCCTCGTCAATGTAGCCTGGACGTGAAGCGAGCGGACAGCGCAGGTTCGATAGAAGAGCCGTGACGATGTCAGGATCTGCTGGCGAGCATGGGTTCGGGATATCGAGTGTCGCTGGTGATGCATACAGCCCGCCAAAAGGCTGGTCAGCTGTCGAGGCCAGCACATCGGCGTTGGTCTGTGGCGATGCGCACACGGAATGGACGGTTCGCTCGTTAGGTTCCATGCGATCAGTGTGTTCCGTCCGCACGCTTCCTTCCGTGTGTTCAGTTCTCTCAGTCCTCTCCGTAATGGGCGTCAGCGGCTGGAACGGTGTGCGTGGCATGATCCGGGGTGATGCACTGAGGCTAGACGGCTCACCATCATTGACGTCATCCTCGTCATCCTCATCTCTAGCGATGTTCCGTGCGCGTGGCGTTTGCTGGGGTGTCGCTCCAAATGGCTGTCGATCCACCCGTGGGCGGATCGGTGTAGGCTGAATGCCCACATTCTCATCTTGCGTGTTGGAGAGCACTGGGTACCGTACATCATCATCGTCCGTCTCACTTTCATCATCATCATCATCGTCATCGTCGTCGTCCTCCGAGTTGCTGTCGCTCTCGCCATTAAACATATGATCCACTTCGAGAATAGCTGCTTTCGTCACGAGCGTTGGACTTGGCGCACGTCGTGCACCTGCGGTACTGGCGGTACCCGCGGTGACAGCAACCGGTTCAGGCATCCATCGGCCCTGCCATGCATCGAGAAAGGCCCACGGATCCGAGGCGCACGCTGTCGGGATGGACCGGTGCTGTGCATACAATTCCTCTAGGCACATTTCACGCGTTGGTGGAATGGGCCTTGCCTTGTCTTGCACGGCAGCTGTGAGATCAGCATCTGGGTACAGCCGCTGAAGCGGGACAGCATGGCGCTCGCGCACTGGCTTAGATGATACAATGCGTTTCTTATTTGGTGCGGCATGCGTGCGTTCGCGACTTGCATGTCTCGATGCCGGCATAGTCACAGCCGGAGGTGCAGGGGGTGGCACAATCGTAGCCTGTGACTTGGGCGCAGCTGGCGGTTCAAGAGTGGCCGAGTCATAATGCAAAAATGGATTCTTTCGAAGCTTGTCCGACTCGGTACATACATGGCGCTGAAAAACATCATCGCGGCGCGGTGTGCGGCGAGGACTCGCATCTTCGTCGGAATCACAAAACACCTCTAATGCACGTGCTTGAGAACGCGGCGTCTGCGCCACTCTGCCTCCAGGTGTGAGTGGCTTCAGACTGTGAGTGGCGGTCTGGTTCTCCTTACGACGTGCAGCAGCTGTGCCGATGTTGGTCCATGCATGGCTGCCACTGCTAGATTTGGGCGGTCCCATGTCATTTTCATCATCACAATACACTTGCATTGTGCGTGCGTTGGGACGCATACTGCCCGAAGACGACGAGAGTGGCTGATGCGTGCCCAGCACATTCGTTGGCACACTCTCTGCACCACGGCCGGTCTTGACACCAAGTACACTACGACCGGCGCGGGCCATCGCAGCTGCCAGGGCATTGGCGTAGGTAGTGGGACCCCCATCACCCGACGAAGACGACGACGACGACTCGGGTAGTGCAAGGATGCGTGCTTGGTATTCATTGTAACGGCGCTTGAGCCGATCAAGAGGACTTGCTCGCCGAGCAATTCCGAGCTTGTATGTGTCGTCGGCCTCGTCGTACACCTCGTGACTCTCAAGGACGTTCGCGAGCTCTTCGTACAAACTTGCTAGCTTTGTGCCGATCTCATTCGACAGAAGAAACTGAAATACGTCTCGTGGCACGTCGGTATGCTGAGCATACAGGATCCACAGGCGCAGGTATCGGGAGTCGTTCTGGTATTGCTCCGACTCACGGAAGAGGCGTGTGACTCGCTCGAGAAGCGGCACAATCCCACTTTCTGAGCTTTTCCCCTCTGGATAGTTGTCGATGCACCACTTGACGTATGAGCACCATGCCTCTAATGGATCGTCCGAGTCTTGGTTTTCCTCCCCATTCACACGCTCTTCCCATTCGCGGCGTTGAGCAGCGAGTGTTTCTTGCCGCTCCTTGTGATGCATACTCAACGTCGTACTGAGTGCATGTGCACTGCGCCCACGCGCGCGTGGTTGAACATTTTCTTTTTGTGACTCGATAGCCTCGAATGGCGTGATGGGCGTCGATGACTTTTGTTCCAAGACACTGAGTGGCGTTCGAAGCGGAGTTTTGAATTGAGCCTGGTTCTCGCCGCTTTTCAGCGGCGTATGCGCAAGTGCATGCCTAGCATCCATCCTAGATCAATGAGCCACGCACGAACGTACGCACGTCGCGCAACAAAGCGAGGGCCACAGGCTGGCGATGCTAGCGATGGGATCCTATGGTGTGTGTGTATGAGCGGCCCACAACAACACTCTCTCAGACTTGCATGGGGCGTGTGGCACGCGTACTGTCACGTGCACGACGACGCCTGGACTCGCGGGTTTGGGTGGGCGCTTGTTAGTTTAGGGCGCGCGCTGCCCTGGCAGTGCCATTTTTTTTTTTTTGGGTGTGGATCGAGCCACTCCATCTTACAATCGGCTCGTGTGGCGACTATGGTCAAAAGAGTACGTGCGGAATATGTCGGGACAGTGTAGCATGCTTACTGTGTAGCGGAGAAAGACAAGAACCCACTTGAAAGGCGTAAGTCACGGCATGGGATAGCCGTGTGCAATGGCTCACACATGCAGCCGATCAACAATTCACAAACGGATGCACGGGCACCTAAGAGTTTCGTGATTCGTGGTGGTCGCGTGGGCAAAAGTGTGTCGACGCTTGTGCGAGATGTGCGTCGAGTCATGGAGCCGAACACGGCTGCGAGGCTTCAAGAGCGCGATAAAAACAAGCTGCGAGACTTTTTGACCATGGCAGGACCACTGGGCGTTTCACACATGCTCATATTTAACCAAACAGATGCCGGTATCAATATGCGTGTGTTGCGATGCCCGCGAGGACCAACAGTGACATTTCGCGTCAATAAGTATGCGCTCGTGAGCGATATCATGCATAGTTCTCGACGTCCTAGTGCGCCAGGATCGGAATTCACGACTCCACCCCTGGTAAGTGGGCTCATTATTAGTCGTGCCATTGCCATTACGTGCTGTCGCAGAACTAACAATCTTTGGCAGCTTGTACTTAACAATTTTGGCGGACAAGAGCGCCATCTAAAATTGCTTGTCTCTGTCTTTCAAAACATGTTTCCACCTTTGCATGTGCACTCCATGCGTCTATCGCAAGTACGACGCGTCGTGCTATTGAATTACAATGCTGATACCAAGACGATCGACTGGCGTCATTACCAGATTTCTGTCCGACCTGTCGGTGTGTCGCGCTCCGTGCGTCGCGTGATCGAGGGATCGACGCGTCCCTCTGCTGTATCGTCTGGCAGTGTGTCTGGCTATGGTGGCGAGCATCGACGACATGGACGTGCGCTTGTCAATCTTGGTAATGCTACTGATATTGCCGAGTATGTCATGCGAGGAAGCCAGGCGACAGGCGGCGAAGACACCGATACAAGTGAGGCTGAGTCGGAAGCGGAGGACATGGCCGATCCACAGAACTCTGTCGAGCTTTCACAGCAGTATTTGGGACGAGGCAATGCGGCCCACTCACAGCGCGCCGTTCGTCTGCGCGAAATTGGGCCGCGCATGGAGTTGCGTCTCGTCAAAGTCGAGGAAGGTCTCAATGGCAGCTCGGTCTTGTACCATGACTATGTGCATATGAGCGCAGCTGAAGTCGCGAAGCAAACACGGGATATTACAGCCAAGAGGCAGCTTGCTGCTGAGCGCCGCGCTGAGCAGGAACGGAATGTTGAAAGGAAGAAGCAGGCAAAGCAGACACACAAGGCTGCCTCTTTGGCAGGTCAAAACGGTGGTGATGGTGGAGCGTGGGAAGACGAAGATGATTACAGCGATAAGGACAACGATGTAGAAGGCCATGAAGGCAGCGATGACGATGAATTCGCCTATGAGGACGCTGCAGCAGGCGCGCCAGCGAATAACAATGATATTGCTCAGGATATTCTCGCTAGTGACGAAGAACTTTTTGACGAGGATGATGATGAGGAGGAAGACGTGGCTGAGCATGCACCTGACTCGGACGAAGAAGACGATAGTGATCTGGACCCCATTCCTCTGGGCCAAGTCGAGTATGACGAGCCTGTCACATCGAAGCATCGTGCACCGTCAAAGAAATCGAAGCGCCAACGTTCATAGAGCACATCTTTGTCATTTACCTAGCGTACATTATGTGTTTGAATTCATAACCAGCATGCTCGATTCCGCACCCACCTATGCACAACTGCACTTCTCCAGATGTGGTTGACCTCCCAATCTTCACGGCCTCGACGCTAGCTGACCTGTGGAGGTCCAGTGAGGAACAATAGACATTTTCTTACTCCAGGGTCGTTGTTGGAAGCTACTACTCTTACCTAATCCAACTCAGAGACTCTCGGCCGGGGCCTCGCTCGCAGCAAGAAAGCTACGCGACGACTGATCGCTGGTCGTTGCGACGGATTGACTTCGTTGGAGGGGGAGAGCGTCTTGTCCTTTCTCTGTGTAACGAGGCCATTGCGTGAACGAGTTTGAGTGCAATGGCGCAGATCTTTCAGAAGGATCCGCGGCAAGCGGGTCTTTTCATCGGTGGCCAGCGCCTCTCTGGGTCGGATATCCGGGACCAGAATGTGCTTGCTGTACAGTCAATCGCAAATGTGGTGAAGTCGTCACTCGGCCCCGTAGGCCTTGACAAGTACGTATCATGTAGGCTTTGCATACAGAGTGGCTACTTACCGTGAAAAGAATGCTCGTGGACGACATCGGTGATGTAATGATCTCGAATGATGGCGCCACAATTCTCCAGCTCCTGGAGGTTGACCATCCAGCCGGTCGTATTCTAGTCGAGCTGGCGCAGCAGCAAGACAAGGAAGTGGGCGATGGGACGACATCTGTGGTTATATTGGCAGCTGAACTGCTGCGACGCGCGAACGAGCTTGTGAAAAACAAGATTCATCCTACCACCATTATCACCGGCTACCGCTTGGCATGTCGCGAGGCGCTCAAGTACATCCAGGATGTGTTGGCTGTAAAGGTAGATGCACTTGGCAGAGAAAGTCTGATCAACGTGGCCAAGACCAGTATGGCCAGCAAAATCATCGGAAGCGATGACGACTTTTTCGCTCAGCTGGCTGTCAATGCTATGCTGTCTGTAAAGACAGTCAATGGCCGTGGTGAGACCAAGTACCCGGTCAAGGCAGTCAATATCCTCAAGGCGCACGGAAAGTCGGCTCGTGAGTCTATGTTTATTCAGGGATATGCACTGAACTGCACTGTCGCATCGCAGGCGATGAAGACGCGCATCGCTGGCGCCAAGATTGCATGCCTCGACATCAACCTGGTGAAACAGCGGATGCACATGGGCGTCCACATCACTATTGATGATCCTGACCAACTGGAAAAGATCCGCGCTCGCGAGAGCGAGATCGTGCTGGAACGCGTGCGCAAGATCCTTGCGACAGGTGCGAATGTGATCTTGACGACGAAGGGCATTGATGATCTGTGCCTAAAGGAATTTGTACAGGCTGGAGCCATGGCTGTGCGCCGCTGCAAGAAGGAGGATCTGCGCCGCATCGCAAAAGCGACTGGCGGCCAGTTTGTGAGCAGCTTGGCGAACCTGGACGGCGAAGAATCGTTCGACGCAAGCAGCCTGGGTCATGCAGACGAAGTGACGCAGGAGCGCGTGGGTGACAATGAGCTGATCCTTGTGCGTGGTTCAAAAGTGCACAGCTCGAGCTCTGTGGTGCTTCGTGGCGCAAACGAGTACATGCTCGATGAAATGGAGCGTGCCTTGCATGACAGTCTATCGGTTGTGAAGCGGACACTAGAGAGTGGTTCTGTAGTGCCAGGTGGCGGTGCCGTTGAATCAGCGTTGGACATCTATCTTGAAAACTTCGCTACGACGCTCGGGTCTCGAGAGCAACTGGCTATCGCAGAGTTTGCACAGGCCCTGCTGATTATTCCCAAGACACTTGCTGTGAACGCTGCCAAGGACAGCACAGACCTGGTCGCCAAGTTGCGTGCCTATCATACAGCAGCACAGAATGCGGATGCAGCTGACCCGAAGAAGACGTTGCGCTTCTTTGGTCTGGATCTGCTGTCAGGCGCGGTGCGAGACAATTTGCGTGCGGGTGTATTGGAGCCCACAATGAGCAAGTTGCGGAGTCTTAAGAGCAGCGTGGAGGCAGCCACAAGCTTGCTGCGTATTGACGATGCCATTACTATTCCTCCTGAGCCGCCAAAGGAGGATCCGCATGATCACATGTAGACGCAGGTAGAGAGTAGCTCTAGAGCTCTAACTTGATCAATGGATCGGACGGCCGGCCGGCCGGCCGGCCGACCGGCGGCAGATGTCATGTATGTGGATGATTAGATAGCGATGGAGCCACTGGTGTCCCTATCGCCTAGGCCGGATTGTTGAAACGTTTTATCTGTCTGTCTTCCACAATCCCGTTGATGGTTTTCTCTCTCTCCCCTCACTCTCCGAGGGGTACCATACCCGCACATTATGCATCTCGAAGAAAATGTGGGAGCAAATGTGAGATCCAAGAATGAGAGGGAAGGATTTCTGCGTCTTCCGACATGATGGGCGTACCAGTAGCGGGCGTCGCTACGCCTGACGTCGCTGGGAAGTATTCGTCATCGGAATGGAGCGGCGATGTGACATCGGGATTGTCGAGATCATTCGCTTTCGCCTGCGCCCTATCTGTGATAATTTGCATGCGCTTCGTCGCACGAACAGTGGCCATGGCCGTCTTCCATTTCGAGCGATAGTTCTCACGGATGCCGGCTCCAATATCCTGTCCGTCGTCATCGTGAAGCTCTTCGCTAATGAGTTTGAACCACGGATGCTCAAATGCCTCGGTGGACGTGATACGTGCATCGGGATCTCGAGTCAGACATCTCTTGACGAAATCAATGCCCTCGTCACTGACCGAATCCCAGTACTTTCCCTCGAATTGGATTTCTTCTGATTCGAGCTGGCGTCGGAAAAGCAATGGATCCGCGGAGGAAAAGGGCGAAAATCCACACAACATACAATATGTTACAATACCAAGCCCCCACATGTCCACGGGCTTGCCATACCCTTTGCGCGCAAGAATTTCTGGCGCTGCATATCCTACACTTCCGCACATACCATGCAGTTCGGTGTCGCTGTGCTCATGGAGATGTGTGGCAATGCCAAAGTCCACAAGTACAATATTCGCGTCTTCCGCCTGTGACCGATACAAGATGTTTTCAGGCTTTATGTCCCGATGGACCACGTCATTCATGTGCATATAATGAATAGCCTCAAGGACTACATGGATCGTGCGACACGCAACCTTTTCTGTGAAGCGGCCTTTCACAAGTCGATCAAAGAGCTCACCACCATTGGCTTCCTCAAAAACAAGATAGAACTGTTTTCCATGTGTGCATGAGTATTGGGCACCACAGATCTACACAAGAGAACGTCTCATGAACATACCTTGTCCTTGGACTCGAACCAATCGATAAGCTTGACAATGTGTGGATGATCCAGGCTTTGTACCATCTCGATTTCTCTCATAATGCTGGCTTCATCGCCTTTTAGGACGTTCTTGCTAATTATTTTGACCGCCACTGATTCCTCGCTGCCGTCAGGTCGCGACCGTTTCGCTGATCGCACAACACCATATGTGCCTTTTCCTAGGGTTTTCTCGAAGCGATATTGCTGCTTTTTTACTTCGGTTCAATGTTATGAAAGGTCAACATACCATAACTTTCTGGCTGATTCACTTGCGACGGCTCTGACACAACACTGTCATCTTTCATGCTTCTGATGCGCGTTGTGACAGAAGGATAAGGGCCGTGAGTGTAGACAGAAATCACTTTCTCCGCCAATTTGCTTGGTGCTTTAGAGTCGTGCGTGCATCTTCACTCGCACAGGCCTGGGACACACTTTCGTGCTTTTTCATTCACGGCCAATCAGCATCGACAAAGTCCCTTTAGTCTACTTTATGTTTGTGTACAAAAAAGCGCGGCCATATTGGGAACGTGGTAAGTATCGTCCCATATTACGTTAGCGTAATTCTTTCGACCAGTCTTGTGGAACAAATTCATGATAATGGAACTGTCGACTTGACAAGGAAAAAAATATACGGCGTGAGGGACTCGAACCCCCCACTGCTGCTGTTCCCATGGAAGGCAGCCGTTATACCCCTTAACTAACGCCGTCCTAACCGCTGGACGATTCCAGCTGCTGTTGCGAATAAGTGATATTAAAATGTTCCACAAAGCTGAACCAAGGTGCAGACGCGTATTCTCTCTACTTTTGAAGTACGAAATTTTTTTCTCGTTCTGCAGAGTGTTAGCACCCATCCGACTTGCCCTGTGCCAACCATGGCAAAATCACTACGCTCGCATTCTAAGCTTGCAGCACGAAATCGCAAACGTTATACACCTGACTCAGACTATGCCGTCACTGCTGCTGCACGGCTTCAGCAAGTATCTGAGCGTCTAAAGCAGCGTATTCACACCCCCAAAGTGTCTGAACAGAACGGGACTCAAGAGGGCGACAGTATCGAGGAGGATGTCATTGATACAGAGGCTCAGTATGATCCCTCACGTGCAGAAGAAACATCTTCTATGACAATGCCTGCACAGGGAGATATGCAGGTCGAGGCACCAGCGCCCAAGAAGATCAGCACATCGCAGCCTCGTGGCACGCGAAACGGCCAGCTCCGTGGCTCACGAAGCCAGAAAATGCAGCGACACAAGTCACGAAACGCAGGCAAGCCTAAGCGACGCAGGTAAAGCACACATCTCTTTGGAATATCATACCCGCATGCATCCAGTGGAGCCCAGCGATAGACGACAAGAGGACATAATATGCACATGTGAATACGTCGTTGTCGAGCATACATATATCTATCTATCTATTTATATTAAAAAGTGCGTAAAAGACATAGGGATCCTCATTGATGATTCATACAAACCATGGCTCGGCATCACTTTGTGCATTTGATGACATTGCCTTCAAGGAAGCCATCAATGGCATCATGGCACGCAAGCGCAGGTGGGCCTAGGAAGCCGGGCTCGCTGAAAGACGTGGCATCCGTGGCCGACGCATTGGACGAGGGGCGTCGTAGCGTAATCAGCACAAGACCGGCGGCTTTCACGGCGGTAATAAGCTCCGGTACACACTCGAGGATCGAGGTATCGAGCATAACACCAAGCAGGTTATTGCCTTTAGCGAATCGGACGGCCTCGGCCATGCTGGACTGTCGAGGATCCGCTTCTTCAGGGAGCGACAAGACGGCTGCATCCGCATCGAGCGTAGCGTTGTTAATAAAGAAGACAGCATAGTTTGGCTGCTTCCAGTTCAGTGCCACACATGCACTTGGCATGGTGCTGCTGAAAAAGAGTCGGCGCCGATGCTTCTCGCGACGGGCGACGTCATACACCACGTGCAGAGTGGCATCGATGCAAGCGTTGAGCGGCACGACTGTCGCGTCTGCGTCGAATACGATCTGCAGAGCTACATTTACGCTCGGGGGCAGAGTCACAAGAAGGGTCTCGAGGGAGACGAGGGTCGTGCTCAACTTGGCGCTCCATTCGTTCATCGCCAGCGATTCGGACTCGTTCGTGTGCCATGTGTGTCCCGTCTTTTCGGCAATGTCGGCAAATTCCGTCGCGGTCACCTGTGACACGAAAGGAGCCCAGACTGGAACAGGCAGGCGTCGGCTCGCACACACGACAGGCACCAGGTCCTTGGTAAAGTGCACGTTCACGTTCAAGTACTCGCCCGACAGCGACGATGCCGTGACATACAAGGCGGTATCCTGAGCATCGTGCGTCCCGTTGGGATACGGCAGCGGCGACACGGTGAGCGGCTGGTTGTGGCTCGGGAGGGTGCTCTTCCAGTATGTCTCGACATGCCCGCCGATCTGGAGCTGCACGCTGCTGTACGGCCGCACACACTCGAGCACCACGTGAATATGGCCAATGAGGTTCAAGTGCCAATCGAAGAGTGGCAGTTGGACGTGAGAGCGGCTCTCAAGACCATTCAGCAGCTCTGGCAGCAGCACCGTTTTGGCGATGCGTGCTGAGCCGAATGTCGGGAAGATCTCACATTCCAGATAAAAGTGCTCGAGGTCCGCGACTTGGAACGATGCCTCTTCGCGCTCCTCGGCCATTGGGAAGATGATTGTGTGAGGAATGCCAGCCTGTGCACCCGCGTTCGTATTGCGCGGCGTGAGTACGAGCTTAAATGACGTCGCTAGACCCGGGAACATGTCTGGTCGGTCGCTTACAGACTGCCGATGCAGCTCGATCGAATGCTTCGAGAGACTAAGACACAGGAGCGAGTGCTTGTCGAGGTAATTGTGTCCGTATGTGCGGAAAGGAATGATCGGCGGCGGTAAGTGCAGGGATGGAATACCATCGCCTTCAGCGTCCAAGTCGGTGTCCATGTCTGCATGCGATTCCGAGATCCGGATAGTTGAGGCAGGCGCCATAGGCTGTACACCAGCGTCAGCACGTTGTTGTTGCGCCGCTCCTTTGGCTGCGGCTGTGGCGTGGGCAGCCAGCAGCATACGAGTGCATTCACGCCAGCCGTGCCATGCCGCATAAAACACCGCGTGGCGTCCCTTCTCGTCCACATGGTCAATGGAGGCACCGGCCGCGAGTAGCATCTCGACACACGCCGCATGTCCAAACTCCGCTGCGTAGAACAGTGGTGTGCACAAGGTGCCCTTTTCAACAGCATTCACATCCACCTTGGCATCAAGCAGCAAACGCAAGCACTCTGTGTGGCCTGCACGCGCAGCAAGTGTCTGTGGAAGCAATCCCTCCGTGTTCACCTCCACCTTCGCACCATGCTCGAGCAGAAGGCGCGTAATGTCCACGAGACCACACTGTGCGGCAGTAGCCAAGGGCGACAGGTCACTATTCTCCATCTTGCCCTGCATAGCTCTGCCCGTCAGCGCGCAAAAGTCGAGCAGGATGCGCACGATGCCCGTGCGCCCACGAACAATAGCATGCAGCAGTGGCGAAAAACCATCCAAGTCCACATGCTCCACGACATGGTCGTGCGTGTCGCGTGACTCGGGCAGCGACAGCAGGTACTTGGCTATGTCTTCGAAGCCAAAGATGGCCGCGTACGCGAGCGCTTCACGGCCGTACACGTCGCTCGCACGCGGGTCCACGCCATGTTCAACACACGCTTTGCACAGCTCAAGCTGCCCAGCACATGTGCTAAAGTGAAGTGCCGTCCGGGCATTGATGTCGTCGACAAAAGAATAGTCGGGTAAATCAGCAGCGATGGCGGCACAGACCGCGTCCTTCGACGACGTCAACAGCGCACGCCAAAGCTGATGCGATACACTGGAGCGAATCGGCGCTTCCAACGCTTCGCGTGTGTCCTGCTCGGTCGTAGAAGCAGAGGCGCCCGCGCCTGCACCCGTGCTCTTACCGTCGCCATCGCCGTCGCCGTCGCCGTCGCCTCCGCCTCCGCCATTCCCCTTGCCCTCAACAGCACCGGACACATCCCGCGATGCATCATGTTTGACATGCCCCTGTTCCATGTTGCTCGCGAGCGACTGGTTCAGACTGTCTGTGGCATGCTTCCGAATCTGTTCAAGAAGACGCTTTGCATCGTCCATATGCGCCTCGTGTACAGCATTTGCCAATTGGCCCTCGAGCTCGGCGATCACATTGTTCTGCTTAGTCTCGGAATATTGCTCGGCGTCGAAATCCAACGGTCGCTCAGACGCAAATTCCAAGCCATCCACAGGGTCTTCTTCCGGGAGCAACACACCACCTGGTAGGTTCGTCGCAGCGTACGAGAGAGCTCCCCGCAGAAGAGCCATCTCGTTCTTAAAGTGTGTTGTTGGTAGCTCATGTCCTTCAGCGAGACTCTCGAGCTGTAGAATGCTCGCCGATGCAATATCGCTCATCTCTGTCATAAACTCGCGATTAAAGCACGCTGGGTAAACGTTAGTGAAAGCCAGAACCTCGCTGGCGTAGAGATGTACGTACGTTGGACTTCCACTTGTCGAGCCAGGTACAGCTCTTTCGTTTGCGACTTGAAGCGTTTGTCCCATTTTTTAAGGATCTTTCGAAAGCCGGTCGCATTAATTTCAATAAATTGCTGTGTTTGTGTCAGTACAGCGCGCGCTCTCGAGAGACACATGGTAATCATGTGCGTCGTACCTGGAGCTTCGACAGGTCTTTTTCAAAATATCGGAATCCTTCGAGAAGGGCGACAAGGGATGGTGTGTCGCGATTCAGGCGCATCGCCCTAGCTGGCCCGCCGACATGACGACTCGCTAGGGCTACGAGATGGCGCTTCTTCGTGATCAGAGTAGTAAGACGTGACCGGAGTTCCGACTCTTTCTGCAGATAGAAAGCATTAATTTTCTCCAGCTCACGCTCCAAACGGAAGAAGAAAGCAGCCTTGTGTACTTGTAGCTCCGATCCAGGCGAATCCATCGGCAGCAAGGGCTGCGTGTCCGACGAGCTTTCCTCAGGCCGCACACTCGTTGCAAAGAGCGCGGCATCAGACAGACGACCCTTCTCAAGTGAATTGATAATCTATCATCTTGTTAACAAGAGCCCAGAATTTGTGCACAAACACGCACCTTCTTCAGAAATTTGTAGTCCAAGTAATACGAGCCCCATCCTGAGATCTGCTGGCTCAGAATTTGCTTGCCAAACTGCAGCTTGTTAGTGTGTCTATGGCACACGTACCTTCATTTCCAGTCAGTCAACACGCAGGGCACAAATGTGCCCACTTGGAGAGAGAAAGAAATTGAGAGAGAGCAAAGAGAGAGAAAGGGAGAGGGTGCGTGGAAACGCAAGAGGCTGACGGTGAGAGAGTTGTTTCCGAGTTCGTCGTCGTCACTCCGCTTCAAGACCGGACGGACACTCTTGGTTTTGGACCAGATGAACGCGGCAGAACACGCCCCGCGGCGCACGTGCCGCGGGGGGAGACTGGGAAGGGTGAACCGTTTGGAATTAATCCCACGGCCTGAGTGAGACAAGCAAAGATAGGGCTGATTGAGGATTTAAGAAAAATTTGCTGGGTTGAATCCTCACTTCAGACTGCGCGCAAGGAACACAGCCAAGGAATTAAGCCGTGCCGCCGTACCAGTTCCTGAGACGTGACAAGTGAGTTACGGCTGGGCCCGTCGCAACACAACAAATCGTTGGCGCTTCGAGCCACCAGGGGCGGCAGTCAAGTGCACGTGACACTCGCGCTCGGGTTCGAGCCTAAGGCCGCACGCACAAACGCGACGTGTCAGCACACTACGAAACTCAGTCAACCAGGCACCAGGTGGGACTAGGATTCGTAGTCTGTTGTAGGAGTGCACCTGACCACAAGCGACAAGAGACCCGTTGCTGCATTTGGAATCCCACTAAGAAGGACTACGTTTATCAGGGCGCGTACGGTCTGTCCAAACCATGGCATCTATGGAGGTATGTACGCCACATTCCGCAGCGGTGGCGGCACCGGCCGCTAGACTGGCCGCTACAACGCCCGCGAGTAGGTCTGAAAAGCATTGGCAGGGCTAACAAGCAGTCGATTCTGGACTTTAGCCAGGATTTGGACTTGGTCCTCCTGGATAACATTGTGGTAGCCATGTACACGAGCGCGGGCGCTGAGCAGCGCATGGCTCAGCAAGTGCTTGCACAGTTTCAAGAACACCCAGATGCTTGGCAGCGAGTGCCTGTGATTCTGCAGCAAAGCAGCCATTCTCAGACAAAATACATTGCTCTGCAGATCCTTGACAAGCTGATTGCAACGCGATGGAAGGTGCTTCCACTCGATCAGCAGCAGGGTATCCGGAACTTTATTGTCGAGATGATCGTCGGCATGTCTTCGGAAGAAGAGAATCTTCGCCGGGAACGCACGTTGCTGGGAAAACTTGATACGACACTCATCCAGATTCTCAAGCAGGAATGGCCGCACAACTGGCCGAACTTCATCCCCGAGATCGTGTCGTCGTCGCGCGGTTCCTTGTCGATTTGCGAAAATAACATGGCCATTCTCCGTCTCTTGTCAGAGGAGGTATTTGACTTCTCTGCAGAGCAAATGACCCAGGCCAAGGCTCGGAATCTAAAGAACCAGTTTTGTGGCGAGTTTGGCGAGGTGTTCCAGTTGTGCACAGAGGTGCTTGAAAAGGCAACGAAGCCCTCGCTAATCAAGGCCACACTCGAGACGATGCTGCGATTCCTAAACTGGATTCCGCTGGGCTTTATCTTTGAGACAAACGTCGTCGACAGTCTCATTGCTCGGTTCCTTGAGGTGCCTGATTTCCGCAATGTGACACTCAAGTGTCTGTCGGAAATTGTGAACCTCAATGTGGGCCCCGAATATGATCCCAAGTTTGTTATTCTGTTCAATCTCGTCATGACATCGGTCAACCGCATGATCCCACCGTCGACGGACATTGCCGGCGTGTACGAGACATCGACTGACGAGGACCAAGAGCTCGTGCTAAATCTTGCACTCTTTCTTAGCAACTTTCTGATCTCGCACGTCCGTTTACTGGAGAATGCTGAGAACCAAGAAGTTCTGCTCAATGCTCACCTCTACCTGATCAAAGTGTCGCAGGTACCAGAGCGCGAAGTGTTCAAAATCTGTCTTGAGTACTGGTCAAAGCTTGTGAGCGAGTTGTACGAAGAGTACCAGCAGTTCCCAATGAATGATGCTGCTTCAGTGTGGGGCTTGAACCTGGGTGGCCCTCAGGTCGTGCAGCGCAACGCGACCGGCCGCAAGGCTTTTTACACCAAAATCCTCTCAAACCTCCGCCTTGTGATGATTGAACGTATGGTGAAGCCGGAAGAGGTCTTGGTTGTTGAAAATGACGAGGGTGAGATTGTGCGTGAGTTCCTCAAGGAATCCGATACAATCGTCCTATACAAGGCCATGCGTGAGGTGCTTGTATATTTGACGCACCTGGATGTACTAGACACGGAGAATATCATGACGGAAAAGCTTGCAAAGCAGGTTGACGGCTCAGAGTGGTCCTGGGCAAACCTCAACACTTTGTGCTGGGCAATCGGCTCCATTTCAGGTGCCATGAACGAAGAAACGGAGAAGCGCTTCCTTGTGACAGTGATCAAGGATCTGCTTGGCCTGTGTGAAATGAAGCGCGGCAAGGACAACAAGGCTGTGGTCGCGTCAAATATCATGTACATTGTCGGTCAATACCCACGATTCCTCAAGGCACACTGGAAATTCCTGAAGACGGTCGTGAACAAAAACTTCGAGTTCATGCATGAAACGCATGAAGGTGTGCAGGACATGGCGTGCGATACATTCTCGAAGATCGCACAAAAGTGCCGGCGACACTTTGTGATGCAGCAGGCTGGCGAGCAGGAACCATTCATCGACGAAATCTTGCGGAATCTCCTCCAGATCACCGTCGACCTGTCGCCGCAGCAGGTGCATACGTTCTACGAAGCTGTTGGCTACATGATTGCAGCGCAACCGCACCGCGCGACGCAGGAGCGCCTCGTCGCAAAGCTCATGGAGCTGCCCAGCAATGCTTGGGACAATCTGATGAAGCAGGCACACAGCAATGTGGATGTGCTTAGCAACCCCGAGAACATCAAGGTGCTCTCGAATGTGCTCAAGACGAATGTCTCAGCATGCTCATCGATTGGTCCGTTCTTCTTACCGCAAATCGCGCGTATGTACCTCGATATGCTCGCGCTGTACCGGAGTGTGAGCGGAATCATTAGTGCCAAGGTGGAAGCAGAGGGTCTCATCGCGACCAAGACGCCTATGGTACGCGGCCTACGGGCGATCAAGAAAGACATTCTGCGTCTCTTTGACACGTACATCCGGCGGGCAGATGATTTAGAGTCGGTGAATGCCAATTTGATCCCGTCTCTGCTCGATGCTATCCTGGGCGACTACCATAACAATATTCCTGCGGCACGCGATGCCGAAGTGCTGAATGTCATGGCCACCATTACGACGCGCCTAGGCGCACTGCTTACGGACAAGATTGCACCTATTCTTGATGCTGTATTTGAGCCGACATTGAATATGATTAACCAAGACTTTGCCGAGTTCCCTGAACATCGTGTGGGCTTCTTCAAGCTGTTGCGAGCGATCAACTTGCATTGTTTCTCCGCACTGCTAGAGCTGCCGCCGCCCAAGTTCAAGCTTACGATAGACTCGATTATTTGGGCCATCAAGCACACAATGCGCGATATTGCTGACACGGGTCTGAACATCTGTCTGGAGCTGCTCAACAACATTGCGAACACGGATCCTGCGATTGCAGGCGCATTTTTCCAGCAATACCTGTTGAACATACTACAAGACATTTTCTATGTACTGACAGACTCGGACCACAAGAGTGGCTTCAAGACACAGTGCTTGCTCCTTGCACGGATCTATGAGCTCATCGAGACGGACAAGGTCATTGTGCCGCTTTGGGACCCCGCACAGATCCCTGATCCGAACATGAACAATCGCCTTTTCATCCGTCAGTACACGGCGAACCTGCTGCGCACAGCATTCCCGCATGTGCAGCCACAGTACATTGAGCAGTTTGTAAACGGCCTCTGTTCGCTCTCATCGGACCTTGCACAGTACAAGGTACATTTGCGCGACTTTTTGATTACATCACGTGAAGTGGCTGGCGGCTCAGATAATTCCGACCTGTTCCTCGAAGACAAGGAGGCTGAGCAGCAGCGACGTATTGCCGAGGAACGTGAGAATGCTGCCAAGATTCCGGGCATGTTGAAGCCGTCGCAAATTGTAGAGGAGGACGAAGAACTCTGACTCTTTCATGAGCTTCTGTTTTGACGATGACATACATGTGTGCATGCATACATAACGCATAGGCAAGCGGGCTATTTTTCTTGTCTTCTATGCGCAGTGATGCACATAAACTCGAGCCATCATGGAGTCGGAAAAGTGGTAGTAGAAGTGGTAGACTTAGTATTACAGAATCTAGCGCCGCACTCCCACTAGTAGTAGAACCACTACGCATACCCCGATAATAATGGCGAGTATAATTGTGTCGCGACGACGGCGCCGAGAAATGAGTGTCATGATACTGTTGAGCCCAGGCATTTGGGCCACGACATGTGTGAGACGTGTCAACGTTCCCGACAGTTGCTCGCGTTGTGCACGGAATTCTGACTGTGTCGCGTAAGCTTGACTACGTGGGCGAGAAATTGAAAGGATCAGCAAAAAATCAACAACAACAAGGATGCGTTAGTACTGTCGATCAAAAGTACACGTAGCACATACTCTAGAGTCTCGTCCAACATGTGGTGCGACCGTTCTAGGTGCGTTCGTTCATCTAAAAATGACTGGATTTCTGACGCATGCTGGGTCCGGTAGTCGCTACGTGTGTGTGTAAGCGCACAATGAAGCAGCATCTAACTTTTGACACATACCTGATGTCTTGTTTCACATGTCCCAATAGTTGCTGCCGATCAAGTGTTTGGCGCACGTGCGTTTTGGACCGGAAGAACTCACGCTCAAACTCAACGAGCAGTTCACGGTGACGTTGGACTAAGTGCAGTTGTGTAGTGTTAGGTGGGAGAAGTGGGTCATTTAATGAAGAGGAAAGCTCGTCAATTTCTTCTGAATACTGTACAAGCAGGCTTTGGATGTCGGTCTCCATCGCTGTATGATCCTTCGGCGCCGAGCTACCACCGTTTATATCTACAGCGACAGCATGATCGGGTGTACTAAATGTGGGGGCTGCCGACACGGACGACGGCACCACAGGCTGTATCCCACGAGCAAGTTCAGAAACATATTGCGAGTACGTGGTAAGCTTTGCGTCCAACTTTGACTGCGTCTGACGCGCACGCCTGGACTGAACCTCCCATGTCATGGATCTGGATGGTAGTGGAGGTTTGCTCAAAGTTGGTATGCCCTGACACGAGCTAGGGGAACGACAAATGACAAATCACCAAGCTAGAGAGACAAGGTTGGGAGAGTGATGGGTGGATGTGGAGGGCACATCTACACATCCATTTTCGCGTCTCTCAGTGTGTTCGTGGATTTCATGTTGTTATATCAGCAACGGGCTATGCACCAATCACAGCGCACCGTGTGCGGCAGCCATACCATCCATTTTGCCATGAGTACGCGTGACCTAATCGCTTCGGCCGAACGCGCCCGATGACAAAGGCATGCGCCCCGCCGCCGCTGCCGACGAATAGTTGTCGCCCTTGCACGGAACCCGGGTCCCGGAGGAACCAGGGCTATCGAGGAAAAAAAAAGAATCATGCGTCCTCTCGTCCAGCAAGTCCCACCCCATCCACTTCCTAGATATATACCTCCACGCAACCCTGTGGGATCCATTCCACTGTTCGGGTCTTTCCAGGCATCATAAATCTCATTCTATTTCTTTCTAGGCCCTAGTGTGCTAGATCCCTGAGCTCACGATTCCTGGAAGTACGAGATCACTGCATAGAGCACGTGTTCTGATACTAAAGACATCCTTTTCTTCAGCAACCATCACACAACGGATCGTGCCGTTCGTGCTGATAGCTTACGCGTAGCAGCAACGTCAACGTTGACCCATACCACTACGCCTGGCAAGTGGATCCTCCACCTCCACCACCATCACCACGCCGTTCAGTACAAACGAGGCTTCGTACGTGTTTTGCTGAGGAGCTTGCGTGCCTGTTAAGCCTTGTTGGGTGTGTTTGTGGCAAAGACCACTGTTACAGAAGTTCACCTATTCTTTCTACTACGCCCACATTCACGCCAAGCACGTTTTTAACTGCCCTTTGCGTCCTATCTACCCAAAAGTTTCGTCTTCATGGACAGCGGAAGTCCACCACCAAGCTATCAAGAGACTCGTGCCAAGTCTGAAGAACACCACCCGCCACCCCATGGCCCGGAAGATGACGGACCGCCCGCAAAGGCACATAAACATGACGCGAATTCTTACCCTGGCAAGTTGCCTGCGACAACATCAGCGACAACATCAGCCCAGCCGGCTCAGTCGGCTCAGCCGACGACTTCTTCGACATCTTCGATGGGCCAATACAATACGATCGACTTTCTCGGCAATGTGTCCGGCGGTCCTCATGCGGCTGCGGCCGAAGCACTCGCGACATTTTCGTCCTCCGTTGGGGACACAGTGAACAACAATCACATATACGTGTCTGTTCCGTCGTCGTCGCATGTAGATGCTAATGCAGCTGCGACTGGCGTGCCAAATGCGGCTCATATGCCCCCAACTCCAACTCCGCCACAACCAGCAGCAGGAGCAGCAGTAACAGCAGGTCCGGCACCAGGGGCAGGAACAGCGGCTCCCCCGCCATCAGCTGCGCCTCAACATGGGCCACCGTTCCTTTGTCCCACTTGCAATACATCGTACTCGCGTCTCGAGTACTTGCGGCGGCATGAACGACGGCATGCTGATATCCGACCATTCTCGTGCCCGTGCGGCAAATCGTTTTCGCGTAGCGACGTTTTGGCACGCCACAAAACAAAGTGTCGTGTTGTATTGAGCGGTGAGGTGCAGACATCATCCCCTTCTGATGCACGCCCTAAGGCGGAGCGTGCACAGCGTGGGAATGGGTCCCGCTCGACGCGCAATCGTTCCGCAGCTGCTACTTCAACGCGTGGACAAGCCGGCCCAGGTGCAGGAGTGGCAGCGCCGCGCTCAGACCGCCATCCTATGGGTGATTTATCTGTCGACCCTGCCTTGTCAGGTGCAACTGCCGCTACCGGTGTCGCCACTTCCGCCGTTGATCCATCGATGCAGCCGCCACCGCCGCTCGAAACTGGTGCGCCAGACCATCATGTTGACGAATCGTATTCGTATGTGAATGCTCCCGCCTCATTCGCAACTCATACACAACATATGGATAGCGAGTATGGTCCGAATCGCAGCGCGAATGTGCACTACGCGCAAGCACCGCCACCGCCACTACCAGCACCGTCATCTGCCGCGGCACATGCTAGTGGAATGCCCGTGCGAATGCATGAGTCAAAGATGTATGCTCCGCATGGTGCGGCTTCGGGTCCACCACGTGCGACGAATGCAGCTCCACCACCGCCACCATCGTATGTAACTGGCGCGCCGGCTATACATCCGGAGCTGTCATCGCGTGGCTCCGGTATGTACAACACATCGCATGCCCCTACAGGCGCTGGCGGTCCTGGCACATCGACGGCTGGCCCTAATGTCTCGAATGCTTTTTACGCGCCGCAGCATAATGGCGCCGAGCATGCAGGAAGTGCCGGTAGTGTCAATGTCAATGGCAGTGGTGCGAATGCTGGCGCGTATGGGGCAGTGCCAAGCACACATTATGCTGAAGGCAATACAACGGGGGCACCAGCAGCGGGGTCGCAGGCTGGTGCTCCTGGTAATGTGTATCCTCACAACAAAGAACTGGCACGTTTCTCAGTGGCGTCGTCAGGTCCTCTCTCGCCATTCTCCAACACGGCACTTAGCTCAAATATTTCGCCGTACCTCTCTGCATTCTCGTGTGCGCGTGACATGCCGCGTATGTCGAGCCCACGGCTTGGAGGTGGTGCGTCTACTGCCAGTGGAACGAATGGTGTGCCGCCTGCGACAACGACGAATGCCCCAGCGACTTCTCACAGCCCGCACCAGACAGACGATGCGCCACCACCGCCGCCACCAGATGCCAATTCGTCATAGATATATACGACGGTTCGAACGTATCAGTCTGTCGGTAATTTTTTCTCGCTAGATATCGGCTCTAAGTCAAGGTGGGCTATCGAAATGCTGTTTGTATGTGCATGGTCATGCTCTTCGTTATGGTAAAGAGCGCTTTGAAGTGTTGCCAACTGCATGTTCCATCGCAGGCGTTTAGGGAGGTCAGCCTTGGCTACATTAGAACAAAGGGTGGAGAAAATTTCCAGCCCCACAAGTTGGTTCTACTGGAAAGAACGTATTGGGTGGACAACCACCGCCTCTGATTCCATCATCTTAAGTCACACGGCCAATGACGCACGCGCGTATTGCACGTTTTCTCCAGTGTCATTGCGTATATGGCGCCAAAGGCACATTCCTTGAAAACCAGTAAGAGTGCTCTTGAGTGGGACATGTTGGACCTTTTAAAAGAACCTAAGGCCAACGGAAGCGCCACGGAACCATACCGGTGGCATGAGAATAAAACATGCATGCATTCTCTCGTCCCAACAAGTAGCATAGCTTCATACAAGACAATGAAATACCCTCAGATTTGCCGGAGTAAATGATAGCTTTACTGATGAATTAAAAGGAGATGCATCCCGATCATTTTGCATTCAATGGTTTTATGACGTACCACGGATGGAACTTGTTTGTTAATTACTCGAATCCTAGGGCGACCAAAATCAGTATAATTTGGCACAGGACCTCGTATCAGAAATATGTTGAACTGGAATGTACTGCTATGCTTGTTCTTGAGCTCTGGATCTGGGAAATCGATACCGGTGAGGCTTTACGAAAATTAGTCTGTGCCGTTGTGCCAAATCATGTATTATGTCTATTACAGCTGTGCCTCTTCGATTGACGACAGCTTATGCAAGAGTGATGAACCCATTATTTCAACTACCCCCTTGCAATACTTTCTGTGTCGACAATATCATTTGCCGCAGCTAGAGGCGAAGCTGGCCAGCGAGGCCATCTGCGTTCTCCGCGACGAGTTTGTATCTTGACTCCAACATCCGCTAAAACCCAGGCCTCTCATCACTTGCCTTTTCCTACCACTACCAAAACAAAAAAAAAAAAAAACTTTGCACACGCACGCATTGGACTGCCACTCACAGGGAATCGAGGGTGAGTTAGCTTAAAGCAATCTATCCCCGGATCACAGTGTCGGCCATGCTTCCCCGATGCGGGTTTCGCCTTTTGCTCATGCAGGCAATCTGCACGTCAAGGTTTGCGGCATCCACGGTATCTGGGCATGTCTACTGTGCCCCCTCATTCAGACTCTTTAATGGTTCTAAAATGTGCGAAACACATTCTGCGGAGACCTCCGCACAATGAATCGGCAGCTCGCTTGTCATGATCTTATCATATGTTGGCCGGAGGCGATCACAATGATGCTTGTCGTGATCTGCGACGTTCGAAAGCCGTCTGAAGTCACACTTCAGTCACATCACACCGACCCTGTTTGCAGTGCCAAATCGACTTCATTCTACCTTTGACTTCTTGCCGCGTCTGCTCAGAGCGTGATTGTATGGACTCGAAGCTCACTAAATGACACTCTTTTTGTATGTGTGCATCATTCGCTTGCTGGGTCGATCGCGCGCATTGTGTTAAGTCCATTCGGCTTGTAACGAGTCAAAAGACAACCTTTTTTTTTTTACTGACGTACAAGTTGGCCAAGTCTTGCTTTGAAAGAAGGATAGGGTCATTGTTCATCACATTATCAAGTCGTTGTATAGTATTCCGTTGCTGGATGCTTCGCAAAATGCACAGCAACTATTAATATTATTTCACTTTCATCAAATTAAACAAGGGCATCTTTCACGCATCTTGAGCTGAATGCTTTTCGTCATTCGATCGTGATACTATGATTCTTGCTGGCACACTAGTGTCTCCAGAAGCAGAGATGGGTCTTTCAGCACTGAATCTACTCTCATGACTATTCATATTTTCTTATGTCGGTTGCGCTGGTCTGATCGCAATGAGAAGGTACCGCCAGATAAGGTCCTGGATGTAGAGGAAGCCCAGATTCACATAAGCCATTTCGAAACGCAGTGTATCATCGAGTCACTCGGCGCTGTGTGGAATTGAGCTATGTGACGTTCGATTCTGACTCATGTCATTTGTTGTTTAGTGCCGATGTTCATCATGTGAAGTTTATGAATATCCATGCTCTTTGGATGATACAGACAATCTATGGTGCCAAGGGCATTAGCTCTGTACATCGCGGCACCCTTAGCTCTTGTAGCAGTCATTTTGCTAGCTATGCAGGCCCACTTTTGCAATGGGCGGAGTGTATGCACAAATCAACATACCACATCAAACGACCGACCGGCCATTGCACAACAAAGACGGACGACCAACTGGTTGTAGAAAGAATGTCGATTATCACCATGGGTGCACAGAAGTACTAATCTCATGTGTCGTCAACGATGTTGGGCGGCTGTCGAAACCAGATCATACTAGATTCGTATTCCAGACTTGTGGCCCTCATCGTCAATGAGCCTGGCTTTCAGAAATGTATCTATCAACGTGGAAAGCGTTCTCGTGTAGCAAAAAAAAAAGATCCAACCCACTTATCGAGCCATGCGAATCAGTAGCCTGATATGTCCACAAACATGCATCTGACGAAATGTCCTAGAACGGCTAAACCGAAACTACAAGAACTACTCTAATGCACGATCTCGTCGAGTACCTGACTGATTTGTGCCGTCTGACGAAGAGACGGCGGAGAAGGACAACGTCGACAATTTCAACGATGACATCGACATATCTGCTGGTATTCACATTGGCAACGATATGAATTCCTGTACAGTCCACCACTTTGACGCTCTCCCTATTTTGTTAAGGCTACGGCCACATGACGTACAAACGCCTCGTTGCACCGATGCAAGACAGCATTCCAACGATGATCTCAATCTGCAATGTTGGCGATTTATTTCCATAAAGTAGCAACCCGGGCCTGCATTTCTACATCGCGAACAAAGTGATTCGTTGATGCACATATGACTCGTTTTACATGCGGGACTACTTTGCGTATGACTCATTTTTGGATACGCTAAGCGAATCACATGGCACGCGCGTGCAATACTTTATGCATGTCTCCACCTACGTTTGGTCAAATTTTAGCTTTCCGACCCAAACGTGCAGAGTTGACCAGGATTTGTCTGCAAAACTAGTAAGAAATAAATAACGTCTGGGTCAAGCAGGTAGCATCAAAGTACTTCTCAACTTCGACCACAGCAACACAGAATTTTTATCACGATGAACTAAATTAATCCTTCTTCAGAATTTCTGTGTTGTTTCACAGCGCTTGTCTTAGACTTCTTAGTACCTTGTGCTATTCGGTCGAACTAAACAGACAGTATGCATATGCAGCTGCTCATCTTTTCTCATGATGTACCCTGAAATCCGCTTAGCTGCTTCAGAGCCATTCTCTGGAGCGTATGAATTACTTGTAACTTGATTTAGAAGCTTAAACGAACGTGAACATTGCCAGCAAGAATCCAGGCATGGGATCGACGCTTCCCGCGCCAGACGACGTCCACAGGGTGACCGGACCTGTCCAAACGCAAACTGCCTCTGAGGCTCTGATGGACCACCTTTCCTCAACTCTACCTCTGTTTTCTGCCCCTAGCGAGTCTCTGCAATCAGAATGGAGTGATACTTCACCCAACCTTGCAGACTCCTTGCTATCTATGGACTTTGATTCTACCAGCACGCTTGGCACATCACTTTATCAAAGTGAGATCCCTTCAGATTCTTCATTATCACCATTGGCAACGCCTAAAGATGCTGTGGGATCAAGATTGTTCGCACCGGTTGATGCCGTTGTATTGCCCACTACCGACGCATTTTGTCACTGGCCCGACAGCGACGCATTGTCCGAACCCAATAGCAAGCGCGCACGTCTAAATGAGCCTTGCTGTCTCCCTGATTCTATAATTAAGCAAGACTTTACTCTTTTTCCGGATGACGATGAGCAGCAGTCGCGCCGTCAAGTCCCTTCCTCTCTCCAAACCAGTCTCGTCACAGGTGATGAGTCAGCTTCTGTTTTAAACCTGCTTGATTCACTCAATTCATCAGTCTGTGATGCATCACCATTCCTCTCGCCAGAGCCAACGTCGACATCGGCTTTGAGCAAGGTCTTTTCTCCTAACACACACCCTCCAGCGTCTCTAACCCAAACGGCTAATAAGTCACCAATACCAGAGATCGCTGGAACAGAGGGAATAACATCACGTTCTTCAGCAACAACACTAGTGCCTGCAAGTGCTGATCTTGCTGACGCGGTCAAGTCGTTCAGGGGCACACACAGACGACGACGTGATGCTCACGAGCTCTTGCCTCTTAATGCACCTGTCCAACCAAGAACCTATCACACCGAGTCTGCTACGTCGCGTCGAGATTCAAAGGAGCAATCATCGGTGTCACCAGCTGAACCACCTCTCATTTCGGATGGGTCGAGTCCAAGGCCAGAAATGGACGCGCGATCGATGAAGAGACTCAGCAACACGATCGCAGCCCGCCGAAGTCGCCATCGTAAGGCTGAAGAGCTAAAGCGTTTGTATGAGACGATTGAAGAGCTAGAATCACAAGTGCAACAGTGGAAGGAGCGTTGCAATAAGGCGGAAATGGAGCGAGACCGCCTTAGAAGAGTAGAACCACTTGTGTAGTTTCGAACTTTGAATCGTTTTCACTCCTTTTATAGTGTTGGTCATCTTGTTTCACTGTTAAACAAAGGCACGAAGAAGGCAACAAAGGCAAAGCAAGTCCGAGTATTTCATGATGAAACAAGCAAGCTTCTATAATGCAAACAGGTAGCTAAGAAGGATTTCGTACATGTTGCGGAATTTTCCCATGGACTGAGTTTAGTTCGATGACGAAGACTTGTCGGCGTCCAGCGGCTCAAGAAGGAGGCCTGCCTTACGAAGAGTGCTTTCGAGCTCGCCCGTCTGATGCACTGCATCCGTGTGTTAGTTATCATACAGGATATTCGAACATACTATTGAGCATGATATCACAACCGCCGACAAACTCGCCATTAATGTATACTTGAGGAATGGTTGGCCAGTCACTAAATTCTTTGATGCCGTCACGCAGTTCCTGATCCTCGAGACAATTGTACGTCGCAACCTTGTCAGGGTTCACGCCTTGCACCTGGAGAATTTGGAGCACGGCACGGCTGAATCCACATTGCGGCATACTAGGCGAACCTTTCATGAACACGACAAGGGGGTCCTCTTTCACGGCATTTTGAATCTTGGTGCGTGTCTCTGTCGAAAGCAGACGCACGAGCGACGGAGACGCGCGCATGCGAGTGGCTTGTGCTAGGGCAATCGAAGGTCGCTACACTGGCTCGTATCATAGAGTAAAGGATCGCATACATACCAGGAATGAAACGGCTTGGCGCGCAAACATTAGGTTTGGAATTGATCGGTGTGACACTCGAGTGGTTTGTCTGTAGGTCACAATTTTTGCCACCCTTCCCCGCTGGCGATGAAAGGATGTCAAGCGCACATATTTCCCAGTCGTTCAACAAGGTTTCATCAGTGCATGGGAGACGAATAGCCAAGCAAGAAAAAAAGTCTAGGCCGAGAGAAAACATTTTCTCGCTTACGCGCAAAACTGCTCTTCTTCCTCGTGCGACTCGTCCTCTGGGGCCGTCGGAGGTATGTATGAGCATGGGTGTTCGTGTCGAAGCCTGTTCAAGGATGAAACGACAATTAGATGACGAGTATGAGGAAGCGGGTATCTTGCATGTACATTATGTTTGGTTCCGCGGATCCAATGCTTCGAACTCCGGCTACCAAACCTGAGACAGGCTAGGCAACGTTTCACGGATTGCAACGAACTGGAGAGGCGGTGGGATGCTAATATTACTGCAGGAGTTCTTTACACATAGCATGGCGCCATACGATGATGACTCAGACTTTGGTTCTGATGAAGAGGATGTATACACCAATGTCCAATTAGGTCTTGCAGATGGGCCTCTGGAAAAAGATGATGAATCAAATCCACTCGTTTCCAGGATTGGTGGTCGACCAGCATGGCTTCCACTGAGGCCATCGAACCTGCCTGGGGAATCTGCAGTCCATTGTGAGTACTGTAGGCAGCCCATGCAGCTTCTGGTCCAAATTTTTGCACCTCTAGAGGACTCGGCATTTGATCGGAATCTGCTCATATGGGGGTGTGCTCGAGCGGCATGCCAGCGGAAAGGCGCTGGATGGTACGTATGCAAGGTGTGGTGCTTGAGGATGAATGAACAATTTCTTCATTTGATTCGCGATACTCGTGATCGCTATCACATGAAACCTACCTATCTTTGACATTTTCTTCCTAGGACTGAAAGCGACCACAGCTTGCTTTATTCTGAAAGGTCTATACTAACCTACAGTATAAAAGCTGTGCGTGTCCTGAAACACAATACCCGGTGGGCCGCCAAGCTCGCGAAGCGAGAGGAGCGAAAGAGGGTCCGTGAAGAGCGCATTGCTGCGAAGCAGCAGGCTGAGAAAAAACTAGAGGCAGAGCGCGCTCGAAAAGAGCGCGCGACAAATCCATTTTCGATGAAGAGTTCAAGCGAAGCTGGTCTCTTTCGTGCCTCGCTCTTTGATTCAGCTCCTGAAGGGGCTGAAAGTACCGATGACCAAGGACGAGTCGACCGTCAGCAACAACAGAAAACATCCGAAGGCCATGAAAGTGAACATGAAGTGAGTAATGACGAGGACGAAGACGATTATGATGACGAGGAGCGTCTTGCTGAAGAGATGTCTATCAAGGCATCCTTGGAAGAACAACATCAGCACCTTCAAAACCATTGGTCGCAGCATGCCTCCCACTATACCACACCTTTATATTTGAATACTATTCCAGAGCCAGAGAATGAGCCGGAGTCGGAAGCCCAAGATCAGGCTTTGCAGGAATCTGCTCTGAGCACGTCTCATGTGCCGGTGATAGGATCAGGGGAAGGCGAGGTATACGAGCAAATGAAGATCGATGGCCTGGATCATGTATTTGAGCGATTTACTCGACGGCTCGGATCGGAAGCCCGTCAGGTTGTGCGCTACGAGTTCGGTGGGGTGCCCATTCCATTTAGTGGGAAGGGCTCGTTGTTCAAGCGATTGTGGCCAAACGGACTGCATGCTGGCTGCGACTCTTCGAGTGTGCCGGCGTGTGAGTATTGTGGCGCACCGCGCGTTTTTGAGCTGCAGCTCATGCCGAACCTAGCAAACTTGTTGCGTGCAGAAAAGTTGAGTGATGCCGCTGAGAGCAACGGCGAAAACAGTAGTAACCAAGAAGCTCAGCGGCAAGCCGAAATTGCCTCTTTATTTGGGCTAGAGAGTGCTGTGACAAACATGCGCACGGGGATCGCTTGGAGTACCGCGATTGTGTATGTGTGTAGCCGCGACTGCTGCCAAAATGAGTCTGAGGGCTATGCCGAAGAATGGGTCGGATTGCAGCACGAGACCGATGTGTAATGTACAAGTAGCCATGTAGAATTAGTCATCCGAGCCAAGCTTAGTCGCAGCCCCGCAGGGGACTAGCGGAGCGCGCCGGTGATCTGGAATTGTGTGAAAATCGCTCGTCTGCTTGCTGCGCCTCGTATCTAATCTACACGCAGAGTTCTCCACACTGTCGTCTGACCATCATCATTGACATCATGAGCCAAGCGGAAGCGCAATTGTCGGCACGGATTGATGAAAAGCTGAACGATTCGACACAGGACGCATATGTGTGGTCTCTTGAGTTTTTTCCTCCCCGAACGGCGTTGGGTCTCGCGAATCTGTGTGCGCGAGTAGCTCGCATGTCTGAGGCATTGCAGCCAGGCTGGGTTCATGTGACCTGGGGCACGGGAGGATCCACCCGGGACGCATCCATGGAGCTTGCCGCACGCGTGCAAAAGGGTGTTTATGATCCATTGGAAGACTACACCAACGTGAAAGAGCGGCGCAAAGGCGCTTGTGATGTGTGTTTGCATTTAACGTGTACGAACGTTGAGCGGGCATATTTGGATGCAACTCTCGATGAGGCACGGCAAATAGGCATTCGGAACATTCTGGCACTGCGTGGTGACCCACCACGCAGTGATGAATACTGGGTAGCTACGGATCAGCGGTTGCAGAATGCAACGGACCTCGTGCGCTATATCCGTGAGCGACATGGTGATTACTTTTGTATTGGTGTGGCTGGCTATCCCGAGGGGCTGAAGCAGGGTATTGATTGTGATATGAGGCACGACATAAAGGTTTTGAAGGCAAAGCAAGAGGCAGGCGCTCACTTTATTGTGACGCAGTTGTTTTATGATGTCGACGCACTCGTACGGTGGACGAAAGAATGCCGTGCGGCAGGCATAACAATCCCGATCATTCCGGGAATCATGCCGATCCAAAACTACACGATGTTTCGCCGCATGGCGAATCTTTGTGGCGTGCATACACCTGAGGATGTGCTTGAGCAGCTGGAGCCAATAAAAATGGACGACGCAAAGGTCAAGGAACATGGTATCCATCTCAGCATCGACATGATCAAGTCCATCCGAGAGCAGACGGGCATTCGCGCTTTCCACTTGTATACGCTTAACCTGGAAAAGAGTGCAACGTGCGTCATCAAGGTACTTGCGGATGTACCGGATCAAAGCGCGTCAATCTCTGGCTCCGTCACATGGGACGAGTTTCCGAATGGCCGCTACACGGATGCCCGCAGTCCAGCGTTTGGTGAAATGGATGGCTATGGAGCCAATTTGAAGGTGCCACCCGAAGAGGCTGTGCGTTTATGGGGCACACCTGTGGATGAGGATGACATATCCAGTATATTTTCTCGGTTTGTCGATGGCCGCTTGGCCTGTATGCCGTGGTGCGATATTCCTGTGTGGGATGAGACAATGCAGCTCCTTCCCGCACTGTTGCATCTGAACTCGCCACCCTCCGCTGGCGGTAAAGCATGGTGGACTGTTGGATCTCAACCAGCTGTTGATGGGTGTGATAGCACTGACCCGACCTTTGGATTCGGACCGCAAGGCGGCTATATCTTCCAAAAAGCATTTGTCGAATTGTTTATGAACGAAAACGACAAGAATGCGCTTGTTCAAATGATCCAAGGAAGTTCAACGCCTGTGACCTATTTTGCCGGAAAGTGTGATCCAACGACATTTGAGACAAATCTTACAACGAACGGCCTCAACACAGTGACGTGGGGTGTTTTTCCTGGCACAGAAGTCGCGCAATCCACCATAATTGAAGAAGCATCGTTCCGGGCATGGCGTGATGAGGCATTTGCTATTTGGCGAGAATGGGAGCTTCTTTTTCCTCCGAACTCAGCCACGCGGTCATTATTGCGAAGAATCCACGATGAGCGTTGGCTTGTCACTGTGGTACACCACGACTACAAGGATCCACAAGGGCTGTGGAGACTGCTTGAGACAGTCTCGTAGACATTGAAGATCGTGTCTTCACCCTCATAAGATTGGCACGTCTAGAATCGTTTATCATGCATATAGATCATGTCGACATGAACCAAGTGGTTCATGCCGCCATTTTTTTTTTCGATAAGGATTATGTATACACTCATATGCATGATGAATGGATGGATGGGTGTGCGCCAGAAGTGTGCACCGAGATGCAGATTCATGTGGAGAAAAATACAAAGCGCAACCCTGATAAGCCAAGACGTCATTCCCACATGTCAAACAGCCATTTACAGGAACGTTGGTGACTTGCATTCACGCCGCCCGCCAGCCCCTTAGGTAGCTCGTGCTGGTTTTAGTTCCTCGCTTCCATTCGGCACGGATGTGTGATATATCGAAACACGTTAGCCATGAAGCAGTATCGAGGGCGCTGAGCCACATGCAGTACGCCCAAGACGAGCTGGAGCGCGCCCTGAAAAATTCAGCAAGTTCTGCACGACAGAATCTCGAAACTAGTTCATTCCAAGAGCTGGAATGCAAGTATAGAGATTTGCAACGCGACTATGATGCCTTACGTGCACAGTATCAGGCGGAGAAGCAGACATGGTACGACTTTAAGCGATGGTGGAAACAAAAACTACAAGCCAAGCGCGAGGCACGCCGCACATTAGCACGCGATGCGAAGCCTATCCTCAGCCCACGCAAAGCGCGAGAACAGATTCAATCACATCGTCAGCATGTACGTACACTCATGCAAGTCAATCCCAGCATGTTCAAAGTGGGAGGACGGTATGCCGCAAGTGGCCAAAAAAGCTCAGCCAAGGGAACCAACGCCACAGAAGCCAACGCGAGGAGTGCTGGACCCCCCGGTCAAAGCCAGCCAGATGATCAAAATCATCCAATAGCACACCAAAAAGCTGACTGCGCATGTTGCCAAAAGGTGCGTATGGCATCCCTATGCATCTGGCACGGTCCTAACCGTTGTCTTTTAGTACCGCCAAGTCATTGGCTGTGAATCCTCCGCTGATTCTTCCCGTCACCATCATTCGATCCCCGATCCCACACCACCTGATTATTGGTATGTACAAGCAACGCATCTCACATGTTCTAGGGAGCTTGGCTTTCCTAGCAGCAGTCCCGCCACTCCGAACCATGAAAGCACAGCGGCGCTTTCGCCGCCGCTAGAACGAGCCATATAGCCACGCGTGGCATCAATGTAGGTGTGTAAATAATTCTGCATAGCACTCGCCACCCCATTCGTTGTATGAAAAAGGCACGCGCATGGGCTCCATAGTGATTGTTCGTGTCAGGATGCAATCAACGTCCATTGCTTGGACGACGCGCCGTGCGTCTATACATAACTTTGAGTGCAGCAGTTGAGCATGGATCCTGATGACCGTACAACGCGGCGCAGGTCTGGCCGGGTGCTTGAGAAGGCGCGCGCGACGGGGGACACACAGCGTGAGTCGCCGGTGATGACGTCGTCGCGAGTACCAACTTCCACCAAAGTACAGTCAACGCCCAAGTCTGGTCGATCTCGAAACTCACTGTCTAGAACGTCACCGCAGCCATCGCAGCCGCAACAGCGACCTCCCAGCACGACCCCTTCAGCCCCGGCGTCCACACCAAAGCGGCGCAAAACAGAGGCACAACGTGCAAGTGCACCGACATTGCCTGATCTGCCACTTCCCTCACTTCCGCGGAGACCACACTCACTGCATTCGCTGCCAGCCTCAGTGCTTGCCCGCATGACACCGCATGAGCGTGTGCGACGACTCTTGCATGTCGGAGCGACGCCTGAGTCACTGCCGTGCCGAGATGAACAGTTCCAAGCGGTTGTTGATTGCACGTCTGATGTACTTCGAGCGGGAGCTGGCGGTTGTGCCTACATATGCGGTGTCCCCGGTACCGGCAAGACGGCAACGGTGCGGGAGGCTGTACGGACGCTGCAAGCGATGCAAGAGCGAGGGCATTTACCGTCGTTTACATTTGTCGAGATCAATGGCATGAAACTGGCGTCGCCCATGCAGGCATATACAGAACTTTGGTGTGCAATCAGTGGCGATCGACATCGTTTGCACCCGCGCGCTGCGCTCACGAGACTCTCTTCGCACTTTCACGCGCCAGCGCCAGCGGGTCGTCAACCGACCGTGGTCTTGATGGACGAGCTCGACCTGTTTGTGACTTCGCGCCAGGATGTGATCTACAACATGTTCCACTGGCCGGATATGCCTGGGAGTCAACTCATGGTTCTGGCTGTCGCAAATACGATGGACCTGCCGGAGCGGACGCTGCAGCCCAAGGTGGCCAGTCGACTTGGCATGACTCGCATACCTTTTATGCCTTACACGAACCGGCAGCTCTTAGACATTGTGCGAGCACGTCTCAATGTCGACGAGTCGGGAAACAGGTGTTCTGACGCGCCTGCGACGCTTGGATGCGAGTCAGTGTTCAAGATGGATGCACTTGTCTTTGCATCGAAGCGAGTTGCGAATGTATCGGGAGATGCACGCCGCATGCTCGATGTATGCCGTCGGGCGGTGGAAGCCGCAGAGGAACGTGCGGCGGCACATCACACGGCACCAAGTCCCATTACAATACATGAGATTCGCGATGTCATGGACCGCATGGCACGCTCGGGACGAGCTGCTCACATTGCAGCGCTGTCCCTTCATGCCAAGCTGCTGCTTGCCAGTATGTATGCATGCATGCGGCGCACGGGCGTCTCGGAAGTTGTATGGGGCGATATTCTTACTCACCATCAAGCGTTGTGCCGCACACATGCACATGCCGAATGCAATGAGCACGAACTCCTGCGTCCACTCGCGACGTTGTGCCAGCTTGGACTTGTGATTGCTGTGGGTTCTGGCGCTGGACATGCACGTGGCGGTGTCTTTTCGCGCTTCCTGCTGGCCGTGCAGGAAGACGAAGTGTACGGGGCACTGGGCGACGATGCCGAGCTCCAGGCCCTCTTTGCATTACGTTCGTCTACGTAAAAGACAGTAGTCGCCAAACTGGCGAGCTGAGTTGCCCCTGCTAACGCTGCCAGGCGGGAACCAGAGCGTCCTCGCCAACGTGGCGTACACTTTGTCCATCATGGTGATGCTCTGTGCTTGTGCTGCATGGCGACTAGCCTCATTGTCCAGAAATCGCTTGCAAAGAACCGTGTCCCATTCATCCGAGTGCACGTAGCGTGGCTCAGCATCACTGGCTGCCCGTGTTGGCACATCCACATCAACCAGCAGTGTGCATTGAGACAATGGCACGTACCGATCAGGCTCATGCTGATTCCGCTCATTCACGGACGCCGGCACTGTACGCGTATATTTGGCCCAGGGCCATAGAACGGGTGTCGCATACTCAAGAGCATGGAGCAACTTGGACTCGAAAGGTGTGCGCGGCAAGAGCGACGACACGTGTGGTCCAGGCTGCCTCGTCGGAGCAGCTTTGTGGAAATGATGAGGCAGAATGCCGCGAAAATCACTTTCGACAAAGGCCACCTGCATATCGCGCGGGACGAAGAAATGGGATGGAAAGCGATGCCATTCCTTCGCATAGCACAGTGTGTGTTCGCCCTGGATCTGCGACACGGCATGTCCAATCTGCAAGGGCGCACGGTAGTACTCGATGAGCGCCATGATCCGCAACGTGCCCAGCACAGCCGTCACAACCAGGGGCATAACGGTGACGGCTGAGAATAGCATCGTACGAGACGCGCGATACGGTGAGCGAGTGATGCTCAAGTATGCTTGTTCCATGCATGCCCGTACGAGGTATAGCGTCACGGCGGCATTCATACACACAAGTGGGTATGCTGGGTACAGGAATCGCTCTTCTTTGTGTGGCTGTGTCATAAGCAAACCGAGCCACAGGTACAGTGGGAGCACTCGCAGAGCTAGCAGAACCGCACGTTGTGAGCCGTGCGAGTTGTGTGCAGACGCCGCTGGACTCGCACTCTCTGTCTTGGTGGATGTGGTTGTCACTGATGTCATAGGCCTAAAGCGCATTGGATATCGGACCGCTGTAATAGCAATCATCGGCAAAGCAGCAAGCGCGAGTGGTGCTGCCATCGAGAAGGCTAGAGCCAGTGCCACCACGTAGTAAGAAGGCGGCTCAACACCATACAACTCTGGACTAATACCCCGTGCGCGACTCGCGACGTTGTACAGGATGGTGTTGAGTGGTGCCACTGTGACTCGACCGTACGCGAGAGTGTCAATCAAGATAATAGGCGCAGCTAGCAGAGAGGCATACATAACAGCACGCAACCAGCGCGCCAGCCGCCTCGTGTGCTCGCAAGATGGATCTGATCCACACAGGCACAGTTCTTCATACACATACGGTGCGGCTAAGATGATCGCATAGGGCCATCCAGCCAAAGCTCCAAAAGCAAAGACAGCTGTCGTGTAGAACGTGCGACGCCACGCTTGCGTCGAGGCTGGCTGCATAGCAAACGCCATAGCCACACTTGTCGTGTACATGACAAAGCTCGATGGAAGGAGCGCCGTGGATGCACTGAGCATGCCTGCACAAACAGTCAAGAATACAAGGAGATAGCGGGCGACACGCACGTGGACGTATCGAGCGACCTGCTCATACAGGAGAGCATCTGACACGGACGAGAGAACTGCAAGTGCAAACCGAAGCGCATAAAACGCAGCATACGGCGGCAATGAAGACATTCTTGTAACGAGATATGGTACAATAGCATGCATGGCAGCATACGCCCACGACCGGATCGCATACTGCGGCACATACTCCCACGTCTCAAACGCGGTGTCTTTTCTGTGTGTCTGCGTGAGCAAGTGAACCGGTTCCCAGTAATTGTACACTTTTGTAAGTCTCTATGCGGCTGCAATACCTAAACATACCCTCATCACAGTCAGACACCATCATGAAGCAGGCTACAGCCATGCGCACGCTCAACATGATGGCGGCTGCAACTTGCCAACTTGGTCGCGACGTTGCTGCACTAATCGGTCAGTATGCATAGCGTACAGTTTAGGAACATCATAGAGCAACATGAAGCGTGTGTTGCGTTAGTACCTCGTTTGGATAGCCGTTCTCTCGACGACTGGGCAGCTGTACTGCTAAAATGGCGGTGGTTCGTTAGCAAGGCGCACGTCCACAAAAAGGACAAAGCACTCGTCCAACATGCGGCTTGCGGCTTGCTTGATTAGCCAAGGAACGCCTCCCTCCACGTCCACAGCATCACCCATTCCCCACCGTCCCATGTCACATTCACTTTTGACTTGGCTCGGGCGGTGGAGGTGCGGCAAAAAATGTCTAGACCGCCGCCTGCATGCGCGAGACACGCGCATTTCTTTGTCGTTCTATTACGCAATGTCAGAGCTGCGTGTACTCACGCTCAACTGCTGGGGGCTTAGGTTCTTTTCGAAACTTCGAAAGGAACGTCTCGCAGCGATCTCAGACAGACTGGCCGACACACATTATGATGTAATAGCATTGCAAGAAATTTGGGTCCGAATCGCGGGACTGGCAGCACATGCGCGCAGTTTTGTGGCGACCGATATCCCCTACGGCAAGTTTTTTCTGACAGGTGCATTTGGTTCGGGACTGGCAATCATGACGCGGTACCCTATTGTCAGCATGGAAACGCACATGTTTCGCCTTACAGGCACGCCGATTTACGTGCAGGAGGGCGACTGGATTGCCGGCAAGGCTTGTGGACGCATCACTATGGCACATCCACAACTTGGTTTGGTCGATGTTTACACATCTCACGTACGTTCCTTGACCTATGTATCTCACACGCTTTTTTGTTGATCCTTTGCTCACACCATCTTCTGCGTTGATATTTTTTTTTTCCCTTTTTTCAGTTTACCGCACATGGAGGACAATCTGGACCTGAGATCCAGCGTGTGTATCGAACTACAGAAGCCTTCGAATTAGCTCAAAAGTGCACTGCAAGTGCACAGGCGGGGCGACACGTGCTTTGTATGGGTGATCTGAATTCTTTGCCTTCCTCGCTATGCATGGCGTTGCTGCAGAGTGTGGGTGGCTTGCAGGATGCATTGGCGCACGTTCACAATGGAGATTCCGGAGCTGACATTACGTGCGACAGTCCCAAGAACACTTGGTCAAAGAACAAGAAAATTGACCAGTATGCGCAGCAGCATGGTGGCAAGTGCCTTGACTACGTCTTGTATCGTGGACCGGCGAACAGGATGAGTCGTCTCTCATACTCGTCCCATGAAGTGACATTTACCGACCTCATTGACTCATTGCAGGTCTCTTACTCTGACCACTTTGGTCTAGAAGTCGTATTTTCGATTGTATCGCCGGAGGATGGCAAAATATCAGGTGGCAGCAAGAAGTTCGAATCCCGCTCCGACGTCCTGCATCGTGCTTTGCTCCCAATTCGTCAAGCTTTGCACAATGCGCATGTATCGCAGAAGAATCACCTGGGTGTCTTCTTGTGCCTTTTTGGCTTCGATCTCATCCTTGTCGCTGCTTTGACATGCGCAAGTGCTTGGCTTCGTTTCGGCCAGAGCGTCGCTCCTTCCATTATCGTCTCCGTTTTAGTCGTCGCGACATCTTGGGCTGCTACCACGGCTCTTTACAGCGGTGTGGTTTGGGGGGAATGGCACAAGCGTACGTATGAAATTTCCTTGGGCATGTCTCACTGTACGCACAGGCTCGTTACGCGCATTTATTGACGAAATGGAAACGGAGGCCGGTCTCGATCCTTGAGATGTACAGAGATATCGCACGCTTCGATTGCTTCATGTTCACGGTTCCGTAAAGCATGCAGTTACACTAGCTGACGTCACATGAACAGGCGTTTTGTGTTGTACTGGTAGCCACTGTGGCATCTGAATTTGGTGCTTAGATGTGTCAAATGGCCATGTTCGTCTTAACAGCTACGTCAATGAGACAGAAATCTGGCCTGATTATTCAGATCAGATTCTAAGGGTCCGCAAGCAAGCCCCAAAAGCAACTCAGCATCATCGTTGTTTTCACTAGTATGATAGCTAAGCATCTATGTACACTGGAGTTCAACGGCAAGCGCAGCTCTTGTCGCTCTTTTGACACTCACAGCCTTTCTCGGGAGGTCAGTGGCATGGTTTCGCCGAGGATCCGCATTGGCAGCCCGCCTCAGCCGGGCACGCGCATGTCCGTTTGCAAGAGTCGCACGAGCATGGCTTACCACACTTGGCACATTGGCAACCAGCCTCAGCCGGGCACGCGCATGTCCGTTTGCAAGAGTCGCACGAGCATGGCTTACCACACTTGGCACATTGGCAGCCCGCCTCAGCCGGGCACGCGCATGTCCGTTCGCAAGAGTCGCACGAGCATGGCTTACCACACTTGGCACATTGGCAGCCCGCCTCAGCCGGGCACGCGCATGTCCGTTCGCAAGAGTCACACGAGCATGGCTTACCACACTTGGCACATTGGCAGCCCGCCTCAGCCGGGCACGCGCATGTCCGTTCGCAAGAGTCACACGAGCATGGCTTACCACACTTGGCACATTGGCAGCCCGCCTCAGCCGGGCACGCGCATGTCCGTTCGCAAGAGTCGCACGAGCATGGCTTACCACACTTGGCACATTGGCAGCCAGCCTCAGCCGGGCACGCGCATGTCCGTTTGCACGAGTCACACGAGAAAGGAACGGAAGTAGACATAGTGGTTAAGGTTATTGGAAACGGTGATTAGAGGGGTTAGCGCGAAAGGCTGGGTCTATATAGCTTTTCATTTCGCTGCCGGAAATGCGAGACGGAAGAAACACATGAGCGAGTGAGTGAATTTTGCTGCCAATAGTGCGATTACTCACACGACCAATTCCTTTCGTTGGACTGGCGAGCAAATCTGAGCAAGTTTTGCTGCCAATGCAATTAAAGCAAATGCTTTGTTATCTATCGTGCCAATGGACAAGAGAAGAAAAAAAATCTCTCAATGTACGATTAGGTAATGATTGAATGACCAACGTACGCCACCTTTCACCGAGAAACCCCGCCTGCCACTGCCATAAGTGCGTCCACAAGATGATTCGATTGAGACACGCGCAGGGCGCAGCCACGATTTCATTCTCGTCAAACACCACATGGCACGATTTCCAGAAAGAAGTCGAAGCAAAATGTGGCGTTAGCATAAATGAACAGACATGTTCGTGTCGGCATTACTAACTTCGTAGTCAAGCGTGGCTTCCCACCAACGCATTTGCGCACGGACGGTTTTCATGCGGCTCAGCTAGTGAAAGACGAACCGATTTCGTTGCGTGACGGTGATACAATGTTTCTTGAATGCACAAAGCATACTTCTTCAATTTCCTGGGATAGCGAATTAAGCATGAGTCTACATCACATACCTGATGATAACAGCTGTCTATTCCATGCCATTCATTACGTACAAACGCGTACGATTTCACGTGAGGGCGCGCAAGCCAAGCGCGGTGCAGTCGCAGATGCGATCCGCTCTGACCCAACGACGTACAATGATGCGGTTCTCGGGTATGTTAGAAAGTCTTTTTTTTGTCGTTGCTCTTGTCTAACGTACGGTTGACAAACAGGATGCCGGCTTCCGCGTACATCGAAAACCTACTTCTCGCATCGACGTGGGGCGGGCATGTGGAGCTCTCCGTTTTTGCGCGCATCTATGAAGCGATTATCCTGTGTTGGGATGTGGTTCATGGTTTATGTCATGTGATTGGCAATCGTGATAAAGCCAAGGTCTTGTGGATACTTACGTATTCAGGCATTCACTACGATGTTGTTGTCGCACGAAGTCTTTCGGGCTTGATCACTGCCTTTGATCCGCGCAGTTACAATACATGCTACGCGGTGAGTGAGAAACTGGTGCACTGGCTTCGAGAACAACGCTAGTAAGTGTCCTGGAGTGCAGGACTGACTCTCAATAGCGCTGTTGACACACATTCGTTCATGCTTCAATGCAACGAGTGTGGAACGATGGTCGAAGGAGAGCATCAGGCGCTTGAGCATACGAAACGCACGCTCCATGCAGTACGTGAAATGATTCGCATGCTAAAAAGAAAAATAGTCGTTTACACAAGAGCTATGGAGAAAAGGCTACATAGGGTAAGGAATGGCGATACTTGCATGAAGAGAGATAGAGCGTTATCAAGAGACATCAACTGGGGGAGGTTAATTGAGTGATACGCTGCAGCCAGGAACCTTCATAGAACGAGGCAAACGTGCGAGTCTGGAGCACGAAGGGGACCAACAGAGCCAGTAGCATGGCAGGGATCCAGAACCAAAGCAACATGCGATCGTCGTACACGCCTTGCCGTGGTCGGACAACGGTCTCTGTCGCTGTTTCTTTCGACCTTTCGTTGGAGCGACGGTGTCGGGCCATACGATTGCTTCGACGTTCCTTCCGTATGTACGCAAACTCCCGTTCATTCGCGAGAGTCATTGGATGTTGAGTGCGTGACAATGTGAGTGAGTCGGGGCTTGTTATGAGTTTTTCACCGTCAATGTGTTTCGATGAGCTGGGCTCACCCTTGAAGGTAGTGGTTGCTTCATCATATGTCGGCGGCGGGGAGTGGATGGGGCCTGGCAATTTGACTTCGTGATCCCACGGTGGAAGGGCTTGCAGGAGGTTGCTAGGTCGGCGTGGATGCGGCTGATCCGGAGAAGCAGGGATTCGTGGCTCGCGTTCCGTCGGCAAACCAGGCGCACTCGATGTGCACGACACCCGATCAATACTCGCAAGATCACCAAAGGAGACCCATTCTTCCGACTCAGAGGTGTCGTGCTCTTCCCTCTTTCCTCGATTTTGCTCATCGGCATCTTCAGCTTCATCATCCGTCTCTGTCTCTGTCTCATCATCGACGTAATAATCCAGCTCCTGGTCAGCATCACTCATTGTTATTTCCTCGTCAGATGTGTCGTTGCCAACTTCAGCATCAAGAGATTCGTTGTCGTCATAGTCAACCCACTCAATAAGCATACGCTCGACATCGATTTTTTCAGAACGACGAGCCACTTCGAGGGGGATGAGCCCTTCTTCATTTATATCATAAGGATTCGCGCCATGCAAAAGAAGCAACTTGGTCACCTCCATCCAGCCGTGCAAAGCAGCAAAGTGCAGTGCCGTGTAACCATTAGCATCACGCGCATTGACAGGGCATCCACGATGCAAAAGATCTGAGACTAGTCGGTGGAAATTGTGAATCACTGCGAGATGCAAGAGCGTGTGGCCACTAGAATTGCATGCATGAATAGCGTTGCGCTGGAATGGCTTATCAGATGACGAGTTCATGTCAACATCTAGGAGTGTTAAGAAGCCGAGCAGTGAGTCTTGGACGCCGGGCAATTTGGATGATCGTGTACTGTTCAAGCGTAGTCCAGAAGAGAGCACATCGGACACATCAGGCACACCTGAGCCTGAAGAGAGTTTGTTGCACATTCCATTGCCAACCCCGTTACCTTGAGACGCCATGCCGCGCGAAGAGGAAGCCTCGTTGCCCTGTGAAGCAGATACGATGCGCATAGCAATATCACGAGCTGATGTAAATTGACCTGTCATTTGAATGCCGACGACCTGAAGAGCTAGCTCCATCAGTGCCCTGTCAGTCGAGTCAATGTATGTAAATAGCTGGAGGGGATGAGAGCCACCCGGTTCAAGAAGGGCTTGCGGTGGCGTGGGGTCTTGTAAGCGAACGATGACAGGACCAGGACGAAAGCTGGGAGGCAGGATACAGACAAGTGTGGTGGGAGCCCATACGCGGGTAAATGTGCTTGGCATATCGCCAAACACGCACTGGATTCCATTTCGGAAGTTTTCACCAAGCACGGTAATCTCAATCCCACCAGTGGTTGGTCCCTCGACTGGAACCAGCTTCGTGATACGAGGTATAGATAAAGATACACTCGCTTCAGACCGGTGGTCTTCACTTAGCCGCGGTAAAGGAGGAAATGGCGGCAAGCCACTCATTTGAACAGGACTTGACAAGGCCGCCTCATGCAAAGTCATGCTACTGTTGGGCATGGATTCATCCAACGATACAGGCGACACGCTGCGCAACCAAGACGCCCCGATTGACTCACTTACAGGAAAAGACATGCGACTTGAGTCCTGCAGCAAAGGCGGTTGAGAAGTTTCGCGCGGCAGAGAACGACGATAGCGGCTGCTATCGTCGTAGGGTTTTGGCCGATCGCGCATACGAGATGGTGTCTCAATTGTGCGAGATGGCGAAAAAGCCCTGTCTTGCGCATTGGAGCGCAGCCGGCTTTCGTTCAGCCTACTCACCGTGGTCGCCTGCGATACAGACTTATGATCATCCATAATCATTATGGGCGGTGTGCTTCCGGTAGCGATAAATTCGCCTTTATGATTCCGCAATGTGAAGATGATGTGAAAGCCAATCTTCTCGCGGTGGTGACGACAGTAGCATGTAATACGTGTGGATAGGACGACTTCGCCGTCATGAAAGTCGACATAGTCGCCACAGTTGAACAAGACAGCATGCTTGCGTTCTTCTTCCTCTAGGTAAGAAACCGCTCGCTCGACCGCATCCGGCGATTTCGGGTCGATGCCAATCGCAGACATTTCTTCCTCCGTCGGGTTTATCGTTTGCAGAGATACCTTGCTCTTTTTACGATGCGCGCGCTTCCGCTCACGCTCACGACAGCTGTTGCATACGTAAACACGAGAGTGCGGAGGAGTCGCATTGATTACCTCTGCATCAAGCACAAGTGTGGACTCAAGCGGTACATGGAGTTTCTGGTGTTTTTTCGACTTGCGCTTTGTGCCGCTTAGCGGCGGTACCTTGATGTGGGTGAAGGAGCCGATCCGCTCGTATTGCGGAGCCACTTGTGGATTGTCGGTCGGAATGGGATGCACAAGTTCAATGCGCATGCGAATTTGTGTCTCAACACGAGACTTGGCGCCGATGGCGGGGACACCATTCACGAGGATTTTCATGTCAGATGGTAAATTCGAACGACTCGGCCAAATCGTCCTGATTGAGGTAAGGGTCAAAGACGCATCATTTGCTGCGTTAGATAATGGCACCTGAGCCGGTGACATAGCCGGAACTTTTGAATCGCCAACAGCATTTTCCATCAAGGCTGGAGCGATGCTATTCACATCCGTGGTAGCAAATGGCAATCCGGTCATGGACACACTGGGCTTGAAATTGGTGTTAGGGGAGATACAAACGCCGGAACTGCTGTCAGTATCTGGCAAACGGGAGCTGCTGGCCGCAGAATTCACTACACCAGCTGATAAAGGTTCTTCATTGACAGACGCCTGAGACGGAAGGTCCGCGTCCATGGAGATATTGCCATGCGTTTGGTATTTATCATGTGCTGGATCAAATGAATCAATCGTGGCTGGAGAAAAAACGGAGTCCAATGCATTTGAAGACATGATCATTTGTTCGTCCATGGCGGAAGGCAGATACATGGACGACATCATCGACGGCGCAACGGCGGTCGAATCGTTGAGTAGAGTGTTGCTTGTTACGGGAGGGCCAGACCGGCTGGTGTCCTCACCACCCTTCTGGGCTGGCGCTAAGTTCGACGAATCCTCGTTCTCCACGAAGGACTCGGGTGAACTTTCTGAAGTAAGACTAGGTGGCGTCGGCGTACTGGTGTCAGTCAGTACAGCCGATCCGCGATCGAGGGGGTGAAGGTGCAAGTCTGTGAACACTGGGCTTTGTAAGCCAGTATGCTTGAAATCAACCATGCCTTTAACGCATGGAAGACTGAAGGCCTAGAGGGGACTTCAAACAGGTACGAAGAAAATAATACACTGCTACCCACTAGATACAATCACTCTTGGCAAGCGAGATCCGTCGTGGCACCACCGTCGCAGCCACCGACCCCAACAAGCACGGGGGCTAGTCCCACAAGGCCGGTTTATCGGCCGAATAGGTCAGTGCGGTGCGCTTGTAACCGTCGTCGAAGCTACACTGCCCAATTTTTGGGACTCGCTAACCCCAAGAAAAGTGGAAAGTATACATGTCGTCGGCCGACCAAGCGACTTCTCCAGGTGCACACCCTACTATGTCAAGTCTTCGTGGCTAGGGTCTGAACGACCGATCTCATTAAACCTTTTTTTGCAACCACCCCCAATTTTGTGAAAAAGCGAGGATGCCTCCTATCTGGGAACCCCTTTTGTTCAGTATGAGTCAGCAAGAGGTAAAAATTAGTTTCCCCACGAGATGTGGAGAGCACACTTCTGCATTGAGCGACACTTACCCCGACACGCGAGTGCCCTCAAATCCTGTGTCGCTTCAAATTGACGCGCAAATTACTAGGTAGGTCTGACTAAACGAGCATATATGCAAAGCGTAGTTGTTGACCCAATTCTTCTCGCTAAGCTTAGCGATCTATGGCGCCCTCAAACATTATTAAGCGGGCAGCGATAATACATTTTGCAGATCATGATGCAGGATGACAATGCAGATAGACACAAGAAACCCGAAAAATCGGAACATCCACAGATTTGTGTCCATTTTGCAAGGCGTAACGGGGTGTACAATAATTTTCAGGGTAGGTGCATTGTATTTCGAGGGTATTCAAACTCTACTTTGATGAAAAAATTGATGTTCAAGGAGCGATAGTAGAGCATGTATATAAGACCAGCATCAGTTACTATTAACCATTCCCCACAAGTGATACCTTTCGCCTCAAGACCACACTCATCTCTCAGCCAATCCTCGCTGTTCACCACTTATCGCACAACGATCCCCACAATGCAATTTTCTCTTCTTGCTTCTGTCCTTGTTCTTGCTTCGTCCGTCGTTGCTTCCCCTGTAGAGAAGCGTGCTTTCTTCAACCGCGGTGCTAAGTTGACTTGGTACGCTGGCAATGCATTGTCTGCACCTGCATGCGGTGGTCCAACCCCCTCTGATAATGACATGGTGGCAGCCGTGAGTCGCTCCTCGCAGTTTAATTGCGGTGATGAGCTCACTTTTGAATATTACGGCAAACACTCTAAAGTGAAGGTTGTGGACATTTGCGAGGGTTGTGATGCGAAGTGGTTCGATCTGAGCAAGGCTGCTTTCTCTGCCCTTGAAGCCCTTGAAGTTGGTGAGCTCATTAACGTTGACTTTTGGAAGTAAGCCGTCGCGTTCTTCTAGCTTTGGCGCGGTCTATGGATGCAAGATTGAAGGCACTTCCAAAAAAAAAAAAAAAAGAAATGCAAAAGCTATTCATCTGAAGATCGCATGGGGTCTTTTCAGAGGTGAAAGATTGCAAAGGTTGTTTTTTATTCACTTCAGATTTATTTATGGCATTCTCAAGAGCGAGTGATACGATGTGTGTGGCGCTTGCTGGAAGACCATTTTGATGACTTTTTTATTCCGATTCATTTTTATTCTATCTTGATTGAGATGGTATGCATGGCGATGCGCGATGTCAATGATTGTCATGATTTAAGGGATTTAGTTATGGTGAACACGCTATGGTTTACGTAGTCTGCCGTCTTAGGCGCTTGTATACTACGAATTGTAGTTTCAAGTAACGGTGACTATTTTTGTTTCAATTTCTACAGCGTTTCGGTTGCACTGGGGGTCTTGGCTAGTCGAGAGTATAACTGAGCTGCATACAATTTAGATTTCGAAAGTAGAAGTTACACTAGTAAATTAAGTGGTGCGATGTGCCTCCACCACCTTACGCGTACGTAATAAGGCAGCAGCCTCGACTTTTATTTGGTACATGTGTGCTGAAGCAGCCGTGCCGCGGAATGCAGGTGTGTGAGTATCACGTGCACAACGCGTCGGGGCTGGTAACGAACACACACACTTATAGTGCGTGTTCAGTATCTCGTTGTGGGTTGGGGCAACATGGGACTGGACGTGGACTCAGTGCCGATCGCAGAAGCTGCAGCACCTTCAAGCATGGCGGCAACTGAGCCCCCAGCAGATAAAATTGCGCAGTTGGATCGAGATGCGTCCAATGTGGCACCTATGAACACGGACTCATCAAGAGAGACGATGCCAACGTCGCCTCGTGCTTTGGAACCTGCTCAGGTAACACCGTTGAGTTCAGACGTGGCTTACGAAGGCCTGGTGCAGGGAAAAGATCCATCTGACGATTCGATAATCGCCGCAACGCCTCTGCAGCGAACGTTCTCGACGGTGGCACCGACAATGACAACTCAGCCAAATCGACTGCAGCTGATCGATGAAGATCAGCAGTTCCATGGGGCCGAGTTCAATGACCACCTCAAGCAGTGGGGCTTGTCTGATGCAGGGTTCGGGTATGATATTTGCGCAGTGCTTGGCTCACAATCGACTGGCAAATCTACGCTGCTCAACCGGCTGTTTGGCACGAACTTTGACGTGATGGATGAGCGCGCACGACAACAGACAACCAAAGGTATTTGGCTGTGCCGTGGAATGGACCGGAATGTACTCGTGATGGATGTGGAAGGGACAGACGGACGTGAGCGTGGTGAGGACCAAGACTTTGAGCGCAAGTCGGCTCTGTTCTCGCTTGCTACAGCGGAATGCCTGATTGTAAACATGTGGGAGAACCAAGTGGGTCTGTTCCAGGGGGCGAACATGGCGCTGCTGAAGACTGTGCTGGACGTGAATCTGTCGCTCTTTCAGGCGGGACGCGCGCGTGCAGGAAGTGCGAAGGAAAAGACTCTGTTGTTGTTCGTGATCCGAGACTTTATCGGCACGACGCCCCTCGCGAATCTGGAGGCCACGATTCGTACGGACCTGCAGCGTATTTGGGCCAGCCTGACAAAGCCGGAATCACTCGTGCATGCGGAGCTAGGCGACTTTTTCGACCTCGGATTTGCAACACTTCCACACAAAGTGCTCCAAGCCAAGGAGTTTGATGCTGATATTTTGAAGCTGCAACGCCGCTTTATTGATCGCGGTGATGAAAGTTACGTATTCAAAACTGAGTATCACAAACGCATCCCAATTGATGGACTGCCACATTACCTGGAGGGCGTATGGGAGCAGATTGTGCAGAATAAAGACTTGGATCTTCCTACGCAGCAGGAACTACTAGCACAATTCCGATGCGATGAAATTGCAACGACGGCCTCCCTTGCATTTTCAAGCGCTATGTCAGCGCTGCGTGCCGAGCTGGATGCCGGACATGTGCTGGAAAGTCTTGGCAACGACATGGCAAGGCACCGCAGCGAAGCGTTGGCCATGTTTGACAAGGACGCAAGTCGGTATCACCAGGTTGTGTATGCACGAAAGCGAGAAGATCTGTTGGTGAAACTGAATGCAGCGCTCCTGCCGTTTTTCTTGTGCCAGCTGAAGAACTTGCACAACGAGTTGACGGATCAATGCAAGCGGGTAATCCAAGAAGGCACAAAACAGCCGGCGTACAATTTTGGCCTGCTTGTCGAGGAGGGTATCACGAAAGCGATGCGTGCCTTTGACGACGAGACGGCGCGACTTGTGTTGCCGGAGACCGACTGGAAAGTGGATGACGAGCGCGCACAGCTGTTGGATGAGCTACACACGCTGGCTCGGACTTTGCGCGCGAATGAGACTCGGAAGCTGTCGATTCAACTTGAAAAGGACATGCGGCGCGAACTTGCGGATCCTGTTGAGCTTGCTCTCTCCCAGCCCGATATTAGCATGTGGAACAATGTGCTTAGTGCGTTCCACCGAGTCAATGAACAAGTTGCCAACATGTACCGTACGCGAGCTGCGAGTCTGAATACAACGCCAGACGAAGACACGACTGCAGTGGCGCAGCTGCAGCAAGCGTCATGGCGACTGCTGCTAGAAAAGGTGCATGAGCAGACGTCTGAAACAGTGCTGGCATCAAGGCTGCGTGGCTACTTTGAGGACCGCTTCCGCTACGATGCAGGAGGAGTGCCGCGAGTGTGGAAGCCATCCGATGACATTGACGACATCTTTGTCAAGTCACGCGATGCGACGCTTGCACTGATCCCACTGTATGCAACGATCCAGCCTGACGATCCGAGTCTACAGATGTCGGTCGTGTCGCTGGTTGGAGCGCCTGAAGAGTCACTCGAAACGCCCAGTTACGACGAGGCACGTCATGTTCTGTCGGAACGAAAGTGTGCTGAGATAGGCCAGCGATTCCGCCGCGAAGCAGACGCGGCTTACATCGAGGCGAAGCGCGGCACAGTGTCGAGCATGTCGCAAGTGCCTATATGGATGTATGGGGTTTTGGTCGTGTTGGGATGGAATGAGGCCATGGCTGTGCTGCGGAACCCTGTGTACTTTACCTTGCTGTGCATGGTGCTTGCCACGGCCTACGTGATATGGCGCCTGAACCTTGGTACACCGGTGCTTGCTTTGGCAAGCGGCATGACTCGCGAGTTGCGTGCGTTTGGCGAGGAGCAATTGCGGACATATCTGGACGGAACGCCGCCGTCAGCAAATAGAGCCCGAGAGTACCGCGTACCAAGTGGCTCGACTGCCCATGTGTCTGAAAAGACACCACACAGACCTTTGACTACGTCTGGGGCGGCAGAGGCCGACACCGTAGAGGATTCGCACCCTCGATTGCCGGCCTCTTTCTAGACGGCTGTGGACCGTCTGACTGCATGGCCATGGGCCGGCCAAAAAGAGTATGCACAAGCTCGGGAGTATGTGTACATTGCATAGAGATTTGTAGTCATTGCTTATATATATGACGAACCCATTCGACATTCATCCCCATCGCCGCGCTCTGAAAGGAAGAATAGGGGGGCTTCTTTGTGGTGGCCCTTGCAACATGGCCTATATGAATACGCAATTCCAACCAAATGGCACGACTGAACGCGTGTGCACGAGACACAAAAAGTCATGGACACAAATATCTAGAACCCCTATGGCATGAAGGCTGTGGACCTCGACATAGCCAGGTATATATATATTAGGCGTGAGAAGCATGGTTGCCACGGTGGCCACCACGGCCACGACCGCCACCAGAGCCTCGCTCCTGCGGACGGCGCTTCTCGACAAGGACAGACGCTTCGCCAACACGGACACCACCATGGTTGCTGCTGGCTGAAATGGCACGGCGCGCTGCATCAGCATGTACAAATTCAACAAAGGCAAAGCCCTTCGACATGTTCAAGTGGCATTCCTTCATGGGACCAAATTGAGTCTCGAGAGCCTTGCGAAGAGCATCCTGCGACACCTGAGACGTAGGCACGTTCTTCACAAAGACATGGCCATGTTGTTGTTGTTGCTGCTGCTGCTGCTGCTGCTGTGGTTTGCCAGTCTTGCCCGCATGTCCTGGGGCACTTGACTTGGACTCATTGGGAGTGGTCGCGGCAGCAGAAGCAGCAGGTGTTTCCGATAGTCCGCGTGCCTCTGAGGCCGTGTTGCCCCAGCGATTCGCACCAGAAGCTGCGAGGTTTGCCCAAGTCTTGGGTGCGGCCGGCTTTGGAGGCGCAGTAGATGCCTCGGCAGGCGTCGCCTTAGCCTTGGCTGACGACACCTTGTTCAACTCGTCCTGAGACTGCGCCGGTGCAGCTGTTGAAGACTCTGCAGCCGAAGCGGTCGCACTGGATGGTGCCTGGGAAGCAGGGTGAGCGGAAGAAGATGTATCCTGCGCTGGAGCGTTCGATGGTGATGAAGCATCTGCCGACGTCTTTTCGTGCGATGAAGAGGTTTCCTTCGAGACAGTAGCATCGCGAGCCGCAGGCGTATCGGCAACACTCACAGAAGGTGTCTCTGACGACTCGACGGCACCCTTGGCAGCACCGGCATCGGCAGTTTGGTTACCCGCGCCGTTGTCCTCGTCATCTTCGTCGTCTTCGTCGACATCTTCGTCATTCAGATAGCGGAAGATATCATTCAGCACATAGAACCCATTCGGCTGCTGTGCCAGGAAGAACGTTTGAGCAAACTTGCGCCATTTCCCGCCCTTGTTGGACATCTCACCTAGGACTTGAATGACGATGCCGCCATCTGCCGACGACTGGCTATCGACATTCGACACATACACCTTGGTATCTTGGAAGCCTAACGATTGGACTTTTTGGTGAATCTCCTGCTGTCCGACACTTGGGTGCACGTCCTCATTTTCGGTGCCATGAACCATGGTGCTCTTCTTGGTGTAGAAGCAATGGAGCCGCGATGGATCCTTGTTCATGAACGTGTAGTACTGCGGCACGAAAAGCCATCCGACTTCGGATGCCTTGTTCGGCACAGTGGAAGAGGCGCCTTGGTTAGGTGCAGTAACCGATTGGGACATGGTGTGCAACGAGACCCAGAATAAATGGTAAGAAAGATGTCAGTCCGCAAGAAGGATCGGTGCTTGCGCTGAGTCGATTCTGGCTTGTGCCTTTAAAAAAAGACCGCCGCCGCCGGCTTTGCCGCCTCCGCAGCGCTTGGCTAGTGCTTTTTCTCGCCCAGCGCAAATTCGCACACTAGCCTTAGACTCGCACGTTCCCTCACCCACTCAAAATAGATCACGTGATAACTACTCTCTCCGCCGACCATGTTGCTCACAGTTCTAGGTGCTCCGAGACACGGGGCACGCGCGATGGCCAGCGGCAACGAAGCAACAACGTGGCACGTTATGGTTGAGACTACCTATGCATGAACATACATGGCCATGATGTAAGTGGCTCCTTACACGGTGGCGCAGATTTCGGCGGCCTTTTCCAAAGCGCCTATCATCTTGACACATTCGCGCCGACGAGCAACCACATGGTCGGATTCTTTCATGAGGTCATTCAGGATTTCAGGTTGGTACAACGACTGAAGCAGTTCGCGCTGCATGGAATCTTTCGCGTAGTTCACGAGATTCAGCATGATGGCCTTTGGTACCATGTCAATGATGGTGCGCTTCGTAATGTTGTAGTAGGACGAAATCAGCAACTTGATCACGTCCGTTTCGATGGCCTCGCGATCCGTCAATGTGCCCGTTGCCTTGAGACTCGCAGGCGGTGGTTCCATCATGCTCTTCTTGGCCTTGTTTTTGTTCGGGAAGAAGCTGCCGAAGAAGCTTGAGGACGACGACTCCTTGATGTCAACATCAAGGTCCTTGTTGTTGTTCACCACGGACGACGGCACGGCTTTACCGCCGCGAATGTCCGTACCTGTCATCGCCGAAGGTGTTTGCGCAGCCAGATGACGCTCTGAAACAATGGCGACAGCCTTGTGGCCGGATAGGAAGTCAGGGTGTCCAGTGTTCAAGTAGCATGCCTCAGCCGCAACAAGATCCATCACAAGCTTTGTTGTCGGGCCCATGCACCGTTTAAAGAAGTGGATTACGACCGAGTTGAAGCGCTCGCGCAGGGCGGGGAAGCGGCGGAATGAAGCATTCTTCGCTAGCAGTTGCGAAAGGATGCGAACAAGCTCATCGTACACGAGCGAGCAGCACTTGAGACTCGGCTCCTCGAGACGGCGAATCTGCTGCTTCACAATGACCTCAAACGCAGATGTCGTGACGAACAGCGCAGGCGACGAGCCTGACGAGTTGTACAGGATTGTGCGGATATCTGAGTCCTTCACAGCATCGAAGGGATCAATGCTCTTAACACCATTGCTGAACAGCTCGTGGAACACGAAACTAATACGAGCACCGCCTGCCAGCTCACTTACACTCAGGTCATTGCTGTTTCCATCAATGACTTGGCGGAAGTCATTGCTAAAGTCGGTGATGATCGACAAGACAGCATTGCCAGAGCTTGCATCGCCCATAGCGCCGCCCAGCGACGCCAGCTCGACCTCGAACTTTTTCAGCTGCGCTTGGATGCGCGTCTTGATATCAGGCAACGTGTTCCGGATATGGTGCATGAGAATGGTGCTTAGCTTGCGAGCCAGGAATGGTGTGCCACAGAACTGAGCCTTCGAGCTGTAGCTGGGGTGGTTCGCAAAGAACTCGTGCTCGGCCTCCAAAGCGGCAGCCACCGATTTCCTCGAGTCAATGTCCCGCTGACCACGGTTCACAACAGGCACATATCCGAGCCGCAGCGGGATCACTCGCCCAGCAAGAATATCGACCACATCTGTGCCAGCGTCCATCAGGTCGACCTTCGTCAGCACACCGACGGTGCGACTGCCATCCGGGTCGACCTCTGACGCAAGCTTGAGGCCGTCCGAGTTTGCCAGGTCTGTATTGGCGGCAGTGACAGCGAGGATAATGGCATTGGGCTTCGAGATGTATTTCAGCAGCATGTCGCGAATTTGGCGCTCAATGTCCTTTGGCTGGTCGCCTACTGGATTCTTTGTTAGACCAGGCAGATCCACGAGTGTCAATGTGAGTACATGTGGACTGTAGATACGCAGATTGATCGGCTGGGCGCTGATGCCTGCATTCTTGCCTGTCTTCAGTTCCGTGTCACGAACAATTTCATCACGGATGCGCTGGAAATCATGGATCTTTTCCCCAGGCAGGTGCAGGAATTCACCCCACTCATGTGGGTTTGTCTTGCCTGTAGGCTCGCCGACCTCGCCCGACTCTGGCATGCGATTGATCAGCTGCAGTACCAGCGGTCGGCGAGTGACAATGCCAGTGCCACGCGGCAGAAAGTCGCGCCCAACAATGTTCTCGAGCACACTGCTTTTGCCGGACGACTGGCTACCTAATACAGTGATCTGAGGAAGATCGATGGGGTTTTGGATACCGACCTAGTGTTTCTGTTAGTAACATGGAAAAAAGCAGTTGCGCGTCCACATACATCATTGAATGCATCTTGAAGCTACAGCGAACGTGAAGCGTTAGTATCGGTATCTTGCTCAAAGGGCTGCGCACACAGAGTAGTCAAAAGGGGCTCATAGGGACACTCTTGTGCTGACACAACACCATCGCCATGTACACACCTTGTTCACAAGCTCTGCACGCCGACCTCCCGAACAAGGGAGGATGGGGCATCGTTAGTCCACCAAAACCTTGGCCTCTCAATTCGCGCACCGCGCACACGTACTGATGAGTGACTGGTCCATGGCTACTACAATAGCAGGGGCTCACGAACCCACAACGTGTCGGTCGTGTCAAAGTATCGTCTTTGACTCTTGCCACCCGTCTCGGCTTGGGCCTCACCCAGCCTGACCGTCGCCACGTAGGAGACAGTGTATTTCCTCGAGGACGGGAAGTATGCATTTAGACTCGCCCTCGGATACCGCCATACCTTGCGCCTACGAAATTGGCTAGGCCGGCGTGGCCCAAACGCACACGAGCGGCCAATTACGAGGCGATCAAGCCGAACAAGAAGAATCAGTTGGACTCACCTCGTCATCACCACGGTTGGGGAGTAAGTGAACAGCTTAGCTGCTTGACCGACGGCATCCCTGTCGGTCGTTGCGTGCGTCCTTTGACATCTGGGCCAAGCGTTACACACAAACACAAATATACATACAGCAAGACCTAAAGGGTGAGTAGGCACTCATGGCGTCGGTGCATCTTATCGATGCACACTGCCATCCTACTGAGCAGGTGCGTTCTCGTACGGGCCATACAGTTGATATCGATGCATGGATCGAGGAAGTAGGCAGCGTTCACCTGCACAAGATTTGTGTTATGTCGACAGACATGTGGGATCAGTCCTTAGTGGCCCGGCTCGCAGATGCATACCCAAATAAGATTGTGCCATGCTTCGGCATTCATCCATGGGCTGCTCATACCATCTCAATACAAGATCCGCCGCCAGATCGACGCACACACTACACGAACTTGTTTGGACCCACGCAGGAGGAAGAGGCCTGGCTAGAAGCCTTGCCTACACCCGTGTCACTTACACAAGCACTTTCCCTCTTGGAGGCGAACCTAGCGAAATACCCACATGCACTAGTTGGTGAAATTGGAATGGACAGAAGTTTCCGCATCCCCGTCCCGCAAAGTTCACCGCGCGTCTTGACGAAGTGGCAGACGCCTTTTGAGCATCAGCTGGCTGTGCTCGAAGCACAGCTGCGCGTGGCGTGTCAACAGCGGCGGAGCATTAGTATGCATAGTGTGCGGGCTGCTGGGCCCACAATGGCACTGCTGGAACGCATGTGCACGTACGCAGGCTTTAATGGTATCAGTATTGACCTGCACAGCTGCACGCTAAGTCCCGAGACGATCCGCCAGGTTCAGAAGACGTACAAAAACGTGTACGTGTCGTTTTCCACAGCAGTGAATGGGCGTCAGGCAAGACTGCATGAACAGATCCGCGCTTGTGACCCACACCGTGTGCTATGTGAGTCAGATTGGCATGGATGGGATGAGCTGGCACAGCGAACAAACGAAATCGTCAGTATCATGTCGACTGCGTGGTGCACATCGTCGCAGGCGGCGTCGCTTCTGCCCGGTCTGTCATCTGAAGAGTCGCTGGGTCGCTTGCTTACGCAAAACTTTGAGCGATTCTCACACATGTCTTAATCTGTGACTATGTGTATGCGTGTATGTATATATTAGCGGCAATCTCATTTGTAAGAAGTATCAAGTCTAGGAACGACCAAAAGATCTGTGGCAAAGAAGAAACGAGGGTAAGCCGAGACTCGGGTAAAGAAAAGGAGAGCACATTTGAGAACATAGACAACAAGAAGGAACAAAAACTTTCGGATGATCGACATGCGCACGTTAGAGGACTCTCTTGAGAAGGGGGGGGTATAAGAGAGAGACAAAGTGGAAAGAGACGCGAACCAACAGGGAGAAAATAACGCATTCACTCAATGCGCATCATTCGGTGATGCGCTTGACGAGGGTGATTGGCTTTTTGACGCTGCTGAGAGGGCAGTGCGGTGACGAAGCGCCCAGTTGCGCGCATATATACTCGCTTTGAGGAATTTCTTGCTTGCATATTTCTTATACACGAACTGCTCTTCAAAGCCTGGCTCCATAAGCTTCTCAAGAATCAGATTTGCTCCTGGTAACAGCTGCGCCTCTGAAAACCGCGAGTAATATACGAACGCATCGTCCCACAAACCACCGAGCATGCGCTTTGCAAGATACATGCCAATGGCCGCGATCATGCTGGGCCTGACGCGCAGGAAAAGATGATTGAGTAAAGTCACTTCCATCAAACACTTACACAGTGTGCGTGTTTGGATGTCGTAGTCATCAGCCTTCGAGATGCGGCGCACCCACGAGTAAGGCGAACAGTACGGCGACACATTAAAGTCCAGCGTGGAAAGAACGATTCGTTCGCCCTTGAGAATCTCTTCACGAGAGTAGCCGCCATCAGTCATGTACACAAACTCCTCCACACTAGGAGCGAGGATTTCTTCGTACTTGGCGGCAATGAACATGGCTGTCACCCCCACGAGCTGCAGCTTTGCGAGACTCACGATGCGCGCGCTCAGAAAGCGGTCAACAAGATTTACAGCGATCCACAATGTTTCAGGGAGCATGTGGTAGCGCATGTGAACTTGCAGGAGCCAGTCGATGAGCGTCGCACGCATATGCCACTGGATTTCATCTTGGAAATCCATGTAGTTCGGATTCGCCATCGACTCGCGTTCGGTGCATGCCATGTAGTCGAAAATGTCTTGAGCATACTCAGCAACCATCGAGATATCGCGTGCCTCTTCTGTATCGAGACCAAGACGCATCATTTCGTCGTCATGTGCTGCAGCACTAGCAGCCATCTGGCCATGCCGCACGAGATCGCGACGCTCCGACTGAGCAGCAAGCGCCTGAGGCACCAGTACACACATTTCAAACCTGTCACTGATATCAAGGACGCGCCGCTGCTCGATGACTTCCTGATCAAGAGTAAGAGTGACGATGCCAGCGGGATCAAGGTCCATTTCAAGCTCGGCCAAGACTTCGCTGTCATCCGAACGCACACTCACAGACGAGCGGGATTGTGGGAGAATGTCCTCAGGTGTGGTGTCGATTGTAGCAGCGGCGTGCATTGACGTGTCAGTGGCCATAGACACATCGCTTGCGCCGCCCTGACCGTCAGAGCGCACAGGCAGCACAACGGGTAACGCATTAGGAATGGCAGACGGCACATAGGATGTGCGGCTCCCTGGCACTGTCGAAAAGCGACGAAGATTCGCAGACGTGCCTGATAGCCATGTTGCAGCAGGCGCAGAAGCTGGGGCCGAAGCCGGAGCACCGACAGCAGCGGTAGCGGCTGTGGCTGTGGTTGGTACTGGCATTGGGAGTGAAGTCGATGCGTGCGCAGCGTGCGAAGGTGGCGCTGACATTTGTCTGTGATCAGCTGGCTGAGACGGTAGATGTGCATGCGTTTGCGTTGATACATGAGGGTGAGAGGGAAAGTGTGAATAAGACTGCGTCTGAGGCGGCTGCGATTGCAATTGCAATTGCGATAGTGACTGCGACTGCGACTGCGACTGCGAAAGAGGAAGCGCTGGCGGATGTGGATGTGATGGCAAAGCTGGTTGAGGCTGTAGCTGCAATGGTGCCTGTGGCTTCGTCTGAGAGGCCTGAGGCGCAACGGGCTCCATCAAAGTAAGCCTGCGAGTGATCGGGAATGCAGGCGCAGGTGGTTGGGTAGGAGCTCCGGTGGATACAGGCAATGAGACAGGCACAGGCATAGGCACAGACATGTGCGCTTGAGAAGAAGTAGGCACTGGTGCCGGGGCATGAGCCGGGGCGGGTGCTGGTGCTGGTGCTGGTCCAGCCACAGCGGGAAGAGGAATCGAGCCTGTGGAAGCCTGCTTGGTCAGAGGAGGCTTGAATTGGGGAAGCGATACAGCCGCAGCTGGCGGCTGATTCTGCGAATAAGTGTCCCTATTGCTAACATCGACCAAAGCCGGGCGAGGCGCTCGCTGTACACCCTGGGTTTTGGCAGGGGGCAACTTAAGGGAGGGCTGCTGTGCGGTGAGACGAAGAGGCCGTGCGCCAAATTGACGCGAATGATCCATGGCGTGTACGACGTGAACTAGTGTGACTTGCTTCTTTTAACGAACGGTAGCAACGTCGGCAACAATGGGCACTGACGACACTAGTGATAGTGGCAGGAAAAGACGCACACACACACACACACACACAACACAGTGAAAAAGGTGAAACGAAAGAAGAGAGGTATGAAAAGAAGCTGAAAAGAACGTTGTGCACACCGGGAGCGAGTCCTGGATGTGGTTGGTGTTGGTGGAAGTCCGTGTCGCAAGAGTATAAGATTGAGCTCCAAGAGGTAAAAAAAGACAAGTCGAAATTGCGGCCGATGCAGGCACGGCAACGCTGAAGCGACAACAACAACAGCGGCAGCAGCAGCAGAAGCAGAAGCAGAAGCAGCAGCAGCAGTGACAACAATAACAAGAATAACAATCAGCAATTGGAAAATAAAAACACTGTGATCAATACTGTTTGTGGATTGCCCCGATTGTGCCGTCACTCAGGCCAGGTCACACAAGCGCGAAATATCGCTTACACTTGCTAGCACAGCGCCAGGCTTCGGGCAGACTGCGTGACTAACCAAGCGCAAAAAAACAAGCATAGCAGTCCAATCGCCACAGGGACAGCGATACTGGCCCCAGCTCACTTAGGACTTAGTGGCGAAAGCCATCTCAGACATGCATAATGCTAGTCGATATGACCCTATCGACAGCGCAATGTGACAAGCATGTGATATGAAGTGGGGCGGCTTGTGAAATCCCTCCAGTCGCATAGTCACATGTGGTTCGTAATGTTTCATGCGCGCCATGCAGCACGCGCCGTTCTAATGAGGTACTTTTCGTGTTGGAACGCGCGCCTTTGTCCACACACACCAACATCTACAGACGCGTCAGCTTCCGTCGACAAGGAATGTCACGTGAAAACTCGTTGGTCGTGTGCGCATGTGAGTGAGTGGGTGGGTGAATAAAGGATGCGCCAAGCGCGTGCATGAGGCGGGCCGCGCGGCTCAGCGCCGCGCTGCGCAGCGGAGCGTGGCTGTGACATAGAAGCAGCCCATAGACTGATAGATCGATAGGGCACCCAAAAATGTGGGAGGATTCTAACGGGCCTGCCTGACATTGCATGTACCTATGGCACGCGCGTAATACCTATCGTTTCGTGCTGCTGACGTCACGCCCGACACTCACCAGACCACGGCGGTTCACCCACATTGGTAATTCAGCGTCTCACCTCAACGCGCGCGTGAGTGTGAGTGCGTGCTTAGTGAGTGGAACGTGTGACGAAGTTGGACGTCGTCTCCTGGACGCCTCATTACCCACACATTCCGATGCAGTACGCGCCCATCCTGCTGGTCTCGTGATATCATGGCAGCTGCAAGTTCTGGGCACGGGCGCATACCACAGCCTCGAGGCTCGGGAGGACGAGGCCCTAGGCGTGTACAGCCAGCACGGGCCGCGAGCGCCGCTGCAGCTGCAGCTTCTGAAACAGAGCGTGTAGCACAAGCGGAGCGCCGCGCATGGCTCCACTGGCACCGAAAACAGCGACGCTTGCTGGAATGGGGGGCAGCATGCTTTCCTATGGAGCGCGATGCCTCGGCGTTGCCACTAGCAACATCGGGCACGACGGAGTCGGCGATTTCTCGAGTCATGCTTGAATCGGTGTCGGATGCACAGGCACCGCATGTAGCGGCGGACCGTGATTTGCACCGCACGAGTGCCGGGGTGCGCCGCCTTTTGTCGCAGCGGCGCGGTGCGAATGCGCTTCTCGACGAGGCAGCCTCTCTTGGGCAGCTGGCCACCATGCCAGTCTTTGCTGTTGGTCCACCGACGTACCCATCACGCGCACTTTGTAATGTGTGTGGCTATTGGGGCGATATCAAGTGCATGGCGTGTGGTGAGCCGTGCTGCTCACGTGCGTGTATGCAGACACATCGAGAGACACGATGTGAGCGGCAATAGACGCCGGATATATGGGCAGGAGTCGAGGCAGTAAGATGGACGTGAGGTAGGTCTAGCTACTACCGAGTGACTATGGTGCCGCCGGGCAGGTATCGCCCACGTCGCATGTCGCCTGGAGTTTGCATCGTCTTGAATGTCCGTTCAGGGGACGGAGTCTGCTAGCGGCATGAAATTGGATGTTTCATGACATTCCCTGTGTCAACAAGGGGCTTTTGTCAAGCCACCAAAGCAAAGCCTCGGGCCGAGTGGCTGCATCCATGTCGCCTAAGCTTTCAAACACACGCTCCACGAGGCGCGCACGCGCAGGACTACCCGCCGGCTGCTCCCTGATTCGTGTGTCGACCTTGGACAGCAGAGCCCGCAGCAGGATCAAATTGACGTGTGGAACCATTGCGGCAAGACAGACGGCGAGTGTTTCTGCGACGTCATGGCGGCCCTGCAGCTGAGCGATGCTCACCTGGTCGTCGACTCGCGCAATGCACCACCAAGCAAGCGAGTCGCTTCGGTCCGACAGGGATTGGACGATGGTCATCAAAGCGACCTCCAGCTGCGACGCACTGAGCTGTTGCTTTGGGAAGCATGTGAGCAGCAAGTCGACGTAGAACGGTGTGAGCTCCCTTGTGCATGGGGCACCGCATGCATAGAGAGCCAGCACGACGGAATGTGCCGACTCGAACGCGTCCTGGAAACGTGTGTCTTCCAAGTACGGTCGACACATCGGCAACCCGAGCTGCTCCAACATGGCGTGCGGCAACTCGGCGACCCACTGCTCCATGACGAGCAAGAAGTAGGTGACGTGCATGCGCTGTGCAAAGCTCACATGTGCCGCAGGTCGGCCGCCCGGCACGTCCTTGTGCCGTTGCAGTAGGTCATGTGCCATGGAGCTGACCACTTGTGTACACGCACTGGCGTCGCGGCTCAAGACATCGAGCGCCGAATAAAACACCACGCGGTACGACTCGAACCCATCGAGGCCGAACGTCGACGTGATCCAGTAAACACGCTCAAAGATTCGCAACACATGTGCAAGCGCATCAAGATACGGCTCTGGCACATTGCTCGTCGGCATCGCAGGCCATTCGCCGTTCGTCCGCTCGCACTCGGACTTGTCCGTGGCCGGCGGATATGTCTCGGTAGGCGACGGACACTGCTCAACGATGATGCCGACAACCGCATCCAGCACAAGTGTCAGTGTAAATAGATAGGTCTTGAACACTTGCCAGATCTGTGTAGTCCGCTCGCGGCTTGCGGGCTCGATGTGCGCCGTCTCTAAGCCAGCCAGTGCAGAGGATGTCCAAGCATCGTCGAGCTGCATAGACCCAGTAAACCACCTCCGAAGCATGCCGTAAGAGCGGCCGGGGTCACTTGCATCCGAGTTACTCGACGCCATGGGCGGGAATGGTGCCTGGGCCTCAGCGTCGTCTTGGTGGCCCCACAAGTACGCAATGAATTCCTGGGGACTCGTTGCAGCGCCGAGCCGGCGGATAGCGGATGCCAAGAGCCTAGCAAGTGGTCCTGCATGTGCATACAGTGGGTGGGATTGGACGCGCGACCGCCATGCATCGGATGTGCCATGCGCAGGGAGGCTCACAATGCCGCGTGCATCGGGAGATGCATCGCAGAAAAGGCCAGTTGACGTGGCCCTTTCCACATCGAACACATCCAAGACGAGCGGCATCGCTGCCTCGATCCATGTCTTGTCGCTCACGGTGCGCATGCTCGCCTCAGAAACCATGTCCACGACACTTGCTGCTAGGGTGAGTGAAGCAGTACGTGAAGCCACGTCCCAGTAGGAGTTTTTTTGCAGCGCGTCGGCCAAAACAGCGGCCCAGGCATGTTCAAGTGTACGTGTGTGTCGACCAAGATGGAACCAGAGAGAGAATCGTGTGCGTTTGTTGCGCTCGCTCAAGACCCCGTGCACGAGGCCGGTTACCGTCGCTAGTTTCGCGAGGTATGTGCGAGGCACAGACGAGGATGGATGTGGTGGTGCTTGGGCTCGAGACATGGACGCGGTCGGCGTAGTGGGCACTGCTTTCCCACGGGTATGGTGAGGGTGGTGCACGTCGTGGTCGACACGATGCACGCCTTCGAGTATCGCTTGCAGCCAAGCACCAAGTTCAGCGGGCGCCGAGCGCGGTGCTGCTCGACGAAGAGCCTTGGAAATGATGGTAACTCGCTCACTGACAGCAAATGAGAGTGCCTGTGCGATGCCTGTGGCTCGCTCGACAGCCTGTTGTGTGGACGCATTCACATCTGAAAATGCAGGTGCATTCCATAGCGCAGGCGATCTTATAAGTGCCTCCGAGAAGTCTGTCACATTCAGCAGAGACATGCTAGAAAGAAAATGGCCAATAGAGCCGTACAATGCATTCCTGTCAAGGAGGTCAATATGCGACTGGTTCACGGGGGATGCGAGAAGCAGGCGGCGTAGTGATTGGTATGCTGCATCATTGGTTGCTGCCATGCTCGAGGAACAAACTTGCGCTCACACCAGCGGGAATCACACCGCCTCTCTTGTGACAGCGAGGCAGAGGAGGCAAGTGTCTCCTCTACGTAGGCCACTGTGTGTGGAGGAATCACGGCGGTCGTCGCGCGCCTGAGGCGGAGTTCATGTGGAGGAGCGAACTTGCCGCATGTTTGCCGCATGTGCCACACACGACATTCGGCGGACGCGATCCACGCCCACTGACGTAAATTGGGCCAAAATTCACGACTGCCAACGTTGGATCGCACGCGCTGGTCGACACTCGCAGACGGCCTGCACCCCCACATTGCTGCACGCCACACACACATAGATGCCACGACCATCGCCAGCGACGCCTAGTAAGCGCAGCAGTGCAGCGTCGTCTCCCTTCCAAAAACTAGCGGAAAACACCGCGGCGCAAGCGTCGTCTACACCACCGAAGCCACCAGGCACGTCGCCAGCACAACGCATTGCTCGATCATCTCCGAAACCAGAACCCCGCGACCCACATGACGCATTTCTAACACCACGCGCGCTAGAAGGCACACAGCATCGCCGACTCCGGACAATATTGCAAGAATTTATCAAAGAAGCCACAGCATGGGAGGAGGAACATACGTTCGATGGGATTCGATGGGCCACCGAGGCTGCACAGGCCTGGGACGACATATACGCGGCGCTGGCGCCAACAGACCCGCACGGCCAAGTGCAAAATGATGACGAGCAGCGGCGTGCGCGAGTCATCCCTCTGCTAGTCCAGCTTGAGCAAGCAAGCGTACACCTGAACAAGATGCAAAATCGACTTGTGCGTATGACCACCCATGAGCCAATGACTCACACGTCCTAGGAAAAGCATGCTGCGCGGATGCAGACACTGACAGATGCAGCGCATGCACTTATGCGTGACATGGCTGCTGGCGGCCGCGAGAAACAGATCATGTGCGAGCCGATGTGGGGCACATGGTCCATGTCACGCTTCGGTATGTATGGTGGGCATGAGTTTCCACCCATCATTTGTTAGGGACACTGGTCTGACATTTTCCATGAACTAGTTCGTGCCATGTCGAGTTTAAGTTCGCAATACATGTTGTCGACTGTGCACGTATCGACGCTACTACCGCAACTATGTGCGCCTCCACGATCGGAGCCCAGCAATGCGTCATCAAAGCCACGCTCTGCTTTGACTATGCTGATCAAATTGCCATGTCTGCACACGTCAGGCGTCACGGCCAATGCACCGTCCTTCGGCTCTGATGCAGATGCTCTTGCAGGCGCTAGTAGACACTTTTTCGAGCATATATGTGAGACAGAAGTCCGCAGTTGGTCATAGACAAGGTCGTTTGACTGCGAAGCAGACGATGTACAATAAGGACATGCGCGTCTTGGGCTGTGGGATGCAAGAATCAAAGTGTTCCTGCGTGAGAGAGTGTGAATGGGGGGGGGGTGACTCTATGCCTGTGGTATCTTAGTAAGCAAGCAGGTTGTCAGAGGCGTTTCGTCAAGACGGCTGCACAGGGAGAGATCAAGATCGGGCGTCGTAGCACATCGGGCCAGGGAGGGAGGAGGAAGACAAAGAAAATATCGTGGCAGAGGAAGAAACGGCTTTGTTCTCCAGCGTGGTGCATGACGACGCTTTGTCGGCGGGAAGACAAGAGCAGGGCTACCGACGTGCTTGTCGCACCTGACGGCCATTCCATCACGCTTGCCTTTCGGTAACGCATTGTGTCTCGCATCGAGAAACACTACATCCATCTCTTGTGCTTGTTTGTCTTGCTGGGAGCACATCTTCCCATTCATTCATTCATGTGGCACACACCTGACGACTTCTGTCCTACACTTACATCTGTAGACCAGCGATGCACAGAAGAGGCGATCCATGACCTCATGGAGCCTTTTCTTGGGCAAGATGCGCCACCCATTCCACCGCTCGCTCGTGACGCACACATCACATACTTGAAGCGGCTTCTAGAGCCACTCCCTGCGCCATACGTAACATTTGATGCGAATCGCGCGTGGATGCTGTACTGGGTCGCACACGCGCTGGATTTGTTGCGTGCACCGCTGCGTGGGTCTCTTCAAGCGCGGGCTATTTCGACGCTTATGCACTTTCAGTCGCGTGACGGAGGCTTTGGCGGCGGACCCGGCCAGATTGGCCACCTCATGAGTACATATGCAGCGGTATGTGCACTTGCAATCCTTGGTGGACCAGGCACAGTGCCCACTGCACTCGATCTGGAAACAGGGCATAGTGTAGATGTCGGACGGGGCGCGTGGGATGCGATTGATCGAGAGCGCATGTATGCGTGGATGCTGCGCTTAAAGCAGCCTGATGGCTCATTCCTTGTGCATGAGAATGGTGAGACGGACGTTCGTGCTACGTACTGCGTTGTGGTCGTCTCCATGCTGCTGGGGATCGCGACAGACGAACTGCTTGACAAGACAGGCGCACACCTCCGCAGCTGCCAGACGTATGAGGGCGGGTTTGCCGCTCTTAGCACGCCATCTTACGCGGTACAAGGTACAAAAGTGGTGCCGGCTTTGGACCCAGCGAGCCAAGTTGCCCAAGGGGAGGCACATGGCGGCTATGCATTTTGTGCACTTGCATCGCATGCACAACTGCACCTTGTCGGCAAGGCTCATGACGGTGTGGATGTGGATGCGCTCGTGCGCTGGGCAACGTCATTGCAGGGATCTATTGCGTATGAAGGTGGTGGGTTCCGTGGTCGTACCAACAAGCTTGTGGACGGATGCTATGGCTGGTTCTGCGGTGGTGGGCTCATGACGGTCCTGGAAATGCTCACAGACAGGAGCCGCCAGCCCCACACTTGTGCGAGCGAGCGGGTACGGGCCACGTCGCCATCACCGCCATCACCGCCATCGCCGCCGCGCATCTGTGCGACATCGCCTGTGGCGTCGCCACTGTCATCGTCGTCATGGTCTACCGAGACCGATGTCGCGTCGTCCTCAGCCATAACTCTGCTGCATCGAGATGCGCTACGCACCTACATCCAAGTTGTCGCGCAAGTGCCACGTGGCGGCCTGCGAGACAAGCCAGGCAAGCGGCCAGATGCGTATCATACGTGCTACAATCTGTGTGGCTTGTCCATGTGTGAACACCGGCTGCGCTGGAGCGCAGAAGCCGCGTCGCGCGCCGAGCAAGTGTACGACGCACAGGTGCTCCCGGGCATGAAGCAGGACTCGCCCGGTCTAGACGCATCGCATCGTGCGTGCTTCGTACAGAGCTTGGCATGGTCAGACACAATCGCATCGACTACGACTGAACGGCCGAGTGTCGAGGGCCACTCACCCGATCTACAACGTGGGTCTTGCGCACGTAGCGCGAATGATGACGCATATGTACAAAACAAGCGCCAGCCTTGAGCTGGGCATCGGCGCGCCGACCTAGAGCTCATCGTGGAAGCGCTTGAGCATTTCCTGTGCCACCCTCTTTTCATCGAGGCCTGCCTCACGCGCGCTGATCCGGAACTCGATGGTGCTGATGAGCCCGGTAATTGTCCCGAGATGTTCGTGCATGACCTCAATAGCGTCTTTCTGCAGTGGGTACCCATCGGCGTCAGCGCCTGCCTGTAGTTGATCTTGGATCTCCTTTTCATCCGCTTGCAGTAGTTCAACAAACTCCTTTTCGGCAACATTCATGGCTCTCTTTGTATCGTCCGGATTCTCCATCAACAGACGCTCGATGGTCTTTTGCGTCTTGTCCGCGTGCTCTGCGAGACGCATGCCCCATTTGTCGCCCAAGTGCTCGCGGAGCTTCTCAGCGAGCAATTCTTTGGTGACGGGGCCATCAGGCGTTTGCTCAATGACGCCCTCCTCCTTCTTGAGCTTCTCACGCGCATCGAGCAGCTTCTTGAGAAGCTTACGGTCTTTGAGCCTTTGGAGCTCGGCCTCTCGGGCCTCGTCTGAGTCGTCTGGCTGCGCGTCGGCCATGAGACTTTCCAGCTGCCTGACGAGCTTGAGATTGTCATCTTCATGCACGCCATACGCAGTCTCTTCTTCTTCGCGCGACGTAGCCTGCGCCTGTGCTTTCGCCTCCGCACGCGCCTTTGCTTCGGCCTTCCTTTGGGCCTTGGCATCCGCCTCAGCTTTGGCCTCTGCCTCACGCGCGGCTTGGGCCGCTTCGGCCTCTGCGCCACCCAGCTGCTCGTCGATCCACAGCTTGATGTACCGGTAGCGCATGGAGCCGCGATACTTGACAGCATGCTTGGAGTTCTGTGTAGATACAAAGTACAGACCAGGGAGCTTGTCTTTGGTTAGCTCAGGGTCCAGGACCTTTTGCACGGTCTCGACGACGCCGTCTTTGCCCGCGTATACGAAAGCAAAGGGGATGCGGCCATAGTAGTCGAGTGCAAGTGAGCGGTACATGGGCGATGTCTTGCCAATGGGTGTCACAAGCACCAGTTTGGCATTGGCACTTGACTCCTTGTCTAGGAACGTCGAAAGATCTGCCGCATCGACCTTGCGCACGACTTCTGACGGCAGCGCATCGAGTGCAAAGTCCATGATGGCCTTGCCACGTCGTTCGCCAACATATTCGCGCGGAATGCGGCGCTTCGTCGCAGGGAACAACTTGATGGTGGGAAACCCTTTCACGTCGTACTTTGTGCAGATCGATTGCAAACTTGCATCGTCACAGTCCACATATGCGAGCTTCACGACGCCATCAAGCTCGTTGGCGACGCGGGTAAAGTGTGGTGCCAGATTCTTGCAATGCCCACACCATGGCGCGGTAAACGCAACCAGTGCCGGCTTGTTGATGTTCAGGATCTCATGTTCAAAGTTCGCGGGCGTCAAGCGAATCACGGAGCTCTTCTCCGAGAAAAGCGCTCCTTGTACGCCTCTAACAAGCGCAAGAGAAAGCAGGAGTACGGCTAACCCGTGCGCGAGTTTCGATAGAAACAACGTGGACATGCTGGGAGGATGGTCGTACGTTGACTAAATTAGCACGATAGGAATGAGGGCGAATGGAGCGCGTGGAAGAGAGAAAGAGACACACACAGGCAGTGAGGGTGTGTGAGTATGCAAATACAGATAAGGACGCAGTACGCGTTCCTAATGAGTAACCACCAGCAGAAAGGCTCAGTCTCACTCGCTCCGTACAACGAGAAAGCGCACGCAATACCAGCGGCGGATACAGCTATCAGCCAGTCTCGAAGGCCTAGGGAGAAAAGAAGTCGTTTCGCACGTCTGGATAACAGCCTTGAACCTTCCACGTCTCAATTCCGCTGCCACGCGCCACGCGTGTCACTGCGCTGAGCCAAGGGGGCGGGGGCCTGTCGTCTGCACCGCCGTTCATGATTCGTGCCACTCTCCTCACGCGAGAGGGACCTCCACGTCAGCGTATCTCACGTGATACATCATCCACAGAATGGTCTCGATGACGACGCGTCGAGATCCCTCGTTGCTGGGCAGGCAGCCGGCTCTGTCTGCGAAGAGAGAAAAGTGTGCGTGCGAGTGTGCGTGTGTGCGGGAGGAAGGGCTTGCTTGATTCCAGGGTACAAAGTACCACAGGGTGGGGGGAGTCGCATGCTCCGACACGCTGGCGTCGTGTATGCACGAAAGGCCAGCGGACCTTGCCGGCCGTACTCGGCTCTCACAGCAGCGGACTTTCTTCGCGCGCAAGCGGCGCGCGGTGCCAATATGGAGGCTGATCCGCGCGGCATCGACTACGACTTGTTTGAGTCGCCATCGCCCGAGTATGAGCGGGAAAAGCGTCTTGCACCTGCTGTGTCTGACACGCCGGCGCCCGTGGCGACGATGCAGCGAGTGATTCGTCAGGGTGATTTCCTCGCTGCGTCGCGTCTGTTTGAGCAGCTGTGCGAGCTAGGCACGCTCTTGGACATGCCACTTGACGAGTATGCACATGCAGCACGGTGGTGTGCCGCGTCAGGCCAAGTGCAGCAGGCAGTCAAGTTCCTTCATCGTGTGCCGAGTGCATCGACGCACAGCCTCGACACATCGCATCAAGTCGCACAGACGCTCCTATGGCTTGCTCAAGCGCATGATCACGACGTAATAGAGCAGGCCGTACTCACCGCAGCGAAGCATGGATTTGCACGCGTGCTTCCTCACACACTCAGTGCCATATACCAGGGGCCGTTCGGCGGCTCTCCACACAGAGCCCAGTCGCTGTGGTGTGCGGTGGTGGATGAGCTGCGTGCTCGCGATACGGACGTGGAATTCCTCACACATCTCTATGGCCGTGTCGTCCGTGCACAGGTGCGCGGACGGCACCACATGTCAATTCACGATACCCTACTTGGACGACGCGAGTCAGGCGAGTCGGTCGCGGAACGGATGCAAAACACAAAGCTGGTCGCTCGTGCGGTTTTCCCGCTAGATATACGCACAGAAGCCCTTCTTCGTGGTGAGAATGTACGTCCACGACGTGGGGCCCGCATGTCGCTGCGTGATCGCGACCGGTTCTCGCACCATGCACGAGCAGGCGATCTTGCTCGCATGCGCAGTGTGTTATTGGGCGTAGCGGGACAGGGAACGATGCCTTCCGTCGAGCATGTGGCAACGCTATTGTGCATGGCAGCTCGACACGAACATGTCGATATGCCAGCGAGTGATACCAAGCCAGCGTACCGCGTGTCAACAGGGATGTATTTGCGCCCCTTGCGCCGTCGGCTTGTATCGCGGTTTCCTGGCCTGTGGGAGACTGCGACTCTTCGTGCACGTGAGAAGGAGGGTGACTGGCTTGGCGCGCTGCGCTTGTGGCAGCGGCGGTTCGAGCCCATTGCTGGCGTGCGACAAGCAGCGGTGGATGAACTGCTTGCTCAACATGGTGCGTCGTCTGACTCACTACAGCGCCGGACATACGCAGCTGCCGTTGCACGCAACAGTGAGCGACGACCTGGGCATGAGCGCCAGGCACGGCCGCGTATTATGCCGACGCCGTATGCGGTTGCGACCGTATTTCGTGCGCTTGTTCGTGGATATGGTCCGCAGGCCAAGCCACTTGCCCTGATGTACGCTTCGTTTGTCGACAGAGTTATGCCGGGGGGACCCGAGGCGAGTGTGGCCTGTTTTGAGGCGTTTATTGCCATGTCAAGTCGCGTCGATCCCAAGCGCTTTGTCAGCCCCAGGGCTGAGCGGAGGCATGCTTCTCAGCTGCCTACGATGTGGACGATGCTGCGTGATATGCAGAAAGCTGGCCTTCTGCCTCGCTCGACGACATGGACACTCTTCCTACAAGCCCTCGCGCGTGATAGGTCACGTACCAAGTGGCACTTGGTCCTTCGCTTGCTTCGTGCCATGAATGCGCAGCATGATGCACCACAGGCATTGCCTCGTGCTACGCCTGCTACGTACAAGGGGCTCTTGCATGTGTTGATGCGCGTTCGGTCCACAGGTCGAATACGATGGCGCCGGAACAAGATCTGCGCGCTTTTGGCTCGACGCCGTATGTATGAGGCGTCCGATCCAGGGCCAGGTTCAAGTCCAAGGCCATAACACGCTTTGTAGTTGGGTAGCAGCGGTGTATCCTCAACACCACCCAACACCACCGACCACCAACGCCCTCTCTCGCTTCCTTCTGCTTATATAGCTGAGATACCAGAGGCGTCCCACATAGGACTGTGAAAAAAAAAACTTGCATGCATCTATGAGAACACGGTTCACCCAACATACTCCCCGTCTAAACACGAATCAATATATACTGGGACTAGAGAAACGCTGGTGGGTTCCGTGGAAAGCAACATGACAGACTGATCATAAAGAGAGATGTCGCATCGGAAGGAAGGCGTGGGATGAAGGAGAAACATAAGCAGCGAAATAACCTTCTTCATACGGTCAATAAAGCTTTCCTGTCGCACGACTAATCGACGCGCTTGATGGGATGAAGCATAGAAGGGGCGCGACACACCTCCGGATTGTTTTTCCAGCCCATGTAGAGTTCTTTCGCATGTTGTGCGTGGTAATAAAACGACGAGTCCTTGTGGAGGTTCTCATTTTTCTTCTCGTAAAAGTCTTGGCGATTTAGGAGCTGGTTCAGTTCATGCAAGTCCCAGTCGTGTCGGAAGTAGATGGGGTGCGGGGCAAAGACACCCTTGAATGGCAGCGGAAGCGTATACGTGAAGCCAGCTTCCGGATAAAACGACTGGTTGTGCGAAGGAGGAAGTTGAGAGTGCAGAACCAAGGTCGTTGGCCAGGCCTCGCAATGGAGCGACTTCTTTGCCTCGGCATTGACGACATTCATGGCCTCAAGCAGGCCTCGGCTCATACGCATGTTTGTGCCGATCGAAGCACGGCGGTGCGTGTTCCAGCCTTCGGGATAGTTCTGGACGTCATGTGTCCAGTACCAGCCGCTGCCGCGGGGATCGAAGATGGGGCCTAGCGTGATGAGATCCGCCTCTTCGCCGACCTTGGATGTCTCGGGTATAGGCGTACGCCAGATCTGCTCTGAAGCAGGCACGTTTGGCATATACCACGTCTCGTACTTCGTCATGCCTGGCTGTAGTGGCTCGCGGCGCGCATACTCTTCGATGCCCTCGAAAAAGTCCAGATAATTGCCGATGTAGCGCACGTCCATTTCCCAGTTGTACACATAATCGTATTCCTGGTGGTTGAGCCAGAATGTTTGCAGTGCCATCAGACACGCGCGGTACGAGGTCTGTGCAATCATGTTGTTAATGAACTTGCCTGGCAGACCGGCATACAGCACCTCGAGCTGCTTCTCCGACCAAAACTCTACCAGGCCCCAGAACTCGCGTGGCACACTCGTCACAAGCACGCGATACCGGTCCCATTCGGACGTAAACACGCTCAGGTTCGGGTCTTTGACCTCGACGAGAATGCGGACATCATACGGCATATTTGGGTTGTTGAGCGAGAGCTCGCTGATCATCGCGCGCAGATTCAAAATATCGTCTTCACGCCATGGATATCCCTGATACGAGCGCATCACAATGGCGGTGCGCTTGATCGCTGGGTTTGTGAGGTACTCCAAGTCGCGTGACGAACTGCTCGCGTTTCTGCCGCTTTGTGCAAGACGGCGCTCGTAGCAGTTGTCCATGAGCTCGCGCCAGTCAGGCGCAAACACTTGGTCCTTCCGACGCGTGTTGTGACGCACAAGCCGATTCCGAAGCTCCTGCTCATATTCATGGGTCGGCATGTGTTCTGGGCGTGGCAAGCCATGCAGTGGGTCGTATCGTAGCTTTTCAAGCGCCTCAAACGAGCTCATCTTGGTCTGTTGCGCGATTATATGAGGATTCTCTGGATCATCATCATATATTTCCACAGATGTGGGCAGCAATTCATCCGGCAAGCGGTAGGTAATTTTCAGCGCCTCGTCCGTGTACATGTTGTAGCGCTCCTGGTACGTAATGCATTGACCAAAGTCGAGGCCCACGAGTTTCGGATCACCAACGATCGGTTCCGGATGCGTGTCAGGTGTTGGGTGCGCATTTGACGGTGAGATCGGCACGATTTTGCCATGCGGACCAGGGCATTGGTCAAACTGTGGGGGGAACGTGCGATGTCGTGGAGCCACTGAGATCACATGGTTCGCAGCATCGCGCGGAACATGTGCATTCGGATCAATGCGATAGTAAGCGAGCTCACGCCCATTCTGGGCGATGCAGGTTGAAGAGAAGCAATGCGCATATAGTGCCAAACGTCGCGACGGTCACGATGGTCTTCCAGCGCATCATGATCCAATGAGACACGTACAAGAGTACAAAGGACACAAATCCAGCGAACCCAAACCGTTCGTGGTCGTGTGATGTGTCGTGTTTCGTTGGTAGGAGCGGCTGCGACACAGGCCTTGGGAGCTCGTGCTTCGAGTCTATCAGGGGCGGTAGCGCTTCGTACGGTTTGAAATGAAAGCGCTGTGATACATTTTGCTTCTCATCTTCACTGTCTTCCTGAGTATGTATCACATGGCCTCCATCGGAAGTGTCCTTCATGGCCACACGGTCGAGCCAACGCAACTCACGTTTTTGCGAGTTTTGGGCGATGTCCAGGAAGCAGCAATAAACTCACGTCCACCCAAGACAGACGTTTCCATGACGCGCGACTTGTTCGGCAAACGCTAATATCGGCCGAACCCCAAAATAGCCAGCAGCTCCACATGGTGTGGGGGTTATTCGTTCGTTCGTTCGTTCGTGTGTTAGTTTACATTGGTGTCGATCTTCATTTATCGTTACTGCAAGATCGCATCTACCGTGCGCACGTATCCGTGAGGTGTGTTGTATTTGAAAGTGCTACGCAACAACGCTATGAGGCATCTCATGCTTACAATTCTGCGACCAGCGCAGGATCAATGTCGGACCTTTTAGCTTGGGCTTGCGCATATCTCATCCGTGTACGTCTCGAAGGCGAAATCTCATCTTCTTCAAAGGCTTCTTCATAGTAATGTGCGCGTCGGGTATGTTTCTGGTGCTGCTTTCGTTCGCGATGTTCTCGAGGCCGGTGGCGCTCATGGTGTTGATGACGTACAGGAACAGTTTCCTGCATCGAGTCCTCAGGAGCATCCTTGAACTCAGACGAGTCGTTAGAGCTCGGGAAGCTAGTGTCATGTTCCAAGTTTGAGTTGTCCATCTCAGTGGAAATGTCAGGGACAGGACGGCGGCGTGGTGAGTGTTTTTTCGTCGTCATCGTCTTCCCCTGCGAGCCATCGACACGCATGTTGTTTTTATTACCTGAATGAATGCCCGCTACTGCTGCCGCTGCTTGTTGACCCTGGTGACCTTGGCTTTGTTCGGCAAGTCGTGGCTCACGCTGCGCTTGTTGGTGGTCCGAAATGTACACGGGATGGCCGAATTCATCATACTGGTATTCGACATTGTACAATGCATTTGGCTCGTAGGATACGGGCTGTGATCCGTAGTATTCATGGGTGACGAACGGCGGATGCTGCGGTGGTGACTGTGGCTGCGGTTGTTGTTTTTGATGAGCGGGCGTCGAGTTTTTGGCTCGCGCTACAGCCTTTGTCGAGCGAGGCCGGCACTTCCGCAAGAGCCAATATGCTATCAAGCACAAAAACAGTAGGCCGAAGAATCCACCGACGACAATACCTGCAATTGCGCCGTTACTGATTGGTTTTCCATCGTCGGCGTGAGCATTCGATGAGCCATTGAGCCTGGCTGTCGAAGACGCATTTGGTATCGTGGATGTTGCCGTGGCGTGAGCATTCGAGCCTCTTAATGTGGTGGGGGTTGCGCTTGCCTTGCTGCTATTTTCTCCGCTATTGCTAGGTGAGACACTGGTATCTGAAGGACTAGGTTCAAAGGTAGTAAACGGTTTTGTGTTGCTCGAGAAAGTATGCTTGTTCTTGCCGGTAGGGATCCAGTCCGGTACACCTTCGCGCTTCTGCCGATGCCTTCGCATGATGCGTTGTCGCGCGAGAGGGTCCAGCCCTTGGAGCATGATGGGAATTCGGTGGCGATGATGAATCCAAGATCTATGGCTGAAGACATTCAGGTACGGTGGTTCCTGCCGTGTGCCAATCGAATGTATGCGCGTCTATGCACAAGCCCAGGTATGCGATCTTTTACCTAAGCATACTCGATGCCCCGCGCCAAATTTTTGGGGGGGGGGCACGCGTTTGTTGCGTGGGCATGATAATTTGGATAGGGGAGGGGTGTCGAGCTATGCGTCTCCCACATATTGGCAAGATAAAATAATCTGTTGATTTTCTTCTCCCGTCGTCTAGGTGGTTTATGACACGGTGCTTATAGAGACCGAATACGCATTGGCTCTGTGTACGGCCCGCTTTGTTGCGGATAGAAACGCCGTTGTCCGGGGTTCGAGTCCCCGCGGGAGAATTTCTTTTTTGACCCGCCGATGCCTACTTAATCGGGGAAAGTGAAAGCATCGTGGTGGGCGTTTCTAGAAACCACGTGGCCGTCCAACAGGAACCCTTAGGTGGAACTAGCTTGACTATGGCCATTACGTTGGGTAAATGATGGGGGCCTTTCAGCATGCGTGGCAGACCTATTTCACGCACGATACAAGAAACCTTGAAGAAGTAACATGAGTTGTTGAAAACATACGTTGGCACTTTGGGACTTGTGTTAGAAACGTGCATATTTTTTTTTTTTTTTTTGCGACATAGTGCAAAGATCTTTTGTGACTATTTATCGCATCCAATGACATTCCTCTAGAAAATGAATCATGTAATGATTTGCTGATTTTTTCAATCTCGCCCGCACCATCTATACGCACGTCTCACACTAAGGTAGCGCGTGTGACTCGTCAGTCTTGATCCTTGATCCAACTCCTCGTTGACCCAGGCGCATGGACGTGACGGGTGTGCTGCAGCGGCTCATTGTACGTCCTTCTCGGACGATTGGGTGGCTTGTAGGAGTGTGGGCAGGCGCTTGGTGCACCTACTATGCGTTGCAAGAAATCAAACGAGGACTCGTGCTTTCATCAAGACGGAAAAAGTATCCACTGAAGCAACGCAAAGGAGAAAGGCTGGTGTCGGATAAGGATTGGTACGGGGAAGCTGATGAGGCGGAGCGTCAGAACATAGTGGCACGCTTCGGCGTGATGCGCTTTGCTGGGCGGTACTTGAATGTGACGGCTGAGTGGCGCGAGCAAGGCGCTTGGGAATGGATTTGGTGGAAAGTTGTGCACTCTATGATATGGAACCGTGGCTTTGGATTTGACGGGGGCTTTACGCATGATCTCAAGAGTCCTGGAGGCCTTGCGCGCATAGAATCTATTCTCCCGGTCGAGCCACTCGACATTGGGAGATTGTGGGGCCAAGATACCAATGAGCCAGCGGCTCCCCGCACAGGTGTATCTTATACATGGCTTGGCACAAAGCACATGCCTTATCCAGTGACACGGTCTCACAATCTTGACCGATCCTGTCTTTGGAGATCAGCCTGTGGCCAGTGTGTTGAGTCCATGGCGTATGCGGCCTATGCCATGCAAGCTGCGCGACTTGAAGTGCGTGGACCTTGTTCTTGTATCGCATAATCACTTTGATCACCTTGATCTGTCGATTGTACAGAATGTGTCGTCCCATGCTCAGTGGATTGTGCCCACTGGTGTTGGACATTTATTGCAGCAGAATGGCGTGTCATGTGAGCGAGTGCACGAGCTGAGCTGGTGGGACGAATGGCGACAGCCGTGCCATGTGCGTGTACGTGGAGAAGCAGGGGCGACTAGTGAAGCGTCGACCGTTGAGAAGCGCGAGCTTGAGGTAGCAGCTGTGCCTGCGAGTCACTGGAGCGCACGCACGTTGTTGGACACGAATCGGAGTCTATGGAATTCGTATGCTGTACGGTGTGCAGCGCAAGACAAGCAAGCAGCTACACTCTTTTTCTGTGGCGATTCTGGCTACAGCCCATTGCTGTTTTCGTCGATTGGTCGAATGTATGGACCGTTTGACGTCGCATCCATCCCGATTGGCTCTTACGAGCCTAGGTGGCACCTGAGTTTGCAGCATATGGACCCGCACGGTGCTGTGTGTGTGGCGCGAGATGTGGGCGCACGACAAAGTTTTGGAATGCATTGGGGCACTTGGTGTATGAGTGGTACGTACCTACGAGAAGAGAGGAGATAAGGAATGGCACAGACACTGTGGAGATGGGACGCATTGGATTGGACTGCGATACTGACACAAGCGTGTACATGCGACGCATATGCAGATGAGCGATGGGATGCGCCACCGCGTGATTTGCCCGCAAGCGCTTGTTGACGAGGGGATGCCACGTGCGTTTGTCAAGACCGTGCCACTTGGACAAACGCAAGATATCGAGACTATGGAATCGACGGGGTCGTGATGTACCACGCGGAACGAGGCGTGATCGTCGTGAACACATCGCCAAGCCCCGTGACATATGTACACGCACACGATGAGAGGGCGTGAGATCTATGCGGCGGCTGGGGAGTGCGCGCGATCCGTCTAGAATGCGCGGTGCGCCGTGACGAGGGGGTCACGCACTTGATCTACCTCGGTGCGACAAGCCACAAATCCATAGAGGGAGGAAATGTGACGGTCGCAGTGAGGCGGGAGGCGGGAGAGGGGGTTGGTAGGGAGAGATGCATAGGTAGACAGGGCACATATAGGTAAGTATCTGGATCTATGCTTGTGTTTCATTTCGCCACTAGTGTACGATGGCATCAGCATTCAGAGGGAAGGGCGCCTGGTGCAAACGCTTGCCCTGCTCAAAAGCATGAGCCAACGGCAGGTGTCGACCGAGTGTGTCCTCCTTCTTGACCTGGTATATGCGGACGAGCCAGTTCTCACTCGTGAACACTTCGTCGAGCGTATCGAGAGTAGGCGACGTCGATGGACCCATGGCATTACGTGCGCGATCCATGCCTGCTTGACCGCCAAACAGATCGTTGTAGCGGTGGTAACTCATCTTGTACATGAGGCAGTTCCGCATGGTGGCTGACGCTTTGTCATCGACGCGGTACTCGCCATTGGAGAAGAACTTGTGCTCCTGAATCTCGTCAGGCCACAGGCCCTGAGAAATGCGGATCATCCACAGGAACTTGTTGAGGTCGTCACCGCTGTAGCCGAGGAGACCGCCGAAGATGATCAGGACGTAATCGACATCGTGCTTCCTCAGGATCGGGTAGGCACGCTCCTCGGACGAAGCCATGGCCTTGCCGACGGTAGCAATGTGAGTGTTGTTCCATGTGTTGTTGTCGACGAGTGTCGTGCGGTCGGCGAAGCCGGCAATCTGATAGCCATAATCCCACCAGCTCATGACCTTGGCATCCTGGGGCGTGTTTTCTCGTAGCCAGTAGTAAGCCTCGCGGAAATCGTCGATGATCACCTGGTTGCCGTCGGGCGTCTGCGACGCGAGGACGACGGACGGCGACGAGTATGCCGATGACGTAATGAGTGTGCTGTGCAAGATGAACATCTCGAGGACGATGCCGACGCATCCGAGGACGAGCATACGAGCTTCGAGAGGCATGGTGCGGACGGAGCGCCCGTTTTTGCGAGAGGCTTCGGAGCCGACGGGGCTTCCCGCGTACACGTCGATCAGCGCACTCGTGGCGAGTGCCGCACACACACACACACACGGCGTGAGCGTGAGGATAAGACGTACCATGACGCCGGAGAAGTACGAGGCCATGACGGCGTAAATGACCACGAAAATGTGCTCGTCACGCAGGTGGTGGAAGAGGAAGAAGAGACCTGCGGGGAAGAGGTAGACGAGGCAGTGAAGATCAAGGAAGTACGTGGGCCAGGCCGGTGGCTGGTGCTCGGACACTGATGCAATGATGGGGATGTGTTTCTTTGCATACGCCGTGTCCCAGAGCGAGTAGAAGCGGCCGGTCCAAGGAGCAATGTAGCCGGCATACGTGAGCATGACGAGGGCCGCGAAGGCCGCGAGTGCCGTGACAGCGACGAATGTGCGAACGAGCACTTTGAACTGCTGCGAGGACACGTACTTGCGAACAAGCTCGGTCAGGGCGATGAGCTGGAGAAGACCAAACACGCCTAAAGCGGCCATGTGCTCGGACGTCCTTACGGGCTGGAATCCGACGAAGGGGATCTGCATACTTGCGAGCGTGCCGATCGCATAGAACGAAGAGTAGGCGACATACAGACGCTCGGAGAAGCGGCCCATGAGCACGAGCACGAATGCATGGAGCGGGATCATGTTGGTGATGAACACGTATCCACCCCAGGCAGCGACCATGTAAAAGTAGAAGAGGGCGGTGAGAGTGCCAAAGAGCATGGAGCCATCACGCACAGCACGCACCCACAGGTAGAACGTAAAGAGGAGGAGGAAAATCGCGATGGCCTCGTTGTCGTACGAGCCCGCGACTGAGCGCGAGATGTAGCCGGGCGCAATGCTGATGAAGAGCGCAGCAAGGAGTCCAGCTGAGTCGTCCTTCATCACGGACGTAAACAGGTACGCAGCAAGGACCGTCAGCACACTGAAGATCGGGGCCAGCATGACGCAAATATCGCGGATGTTCACAGGGATGTTGAAAAAGTGTAGGATGTTGTACAGGGTGCCACTTGTGACCATGAGACCTGGGAACACCGTGCCACCAGCTGCACGGCCCAGCGGGTACCAGGCTGTGGGATCGAACCAGTTCCAGAAGCGGTAGTATCCATCCTTCGTGAGTACCTTTGTCGCGCGGAAATTGAACCACGGATCGAATTCGTGAATAATTGATTCGTACCGCACGACGGCAAACAAGCGCGACGACACAGCTGCCGCCGCCACCATAATGAGGATCACCGTGCGCAGGAGCGACGCTACATTGCGTTTCGTCTCCAGCGTGCTATTCCACGCCATGATCAGGTCGGTCCGTCGTTCGGTCAACTTGATCGGTCGTCGTCGTCAATGTCGTGGACTGTCCACACAATCGCTCGCACACACGTACGTTCACTTGGATTTCCACACACACACCCACACACACACCCACACACGCACACACACACGCACTCACACACACTCAGACGCACGCACTCAGGTTTTTTTATTTTTGCCCACTCGGACCTCTTCTCTGCCGAGCCTCGTCGTCTCACAAGCACAGGGGGGACTGGGGGCGCGGCGCTGGCTATCCACCTACATTGACAGCTGCAGGCACTGACTGTAGCCCGTCCAGATATGGGTGTGCCGTGCATGGTCATTTGGACCTGCTTGGTCTGTTTGGAGGATACACCTGCGCTGCCTTACGAGCGCAGCCGGTGCACGCTTGCACCCGGCCCATTCACATGCCATGTATCACGTGGTAGCTCCACCCCTCGTTGGGCCGGTAGCCCACGCGTCTGTCCCACATGACCTAGCAGGGATGGCTGTGACGCAAGGCAGAGCGCCAAGCACAGATTGACATACGCACGAGTGACTCGCTAGTCATTGGCCCTTGGGCATCTGTGGTGGCTCGAAGGAGAGAGAGAGAAAGAAAGAGAGAGTTGCGCGGCTGCCCATTCTGTGAAGACCCACTTGAGCTTTTGAGCAGAGCTCTTTCTTTTGTGTGCGTGCGTACTAAGAGCCACGCATTCGTTTGCCTGGCTCTGCGGGTGTTATTGCACCCGTAAGTATGCGGCATGAATATACCTTGGCACATGTCCACGTTGCGGATGTGGACGTGGATGTGGCGTATGCGAGTCCTGCGTTGGAACGAGCGATCTGTGAGTGTGACATGTCGCGCACGCCGCGAGCCGTCTCACTTGTGTCACTTGCGCGTGCGCGTGCGTCAAGTTCGGCCCTAAGTGCCACGGGCAGCATGGTATGGGTACGCGCAGCCCCGCCAGGCATGGCGCAGGACGATACGAGCATGTCGATCTATGTACATCCGTCATTGGCAGCGGATGCCCAAGCAGCAGCAGCAGCAGCAGCCGCCACGTCCGATGCACAAGTGGCTGTGCGTGGCGTCGAGCCGATGGCACTTACCGCGGTGTATGTGAGTGTGCCCCCACCCGACTACGAGCGGCTGTCGGCAGATCCGCCGGCACTACGGGATGCTTGGGATGGTCATATCCTGTGGAATCGCTCGACATACCCCGTGTTGGACACACAAGCACGCATCGTGATGACAGAGCCCGTGGAGCAAGGTGTTGTCGAGAGCGCGACGACTCGCGTGTTTGTGGTGCGTGATGATACATCGGCGGCGCCGGACCTGGGTGCGGCAACGTCGAGGACACCTGGCTCACGAAGGAGCGACGCCGACGCGTCAGACGCAGCCACAGACAGCATGTCAGCGACGGAGGCGGTACCTGTGGTGGATGAGCGCTTTTTGGCGCCGGAAGACGCCAAGCCGCTTCCACATTCGTTCCATGCGCGGATTGTGCCGCGGTCGCAGCTTGTGTGCGATGCGATCGAGGCATGGAAGCAGCGGAACAACAACGTGTACGTGGACGACGCGAGTGTGGTTCTTGTGCGTGAACAAGCGCTTCTGTCGATGGCGATCTTTGACGGAAGCTGGGCGATCGTACGTGCCGTTCCTGATCACCGGCCGCATGTCGTGCGTGTGTTTGCTACGTACGACGCGAGTCTCGCGCTGGACGATGCGTATGTGCCGCCCATGCTGCTGCAGAACTTGTGCACGACCGAGTCGTTTGATCCGCTGAGGTCCGTGACGCTGCAACTGGAGCCGTCGTCGACGCATCTTCTGGACGAAGCAGCGAGTGTGCCTTGCGAGCAAGTGAGTGCGTTTCCAGCCAAGCCGCCGTTCATGCCTTTCGCCGAGTACGTGTGCGTGGCACGGGTGTCGACGCCGATCTCGACGGACCAAACGTACATCGTGCAGTGTGACATGGCGCTTCGGCAATACCTCTTCAAGCACCCGCGCATCCTGCGCGAGGGCGACATCCTGGCTGTGGCGATTGATGCGCGTGGCGTGCGATACGTGCGGCGAGAGTACGATCGCTCCACGCCCCCGGAGCAGCTCGCAGAGATTGTGTGGAAGGTCGACATGCCAGGCGTCCCTGTCATGTACCTGCGGCATGCCATCTACTACTGCGTCACGGACATCACGCCGCGTGTGACGAATCCCGAGTCGTTGGACGAGGCCGTGTCGCCTGCGTACCCAGCGCTGCGCCAGTGGTACATGGACCTCGTGGCGCGCGGCTCCATCGACAGTCTTGGATGCTGGCTCGATGCGCGGCAGGCGTGCGTCGAGCAGAAGGATGCCGTGTCGCGCCGCGTCGCAGATGTGCGCACGTGGCACAACCTCGTGAGCGAGACGCCGCCCTGTCCGCCCGACGGCACATGCCTCACACAGCCGGGCACGCCGTTTGCGCGCCTATGCTCGCTCGTGAATGCCATCCTGTCGGACGAGGCGCAGTCCATGGGCTTGCACTTGCATGTGCTGTTGGATGGCGCGCGAGGCGTCGGCAAGCGAACGCTCGTTCACTGGGTGGCCCAACGCACGGGTGTCCACGTGTTTGAGATCGCATGCTCTCTGCTTGCGAATGACTCTGATTCACCGACAGAAGGCGTCCTCACTGGACGTGCACTGCGTGCGCGCACGTGTGCGCCGTGTATATTGCTGCTGCGTGATATCGATGCTCTGATCCGCAAGGGAGCGACCGGCTCAGAGCTGGGCGGTGTCACCAAGATGGTCAAGAGCTGTATTGACATCACCCAGGAAGACCTGGTGATGGTCGTTGCGACGTGTGAAGATGCGGCGCATTGTCCACGCGCGCTCCGCGCGCTGTTCAACGAGTCACTCCGACTCGATCCCCCACCCGAGAAGGCACGTGCCGAGATCCTGCGCACGGCCCTCGCGTCGCATGCCGTGGGGGCCGACGTCGATGTGCCGTCGCTCGCTCTGCAAACGGCTGCGCTTCTCCCTGCCGATCTGCAAGACATGGTCGCTCGCGCGTGTCTCGCGAGCATCGAGCGTGTGGCGGCGACCCAGCCAACAGCGACCATGGGCGACATAGTGGCAGCTCGTCCGCTGATCCTTGCGGCGGACCTAGACCGGGCTCTCGCACAGGTGCGTGTGAGCTACAGCCAAAGCATCGGGGCACCCAAGATCCCGAATGTGACATGGGACGATGTCGGTGGCCTCGCGAGCGTGAAGAACGAGATCCTCGACACAGTGCAGCTCCCGCTCGAGCATCCCGAGCTGTTCGCTGACGGCGTGAAGAAGCGCAGCGGTGTGCTGCTGTATGGCCCGCCCGGCACAGGCAAGACCCTGCTTGCCAAAGCCGTCGCGACGACATGCTCGCTGAACTTTTTCTCTGTCAAAGGTCCTGAACTGCTGAACATGTACATTGGTGAGTCAGAGGCCAATGTCCGTCGTGTGTTCCAACGGGCTCGCGATGCAAAGCCATGCGTGATCTTTTTCGACGAGCTGGACTCGATCGCTCCGAAGCGTGGGCGACACAGCGACTCGAGTGGTGTGATGAACCGCATTGTGAGTCAGCTGCTGGCTGAACTGGACGGCATGGCCTCAGGCTCTGCTGCGAGTGAAGTGTTTGTGATTGGAGCGACGAATCGACCAGACCTGCTAGACCCTGCGCTGCTGCGACCTGGCCGCTTCGACCGTCTCCTGTACCTGTCGGTCGCAGAGACCGACGATGCACAGCTGAACATCCTGCAAGCGCTGACGCGCAAGTTTGCGCTTGACGAGGACGTCGGTGATATGCGCGTCATTGCACAGCAGTGTCCTTTCAACTTGACGGGTGCCGACTTTTATGCGCTGTGTTCGGATGCCATGCTCAAAGCCATGACGGAAAAAGCCGCCGAGGTTGACGCTGCTGTTGCTCGTGTGGATGCCGAGCCCCGGACCGGCGAGCGTGCGCACTGGCCGAAGCCCATGAGCGTGCCATTTTATCTTGCGAAGCTTGCCAAGCCACACGAGGTGCATGTGCGTGTGCATCGGCGTCATTTTGAAAGTGCGCTGAAAGACCTGACGCCCTCTGTCTCTCCGCAGGAAATGGCACATTACCGCGAAGTGCAACGGACGTTTTCGCAGCCTCAGAACAAGTCGACGACCCCTACCGCCGATTCGTCGGCATCCATGCCGTTACCAAAATCGCAGTCGCAGCCACAGTCGCAGCCGCAGTCGCAGCCGCAGTCGCAGCCGCAGTCGCAGTTGCCACCCGCAGTCGAAGCCACAGCCGCAGCCGTAGCTGCACCCCTCCCACCATCATCACCATCTCCTCATCGCCAAGACGATGCTGATCAAGTACGCTTTGAAATGCTTGGTGAAGAACGACAGAAAAAAGCACCCATTACGTCCGCCTCAAAAAAGAAGGGCAAGAGTCGCGCAACATAAGATTCCACCCACATAGACGCATGCCATCATAGACGCGGTCGTCACTGATGGTCCATGCTCTTTTATGCACGCACATAAGCGTACACGATTTGGAACGCTTGCATGTAGCGACGACGACCGATCGATCAGATTCTAAAGGAAACTACGTCATGGCATACCATGTTCCCCCCCCCCCCGCACTAACGACTGGTACATGCACCGATCGTGCATGGCATAGTAGCGCGCGTTCGAGCCATGGGATGCGGACGACTCCGGCCAAGCATGGGCGCGGTAGGGGGTCGGAGGGAGAGATGAAGCAGGAAGAGAAGGCATGGCCGCGATCTCCACATGGCCCATGCACACACGTGATCCGGCAACCGGCTGGTCGTGCAGGCTTGACGGTGATGGTGTGATGTGCGTTGTCGGAACGTGGGGGGAAAAGGCGGGGCGAGCAAAAAAAGAACGTGGCGGGCGCTAATTTCCCGGGGAAGGACGGAGCACCCCCGGGTTTCCTAGTCACATACACTTACATTGACTTCAAGATGAAGGCTACAGTTATTGGTGCTGCAGGTGGTATTGGACAGCCACTCTCATTGCTTCTCAAGCAATCGCCCTATGTGAGCGACCTCTCGCTGTACGATGTGGTGAATGCCCCTGGTGTGGCGGCTGACCTGTCGCACATCAACACGGCATCGCCCGTCCAAGGTTTCCTGCCTGAGAATGATGGGCTTGCGAAGGCCGTGCAGGGCTCAGACCTAGTGATTATCCCCGCTGGTATGCCACGCAAGCCAGGGCAAACGCGTGACGACCTGTTCAATGCCAATGCTTCCATTGTGTACGGCATTGCCGAGGGCATCGCCAAGGCGGCACCCAAGGCATTTATCCTTGTGATTTCGAACCCGGTGAACTCGATGGTTCCGATCTTTGCTGAGGTTCTCAAGGCCCACAACGTGTACGACCCCAAGCGTCTGTTTGGTGTGACATCGCTGGACCTCGTGCGTGCGTCGACGTTCGTGTCGGAGGCCGCTGGCGCAAAGAAGGACGCGGCGAACTACCATGTGCCCGTCATTGGCGGCCACTCGGGCGTGACGATTGTGCCATTGCTCTCACAAGCCAAGCCATCATTCCAGGCCGACCAGCAAAAGATCGAGGAGCTGACGAACCGCATCCAGTTCGGCGGTGACGAGGTCGTCAAGGCCAAGAACAACGCTGGCAGTGCTACGCTGTCGATGGCCTTTGCCGGTGCTCGGTTCGCAAATGCAGTGCTTGCTGCTGCGCAGGGCAAGAAGGCTGAGCTGCCGGAATTCAGCTACGTCGACCTGGCTGCTGATGAGGCAGGTGGTAAGGCCGTCAAGGACGTGATCGGCAACGACATTGCCTTCTTCAGCGTGCCCCTCACTCTGGGTCCTAACGGTGTGGAGAAGATCCAATCTCTTGGCGACATCAGCTCGTTCGAGAGCGAGCTGATCAAAAAGTCCATTGAGTCGCTCAAGGGCAACATTGAGAAGGGTGTGTCCTTCAAGCCAACCAAGCTCTAAGTACGCAGTGTGTAGCTCTTTAGCATGAGTGACTAAGTTAGCGAGCTAACTAGTTATGTGACTTTTTTTCTTGTCGTCATCGATTTTGCTTTGTGAACACACAGCAGGCATGATATGCCGGCCTGTTGGCCGTGTCGCGTGCTGATCTACTACAGGTAGGTGTCGTGTCACTACTGACCGGAAGCGAGCCGTGATGCATCGTATGTGGCGAACTCGCATTAGCTAACCGAGGTCGTCCCCACGTGAAAGAGCTGTGCAAGGTCTGAAGCCTCCACACCGTAGAGATGCGGCGAAAACTGGATCGATCTCGTTCGCACGAACATTGCGTGTCGCGCGCACGCGAAAGAGAGAGCGAGAGAGAGAGAGAGAGAGAGAGAAAGAGAAGGAGGTGTGACTGAGTGAGTGAGTCGTAGCTTCTGCGTTTAGCGCTGCATTCCAGACTTTCCCGAAATTCGCTCAAACCATTCAAGCTCTTGTACTGTCTCGAGCCAAAGTGCTTTGCAGCGTGATTGATCAATCGCTTTCTCCTGCGACAGATCGGCGCGTGTGTCTGACGCTCGCTCCGAGTTGGAGTTGATCATGGAGTCAGAGACTATGAAGGCATTGACCATGCATGAGCGTGTTCAAAAGTGCTTGGATGAGCTCCCAACAGATGTCCCAATGGATCGAACGGCATGGATGAATCACTTGTGTCAAGATGTACTCGTGGTGCCTGGAGCCGAGAGCCAGGATGCAGTGGTAACATCAGCGCCTCCGCGTCGCGGACAGTGGTCGCAACGCCTTGCAGATGCAGGGGCCAAGAACCTCCCGCATATCATGGAACAACTAGATCTTGTACACAAGGCCATTGTCTCTGAACGCACCAGCGTAGGAACGCGTCTCTCGCTGGATCTTCAGCGTGCCCGAACGACGGTCCCTGAAGCATCTGCACAGGCACAACAAGTCGCCGAAGAAGCCGAGGCTCTTCGGGCCGAGCTACGCGCTGCAGACCTGGCCTATCGAGAGCTGTGTGAACCAACGGCACCTGAGCGCGCAAGCACAGCAAGGGCGCTGGCGTCCGTGCATCGATTGGCGAGTGTCAAGCAACGAATGCAGATAACGCACGATCTGCTGCAGGCAGCAGACTCATGGTCATACGTGGAAGCTGATGTGTACGCGTTTATCAAAGATGCGCAGTACAAACGGGCGGCACAGCGTGTGGCTGATTTTCGTGACTCACTCGCGCATTTTGATGTACAGAACGATCATGTGTCGTCTCAACGGGCGCTTGCGACGCGCCTTACCGAGACTTTGCTCGACAAGGTATCTCCTGTCCTAGTAAGCAGTGTAACAGCGCTCGATGTCGAGGCCGTGGCGGAGTGTGCGCAAGTCCTGGCCTCCCTTCATAAAGACGAGGCCTTTGAGCGCCTCTACATGCACACACGCGCGGAGCAAGTACAGCGTGAATGGACAGATGCCGTGACGACATGCCAGTCTGCGCCTGATGCCATCGTGCGGCTGGGCACGGTCCTAGTGTCGCTCGTGCACCAAGAGGTGCACTTGCTTGCACCACGCCTGTTTGGCCATGCATCTCAGGCCGCTGTGCTGCTGACGTATGTGCTGCAGACACTCACGCCACCCATCTCGACATACATGGCTGATTCAAACGCGACTCTTCCTGATGTTGTGCATGCGTGCAACTGTGTGCGAACGTTTGCCAAGCAGCTGCATTCTTCCCTGTCGCACGAGTCCACGTCAGCAGCTGTAGCAGCAGCAGCAGCAGCAGAACCAGCCGCCTCCTCGCTGCTGGTGCCTCACGGCTTCATCCAGCTGCACATGCCAACTGACTGGCTTTCCCTCTTACGCGACGCGTTCGCGCCTTATCGTGCGACATATCGCTCGCAGGAAGAAGCCTTCCTCGCACAGGTGTGGACTCAAACGCAGGCCAACTATGATGCCCGGCTCGATCGTATTTGGGTGCGTGATTTGTCTGAGAATGAGGCGCCATGGGCCAAATGCGTGACAAGTGTAGCAGAGCTGCTGCGCTCGCAAGTGGCGCTCGCACACAAGCTAAGCGCAGATACCATGCACCGCATGTGGACACTGACAGGCGGTACGCATGTGCAAGATGCATATGCGGCTCTTACAGCTGTCTTGTATCCGAGTTTAGCGCATCGGCTGTCTGTAACGATCGACACTGTGTGCACGCGATATCGACAGCATGCGCGTCGGTCGGCACCGGCACCAGCGCGTGTATTGATGACCGATGATCTTGATGCATTGCACGACTGGAGCCTTGTTCGCGTTGGCGTGCAGTTCTTGCATGTCGTGCAGCAAGCTGCGCATATCGGTGACGAACTCAGCCCCAGTCGCTGTGCACGCGCACCGATGGCATCAGAGCAGGATGGATTCCTAGATACGGACTCGACTGATAGGCCGAGTCATGCTCAGTGGCAGAGCTTGGCGGCGACCACAGCGAGCGACGTCGCTGCATGTATGCAGTCGGCGGTCTCTACAGCGCAGCAGTTCATGCTGGAGCTGATTCTCACTGTGTTTCGACAGCATATTGATGCATACAGTACGCATGGCGCCTGGCGCCGAACATCGTCTACACGTGACGGAGGCGATTCACGCATGCGTGTGCCGACGTTTAGTCTAAGTCCGACGGAGGGCATGGTCCGTCTCGGGGAGGGTCTGTTGAATTTGCCGCGTCTGCTCGAAGCGCTCGTTGAGCGGGAGCTACCATGCTTTGCTTACGAGGCGCATGCGTTGCCATACGTGCGTGATGACGATGCGCCACGCATGCCACGAAAGCAGGGCACCTCAAGTCGCTCGCTATCGGTGAAAGTGTTGACGCATGACGAGGCCAACGACGTGTCAATGGCGTCATCGACGGACCAGATACTGAGTGCATGGCTGCGTTCGCTGACGCTAACACTCCTTGCGAGCGTGCAGAATGACACGCTACCGCGGATCGTAGCTACGCGAGACTATGAGAGACCCCAACTGGCGTCCGACATGGACTATCTCAGCACGATAGCGTCGGCGCTAAATGCATCGTCGGCCTCATTGCGTGAGTGGGCGGACGTCCTGCAGCTCGATCCGAAAGAGGCCATGGCCCTGCCAACAAGCAGCTCACTCCGGGCATCGCGAGCGTATGCGCTCGTGTGGGGGTAGAAAGAGAGAGAGAGAGAGAGAGAGAGAGAGAGAGAGAGCAAGAGAGAAGGTGGATCTACTCGGTCATGACTGCTACATTCGTGCCACTACTGTTTCTACTGTCACTCCTGCTTCTGCTGCTTCTGCTGGCGACGCTTGAGGACGGCGGCATACAGTTGATCAAGCATGTCGACGGTCGTTTCAAAGCTTACACAACCGTCTGTGATCGAAACACCATAGGCAAGATCGGCGCGTGTGCTGCCGTTTTTTGGCTCGCTCTGCTTGCCCTCATGGATATGTGATTCGATCATGATGCCTGTGATGGCGTCCTGGCCTTGCTCGATCTGCGCGGCTATGTCAGCCGAGCCCTTTGGTTGGTTTCGGTAGTCCTTGTTGCTGTTGCCGTGACTAACGTCGATCATGATGCTGGGATGCTTGTCAGATAGAGCTTTGAGCAGCTCCGCCTTACTGGTCGCCACACTCTCTGCATCATAGTTTGTGCCGCGCTTGCCGCCGCGGTGAATGATATGCAAGTCCTGGTTACCGGCCGTCTTGACGATGGCTGCCATGCCCTGGTCCGTGACACCCATGAATGCATGAGGCTGGCTTGATGCACGGATTGCATCGACAGCCACACCAATACCGCCATCGGTCGAGTTCTTGAAGCCAATCGGCATCGACAGGCCAGACACAAGCTCACGGTGCAGCTGTGACTCGGTTGTGCGAGCGCCAATCGCGCCCCACGAGTACAGGTCAGACAGGTATTGGGGCGAGATGGTATCGAGCACTTCACAAGCGACAGGGATGCCGATCTCCGTGAGATCCAAGAGCAGCTGGCGTGCAATGCGCAGACCTCGGTTGATTTTGTACGAGCCGTCGAGATCGGGGTCATTGATCAGACCTTTCCAGCCGACCGTCGTGCGTGGCTTTTCAAAGTATGCACGCATTACGACGACAAGGCCGTCTTTCCAGCGCTGCTCGTATGCCTCGTGCAGGCGGCGCGCATACTCTTTCGCCTGGTCAACGTCGTGGATAGAGCATGGGCCAACAATGACCAGCAGACGATCGTCTTCGCCACGAATCACACGTGCAGCCTCATCGCGGCCACGGGCGATTGTCGCCTTCGCCTTTTCGCTCACAGGCAATTCATGCATCAACAGGGATGGCGACATGAGCGGCTCGTAGCCCGTCACGCGCGTGTCATTCGCGTAGGTCACTTCTGTCATGCGGTATGTAGGTGTGTGGTTGTGCGTATGAAAATCGGCAAGCTTTCGGCGTGTTGTCGAAAGAACGAACGATCCGATTCGAATACTCGCTCGGTCTAAATAAGCGCAACAGATGGAGGGTGTGTGAGTGGATGAGTGGGTGGGTGCGCCTGACAGTTCGGTCGCCGGCTGTTGGCTTGCCAGTGACTCAGACCCTTGTCACTGACTAAACAACACGTGTGCGCCCCCTTCCTCCAGCGACGCCCGGTCTACGTACCATGGAGAGGGAGAGAGAGAGAGAGAGAGAGAGAGTGTGTGTGTGTGTGTGTATGTACGTGCGTACACGCATGCCAAGGGAGGGTGGTGAATCAAAGACGGGAGACTAGGAAGGAAACGAGGAAATCACAGTGGGTCAAAGGTGATCATGATAGGATGGGGGTGCCAGAAGAGCTGCTGCCGAGAGACGCCGACTTTTTCAGGACTTCGCGCGCCCAGTTCGCCGTCTTGCGTGTCTCTGTTCCATTGCCGCGGCTGCGGCCGAGCTTGATGTATTCAAATACCCATGGCTGCTGAAGCTTGACCATGACAGGGCCTGTAGGGTACGCTGTTGCGAGGTCACCCACGAGACCGATCGTGCTGCGCAGCAGGGTTTCGGAGCGGTCGATGCTGTCGGATGCAACTAGGCCAACGAATGCCAGTGTATAGTCCATGTACGGCAAGAGGACGTCCGCTTTGCCGGCCATACGGAAGCCTGACACAATGCCAACGTATGCCTCGGCAATGCCCTCGCGGAGGTCATTGACATATTCGACCATTTCATAGTCAGCGGTGTCAGGAGCATTCTGCACCATGCTCGCCTGCTGCAGGACGGCCATGGCCGTCGGCCAGGTACGACTCGAACGCAGGGCCGATGGCCATCGCAATATCGCCAAAGCAACTGAGAATGTGGGGCTTGACGTTGCGGTGCAACACCGGGCTCTGTAGGTCTTCGAACAGGGCCAGCACAAGTGTCTCGCTGTACTTGGTGGCGCGCTCAGCGAGAGATCGGCACACGTCGCCGACGATACCGACGCTGATCGTGCACAGCTGGTGCTCTTCGTGATTGCGCAGACCCTCAACAAGGAATGGAAGGAATGCATCGAGGTACTTTTCAAAGTCGGCCTCGAGTGCCACGATGACTGTGCCGACGGCGACGAACGCATCTTCCAGCACCGTTGGCTGCTTGGCGCTGTTTTGGATGAGCGTCAGCAGCGACGTCATCAGCCGGTCGCCAATAGGTGCCATGCCACTGTGCAAGCGGCGCACAGCTGCAATCATCACACTGCACAGGTTGCTCTGGAGCTCGGCCCAGTTGTTTCGGTCATCGAGGCCAATGAGCTGTGAGACCATGGCATTCAGTGCCTCTTGGCGCTCGAGGATGTGCACAAGAACGGTGCTGACTTGGTTCAGGCAGTCGCTCGCCGAGTTCGCGACCGTCGAAGCCAGTGCTTCATACGCAGACGTGCGGCTGTTCGACTCGTTCGTCGCGCGATCCGTCACCTGCATGAGCTGGGCCGCGATTGTTTCAAAGTACGGCGAGAGCGCTGTCGTCGGTGGGTCAGGATCATCGAGCGATGCCAGAATGCCCTTGTGCTCTGTTAGATTGATCAGCGCCCAGCAGCTGTGTGTAACGATGCGAGGCTCGTCGTGCAGGGAGCCGAGGAGCGCATGGATCAGCGCACCCAGGTGCATGTCTGGTGTGATGGCGTCGTGTACAAACTCACACATGCGCCCGAGAGTCCAAGCGGTCGTGTCCTTGACGGCGGCGGACGAGTCATGTAGCGTCTCCAGCACTGTCGGCAGCGCCTGTGTCACGAGGGTCATAAGCAAGCTGCTTTCGGGTCCATCCATGATGCTACCGAAGCACATAAGCGCCGCGTCACGACGGCGCCAGTCTGGCGACTTGATGTTGCCCTCGATGAATGGCACCGCCAGCGAGACGATCTGGTCGCCCACAACCTGTGCCAGCAAGCCCAGACACGTGCCGGCAGCCTTCGCAGTGTCCCACTCGTCCTCGTCGCTGTCCTCATCCTGCACGGTGAGCAGCTCCATGAGGACGGGCGCGATTTCCGGCAGAGCGATCTGAGCAAAGTGGTACGAGACGTGGGTCGGCTCTTCGTTGAACTCGAGCGCCTCTGCGGCTTCCAGCGACAGCTCAATTTCCTCGTCACAGACCGTGGACCAGAACTCGACGGCCTGTAAAGCGACCTTTGGCTCCGGGTCACGCATCCCCAGCACCGTCAGGCCAAAGAGTGCCTGCTCCATGTAGAAACGCATCTTGTCGTAATAGAGCTGCATAATGCGCACGAGATTCTCGAATGCCGCGACCTTGACAGGCACATGTGCCGACTGCGTGGCCTCGCAGACGACCTGCATGATAAAGTTGCGTTCGCCCTCACGCTCAAAGTTCAGCCGCACAAACTCGAGTGAGTTCAGAAGCGCCTGCAATGCGGCGAGCTGTACTTCGGGCGACGTCTCCTCCTTGCGGGCGCCCTGGATCACGGCCGTCAGAATCTCGTTCGACTGTGTCGCCAGGACCGCTGGGTCCACGACTTCGCATGTGAATCCAATCGCTTGAAGTGCTGCCTGTCGCTGGTATGGGTTCGTAAGGTCGCCGATCGCTGCGAGGAGCTGCGACACGAGGTCTGGCCACATGCCACGCGGCAGTTCAATCGCTGCCACCGCCGCCGTCACCTGCGCAGCGACAGTGCCTGCACGGTGCTCGCTGCTGCACAACGTCATAAGGACCTTACTTTTGACTTGGTCACGCGCGTCAGCAGGCAGACTGACCCAGCGCTCGGCATAGTCCTGAGCACGGCGAGCTTCACGAGCTGCGAGGGCATTTTTGAGTGCCAATCCTGAGGCTGTGCGGATATGAACGGGCGATGTCTCTGTGGCAAGTTCAGCAGACAGCGACGTCATGTACATGGGCTGAACGTGCGTGTGAGTACCAAGGATCAGGGGTCGTCAAGTCCATGACGTCGTCGGTGGCACAACACCCACCACCCACGGCATCAATACGTACGTAGTTGTCGCGAGCTGCTGCCTCCAGCGCATGCTCGGCAGATTGCCGAATCGTATGTTCTGGGAAGTGTTACTGGCGATCTCTCGAAGTGAGGACGTACCTGGTGAGAGCGAGTTGGTGAGCAGTTCACCGACATTCATCGTGGGCACGGAAAAAAGAAATCCACGTCGCTTGACGAGTACAGCAGTGCACACAACAAACACACACTTACACACTTAGACAATTACACACACACACACACACACGCACACACATTTGTGTGCCGGCGCCTCCGTCATCTGGGATTGGACAAGAGAAAAGTGTTTGTTGGCATATATGCAAATAAATCCCGACCGAGAATCTTTGCCTGCTGGACGCAGTTTTTGTCGGCTTTGGCTTTCACCGACCGGGCGTGGCACAACGGCGCGGCACATGCCACGCGAAACTGAACGAAACGAAACCAATGCTGGCTGGGCATGTGAATCTGTGCCCGGCAAGTCCCACCGCCATGGAGGAACTGCGGGGCCCACTAGCGAGCAGACAAACCCGAGTGTGCGCCTTGGGCGGAGGGACGGCAGTGCCAACACTCACTACCACTTCTCTGATTCGAGGCCAGCGGATTCGGAGCACGAATCTGCAGCTCACATGAAGTCATAGCTAGCGACAACAAAGCCTTTGTACATAGGGACATGCTGGTTCAGTGATGGTATGAATAAATGTATTGGACGATCCAGCACAAGTCCATGTGCCCATCGTCTAGCAAGCGTGGGATTGGACTGGCCTCGGCAAGTGTTGCAAAGAGAGAAAGTGTGTGTGTGTGTGTACCTAGTGAGAAAGCTATGAACGACGAGCACGGCTCGATGGCCGCGGAGATCCACGCGCCTCTGGCGCATTGCGCTTCTTGCGTGACTTGGACGCATTCGCTGCCGCAGCCTCGCGGTCCTCTTCCTCCTTGATGACCAGGAGCAGGAGCGTATGGCACCTCCGAGCGAGTTCCTGCGGTGTCCGACTCTTGATGAACCAATTGAACCGGAATTCCGGATACGCTAGAACATCAGCGCGGATCCGTTCATACACGTCATCTGCATGGAGCCCATAGTCCGCAAGCCGCACAAGCAAGAAACGGTCCTCGTCCTCGGAGTACGCCTTCCCTTTCGCCTGGTTGTACGAGATCTTGAGCTGCTCCAGTGGCGCTGCATATGCGTCGACTTTGCGTCGCAGGAGCGACTCATGCTCTTGCTGCTTCCGCCGCTTCGCCTCACCCTCCTCGATACGTTGTACAATACGCTCGCCATCACTCAGTTCATGCACGCGTGCCCAAAACACCTCCGAGTATGCACGCACGTCATCCTCGGTCTTGTCGCCCAGTCCGATTTCCTCAGCAATCGCTCCATAGGCTGTGCGGCCATGCTTTTCACAGCCTTTCACAAACTGTTGAAAGTCACGTCGATTCCATGCACTCATGCCTTGGGGCGCTAGCTCGTCTTTTTCTGCTTGCTCGGCTTCTGTAAGGGGCTCTGCTGCATCGATGCGAGCCTGCTCTTTCGCTCGCTGCTCTTCAGCGGCTGCTGGGTCGCTCGACTCGGACTTCGGCACCTGGTAGTGTAAGCTTCGTTGGTAGGCAGCCGTTTCGCGTTCCTGCAGCTCAATGAAACGTGCAGGGTAAAACTGCCACTCAGGCGTCGGCACCTGCTTCGGCGCACGAGGCGCTTTCGGCACGGCCGGCTTGCTGGTCGTTCGCATCGCATCGCGATAGTAGCTGTCGATCGAATAGTTCTGCTTCCGCTCACGCTTGGCAGGCTCGATCCAGATCCCCGTGCCCACGCCGGGCTTGCGGCCTTTGTACTGCTCGCCTTCCCACTCGTAGGCTGATTCGCTCTTGAGATTCGTCAACTCGTCGAGGCTCGTGAACTGCTGATACTTGGCCTGCAGCTCAGCTGTACGAGACTCGCCCTGTGCAATGATCGCGTCGATATCGTCCTTTACATCCATCGACTCTTTCGAGTTGATGATGCGCTCAGCACCATGTTGGATCATGTCGACAAGGTCCTCTTTCATCTGCCCGGCTTTCTGCTGCGCCGACGACGAGCGACCCTGTTGGATCACCAGCTGATCGAGACGCAACTTCTGCGCGGCTCTCTCGAGGATGCGCTCCTCGATCGAGTGGTCTGTCACGAAACGGTACACAAAAACCTGCTTCTTCTGGCCGATGCGGTGTGCACGGTCCATGGCCTGGAGGTCTGCCTGCGGATTCCAGTCACTGTCGAACAGGACGACGACATCGGCGCTCGTCAGGTTGATGCCCAGACCACCGGCGCGTGTTGTAAGCAGGAACAGGAACTTGTCGCTGTCTGGGCGGTTGTATTCATCGATCGCAGCAATGCGGTCTTCATGGACAGAGCTGCCGTCAATCCGGCAGTATGTATACTCGCGGAAGAGGCAGTAGTCTTCGAGAATATCAAGCATGCGGCTCATCTGGCAGAAAATCAGCACACGTGAGCCGCGCTCCTTCATCTTGCGCAGCAGCTTGTCGAGGATGTCCATCTTGCCGCTGTTGTACACCAGGTGCTCGTCCGTCGTGTACGGCGGCCCCGGCTCGGCGCCATCAAATAGATATGGGTGATTACAGCACTTGCGCAGCTGCATCACAATGTTCAACAGGCGTGTCTTGCCCTCTTTCTTTGAAAGAGCGCCATTCACAGCCTCAATATCTTTCTCCAGCAGCGACTTGTACCATTTGCGCTGCATATCAGAGAGACCGACAAACACATTGATTTCCTTTTTCGGTAGCAGGCTTTGTTCGACATCTGCCTTGACACGGCGCAATAGGAATGGCCGCAGAACCTTGTGCAGCTGCTGCACAATACTGCCATGACGGTCGGCATCGTCCTCGTGATCATCCTTTGGTTTCGCTTCGATAGCGTCGGCATCGTCGGCCTTGCTCGTCTCCGCGCCGGTGTCACCCTTGCGCTGGAACCATGCCTCAAAGTCGTCCGCCGACGAAAACACATCGGGAAGCAGGAAGTTTAACAGGCTCCAAAGCTCCATGAGATTGTTTTGCAGCGGCGTGCCGGTAATGAGCAAGCGACTTCGTGACGTAAATGCACGTACAATTTGCGAGAGCGCCGAGTCGACATTCTTGATACGATGTGCTTCATCAATCACAATATACTCCCACGAGAGCTTCTGGAGCGTGGGCTTTTCTCGCAAGCACATTTCATACGTTGTAACGAGCACGTCAAAGGCCTGCGGGAGAATGCGCTCGTGAATGAGCGCGTGGCGTTCCTCTTTCGAGCCCTGCAGCGTTACGATACGGAAGCCAGGCACCCACTTGTGGAATTCTCGTACCCAGTTGTCGAGTGTTGATTTCGGCACAACGACAAGATGCAGGCCTGGTGTATTGCGATAATGCTTCAAATAGCCCAGGAACGAAATGGTCTGCAGAGTTTTGCCCAGCCCCATTTCATCCGCAAGGATACCATTGATCCCGTTGTGGTACAAGGATATGAGCCAGTTGAGGCCTTGAATCTGGTAGTCTTTCATCGTGCCGCCTTCGACATACCCTGGGCTCTCGCGAAACATAAAGACATTGTCTTCGTCGTCATCGTTCTCATCCTGCATGAGCTCCTCATCTTCTTCCTTTTCGGTCTTGCGATGATGCCGTTGGTCGCTAGCAGCATCGCCCTTGCTTTTCCCTTGGTTCTTGCCTCCTTTGTTCTTTCCTCGCTTCTGTGTTGACTCGTCCAACAAACGCGCAAACTCTGGGTCGCGGTCTTTCTTCATATCAATAAAGTGCTGGAACAGTTCTGTCTGTCCCAGCAAGTAGCTGAAGCGTTTCAAGCTGTCGATGCTCTTTTGCCGGTTCATCTCGGTGCGACTAGCATCAAGACTCTCGTTCTGTGCCACACGCCGCTGTGCACGCTGCTCGCTGGCGTCCATGGTGCGCGAAGATTCAGCCTTTGTGACGTGATGGCTGTTGTCGCCGTCGTCAGCCACCATTCCGTTCTGTTCCACAAGTGTGTACGCAGGATAAATGACGGGGTGGGGGGACAGATGCGCTTGTCGTTGTTCCAAGCTCTCGGACCTAGCGAGATGGGTCAGACGTGTCGCGATTCTCCATCTGAGACGCGTCACTGGAACAGTGGGTCGTGTCCAACATATTTTCTCATATACCAAATTTTATCTACTACGACGATGATGGACTGGATGGCATGGTTATGAGTCTTTGCTTAGGCCGAACACCGAAAGCCCAGCCTACGTTAGCAAATGACAACCGTTCAATAGTCGAAAACCATGCAAGAAAAAAAAAAAAACACAGCACACCGTGCCAGATGCCAAGCGTGCGATGGATGACGTATCCATCGCAATACATTGTGCGTACGTAAGGAACAATTCTCGAGAGCCAAGCAAGTCTATCGCAGCGAGGCGCCCTGGCCCATATAGTGAGTATTTTCATCGCCGTATACGCGATGAAGAATGCCAAACTTGGGCTGGGCATCAGGTGCATGAGGGGCAAGGGCAGAGAGGGCGTCACGCACGGACTGCGCTGACGTGAGCGAAGGAGAAGAGACGTCCGATACATTGGCTGGCGATGCCTTTGTACGCTGAGCAACGTCGGTCTCGTGCATCGTGCGAACGGCACAAGTCAAATAGTGCTAAGGTTAGTGAATCCGACGTAATTGAGGTGCAAATGCAACCATACATACATTCCATCGGGCCTTGACTTCTTCCCAGAATGTCGGCAAGCTCGGGCGATATGCCGACATGGTTGCTGTCGAGCTGCGTTGTCCAGTGTGCTTGTCGAACTCATCCGCATGCGTTAGCCCATCAGCCTCGATTTGCATCGTTCCAACCATAAAACGTGTCTGATCACGCATCGACGCATGCACTGTGTACACAAGGGCACCTGCAATTAGAGCCCCACCTAGGGTTGAGAGCGCTGATAGACGAGTCATGTCGATTTGTAGTCTAGTTCCGTTTCTCTACTCTTGCTTTGTATGCTAAGACTTCCCTGCGTCAGTTATACTGTGTCAGTCGGACGAAAATAGGGAGTACGATGATCGACCCTTTTGTCTGAGCAAATGGCGTTCTCGCGAGACTTCGGGTCGGTCAATGAAATGTCGTCGATTCGTCTCACCTTGTCTTGACTGGCCATCACACACACCCCCACGGTTGAATGCGCATTGAGGCACATGCAATAATGTGGAGGGAACTTTGTACCTAGTAGGGGAGACATATTTTATCGCACAGGCTGCGCGCAACGCGCACGAGCCGAGACGCTAGTTGTGGTGGCTGAGTTGATCCACGATGCACGACGTTGCCACACGTCGTGATGAGAGTTTGGCAGGGCAAAGCATTCTGGCTCTCCGGCCCATCGTCGTCCGCTTCACCGACCCAACTATCGAAGACGCGCATGTAGACCTGATCTATGAACGAGTCAAGGATGAAAATGAACGGCGATGGCCCGACTTGGCCGAAGACACTGTGAGCCAATTTAAAGACAAGGTACGTGCTGTGCTGCAGACGACATACCAACCATGCTCAGCTTTGCAGAGCGCATACTCAGATGCAAGGAAAGAAGATTCGTCTTATCTATTTTGGGCGCGTATTGCCCCAGGGCGTGCGTCTCGCTTCGTGGCTCGATGCCCTCTCGATACCTGATGCTACAAGCGCAAGTGGGGGTGGCGGAAGCACGAAGCGTGAGAGTGGCTTGGAAGATGGTGTTTCGGTCCAAGATTGTCTTGATTCTCTGCGTGATGATGATCCCTTGCCGTATGAGCGAATACTTGTTGAACGTGTGCCACAAGAAGATGGCATGTACACTCTTCGGCGACCAGCGAATATCAGCAGCCATGTCACAAACTCCAAAAGTCATGGAAAACAACGCGACTTGGAACTGGATCATGTTGATCGTACGATGAAAGTGTGTGCAGTGTGCCTACCGACGATCTTTCTACAATGCTCGATTGGCGGCCAGCTGGATGCACATGAACCCAATGCGTCAGAGGCAGGTCCTAGTGTGTCAACGACGAATGAGCCGCGCGGCTTCGATCGTTTGCGCTACACGGCTGGCATGTCAGACATGGACATTCAGCTCATGCGTGAACAGTTCCATCGGCAAAGTGGTTTGCTGGGTATACGCAGTGGTGACGTGCTTCGGCAGCGCGAAGAAGACAATATGGTATATGCGATGGAAGACCAATGGATTGATAATATGGGGCAGGATCCCGTCCAGCGTCAAGTGTCCTCGGTATGGAAAAAGGGGATGTGGGGCCTATTGATTGGGTTTCTGTTTCCGCTGCTCCCGCTATTTTTTGTGTATGATTCGCCGATGATTCCGTGGCCGCGCCGCTCAGCCTTGCGTCTAGCGCATCAAGCTCAGGTTCTCCAACATACGCGTGAACTTGAGTCTTTGCTGGCGCAGCTGTCTGAACGCCTAGATGCCAGGTCAGGTGAGCTCGATACCGCGCAGCGAGCACGCATCGACAATGTCCGTCGCTCTGTCTTGATGCCGTTGGACCAATTTCGACAGAGTGTGGTGGAACGCGAAGCGACGCGAATGGACCAGCATGACAGTGGCACGGGATTCAATGGCAATGGATTGCGTACGCACACGACAGCCAACAACGCTGAGCCTCGCGAAGGTCGACAAGCACATGATAACGACGGCAACACGAACGACAACAGTGGCAGTAACTGGCGCGGGAACGGGAACGGCGAAGACGACGAAGACGACGACGATGAAGTAAACGAAAGCGACCATGTCGTCCGCGAAGGCGCCGCCGATCCAGCGTCTTGGCGGTCGCCTCTGGAGCGGCTTGGTGTGCGCGCTCCCCGGGTGAATCATTATGTTGTGTTTTCACCGGTCACGCTCTTTTGTATCATGATAGGGTTTTTGGTCAAGTACGTTCATCCACACAACGCTAACGCTAGTGTACTGGTTTGTATAATACGGTTTGCTTGGTAAAGGAGTGCGTAGTTCTACACAAATTCCCAAAACGCAGACGCGTGTCCAGGGGATGCTGGGGACAGCTGTGCCACTTGGCTCTCCAAGTGCACGTTCATTCTAGGGATTGGCTTACCCATCTGCGGGTCCGTTGGTGTTGTCATCCTCGTTGTCGTGATACGGAATGTCATCGTCGTCTGCATCGATCACCTCGTCATCGTCGTCGTCTTGGTCTTCCCTGTCACTAGCGTCTTTGTCATCTGCATCTCTGTCCTCGTCATCAAGGTCGTCATCATCCAAGGCAAACGCATTGTATAAATCACGCGATGGAAGTGATGACGAGCCCGAGCCGTGTCGAATCCAATCGAGTTGCATCGCTTCGTCATCGGGCAGATGTGTGTATGGACCACGCGCCCATGGAAGCAGGCGGTACCGAAGCGCAAAGATGACGAGGAGCAAGAGACCGATGAACAGCGCAAGCACAAGCACAGTGCCGATCCACGATGACGAGGAGCCTGAGAACACTGGGAGGAACGCAGTGTCGGCTTCAGGCCGGTCGGTCGGCAGGACACTTCCAAACACGTGACTTGTCTCGCCTGGGTCGACGTGGTGGTCTGGTGGAAGGGCAAAGGTTGGCTTCATGAGCTGGCGTGACGTGCTTGCATGGCCAGGGAACGACGATGCATACGCAGGCGGACTTCCAAGAACTGTCGTGGTAGGTGCGCCAGGCAGAGTGAGCTTTTGTTCGAGCGACCCATCGGGGAAGTTCCACGGCCGCGCTAGTTTAGGATCCTTCGCCGCTCCCCAGAACGTGAGTGACCATGCGCCGAAAGCGCCACGAGATGTTGACGACGATGAGGCATTGTTTCGATCGTCTGGCTCTGGGAGCTTGCCATGGTCAGACACTTCGATCGTCCATGTGCCGATGGGACTCTCGTTCCAGTGTTTCAGGGTCATGAACGTCCAGCCCGGGAACCCGTGTACGTCGTTGTCATAACGTCGCGGGCTCGCAAGCACACTCTTCGTGCCATGTGGTCCATACAGGGACACCTGGACGTCGCCGCGGCGTGGGTGTTCAATCCACACCTTGACAGTCACATGTTCGACAGAGGCCAGATTCGCCTCATTCATCATGGCTTGCGTGACATTCATGGTATTGTTGACCGGCTGCATAGGAGCGAAGCTTGCATTGACACCCTGCCGCGGCATCTCGAGCCAGGACTGGGGAGGAACGAGTTTGTGCTTGCGCGCATTTTCCACCAGTCTCGTCGCGTCGACGACACCGAATCCACTCTTGTGGCTGTACATGAGTCCAGCAGTGGTCCTTTGCCAGTCAGGGTCTTGCTCATTGACAGGCACGCTGGACTGGATGATCAGGTGCTGTGCATCGCGCCAGGTGAGCTCCGGCCGCACTTCTAGCGCCAGCGCCAGCACACCAGCCACAAGCGGAGCAGCGGCGCTCGTGCCACCATGGACCGATGTGCAGGTGCGATTCGATTGACCGCGCACATTGCTCGTTGTGATACTCAGATTCTTGCCAGAGCTCCATGCACTGGCAATGATAGCACTGCACATTTCTGAATAGTATGGGCGATGCCCGCTGCTGTCGACGGCGGCGATCGTAATGGTATAAATGGAATTCGTGTAGCCGTCAAAGTTGCATTGATCATCGAGACTGCCGCCATTCCCACCTGCAAAAACAAATAGACTGCCGCGACCCTTGCGTCCGTTGTAAATACCATTGAGCATCGCTTTGGCGACAAGGCCGTGCGGTCCATCCATACTGCGGCCAGAATCAGAGGGGCCCCATGAGCAGCTGTAGATGTCGCTGATCTGGTAGCCATAATTCAGGGCTGCAGCCTCGTCGGCGTCGCTGATAGGCGCGGAAAGGATCCGCACCGCTGCAATATGTGCATCGGGCGCGACACCAACACCACAGACATCATTCTTGGCCGCTGCAATCTCACCTGCACATCGCGTGCCATGTGTATCGTCAAACAAGCGTGGCCATGGCAGCTCTGTGTGGTCGTTGAAATCATACGAGGCAGCTGGCTCAAATGCATGCGCAATATCAGGATGCGTATATTCGACGCCATCATCAATCAGCGAGACAGTGACGCCTTTTCCCGAGGCAAGTTTCCATGCGCCTTCAATGTTCAAATCATGGCCTGGCATCTGCTCGTTCAGAATGTGCCACTGCTTGTAAAACAACGGGTCTCGGATGCCATATGCTTTTGCGAAGCTGTCTGTGCGATTGCTCGGCACAGGTGCGCGTGGCTCTTGTGGGTGATGCGATGCCAGCGGCAGTAGCGGCGGCGGTATGCCCGCGTTCCAGCTCGTTCTAGGGTATACATCAGACATAGAGCCTGGCTCGGGGATCGCAAGGCGCTTATGACGCATGCGGATCTTTTGGCGTTCTAGCGAGCGCACTGTATTGGAAAGGCATGCCATCGTCACACACTGTGAGCCGACGCATCGCTTCTCATGTCCGTTGTCGGACCACGCGGCGAACCGACGAAGCACAGGATCGTCCTGCTCCGGCACCTCAGCGAGCACTGATCGGCGAGCGATCGCATCAACTTTCTCTGCTCGTAGAAGCCAGTGGCCTTCAAGCTCGCCCACGCGCTCAACAAGCTCTGCATCCAGTGCACGAGCTACATGCTCCGGTGTCACTTGTGCGCTGCACGGATCGCGCTGCACAAGCTCAGCGACATAGTAGTGATGCGAGTCATACGTGCGCTTCTTGGGAAATGCACCCAGCACTGCTGGCATGCATGCTAGCACGCACACCAGTGCCGCAAGTGCCACGCGCATGCCGGTTGTCGTGGCAGCTGACGTACAGGATGGACTGCCTCGAGCGCTGAGCTTCTTTCCACACTCACGCGCCATACGATCTGCCTACACTTTGCTTGGCGCCAGACAGACTACTCATCACGTGATAAAACGCCCGAGACGCGAGCCCACTGTTCCACTGTCCCAATGCCTGGTCATCGTTGTACCTTGTTGTTCACACTCGTACGCTGCATTGTTGGCGCACCGTCAGGATGTCGACACACACATGAGCTTAAGCCCATGTGTGTGAGCCAAACCTTGTACTTGATAGCAATACGAATCCACTACGACATAGATATCCTACCCAATGTGACAGGTGCGCTTAGCTCTCACCATTAGTTCCTTGCAGTTTTCCCTTCGCCCGCTACTTGCTTCTATCTACCGCTCATTCTTCTACAACCGTTCACTGCGTGCCAGTAGCGGCAGCAGCACGCTTCGTGACATTTGCCGAGGCATCTTGCACCGATGACGAGGCGCCCTTGACGGCGGTGCTAGCCGCAGACTTCGGCTCATCCTTCTTGGTGCTTGGCTGCTGCTTGGCTGGCGGGGCGGTGCTGCTTCCACCCAGCATCGAGGCAAACAGACCCACCAAACCGAGAAGCACGGCAACCACAGCCGCATAGAATCCAACAATGTCCGACGACTGCTGCAGAACACGCAGCTTGTCCTGCTCGGTCGAAAGACGCTCCACAAGCACATTGGTGCGACGGCGGATCTGGTTCGCAAAGTGCTCGAGGCTCGACTTGGCAGCTGGTGGCTTGACCGTCTCATCGTCCTTGTCGTTGGTCTCCTGCTCCCTGTTCTGCTCAAGGGGCAGCTTTACACGGAACGTCTCGTCAGCAAACTTGGCAGCCTCCTTCGGGTCGTTGCTGATGTAAATATTGTCGAACTGGATGTCATCGTCCATCGTCCACAACTCAAAGCCAATACCGCCAATTGGCAGGAACTTGTTGGGCTGCTTGTCCTCAAAGTACTCGGGATTCTCAATCTTGCGAGGCGCCCACTCACCCTTGTATGCCGGGTTCGGGATCAGTGGCGGCGTCCACTTGCCCTTGTACGCCGGGTTCGCGACCATCGGCGCGGTCCATGTACCACAGCCCGACACGTCGTCACACTTCGGGTTCGGCACAGGAGGAGCGATCCACTCGCCATCTTCCTCATCGTCCCACTCCTCTGGCTTGGTAGCCTTGGGGTCCGGCACCATGAGGGGCTCCTCGTCCAGCCAGTCAATTGGTTTCTTGGCCGCTGGGTCCGCGATCATCGCTGGCGCATCCTCGTCCCAGTCCTCTGGCTTCACTGCCTCTGGGTCAGGGATCTGCGACTCGTCGACCCAATCTTCCGGCTTCGAGTCATTCGGATCGTCAATTTCCTTCGGTGGGTTCACCGCTGGCGAGAAGTCTTCCAGTAGGTTACCCTTCAGCACGGATTCCTCGTTGACTTGGATATCGAACGTGTTGTCAGGGTTGACAATGAGTGTGTACAGCGTCGATACCTTCGACACCTTCGCGTGAGGTGGCACCTTCAGGTGTTTCTCTTCCACATTGCCAGATACGGGGTTCTTGTGGCGGAAAATAAAGTGCAGCTTGCTGTCAGGCCCGCAGCGGTCCGGACCAAACATGATGGAGTATGGCGTCGTGTCGGCGAACTGCTTCGGGTCCAAGTCACTCTCGCTGCTGCTCAGCAGCTTGACATAAGCACCACCGCACGAAAGTCCATTCTGCATCTTGACTTCGTACTGCACGACCAGTGGCTTCGTGCCGTCAAACACAATCGGTTTGTCCAGCAGCGTGCTGATGGCGTGCTGCTTGGCCTTGCTCTTCATTGTCAGGGCCAGGTCACCAGGTATACCTGGGAACATCGATGCTTCCTCGACCGACCATACACCATCGTACTTGAACTCTTCTGCGCCACGCTGGAACTTGCTAGCCTGAGATGGCGTCCAGCGCGACTCCCAATCAGGCGTGAACTGCTCAACGAACAGGCCTCGGATGTTGCTGGGCACAAACGACTTAGCACTGTCGGCACTAACGCCGGACGCTTGCAGCGCAAGCAGCGCAAGCGCACTCGTACTCACTGCACCGCTGAACGACTTCATGGTGATGGTAGCAGACAAAAGGAGTATGAATCGAAAGAACACGTGCAACAACCAACCGCGCCGGATCCACGCGTGAACATAACCCGGGGCTGGGGAATTGGACACAGAACGTTCCACGTGGAGAGTTCCGTGCAAGGGGTCGAATTTTCCAGGGCGGCCCATGCGCTTCGCTGCAGGACACGTGGCATGCATGCATCATCGTTATCTTCATCTACTTAGGGAAGATGCGCTAGGAGCTTTTGGACCTGTTCGTGAACAGCGCGGCGACTGGTACCGCCAATGGCATTTCGGCGCTCCACACTCTGTTCGGGATCCCAGACAAGTTTGACATCGTCCTCAAATGCGGGATGGAGCGTACGCAGCTCGCTGAGCGTAAGGTCGGATAGCTCACACTTGCGGTCCTCAGCAAGCTTGACGGCCGAGCCCGAGATGTGGTGCGTTTCACGGAACGGAATTCCTTTGCGTACAAGGTAGTCCGCCAAATCAGTTGCTAGCATATCTGTGGTCAGTGCCGCACGCATCTTCGTAGCATGGATGCTCATAGTGCTCAAGACGCCCGTTAGGATCTGTACGCACGCCTTCGTCGTGTCCACAGCATCGAACAACGGCTCCTTGTCTTCTTGAAGGTCTTTGTTGTACGTAGAAGGGATGCCCTTGAGCGACATCATAAATCCACTCAAATGCCCGAATAGGCGCCCGCTCTTGCCGCGGAGCAGCTCCAAACTGTCTGGGTTCTTTTTCTGCGGCATGATGGATGAACCGGTGCTGTAAGCGTCGCTCAATTGCACGAACCCAAACTCCGACGACGAATAGATAATGAGGTCCTCGGCCATCTTGCTGACATGCACAGAAAAGAGCGATGTCCACATCATCATCTCAACAATAAAGTCCCGGTCTGAGACGCTGTGCATACTGTTCGATCCTACGACGTCAAAGCCGAGCTCCTTCGCCAGAGCTTCTCGGTCCAAGCCAGCAAATGGATTCCCAGCCAGCGGCCCCGCCCCGAGCGGAAGCATCGCGACTCGTGGACGCATCGCGCGCAGACGGTCCAAGTCGTATGCAAAGTACGTCGCATGCGACAAAAGCCAGTGAGACCAGCGAATTGGTTGTGCACGCTGAAGATGCGTGTAGCCTGGCATCAATACATCCACTTCATTTTCCGCTCGCTTGGCCATGACACGTAACAAGTCTGCCATGAGCGCGACAAGTGCATCGACCTCATCCAATAGCCACATGCGCATATCTGTTGCGACCTGGTCATTCCGGCTACGTCCCGTATGTAGCTTGCCTGCCACAGGCCCAATAAGTTCTTTGAGCCGTCGCTCATTCGCTGTGTGGATGTCTTCATCCTCGGGTGCTGCCTGGAAGGTGCCTTTTTTCCATTCTTCTCCCACGCGAGCAAGTCCCTCGCGAATTTCTTCTGCTTCCTTTTCACTCAAAATTCCACAGCCGACGAGTGCTTTCGCATAGGCCTGTGACCCACGAATGTCCTGGGCCCACATGCGCTTATCGTACGATAGCGATTCGTTAAACGCATGCATAACCGGATCCGTTTCTCCCGTGAAACGACCACCCCAGAGCTTCTTTTTTGTAAAGTCTTCTCCCGACATGAATGGCAAGTGCTAGGATTATATAGTTTGATTTAGTTTCGTTTCAGAGCAAGATCCCTCACAAAGTCAGGTGCCAAGAAACATCCGATGGGTTCCAAACTTGTCGATCTGACCACACTGGCACTACTGATAACCTTTTGGGTATGTGGAGACATCCTATCAACAACAGTGAAATATCAAATAAAACTACTGTTGAGCACATTGCACATTCGGCTCGTCAGAGTCAAACATGTCTTCCTGTCGCTTTTGTTGGTGCTGAGTACCAATGTGGGTGCCGAACTGTGTGTGAGGTCTGTCAAGATATAACGTACATCATCCATGGTTCCAGACACAGTTGTAACATCCTCTTGCAAGTGCTCAGGCACCGATAAGACAGGTCGTCTAGGAGGAAGCAATGCCTCAAGTGTCTGGGGAGGGTGGGGGTTAGCACACACACAAACACGCACGTACCTTTGCATCAACAGATGAGGCCCATTCATCAGTTGGAAATTCAATGTTCCATTGAATGAATAGATCACCTTTCCGGTCGTAGTAACGCTGGTCCATCATGCCCTCACCACGAATAACATCTACCTGACCAGGTCGGATGACTTGTCCCCTCTTTTGTGTTACATGGATGTGGCGGCCATCAAGATGTGTGAGTATCGTACGAGAAAAGCCCGTCAAGGCTTCAGACAATGTGATAGTAACGTTGGCAAGCAAGTCCAAGTTCCGAACTTGGAACGTGCTATGAGGCTTCTGATGGAGCTCAAAGATGATGGATGCAGGCTTGGTGTCAGGAAGCTGATCGCCCTCACCCTCAAACACTATGCGCTGCTCATCATAACCACCACGCGGGATATCGAGGCGCAGCTTCGCTTTGGCACCAACGACACACCTGCCTCGGCACTTTTTGCATTGATCCTTTTCTCGGTATTTCTTGCCCTTGCCGTTACAATCAGAACACGTAGCCATTGTCTGAGAAATAAGGCCATTTCCAGCATGACGCTGTTGAAGGAGCCGGCCCTTGCCACCGCACGTAACACAGTCTTTCTGCACAGTACCTGGCTTGCCGCCTGTTCCGTGACAATGCGAGCAAACGACATTCTTTTCCAACGAGAAATGCGCTGTCTTGCCATTGTATAAATCTTCCAAAGTAACGTCGTATGGAATCACAGAATCCTGCGCACGGCGCGGTGCTCGAGGCCCCATGCCAAAGCCTGATGCACCGAACATGGAAGCTAAACGTAAGTGTCACACGATGCCGTACGTACCCAGTACATCATCCATGTCAACGCCACCACCAGGGAATCCGGGTCCTCCATCTTCACCATACTTATCGTAGGCAGCACGTGCATCAAGATCTGACAGTGTCTCATATGCATTAGCCACTTCCTGGAAACGCTGCGATGCAGTTTCGTCGCCAGGATTCTTGTCCGGATGATTCGCAAGCGATTGCCTTTTGTACGCTTTTTTGATTTCATCAGTCGATGCGTCTGGCGCAACACCCAAGACATCATAGAGCCTCGAGTCCACCACCATACCGACTCTATTTGTCTTCTCTTGCTAACGGGCGCAAACGCCAGCTATGGTCGATCTCGCTGACACACGACGATGCTTCAATTATCGCGCGCCGATTCGGAGGCAACGTGGCCCGATCGAAGAGCGCTTTTGAGACACTTACTAACTCGCTTACATACACAGGTATCACACTCACCCTTCGCACGATTGCATTGCATGGCTGACTTTTATGTGCGTGCGGCGCGCACCATGCAGGATGTGCTTGCACATCGCGGTTCGATCAAAGCGATTTCTGCCGGAAATGGTGATTTGAATCATGCAAAGCGCATCATGGCACTGGTGGTCAACACGTTGTCGTATCGAACGGTGCTTCTGCACATATTGAAGCAGGTCGATATGGCGAAGAAGGAACCTAAATGGTTTGGCGGTGCGTCTCCATTGAATCGCAAAGCAAGCGATGCATCATCAAATGCACCAGGGATGGCAGATTGTGTCATGCTCGTCCTGTTACACGATCTTTTGTTTACGTCGAGAGGCATTCAGGCAGCCAAGGCGTGGCCGCCCCGAGTGTGCATGGAGAAATACAAGTCTCAACTACACGCCGAACTTGTTCGTCTGCAGATCCGCCAAGGTAAAAAAAGTGCTGAAGAATTGCGCTCAGGTGCAGCCGAGCGCCGACTCGCTGCGCGCATTCCGCGTTGGTGCCGAATCAATACGCTCAAGATTCGTGAAATAGATGCCATCCAACAGCTGGAAACAGCAGGCTTTGAGCTCGTCAACAATACAATTCTCACGAAAGAGTACGTACATTCAACACTAATGGAAGATCGCAGTTTTCTCGCTCTCATCATGTGAGGAACGTGCTGGCATTTCATTCTAAAGCCACGTCGAAACTCATCAGTCTCCCCCTATTCAAATCAGGTGGTCTGATCATGCAAGACTTGGCCAGCTGCTTTCCAGCTGAAGTGCTAGGTTTTCATGGGATTCATGACGAAGACGTGCATGCTCTTGATGCCACAGCTGCCCCGGGCAACAAGACCACGCACCTCAGCGCACTTATGCAAGGACAAGGTACATTGACTGCACTAGAACGGGCACCACAGCGATACAAGACACTTGTAAGAATGCTCGATCGCGCAGGATCTTCGTCTAAGCATGGTGGAAATGTGAATCCAAAGAGTAAAGACTTCCTCTCACTTGACCCTGAAGACGAGGAATGCGCCAAGATTCGTTACATGCTTCTTGATCCCAGCTGCTCAGGAAGTGGCATCGTCAATCGATTGGACTATTTGACCAGTCAAGACGATGAACAAGACAACTTGGAACAAGTGATACCCGGTGACCAACACACCAAAGCATTTGACGCACGACTTGCTAGTTTGGCTAGTCTGCAACAGCGCATGATTCAGCACGCTATGAAGTTCCCCAATCTAGAGCGCTTTACGTACTCTACTTGTTCCGTTCACGCGGAAGAAAATGAGCATGTGGTCCGGCAAGTACTAACCTCGCCCGAAGCGCGCCAGGGTCATTGGTCATTAGCACCTCGTTCTGACGTCATTCCTACATGGCCAAGTCGCGGACTAGCAGAAGCGTGTGGCGGCGATGAGACTATGGCAGATTGCCTCATACGTTGTACGCCAGGGGGCCAAAGCGAATGTGCCGACAACAGTGTACATTGTGATGCGACGAACGGTTTTTTTGTCTGTTGCTTCGTCCGCACTCCTAAGATTTCCGTGCAGGATTCACCGCCGCCTTTGAAACGGAGGCGCCGTTAGGACGGCATTGCTAGAATCGGTGCCTCATCCGGCCATGCGCCCACTGATTGAATCTGTGCAATCGTTTCCTCGTCGCCATACATAATTGTCTGGTTTCGCGAGAGTGTATGCGACACTGTGCCAATCCACACGGGGTCTTCTCTCACTGTATATACCTCATAGCATGTAGCCCATGGCACGACATCTGACCATGACAGTACACCATTATGCCATGTAGCATCAGCCTCTAGGTACTGGGATGAACTTATCTCAATCTGTCCAATGAGCACAGAGCCTGATACACCCAGTATGACATGCACTTCGTTCTCATAAATATCTTCTGGCAGAGTCAATTCAACTTTATAAAGTTGCCATCCATTAACTCTTTGAATACTTTCACATCCTCTGAGCAACCGTGAACCGACATGAATGCAGGGCACAATTTTTGCACCTTTGGCGCAGACTCGAAGTGTAGCGCTGCGAGAGGATGCTTCTCGAGGCATCGGCGCTAAAGCTAGAATCGGAATGTACGATTCAGAAGACACTTCTACACAAAGTGATTGTGATCCGCTCCATGCATCTTCGCAAGACAAATGTGTATGAACAGCGGCTTTTACATACGTGCCACTTTCATTAAGAACATATTTGACATTGGGCCATGCTAAAGTCGGTTTAGGTGCACTGACGCCTTGATCCGACCAGCCATGCTCCTTGTCGTGGTACACATTTCGGCCTTGCACGAACCAGTGTGTCCCGGATCCCAAGCAGAAATTTGTGCGGAATCCATAACCATGTGTTGAATCACCGTGCCATAAATACGCTCGATTAGGGAAATACTTGGTGATGCAATGCAGCCCGTCTTCCCAGAACTCACAGTCCTCTTTCCACCACGCATCCCACGAACGAGCAGGGGGCGAATCATGTTCCCAAGTCCAGCCGGGAGCAAATAAGGCTACACTCAGATTGTATCGTTTACCGCTAGCGAATCCTTCGTTCCCCAAATGCAGACCAAGAAGGTCGATAGCTTTCGTTGCGTCGTGACCCCCAAGGCAATTACGTCCGAACACGTCCACACCCATAAACACATTATAGCGAGGAAACAGACAATGATCAGCCATCGAAACAGTATGCTCAAGACAAGGGTTCAGAAATCCGTGCTTGCATCGCTCTGGATGCGACCAAGTGTAGTTGATAAAGGCAGAAGAAGCAGCTTGAATGTACGGTGCATTGGCGATAGTCATGGCATCTTGCCACGCAAGCTGACCTTCGGGGTATGTCACAGAGTCGTACCAAACGACATGCCAGACTGGTCTGCTTTGCTGACCTTTTTCACGGAAATATTGGACCCAACGCCTGAGTCGTACAGCATTGTGTAACCGATCCAATCTCTGCAAGATTGGGTTTTGAAATGGATTCAGTTGCAAAGAGGTTTCAACATTGACAAGAAAACCATCAATATCATATGCAGCGGCCAAAAGCACAAGTTGATCTGCAAAGTGCTCCGAAAGTTCGACACGCACCGGAGTGCGCCATTTTGGATGGGGTCCATCAAGTAAGAGCTTCAGATCTGACTTCGACTGGTCCCACTCGAAGATTAATGTGCCTAAAACTTTCGTACCATGGAATCGAGCCGCACGAATCCATCCAGCAGGAGGAAGTGAGACTCGTTTGTGTGAGAAGTATACCATCAAATCGGTGCAAGCCCAACGTTCAAATGTATATCCTTGAGCATGGGTCTCCTCGGCGTAGCCCCCTTTAAAGTCATGGCAGACAAGTAGGCATGGCTTGTTCTTGTATAATGGAACCGCTCGCGTTGGAGAAATTGGAGCTGCCGGAAGTTTTGAAACGTATTCATCCATAGCATTCAATGACTCAAAGAAAGCGGGCCGCTCAGGTGGCCCAAGCGCCACACCATCATGCTCCTGAACCGGCATTCTAAGGCGGTCAAGAGTCCAACTTCATGAGCCTCCACTTGATGATATTAAGTTCTTTTCGGTCGCCATGTCGTTCAACGACTTGGAGCAGGGTCGCCTTGTTCCGGACGAGCCTAGACACCAATTAAGTGAGGATTCAGGACATGAAGCAAGCCGTGTTGAGAGTCAGGCATTCATGCATCTCACGGAACAAGTAGGATTGCATGTGTTTCGTATTAACGCAAATGTGGCAACACTCGAAAAACTTGACGCTGACCTGCGAAAAGCCACGGACGGGGATCAAAGCAAAACGGACAAAATTATGAAGCACTTTGCAGACCTGTGCGAACAGACACGAAGTATAGTGAAAGAAGCAACCGAAGATGTCAAGAGTCTTTCCCGATTTCCGGTTGGCGGCACGGGGGGGGCAGTGCGCCGCACGTCACCGTCTCGGCTGATGCAGGTCAAGTTACAGCATGACTTTCAGGATGCCCTAGCTGCATTCCAAAAAATCCAAAAATCTGGCATCCGCAAAGAAAAAGTGGCTTTGGCACACGCGAAGCAACGAGGAAATGAAGCCAATAGCTTGGAAACACAATCTGAGAATCAGCCACAGCTACAAGAGCAGCAGCAAACTCAAGTACATGTTTCTCGGCTAACCAATGAGGAAATCGAGTTTCAGGAATCTATTATTGCTGAGCGTGAGGCTGAGATTCGCGAAATTGAACAAGGTGTGCAAGAGCTAAATGAGATCTTCAGAGATCTCAGCCATATCGTTCAAGAACAGGGTGGAATGATTGATAACATCGAGTATAATATTGGCAATATTTCTACTAGTGCTCAGGGTGCTGATCGCGAGCTGTTGCGCGCAAATACGTACCAGCGTCGTGCAAAGCACCGTGGGTTGTGTCTCACAATGATTGTCGCTATGGTGGTAGCTTTAGTGCTTGTGGCGGTACGTATTGTGCATCTAACGATCAGCTGTTGGGATAGTATTTGTGAAAAATAATTGCATTAGTTACCTACTAATGCAACCTATATCAAGTATTCGTTATCCGAGCATGTCTTGGATCACAATCTAGTGTTTTGACATTGTAAGTAATTTGATATAGAAATTTCCGTGTTACGGTGCATCATAGAACGTTTGTGGAGATTGCCAACTAAATTACATCGCACCATCCTCCGCCATGTCAAATCAAGGAGGAAAGCAACAACGCCAGTCTAATGGTGGAACCTTTGCGGGGCCCAATTCGAACAACATGTTTGGCGCAAACATGCCTTCATCTGTATATCCAAAGGATTCTGTGAAGGATGTTGCTGAGTCCTTGGGTATCACAAATTTGCGCGATAATATCGCCACGGCACTAGCCACGGATATTGAGTATCGGATTCGTGATATTGTACAAAGCGCATCTAAATGCATGAAACATGCAAAACGTACACGTATGACGACATCGGATATTGACCATGCTTTGCGCCAGAAAAATATAGAACCGCTGTATGGTTTCTACCCCCCATACACGGGTGGTAAGAAACAGGGTCCTTGGTTCCGGACTGTTCCTACAACCTCAGGTGCCCCACTTTATGTGTTAGAGGACGAGGAAATCAACTTTGAGCATATTTTGGAGCATGGTCCCCGCGTTGGTGTGGGTCGTGGTGTGGGGTGGCATGCTCATTGGCTGGCTATTGAAGGAGTTCAGCCACCCATTCCTGAAAACCCTGTGCCTCTTACTCGCAAAATGGCCGGTACAGATGACACCTCATTAGCAGATGCAGGCGAAGCTGCAGCTGAGCTTGGAAATACGGCTGTCAAGCCTCTCGTGAAGCACGTCTTGTCAAGAGAACTACAGCTGTATTACGAGCGCCTCACCTCATCGATTCTTAGTCCACCAACGGATGCAGAGACTGAGACGGGTACTGCTTTACCTCAAGAGGGTATGCCCCTTTCAAACTACTCAGACATTTCCAGTGGCAACCTAGTCCGCGATGCTGCCCTTTCAAGTTTGCGTGGTGATGCTGGTATTCACCAACTCGTGCCATACCTAATTCAATGGGTTGGATCGAATGTTACGCATTCACTCCGACTTCCACCTACAGCTCAAGATCCAGAGAAAAAGCTTGAAGAGCAGAAACACACGATTCAGCTTCTTCATACAATGCTGAGCACTCTTCATGCACTTTTGGTTAACACTTCTATATTTATTGAGCCCTACGTAAGTACTAAACAGCATGCTCTCTAACGCCTAGCTTCATCAACTTATGCCCTCTGTGCTTTCCATTTTGTTGGCCACGTACTTTGACGCCTCGACTGGCAAGCAGATTGAAGCCTTGTCACAAGGATTACGCCTTTATGCTGCTACACTACTGGTCTACATAATTGATCATTTTGCAGAATTCTATCCTACACTCAAGTCACGCATCGTTGCGACCCTAATACAGGCTTTGGTTTTAGATGTGGATGATGGTACATCAAAAACAGTGCCTGAAGCATCTGGTTCACTCGATGCGAAGCTCGGTGCACTAATGGGTCTTAGGAAACTTGGACCCTCGAGCTTTAAAACGTTGTTAGGTCCTGTGTCTGTCCAGCCAGGTGTGTCAGCGAACCAGCAATCCCAGCTTGTTCCATTGAAAGTCATGGGAGATTGGCTTGCTGAGCTGGGCTCGGGTGACGAACAGGTGCGCTCTAGCCGTGATCGCTTTATCCAGGAAATCAAGGGCGGTTTGGACGGTCTTGAGAAGGATACGGCTGAGCCTAGCTCTGAGGCGTTAGAGAAATTGCGCAACACGTACGGCGCGTTTTGGATTGACACTCTACACGAAGACACGACCAAGTTATCTGTGCTAGCTCACTACCAGACTCTTATCGCCTCGTGAACTATGACCGCTGTGCTAGTTCTTTGTAATCGACCAGACGTAGAAGATTACGCTGTAGCATAGAAACAGTGATCTTGCCAATGGCCGGTAAGTATGCCGAGGCCCGACTGCGAACGTCACTCTCGAAGTTCTTTTCAGAACTGAAATTTATGCAAATAGCATCTTGTTTGATCCATGCAGTAGGGACCTTGAAGCTGGCTGAGGGTACACCACCAATAACCACGTCAGAGGCACGTACACAACTCTCAGAATCTTTGTAAGGACAGGCTTGGACAATGTGGGAGGGTCGAAGCCTTGCAGAGGAATTGTCGTTGTGCGCTTGAATTACTTTAGATGATTTCTTGTAACCCGATGTTGGGGCATTTTGCTCCTCATTGTCCTTACGTTTGGTAAATTCGACAATTGAGTCAATGTCGACAGAGAAAACACGTGCACCATCGTTTGAAAGGAGCGCAGCAAGAGGACGTCCCACTACCTCAGATCGGTTGATGACTGTAATTGTCTTCCCATGAAGCCGGTCGCCGTACGGAAGCTTGCTGTCATAGACACCCACTGACTCGAGGCACTTGACCACTGCTAGTGGCGTGCATGGAAGAATGCTTTTGCAGAATCCTTCGGGTACATTCTCTTCATCTACAACGTTAGAGTCAAGCCCCACAAGTTCGGCTTCATTCGTTGTACCAGGAGCACAACCCAGCTGTGACGGCTTGATCCAGCGAACGTTGTGATACATATTCCAGCAGTAGAAGAAATGCAGGCCTTCTACATCTTTACGCGGATCCACAATTTGCTGCAGATATGTGTCTTGTCGACCTCCAAAGATTGGGTAGTACACCATGATGCCATCTACACTCTTGTCACGGTTGGCTGCTAGAATTAGATCCTCAACGTCCGCTTCCAAGTCGAAGTTCTGGAGGCTCTCAGCTTCATTTTTTTCTGCCTCATTCACGACAGTCGAATCATCCCATGTTTTCCAAATCTCAAAATTGATGCCCACAGCCTGGCAGGCTTTGGCTGTCCATTCTGCATACGCGATGGAAGGAGGACTTGGTTTGGCCAGAATTCCTACAAGCTTTGGAACAGGAAGATGCTTTTCTTTACGAACTCCAATTTCCTCTTCGATACTCTGCTGAAATGGTTTCGCGATTGCTGCTGCCTGAAGCAGTTTGCCAGGATACTCTGGCTTTGGCTGCTGCACGGACGTCATGCTTGAGTATGGAGGCCGATATTATTGTCGAACTCATTTTTCAGTCAAATTAAAAACGCATCCACGTGACAACTCGAGAGGGTTGATTCTTATGGTACATCTACCCATCCAATGACTATCAATACCAGTACTCGATCAGTGAGATAATATTCTTGAAAGATGTGTTGTTAACTAGCCGACTCCTCATTCTTAGACTGAGCATCTCCCGATGTTATTTTATCGGGAGTATTTTCTGACCAAGCATCAGAAGCACGAGGCTTGCCAAAGAAGCCCTTGCTCTTCTTGCGCTCATCTTCTTTCATAAGTTCTTCACGCCGAACACGATCTTGCTCTCGGATCTTCTCGTCAATTTGGCGCTGGCGCTCATTGACATCGACAGGCTTGGCAGCACCGAACGGGTTTGGTTTTGACGAGGTGCTCTGAGAAGCTTCATTTGAAGCAGCTGCGCTACGAGGCTTGAGCTCCAGCTTCCGGCGCTCCGGCAGTGGAGCAGCTCCTCCATCTGCCGACGGCTTCTTTGAGCGCCAGGCGGAAAAGTCAGCATCATCATAACGTTGACCGAAGCCACCACGGCTAGCCGCACCGCCTTCGTGATCGCCAAACCCAAACCGAGATGACTTGCTCGTTACTGGTTTCCCAGTTCGCCAATCTGATGCTACATCACCTGCACTAGGTTCAATAGGCTCCATTGGACCACGACGACGAGGCATGTCATTGCTGGGTGCGAACTTGCCACCAAATCCAGTACGTGCGCCATCAGATGAGATTGACATGTTGTCAAAGCCAGATGGTCCGTCAAACCCGCCGAAAGGACCACGTCTAGTGTCGGACGAGGGAAGAGGGGTTGAGCGGCGCCATTGGGTAGCATCATCAGCCGCTGCACTCCTTGCAGCGCGCGATGAAGGCTCTGCAACACTCACACGAACGTTTCGATTATCCAAAGGCTTTCCTGTGAATGTGAGAGCATCTTTTAGCTCGTCAAGAGTTTGAAATTCAACGTATCCGTAGCCACGTGGACGACCGTCATGGCCACTTACGAGACGAACACTGATGGGATTCATAGGTTCAAAGAATGCGCGCACTGCGGCTTCATCGCTTTCGAACGACAGATTGACCACAAATGCAGTAAATGGAGGCTGTGTGGGAAGAGGCGGCTCTTCACGCAATGGCGGTGGGGCACCGTCAAAACGGGAGCGCCCCATAGCACGAATAGACGGCGCAGCTCCATCCGTAAATCCTGCTGAGTTGTCCCGCGGAGCAGCTGATCGGTTAGCTATTAAAGAATTATAACTTACGCGCACTTGGCAGATCATCCATTTCATCCGCCCATGATGTACCGGTCGCTACAAGATGTTAGATTGACTCGACAACATGGAAACGCCAGATTCACGCACTTTCATCGGCAAGGAAGTCTACTAGAGACATCTTATTCTTTTTCGGCGCTGTTCCTAGTCAGAATATGACACTCTCACAAGATGATGCATCCCAGACGAGAAACACAAGTCACAATAACATACCCATTCTGCAAAAAGATCACAACTGGTGAAGAGAAGTCTCACCAATCTGAACTTGCCCTACAAACATGACACGATACACGCCTGCACATGACTTCTTCATACTACAATTCAAATACAAAACCGTAAGAAAATAAAATCATTAAAATCTAACAATAAACATTTCATGTTCTTACAGAATTGATTTTCGTAATTATATAAAATAATGTTCAAAAATTAAAATTTAAACAAACGATATAATAATTTTATTTAAGATACATACACAATGCATGAGTATAAACATAAAATAATATATTAATTTAAAATTGTATTTTTTAATATATATATTCGAAAAATATAAATTTTAATGTATCAATCACTATTATTTTCTGTATTATAAAAACATTTGGGTTGATAAAGTAATATTTTAATTCGAAATATTTTTCACGTTAATTTCTATTGAACTTCATTGTATCCTATGATCAACGACGACCGTTCGATGTCGAGGACTGACGACGTTTCTTCACCGCTACCTCTCTCAGTGCCAGATTTAAGATATGCATATTGTTGGGTTTGTTCTGAAGAGGAGGTACGAGATACTCTAGCTGGCTCGCTATCCTCAAGTTACCGAACTGATGGTTATTCATCTTCGCGCTCTCGATTTGTTCACCCCTGTAAATGTTCACTCGTTGCTCATGAGAAGGTAAGCTTTGGGTGCAGTACAACGTGGTGCTTAAACCTCTATTAGTGTTTGCTTTCTTGGATTCGCCAGTGTAATCGAAACAAGCCCGGAGAACCTATTGTTTGCCCTCAGTGCAAGGAGCCCTATCAACTTGAGCAACCACGATCGATTGCATTGTCGATCCTAAATTACGTGAATAACGCGCTAAGGTCTTTCTTCCCTGTGGGTGCCAGCGCAATTGCCTTAGCAGGTATTTGGATTGCTGCGGCCGCGCATGGGTCATGGTCAGTGCGCATGTTTTTTGGAGAAAGAGTTGCTAGCCGCCTTCTAATTTCTCCGTGGCCGTCGCACGTACGTTGATGTCTGGCTAACATTTAGTACTGGATTGATTTGCCATTAGTCCCGTTCATGTTGATTGCAAGTCGGCTTCCTATTTTCGCTAACTTTTCTACATGGATTCCAACCTTAGCACTCATGCCCCTGACGGGCTCAATAAATACGTCTCCGATGAGACCAGTGTTCAATCGCTATCCGGCACGAGCGATGTTTTCTAACGGTTACCCGCCAGATCCTTTCATGACTGCATTGCTACTACCATGGTTGCGTGTGTTGTACCTGGCTTGCAAGCGTTTCGCCTACCGCTATATCTTACTCACAAATTCATCTCAACAAGGCATTCAAAATACATTTCGTGCGGGAATAGATGCAAGATCGTCTTGGGGGCCGCGAATGGTCATTATGGGTGAAAATAATAGTGCTGGAGAGCTGGTAGATGGGGGCAGGACTGATGAACTCGACACCTACAACATGCTGGATGACGGCTCGCTCGTGGGGTTGTCGGACGAGACAGATGAACAAGTTTTGTTGGATGACCTTGAACTTCACATGATGGAACGAGGTGTACTTCCTGTCAACATTCTTGTTACTGTTGACAGCTTATCAAGATTGTTTGTTCAGGCATTGTGTTTCCCACTGGTATCCAACATAATGGGGGGTTTATTAGGGAGTGCGAGTCAGTACAACTCGTATCTCCGGAAATGGTTGGGCATTGCTCCAGGAGTCACGCCCGAGATTGATATTAAAACTTGGTTCAAGGGTTTGTGGGTCGATTGGATGAGTGGATATACTGCCGTCGGACGAAGAAAAGCCCGTTGGATGGACTCCAACAGTGGGATACTTGATGAGCTGGATCCAGTATGGTATCGGAATTTGATTGGAGGAGGAATCTACATCTTGATTAAAGATATAATGGTGTTGACTTATCGGTACCTGCGGAAAAGGCAGAGTCAACAGCTTCGTGTAAAAGATCTTCCTTTCAGTGAAGGTGTAGCGAAAGAGCTAATCAAGTCCTTTCCGTCTTAAATATATTCTACAAATGCTGGAAATTATGCCATGACAAGTTTACTGTAGCTTGGAGGGGCTATACGTGCATGCACAGCCTTGATTAGATATAAAGGAAAACTGCTTACCAGCACAATGATAGCAGTCTTCCACAAAAAGTTGTAGGTGAGCACGAACTTCAAATCAAAGTACTCTGGCAGTACAGCCATGCTGAAACAATAGATCAGTAATGTGACAATTTCCGACAAGATCATGTAGGAGTGCCATGTGGTGATTTCCAGTGCCACCATGATCAATTCATTAAGAATCAAGGCGGTAAAAGAAATGCTAACAATATTGAGAAACTCATTCTCAAAGAGCCAAAGACTCGCAAGGATAATAGCACCACCTTGGTAAACACTAATGGTGAGCCATGTGGTAAATGTTTTACCAGATAGATTGCGACCTTTCGTCAGATCCTTGTACAACTCTGGATACAACAATGCCATGTCTTCATTCACATCACGATCGAGAACGAGACTGAACACAGGCGCCATTGTATAGAATGTGGCGTAGCCGACCATGAGCCACCCTTGGTACAGAGCGATAGGTGCAAAGAAAAAGATAGAAGAGAAAACTGCCTGTATCACTGAAATAATCAGGCCCCGGTGAATCACAAACTGTGCTAATTTCGCACTGCGTTGATAGGAGTTGCGTCCATGCCACAACAGCAACTTGGAAAGATGACTGAACTGTGTCACAGAAAAGTCAGCTGCTAAAGAAGCTTGTTTGCCTTCCTTTCCAACAATCCCAATCCCAACATTGGCAGCTTGGATCATTGACACGTCATTACCACCATCCCCTATACAGCACACGCGCTTATTCGTAAATGATCGGATGAGACGAGTAACATCAGCTTTTTGAGTGGGCGAGCATCTGCACGCCACAACGACAGAAAGCTGTGTTGCAATCTCGATGAACTCGTGCTTGAAATGATCGAAAAAGAATTGCAACGAGTCGCCGTCGATCACCAAACAACAATCCAGCTTGGACTGCAGAAAAAGGAGCGCGTCTCGAGCAGCGCTGAGTGTCGAGACCTTGGATACTTGGTGAATATACTGATTCCGAGCAACTAGCTTGGTTGAGATAGCAATGCACGTGGCCGTCTCGATTTTGTCTCCCGTTAACATCCAAATCTTAATATTTGCATTCCGCAACAACTCCAACGTGGTTTTGACATCTTCTTGTAGCTTGTCCTCCACACCTGTCAAACCTAATAATTCCATGTTTTGCTCCAATTTAGCTGCAACAACGTCAGCCATGGCTTCGTCCCGATGCTCGACAAGGATCTTTGCTGCATTGTAAGAGCGTTGGAATTGTTGCCAAGACTCTTCACTTAAGCGCAGCCTAGCCATGACCAGGGTTCGAAGCCCTTCTCGAGCCATGTTTCCACACTCCTCATCCAGCCAATCATTGTAGGTAACGATGCGACTCATGACTACGTCAGCACCTTTGAGGTAGAAAATGACTTCACCAGACGAGCGATCACGCACGACGATGCCCATACGTTTTCGCTCAGAAGTAAAAGGAAATACTTCTAGGATATCAAACACAAGCCTGCCAAAGTCAGACTCAAGAGTAATCGAATGTTGATCACGAGCCACAAGGTTTAGTCCCACAGTGCCGGTCCAGTTTACGAGAGCGACTTCATCTGGACTCGATGCTTGGTAAGTCACGCTGCCATCCTCGTTCGTTACAGGTGTCACGTTGTGACATAAAGCAAGTGCAAGAACAATTTCATATACGCGCATGCTCATATCGCGCCATGTACGAGTGCGTCGAACATCTTTTTGTTCGTGAGCCTCATGCATCTGTTTCCGAACTTCATCCATGCTATCCCATCCATAGCTCATTGTGCCTAAGTGCAGGCGCTTAAGTTCCATCTCATTCTGAGTCAGAGTGCCAGTCTTGTCACTGAGCAAGTACTCGATACGGCCAAGTTCTTCAGGCAGTGTCGACGTACGCACGATCGTATCAGGGATATCATGGTCACCCATAATCTGTCGCGCGTATACAGTCTTGCCCATATCGAGGTTAACTCGCAAACTGATCGGTATAATCGAACTAAAGAGGATCAGGAAGCGGAATACGTAAATATACCATTTGCCTCGGAACCCATTGAGAGCGACAAGGAGAATGGACAATGACAGTGTAACAGCGCAAAGAATCTTGGACAGTCGATTGATTTCAAGATCTAGCAAACCAACCTTTGTTTGAGGATGTGATGTATTCATAACTGAGCGGGTCTCTCGGCCCGTGTATATGACCATGCCTATTGCACGTCCAGCAGCAAGCACGGTATTTGCCCACAATACATGATCGACAGTCAGTGGCGTGACATGCGGCTGGGCTGAAAGTGCCATGTCGCGCTCATCGCTGTCCCAAGCAGGAGGCAAGTCTGTTGGTGGATGAATCGTAAATGTGCCAACAAACGAATGCAAATCCTTTGAGGGAGGACCAGCAACAACGACGGCCCGAGATCCTAGAGCTGTGATGTCGTCCTCTGACATGTTTTGCGTCGCAGGCACAGCGAGCCGCAATTTCCAGTCGGTCTCGCCGTCAAGTTGATCCGTGCGAACGAAGCACGTTCCTGTCTCTGACGAGCCACTTGATGACTCATTCGTATCATCAGACGCATCTGCTGCATACGTCTTAAGCAACAACATATCAGCTGGTACACGCTGGTTCTTATGAAGCATGACCAGATTACCAACGCGCAATCGGCTACTCGGCACATGAGAAATTAGAGTGTCAGACAAAGTTGGTGCTTCAAGATCAGATGTTGACGTGTGGTGAGCGCTTCTTGAATGTTCAGGAGTGGAGCTAGGACCCTGGCCGAGTACAGCGTACGGAGAACTGTTGCTTTCGACATCCCGTTTATGGCGCTCGTAGTCGTCCATAGCTTCCTTTCCAATCGTCACGCAAAGAACGAAAGAAAGTGGCGCAATATATGTGACAAGAAATCCAATCTTGAGCGCAGGAATAAATTGGCTCAGTGCGACAAGCAGAAAGTACAGGTTGAAAAAGAACTTGAATTGCTCATATAGCACGAGAGGTAGAAACGTCACGAGGTTATATTTTTGGTTGCGCACCACATTTGGAGGGTATCGTGCTTGCATATTCTCCGGCTCATCGAGCGTGATTGTGCGGTTTGTAGGCAAATCACGACGTGACCACTGAAACCATCGCCACATTCTCCATGGCGGCGATGCTCGCTTCGCCCGCTCATATGTATCGATCGATTCGTTGGAATCGCGCAAGAATGCATTGCGCTCGTCGCCATCTTCATATGCCTCAGACATGCGCTGTGAACGTGAGCGCACGTGGGGCGACGTGCGCAGCATGACAACGAGATGCGGCCGATCGGTAGTTAATGCGCCAAGTTGGAGCATGGTGGGGTTACGACTCCTATGCGACTCGTGTTGCATGTTCGGCCGAGACAGACGCGATGGCAACACAACATGGGTATCAAATGACGGCGCTGATAGGCATAACATCGACATGTCAAGGAGGCAACAATAGAGGGCCTTATGCGGTGCGTAATCATATGAAAGGTATTTCGTAACTATGCCAATGAAGCATCTCCATATGCTTAGGTAGTTCGAGAAAATTGTATATAGACACAAACGAACATGCCTACACGACCATCTCATCGCAGTTGCTAAGGAGGAACAGATTAGAGTGGAGGTGAGCCAACGCGACGAGACGAACCCGGACATCCTGCTACTCAACGAACTACCGCCAAGCTCGTGCCCTGCTGTGCTTGGCGATACTAAAGAATTTTCGAACCACCCACACCACACGAGATCCGTGGGCTTGGGCAGGAGAAGTACTCATCGAATCTCTACGTTGGTTCATCTCGTGCCTCTAATCAGAACTCTGAGAAGACCGCTGATCTCACTGCGTCTAGCGTCGGTTCGTATCGAGGACGAAAACCCGACTTTTCTACAAAGCCTGCAACTTTCGTCGAGGAACCTTCCTACGAACCATACCTGATCGATCCGTACTGCTCTGTGCTCCGTTCGTCCGAGTCCCGCGCACGTTCCTTGTTCCCACACCTGTATTACCTTCCGTTCAACAATATGGAGGAATCCACCAAGACGCTGGCGGAGTCTTTGAGTGTAGTCAAAGTCCAACGCGTCCAGCTTAAGCGCTATCTAGATATGGACCGCGTTATGGATGCGCTCAAGAGTGCATCGACCATGTTGAGTGAGCTGCGCACCTCCAGTCTAACGCCCAAGCATTACTACGAACTCTACATGGCGGTCTTTGATGCACTTCGTCACCTGTCGATCTATTTGTATGATGCTCATACAGGCGGCAAGCACCATTTGGCTGATTTGTATGAGCTTGTGCAGTACTGTGGGACAATCGTTCCTCGCCTGTACCTTATGATCACTGTCGGCAGTGTGTACATGTCTGTGCCCGACGCGCCCGTCAAAGAGATCATGAAAGACATGACTGAAATGAGCCGAGGTGTGCAGCACCCGACACGGGGACTGTTTTTGCGCCATTATTTATCTGGGACGACGCGAGATCATCTGCCCATCGGCACGGATGCAGGACCTGCAGGCAACCTATCGGACAGTATCAGCTTCATTCTTGCGAACTTTGTTGAAATGAATAAACTTTGGGTCAGGCAGCAACATCTAGGCCATTCTCGTGAGCGTGAAAAACGCGAGATGGAACGCCGCGAGCTCCGGATCCTTGTTGGTACGAATCTTGTGCGCCTTAGCCAGCTCGATGGCGTCACGCTTGAAATGTACCAAACGACGATTCTCCCTGCTCTGCTTGAGCAGGTGATTCACTGTAAGGACGTCATTGCACAGGAGTATCTGATGGAGGTCATTATCCAGGTGTTTCCGGATGACTTCCATCTGCGCACGCTCAATCTCCTCTTGTCCGCCTGCACACGACTGCACCCGAAAGTCAGTATCAAGCAGCTAGTGATTTCACTAATCAATCGTCTCGCAGCTTATGCGACTCGCGAAGCTGAGAATGAAAGTGCCGATGCTCGTGCACGCGAAGAATACGAGGCCAATGAACGTCTCGCGGCCAAGGTCCGTGACATGCGTCGACATGTCGTAAGTAAGCCGCCATCGGCAATTTGGCGTGAAATTGTTCTGGAGCAAAACACAAAACGGGACACTTGGCGCCTCTTGTCGTCGGATCTCGAGCAGGCGTTGCCCGATGACGGCAACAACATCTGGAGCGATACATTCAAGCCACCTTCATCCTCTCAAGAGGACGATGCCTGGATCGATGGCGAGATCGCAGCTAATGAAGCACCTAAAGAGGCGTCCGCCGAACCCGAGCATGCATTGGACGAAGAACCGTCTCAGTCGCCCGATGTTGAAGGGGCTGAATCTGACAAGCCACAACGTGAGCAAGATCAAGCAGCATCGGTGCCGGCCAAGTTCCGTGGGATTCCAGAAGATGTGCGCCTCTTTGAAGTGTTTTGGGAGCAGATTATGTTGCTGATGCGGGCGCGACCTGATTTATCGACACAGGACATCTCGTCTTTGCTCCTTGCCCTTCTGACCTTGTCACTTAGTTGTTATCCAGACCGTCTTGAGTATGTCGATCAGGTGCTGGGCTTTGCGAAGGACAAATTCACCGAAGCACTGGACGCCGGCGAAAATACAGTTCTTTCGCCTCAGAGCAATTTTCACGCGCTGCTCTTAGCTCCGATCAATTCGTACGCAAGTGCACTAACCCTTCTCGGCTTGCCACAGTTCCACGCGCTGTGGATGATGCAGCCACCTATCACGCAGCGATTGATAGCACAGGCCATTGTGCTTTCTATGCTACGGCGCCAAACGATCGTGTCTTCGCCTTCAGACGTAGATGGACTGCTGGAACTGTGTGCGCCGCTGCTACAGAACCAGCCGGAGTTAACCGTGCAAGGCATCGTGCCTGGCAGTGCATCTGCACAGACGGTGTCGCAAGCGAACAATGCGGTGCTGGACGAAATTGCGAACCAACAAGGCGCTTTAGCTCGCTTGGTGCACTTGTTTCGTTCGGATGATCCAGATACGCAGCTTGCTCTGCTATATACCGTTCGGCAGCGCTATGTGCAAGGAGGCGATGCCATTCGATCTACCATTCCGCCTCTAATAATGGACTCCATCGCGCTTGTGCGCCGCTTTGAGCTCTGTTCGCGAGACAAGAACTGGGAGCGCAAAATGAAGACGCTTTTCCGCTTTGTACACCAGCTCATTTCAACGCTGTACCACTCTGTCGAGTCGCCAGAGCTGTGCCTACGATTCTTCCTTCTGGCTGCTGAGGTCGCTGACGAAGCAGGATTCGAAGAGCTCGCGTACGACTTTTACGTGCAATCCTTCACAATATTTGAGGAATCCGTCTCTGACTCGCGCTCACAGCACCAAGCCATCGGGTTTATTACCAGCACTCTATACAAAGCAAGGGCGTTTAGCCGCGACAATTACGACACACTCGCTACGAGGGCTGCGCTATACTCAGCAAAGCTGCTCAAACGGCCTCAACAGGCGCTCGCTGTGCTTATGGCCAGCCATTTGTGGTGGCAGCTTCCTGCACCCAAAGACCGGGGTATCGAGCTACGACATCCCCTTGTGAAGAGTGGACGTCGTGTGCTTGAGTGCCTGCAAAAGGCGCTGCGTATCGCCGACGGCTGCATGGACGAGCATGCAACAATCGACATGTTTTGTCATGCATTGAACAAGTACATCTACTACTTTGAGGTCGGCGTTGATACAGTATCAAGCCGACACATTAACTCACTCGTCAACCTTATTGCGAAGGCCCTTGATACCATCAATTCTGACAACAAGCCCATGAGCTGGCGACAGGTGTCGGTCGATATCCCAGCCAATTCCGACGCCTCACAGCTACACTTCGTCAATCTGCTCCGCTATGTGGAATCCAAGAAGCAGGCGGCCTTGGATGCAGAGACAGGAAGCCTCGCTGGCCCAGACTGGCTCGGTCTTCAAACGACTGCCATACTCACGCGCCTCGCGTCTACATAACTTCCATACACATACATACAAATACATATATGCATGGCATCCATTTCATACTCAACACACTCTCCCCACATACGAGGGTACAAGCAAATGGTATTGCTGATTTTGTCACCAGACGCTAGGTACATTACAGTTTCGAGCAATATACACAGAGCCGGACGTCTGAGAGATCATGCCGGACGACGACATGGCGTGTGTATCTTCCGTTTGATGGTGTACAGGAGGGACCCAAACAACTGAGCACGATACACTTAGTAGAACGTAGCTGGGCGCTTGGCAGCGTAGATGCCCGCACCGCTGGTGCGGCGGTGTGGCAGTGGGAAGCGCAGTCCCTTGGCAGTGAGCTGCTTGACATACGGACGACGGAGGTCTGACACCTTCTGGACCTCAGCAACCTTAAGGATGTGAATACTGCCGAAACGAGCACGGTGGCGAGCAGCCATGTCCTGGTACATCAGCTCCACGGCCTCAGCACGGCTGAGTGCGCGGAACTCCTTGTACATGTTGTGCGTGCCCGAGCGCGAGTTGTAACGCAGCCAGATAGCAAAGTTCTTCACCTTCGTAGGGGTCTTCTCCTCAATCTGACATTAGTGACAAACTCATTTCTTTCCACACATACCTTGTTCACCGTCACAATCTCACCCGTGGCCTTCTTCATCTTACGCAGCTGACGCACAAAGTACCAGAAACGCGACTTGGCAATCGTCTCGTTCTTCGCGAAGATGCGCATACGGTACAGAGTAGGGACAGGCTCCCGCTCTGTCGGCAGGTGCCGACCAATGACCAAGTACTCCGAGATGCGACCCATTGTTCTTCCCGCAATGTCAGCTTCCGCTCTTCGCCCTCGACTGGTGGCGTCGTCTAACCACTCCAGCAGCTCTTAACGTACCTGGCTAGAGTAGTGCTAGTCTGAAGAAGTTGGTGTAGCACACGTACTTCTAACCAAGTCCTCCTGGCCTGACATCTCGTCGGCCGAAGAGGCGGTCAAAACTATACGCATCACGTGGTAAGAATCTTGACATGCGCGCGTTTAGCGCTCTCGGTCAAGTCACCCGCCCGGCGCCGCCACCGCCACTTGCAGACTGTCGCTAACTCCACACGCAAATAGGGTCTGCGTAACCAGCAAGAGTCTGTCACAGCAGCTTAGTCATCGTCTCTCAGTGACGTGCAATCGCATTCGCCTCTTACGCGTTGATCAACCGCGTGTGTGTGTGTGCGTGCGTTGGTCAGTGTCGGGCATGTTGTTCCCTGAAGAAGATGCCGCAGCTGTGAAGCAGTGGCTCATACGAGAACTAGAACCATTATGTGATGCAGATCCAGACGTTCTCGCGGACTATGTGTTGGCGCTATTCAAAAATGACACAGGCGAGGACGAGCTCGTTGCTATGTTGAATGAACAGCTCGTCGACTTTCTTGAAGGAAATACTGAATCGTTTGTTCGCAAGGCTGTAGACACGTTAAAAAACCGCTCCTATACTGCGGGTGCAGGTCAGACCCGCAAGCGTGAGGATGTGGAAGATATCGAGGTTGAAGAGGAACATGATGACCAACCTAGCAAACGCCAAGCATACGACGCGCATGATGCGCAGGAGCCCCATGATGTCCAGAATTCTAATAATGCGAACGATGAGCAGCAAACAGCAACGTCGCAGGGCGAAGGCGGTGAGTCACACGCTCATGTGCAGAGTCGGCCACGTCGAAGTCCGCGTGTGCCTAAAGGATGGTGTCGTGATTATCACACGCTCGGCTTCTGCTCGAGAGGTGCGAACTGCAAGTTTCTCCATTCAGATGACAGCATCATGGGGACCATGCCTCAAGTTCCGGCACCACCACCTCCCTTTGCGATGCCCGCTGCTCTGCCGTTCATGCCGCCGTTCCCAGTGGGACCGGATGGATCGATGCCTCCCGACATGATGGGCATGATGCCCATGCCAGAGCACTTTGCACAAATGATGCAACAGATGCAGCAGATGGCTGGAACAAATGGCATGATGATGGGTGGGCGTGGTGGTGGTATGTCACGAGGCTCGGCCCGCCGTGGCAGCCGCGGTCGTGGCGGAAGTACCCGAGGTGGCTTACCGTCTTCGGCGCCGCATGCGCCTGTGGCTCGGAGCCAAGATACGATTGTCATTGAAAATATACCCTCAGAAAACCTGGAACTCGTGCACGTCAACGACTACTTCAAGCGCTTCGGCACTATCACCAACATTGAAGTGGACAAACCGAACAAAAAGGCACTTGTCACATATGCCACGCCTGCTGAGGCGGATCAGGCTCACAAGAGCCCTGATGTCATTTTTGGAAATCGGTTTGTGAAGGTGTATTTCCAGCGCTTGGAACGGCCCCCTCCATCCAAGCCGAACTACATGAACGATAAAGGCTCCAACGTGTACCTAGCGCCAGAGCTGCGATCGGCAACGTCGGCGACAATGACGCCCGCTGACGAAGAAAAACACCGTCTCTTGGAACTTCGGAAGAAGCGACAGACTCTTGTGCACATGCAGCTTGCTGAGCAAAAGGCGCTCCTGCAAAAGCTTGAAAACAAGGACCTGACGCCACAAGGTCGCAAGAGCATCATGACAATGCTTGAAAAGCTCTCAGCGGAAATCAAGGGTGCAACAGAGATGCTCAAGAAAGACATTCAGTCATCAAATGACATGGGCAGTGCTTCGACAACAGAGGAGCTTCAAGCGAAACTTGCTCAACTCAAGGCAGAGGCAGCCTCTCTGGGTCTTGACACGAAGGGTCATCCCACATCTATGGCCTACCGCAGCGCATACCGAGGACGTGGAAGTAGCTCGATGCCATCATTTCGCGGCCGTGGTCGTGGCAGCACTATGATGATGAATCGGTCCATGACACTTGACAATCGCACAACAAAAGTGGGCATCTCCGGTTTGCCAGCTGGCTATGACGCAAGCAAGCTGCAAGAACATGTGCAGCAGTTTGGCGACATAAACTCGATGGAATACAACGATGATCAAGTCATTGTAACGTACAAAAACCGCGCGAGCAGTGAACGAGCGATGCGTGCTGGTGGCTCGATCCCTGATGTAGGTAATGCATCCCTCGCATGGGTCGAAGCGCCCGTTGCACCGACGCCACCGTCCCTCGACAACAATGCTTCAGGAACACCGACAGACACAGCACCAGTTGCGGGTGTCGAGCTGGACGAAGGGTCGGAGCGCGAGAACTGGAAGCGGTAAGGGTCTATAGTAGCATGTACCATACAAGTGAGATGGATGGCTTTTTTTCTAAGAGCGTACATCCGTGTTAGTAGCAAATGACCTAAACAAACGTCACTCTCGACATGTCTACAGCAGCAGTTCGCGAGGGAGCATAACACACACACATCCACTCGGAGCTATATATGAGCGAGTACATGTGGCAACGGGCCCAGAGCGCACGTCTGGGCACGCGCTGGCCAACTTTTGAGCAACGAGACACCGTTACTTCAGCTTCTTCTTGGCACGGAGCTGCGAGCTGTGACCGCACTTGCGCTTGCGGCAGTTCGTTGCACGCGGTGGCAAGCGAGCGTAGCACTTGCGGCAAATATGCTTTTCGCAGTTGTACTTGCTGGCAAGGGCCTTGAGCGATGGCTCAATGATACCACCACGAAGACTAATGCGTCAGTATTCTGCGCATGCGCGCACGAGTCAGCTGAATACATACCGAAGCACCAGGTGAAGGGTCGACTCCTTCTGGATGTTGTAGTCACTCAGAGTGCGACCGTCTTCAAGCTGCTTACCAGCGAAGATCAGACGCTGTTGGTCCGGAGGAATGCCCTCCTTGTCCTGAATCTTGGCCTTCACATTGTCAATCGTGTCCGAGGACTCAACCTCGAGCGTGATCGTCTTGCCAGTCAAAGTCTTGACGAAGATTTGCATGGCAGGCAACGACGTTCGTACGACGCTAAGGAAACGAGCTCGAGTGCAATCTCCCGTCTTCCTCCCTACGAGTCTTTGCAGTTTTGCGAGTGTCACGTGCAGGTGTACGCCCATGGCATGTCAAGCACGTGGCACTCGCGTGCTGAAATTTTTTTGAGACGGTGGCGTGCGTCATCAGCGCACAGAGCAGCTGGGCTTGTGTCGTCAGACACACTACAGACAAGCAAGTGCAGCATCCATCAAGCTACGTTGTTTGGTCATGAGTCAACGATCAGGAGGAAACGGCAGTAGTGGCGCTGATGATGTATTCACATGCATTACCTGTAGTGTGGCATTTCTTAGTGCGCCTGAACAACGTGAACACTTTCACTCAGATTTCCACCGATATAATATGAAGCGCCGTGTGGCAAACTTGGCACCAGTCAATCTGCAAACATTCAATGACAAAATTCGAGAGCGCAGAGCGGCCATCGAGTCGTCCGAACGCGCCAGCCGGGAGGACTCTGGTCGCTGTGATGTATGCAGCAAAACGTTTTCGTCCCAGAATGCCTACCGCGATCACATGCAGTCAAAGAAGCACCGAGACATGGTGCAGAGGCAATCGCGCAAGCCAACCACATCGCAGCATAACTTCTCGAATTCAGAGTCAGGTCTCGACACCATGGGTGAGATAAAGACTCTCTTCCTCAAGGTGGTGACAAGCAGAAACAAGAGCTGCAGGAACCTGATGATGCCAACTTGAACGATGATGAGCGCACGGAGCGCGAGATACAAAAGAAGCTTTCGAAAGCACGACGCATCGATCCAGCTGAAGAGTGTATGTTCTGCTGCTCAGCACAGTCTTCACTAGATGCGAGTCTCGAGCATATGCGCGCGGCGCACGGCTTCTTCGTGCCGGAACGCAAGTATCTCGTTGACTTGGTCGGGTTGCTACGCTACCTAGCAGATAAGGTGTCTGTGGGAAATGTGTGCTTGTGGTGCAATGAACGTGGGCGAACCTTCCACGATCTAGGCGCAGTGCAGAAACATATGATCGACAAGTCGCACTGCAAGGTCGCATATGATACACAGGAAGACCAACTTGAGCTGAGTGACTTTTACGACTTTCGCAGTAGTTACGCCGACTACAAGCCGAAGAACAAACGCGCGGACGAATGGGAAGATGTGTCAGACGATGCTAATGACGGCCAAGGTGCATTGAAGGATGAGGGCGAGACTGTTTGGGAGGATCTGACGGACGAGGATGACGATGATGATGATGATGAAAATGACGGATCGATTCCGCCGCAAGACAACGGGGTGCGATATGGCGATTCAGAGTACGAGCTTGTCTTGCCATCTGGCGCACGTCTGGGGCATCGGTCCATGCAGCGTTACTACCGTCAGTCACTTTGGCAGACGCCTGCAGGCCATGCCCGCGAGACTGCATCGCCAGCAAATGGTCGCGCTCTGGCACACCGCATCGCTGGAGAGACGGGCGGCATGCCCAATAGCCTTGTTGTGCCGTCACGGGGTGGACATGAGCTGGTGGCTCGGAACCGTGGCGAGGCCAAGGAAGCTACTCGACATGTGCGCGAGTTCCGCGATGTAAAGCGCCGTGAGCAGTTCAAAACCAAAGTGGGGTTCCGCAACAACCACCAAAAGCACTACCGCGATGCCCTGCTCCAGTAGTTTGTCTCCTAAGTGGGCATGTGTGTATGTAATTCTTGTATAGTAAGCGTTGGGCTCATCGACCTCCTCTTCCGCCTCGTCCGCTACCACGGCTAGAGCCACTGCCCCCGCGCCCGCCTCGTCCGCCGCGTCCACCACGACCGCCACGCTGGGACGCAGACGGGCCTGAGGTTGGCTTGGGAGTTCGCCCACCCTTCAGCTTATCGGGCGCCCAAGACCGCTCAGTGCCGACGTTGACGTTAGGCGCAACGATCGACTTCACACGTGTGAGCCGTTCATGCCGGCGGGGATCCCGGTCGAACATGACGCCCCAGCCCTCGATCTGATCATCGCCCCAAGACCCTAGATGCGCGAGAGCGTCGCGAAGGTGCGCGCGAGCAGATGAGGCGCGAGCAGCCTTGGTCCGCGCAAACACGGATGCATCCATCTGGTAAGTCTGTAGAAGGATGCGCTCAGCATGCTGTGCTGGGGTTGAGGGAGCATCGAGATCCCACTCTTCCTGGAATGCATCCTGCGACTCGGCACGCGCAATGATCGCAGCCTTGACATCGGGCGGAAGTGGGGCGTCACTGCTCGCAGAGTGTGATGATGTCGACTTGCTGGGCGGCGGCGGCAGGTCGGGCTCATGGTCGGCCTCTATATCCTGGAGTCCATCTGGATCATCAAGAAACGCCTCGATGATCGCCTCCGCTGACATGTTCTTGTATCGAGGCCGACGTAGGCGACGCTCGACGGACGGTCGGTCCATATAAGATAGCACATCGACGACAGCATCAACGAGCGCAGGATTCACACGCGGGACTCTCAGCACAGATCGCACGGCAGCCCAAGCAGCACCTGGGAATGGCGTCGGCGATGCTCCAACGATAGACGCACATGTGGGCGCGGCACTCTGAAGATCTGCAAGGAGCGACGCATCGACGAGAGCGACGGCATCCGGCACTTCTTTCGCAAGAGTATCGAGCCGCTCTAGCACCAAGCCAGACGACTCTTTCGGCGTCAGTAAAACACAGGCATCTGAGGCTGCTAGAATGTCCACCTTCGTTGCAAGCCATGCCGTTGGCCAAGGTGTCGCAGAAGAGGACACCTCGTCAGACGGGATGCGACGCGCAGCAAGCACATCATTGTACGCGGTGGCAAGTGCCTGTGCTAGATTGGCGAGCGACGATGCGCAATCGACGTTGATATGGCAAGCGGCCGTGGCAACACGATCGCTGCCACGGCTGCTGCTGCCGCCTCCAAGAACTGCGAGCAGGCTGTATGTAAGACGGATGGCGCGGCGCATGTGGCGGAGTGCATGGGCCCACGGTAGGAAGGCGAAGTTGTCGATTTCATGCAGAATCGATGATGTTGCCAGGTCGATTGTCCACTTGGCCAAGTTACTATGAGGCCAAAGCGCTGTCATAATTGGGCGCACGTCAACACCATCGTAGACCGACGCCAGCACGCACACATCCCAAAGATGACCGCGACCACATACACGCTGCAATAGTGCGCGGTCGCCATGTGCACAGAGTCGCAATAGCACATCCAGCACATCGGCGCCAGTACCATCGGTAAGGGGCGTCGCGTCTAATACACGTGACGCAAGGGTGAATAGGAGCCACGACAACACATGTTCTGTGTGCGGATGAGAATGAAAGAAGCGAGCAAGTTCAGACGGATCCGTCGGGAGCACACGTATGATGGCGGCACAAGCCGCCTCACTGTCTGCGGCGGTAGGGCCACCAGCGTCCACCGACGACATGTATGTGGCACAGGAGCCGTCGAAAAGAGCCGGGGTCCAGGACGTGCCAAGGAAATGTAGGCGGCAGGTGTCCTCCACCTAGACCACAGCGACAAGTATGACGACGTCGACAACGACGACGACGACGAACGTAATCGCCCAGCTCGGCCGACAGGCCAGGAAGCAGTGCCTCGCCGGTGAACAGCGATAGTCGCCCAGGCTTTTCGTTCCCAAATTACGCGAGTGGCGCTAGTACTTTGGACGACGGCGTGAACACGATCCGCACGCCCGAGACGACGCGCGAAAGTAGAGGACTACGTACGAAGAGGACCGCGACGTGCGCGGGTGTATACACGAGATCGTACAACACAGCGTGGCGTCGGGCGACATGGCCAAGGCGCCCGCGGAATTGGACGAGCTCTCGCTCATGAACAACGCTAGTGCACTGACGCCTGCGGCCCTCACAGCCGCGAAGAAGAAGAAACGGAGAGGTCCCAAGGCCATGGATGGCTTGCTCGATGACATGGCGCCATCGCTCGCAGCGACAGCGCAAGTGCAAGCAGACCTTCTTGCGACTGCCAGTGACCTGTACAGACGCATTGAAGCCGATCCACACGGCCTTCGTGATGATGAGGCGTACTGGAAATCGCTCCCTGCACATCTGCGCACATTCATCCGCAACGCACTTCCTTTGGGCCAATTCGCGTCCGGGGGGACGACGGCTGCCACTGATCCTGCAGCGCCTGCCGACGTCATGCCACGTCATGCCTCAACGCAGGCCATGATTGCTGTTGCTCAGCAGCTTGCACAGGCTGCACATGCATCACAGGTGCCTGCATCGGATCTATATCGCCACAAGCAAAAATTCATGCAGCATGCATCACCACATGGACCGCAGGTTCCACACGTCCCAGGGATGACGCTTCCTGTGGGTGACGATGGCGACCTTGTGTTTGTTGACGGATTCGATGATGAAGAGACGGAGCTCGAGCCCTCGTACGCGAGTGACGAGGCTGTGGACGAAAAGCACAGTGTGTCGTCGGAGCACGAGAAAAAGAAGAAGAGCAAGAAGAAGAAGAAAAAGGCTCCTGCTCCAGCCGTATCTTCGCCCCCGGCCGTTCCTGCAGGAGCACCGACGGCGACACCTGCGCAGGTCCAAGCGCAACTGCAGGCTCAAGCCCAAACCCAAGCGCCGACACCAACGCCAGTCTCCGTCCCATCCATGGACCGGCGACTTGCTTCAACAACACCTCTGGCGCCGGTAGGAGCGACGACACCGACCATGGGTCCGAAGCGCAGCATGCCGACTGTGCCTGTGGCTGCGCCACACGCACCACTGCCGTCTTCGCGTGCTGCTGGCAAGCTGCCCATGATGTTCCACACGGCCACACGCACAGGAGCTGCCGCTCCTCCGCCTCCTGCTCCTGCTCCTACTTCAGCGCCGCCGCCACCTCATTCAGCGATGCAAAGGCGTACAAAGAGCTCGTTGAATGTCAACGGCGAGCACGCGCCCATGTTCCCAATGCACATGGCGGGTGCGGCGCCGCCGCCCAGTGGAAGTGCGCTCACCATCGGCAGTGCCGAAGAGCGAGACAAGATCCATGAGTTTTGGCTTTCTCTATCGCGACAGGAGCGACGCGCGCTTGTCGAGGCGGACGAACAGAATGTTCTGCGCAGACTGAAAGAATACCAGCGACATGCATGCACATGTGCGATATGCGTGCGGAAACGCATGACGATCGATGCAAAGATCTGCGAGTTGTATGGCTTGTACTATGATGCAGTCGAAACGCATGCGACAAAAAAGACAGGTCCAGTCGACCGAACTTTTGCAGCTGCTGCCGCTGCCGTGGCGGCCGCGGCAGGCGACGGCGGGCCGGAGCTACAGAGCCCCGGGCCTTTCCCAGGAAGTGTGGCGCTTGACAGCCACGGAGGCGTCATAGGGGCCAATTTGATCCTTGCCCGATATTCCCTTCGTACACGGCGACGGAAACTAGGGACGTATCCAGAGACGCCGAATAGCGAGCGGCGCCTCATCCCAGACGTTGGTGCGGAGACAGACGACATGTACTACGATGAACTGGACGACGAGGAGTATGAGGACGATGTGCTTGAAGACGAGTATGAAGACGACTTTGATGATGAGATCGAGCGGCACGATCGTCGGCTGCATCCCGGAGGCCAATGCTTTAGTCCTGATTGCTACTGCATCAACTCGACCTTGACTGTCAAAGGCATCCTCTCTGTGGCTGATGACCTGTCTAGTAATGAAGTGCAAAAACTCGTGCTGATGATGGAACAGCTGATCGAGCGCAGCGCCGCTCTCGAGTCGCCAGAAGATGCCGTGGATGACGACTCTGTTCACAGCGAGCTGGAACTCTCGCCTGACGAGCAGCGTGAGCAGGGCTGGCGGCATGTTCCAGATCTTCGCCGCCCGGACTCTGGAGCAGCGCGTGCTCAAAGCCTACCGGGAGTGTGTGGCGCATGAGCGGCAGCTCGAGCTGCTGCGTGAGCTCGAAGAGGAAGAATCGAATGAAAAGGCACGGGAGGCTAAACGAGCCAAGGAGAATCAGCGCAAGAAAGACAGGAAGAAGCAGATGCGCCAGCAGAAGGAGGAGGAGCGTCTGCGGAAAGAACAGGAAAAAGCGGCTGAAGAGGCAGCTGCTCGTGAGGCAGATCGAAAGCGCCAAGAAGAGCTGCAACGCAAGCGTGAGGCCGAGCGCAAAGAGGCCGAGAAGAAGGAGGCGGCGCGCAAGGAAGCGGCTCGCAAAGAGGCAGCTCGCAAGGAGGCCGAGCGCAAGGAGGCCGAGCGCAAAGAGGCCGAGCGCAAAGAGGCCGAGCGCAAAGAGGCCGAGCGCAAAGAGATGGAGCGCAGAGAAGCTGCAAAGCGAGAAGAGCGCCGCCGACAGGCCGAGCGCAAAGCAGAGGAACGCCGGCTTGCGGATGAGCACAAGGCGGACGAGCGTCGACGCCGGAATCAGGAGCGGCGCCAGCGCTTGAAAAAGAGCGAGAGCGACTTGCGGTCACTGGCCCAAGCTCATGCCCAAGCACCGGCTACGAAGCAGCCGCACTCTCTCTTTTCCCCATCGCCGTCATCAACGACAACCCCCGCCTCTGCACCCACACATATTCCCGCTCGCAAGTCTGCACCATTCCCTGCGCAAGTGCCTGCATCGTTGCCTGGCACAGTTGACCATGCCCTGTTTGCATCTGAGCCATTTGCCCCGCTGGCCTTTGGCTCCGTCACGACGGAACGTGATGCTTGGGATCACCAACGGCTGCCTTCGCTCGGGCGCCATGCATTCGAGTCCTTGCCAAGAGCAGCCACAACACATGGCCCATCAGGCATATCACACACAGCGCAACCGGCCAACATGTCGTCGCATGGTGCTCCTGACTTTGCACCGCCGCCAACGACCTCTGCAGCGCCAGCGACGCCAGCGTCTTTCTTTGATTACATGCCATCGACGACGCATGCACTTAGTCACCTGTCCTTGCATCCTACATCGACGCCCACACGGCGCCGTGGCGCCGGCGTCGGCAGTGGTGCATCGCATGACTTTGACCTGGGACTCAATGCTCTAATGCCACATGCGCGAGAAGCGCCATCAACAGGGGCGTCTACGGCCGCGTCTGCCTTGCCCTCGACACCTTCACGCCCCGTGGTGGCTCCCATTGGTCCGATTGAGCGGCCGCGGCGGTCCTTGACCACTGGTAATGATGTGGTAGCGGAAGGAGGCGTCGTAGGTAGTGCAGCTCTCGGCGATGACGAGCCTATAGAGCCGCGTGGACGTCGTACTGCTGCGAATGGCCCGCCTCTTGGCACAAGTCCGTTTGGACAGCCGCCACTCACCACGCCTGGTTTTTATGGGTCGCCGTGGTCGGCACCAGGCTATCATTTAGGCCTGGGTGGTCTGAGCATCTCGAGTCCGCCAACATCGCATGCGTCTTCTGCTGCTGCTGCTGCCACCGCCGCAGCGGCGGCGGCGGCGACGCCTGGCTCAAACATGGCACCGGCCTCGTCGATGGCGTCTGTCCCACCTGCCCCTACAACTTCGCACCTAGGCCCTATACCAAGTTTGCCAAGTCTATCGACGCCGTCTGCATCAATGGCGCATGCCTTTGAGCCGCATGGTTTCCAGCCTGCATGGGGCTCGTCATGGGACCGTGCGCGACATGCGTTCGAGCAGCAGCCTATCGACGGCTTCAGCCCCGCAGACACGTTATCAGATCTGGCGGGAGTCGCTCATGCGTCTCCCTTTGTCTCAGGTGCACGCTCACGCAATACTATGGGCAGTGGCACTAGTACCAGTGCCAAGTTTCTTCCGCATGCTGCTGGCGATTCAGTGCATGCTTTTGCGGGACGTTCATAGTGTTCGTAGTCTGAGTTGGTTGTCTTGAAGATACCTCGCTCATCATTTGGTTTACTCCACCCGACGAAAAATGCGTCCAATTTACGCATATCTCTGCGGTCACTCGGACGCCTGTCCTGATGGGTAGTGGGCGTAGACCAACCAAGATCGCATGTGAGCGGGGTTCGGACACATAAGTCGTGACTACGTCTCACACACAGTGCCGGCAGTGCAAGATGAGAGTACAATGCGAATCAGCTTCCCTTTCCTATAAAAAAAGTGTCACGATGCATTCGATTGGTTTGTGGGACAGTTGCCAGCACAACTGCTATGACACACGCGAGTGCAGAGATCTCACTGTCTCATCTACCCTGCTACAACAATTGTATTAACACTCGCGCTCCTCTGGTGGCTCAAACCACCGAAAAGCAAGCCGCTTCACGTCATTACAGTCCCACACCGGCTTACCAAGCTTTTCGTTTACTTGGTTGTGTACCTCACACAGCCAGCGACGCAGGCCTGGGCCGCTCTGGACAGCACGCTCACGCGCATGTTCACTGGCTATGTCGCTTGTCGCATACGCACGACCCAGATCTTCTGCACACACCGAACATGGGTATACATGTGGCAAAGCATCTAGCAGAGCACGCATCGACCTGCGCTGTATGTCACTAGGCTCGTTTGGATAGTACGCCGCAGCTGAATGCAGAAACGTCCATGTAGCACGGCCCAGTTCTTCGACATCAGGGGGGCAGTCATCTTGCGGTGGAACAGGGGCTGACGAAGTATTTGTCGATGACCTCGATGCTGCGCGGAGCGCCGAGCCAAATGCTAGCTTTGAACTGCACGCGCGGCATGGCTTCCCATCGGGTCCCAGAACGACAGGCGGCTTTCGCGCAGGCGGCACTGGTGTGGTATCAGGATCTGAATCAGGTCGTTCCTCTGCTTCCACGTGTTGATTGCGACGACGCGCAAAGAATGACGACGGCGACGACGAAGCAGAAAAGTCAGCATCTACGGCCTCCTTGCCTTCAGGTGCAGCAGCTGGCACACCGCCCCATTCAGGCATGCCCTGCGGCCGTGCGACGCGTTTGGGCTCCCAATCTTCGAGCTCATCTGCGCGACTCTCCAATTTCTGCTGTTAGTGAACGCTAGTGCCTCCCTGCTTGAAAGTAACGTACAAAGTATTCTTCACGAATATCAATTGGTTTCCGATCTCGTTGAAGATCAAGCTTCTCTTCCTGCGACATGACGCGAATTTTGTGATCATGCTGGATGTACCGAGCCTGCGTGATCTGTGCAAGAAAAAACGTGCCGATGACCATCGACGTAACGAACGGCACGCCAAACATGAGTGTGGGACTCTTGTTCACATACGCATTTACGCGCCTATACCATTGAGTCCACACTTCCCGCATAGATTCAAAGTTCACAACGACACGCAACGAATTCTGGAAGTGCTGCTAGGCTACTTGATTTCGAGGATTCGTCAGCACAATGGCGTGCGTATGTGTGTGGAGAGAGGCGCAGGACAAGGCTTATGTTTAATCAGCACACCGCCCAGCCATGCGATGCCACAGCACAAGTGCCTCGACGACGGCAAGGTTTTTTCTACCTTACCCCACACTCCTTGTGTCTCTACAGCTGTCATTAACATACATTCTATGGAGGGCGGCGGCTGAAAAACAGTACATACGGGGACGATGTCTGAATCTGTGCATCACTCGGCGTAATGCGGCTGTCGTCGCAATAGTACCAAATGCCTTGTGTGCGTACAGAAGCCGTATAGTGCCCCGAGTGCAGCGTGCCAAAGTGGTGCGTCACGGCAAACAAATCATACAAGTATGGTGGACGCTGACTCTCGCTGATGGGAATGCCACGCACAGATGTACCTGGAGGAAGTGGCGGCGGCATGAAGTTTGACAAATCCAGTGCGTCAGTGGCGAATACAACGGGCGTTTCGATTTTGTTGGAGGCAGGTCCACGGAACGTGAAGCGTTTGAGATGGATGATCAGGACAGGCGGAAGACGAGCGAGGCTCAATCGCTTCGTCGAGCGGCGAGGCTTTTTGCATTTTGGGCAGTGCCATGCGTTGCCCTTTTCAAGGACTTCTTCGCGCACAAACGCATCCATGCATTGGTACAGCGATGCGCGCGAGACGCCACGGCCTGTCGGCACCGGCAGCGAGAGGGACATAAATGCATTGTAGGTAATAGATGTATGCCCACATGTTAGACACGTGAGCTGGTTCCGGAGCTGACCCTGGAAGGTGTCGACGACGATGCTGTCATTGCGCCGCCGATACAGGCTCCATTCTGCGACGCTAGCAAGCTGCTGAGGAAGCCGACTCAGCTCTGCCTGCTGTGCCTCACCGAGCTCAAGAGCCGGCGGTCGCTGCACCACGAGATTCAGGTCCTCATGCAGCCCATCTAGCAGGAACATGAGGAATTCTTGGCTGTCCTGTTGCTCATTTCCTCGAAATGCAGGCGCAAACTGTCCGATCGCCTCACGGAACGCCGTCGGTGCCACTGACACAGACTGCTCAGACCACAGCGCACGCAGAAGCGAGGCAAATGCATTGGCTAAAGCGCCCCTCGTACCGAGGGGATTCTGTGTATTGATAGCGCGCTTGTACGTGCCGTCTAGCAGGTATTGTGCAAGGAGAACCGATGCGCTCAAACACTGAATAGTCGCATTCATGTAGCATGTCTGTCCAAAGTTCCGGAGTCCGGTGAGGCCAATGCGGATGTCGCGCGGCTTTGGAAAGCTCGGCGCGGCCATGACATCTCTAACAGGCCCGGCAATGAGAGAGGCTGGCATGGGCGCTGGCATCGCGGGCGCTGGCGGCATCGGTGCGACAGAAGACAGGGAGGAGGAGAAAGCGCCTACTTTTGGGTACTCGAAGCGTGCATTGAGCTGAGAGCTTGATGGTGATAGAGATGGGATAGAAGAAGAAGGGGACGACGACAACGAAGACGAAGACGACGACGAGAGAGTCGGCGCCATGGGCTGGTGTTGCTGATACGTGCGTGGCGGCATGCTGGGCGGGGTAAGTCGGGAGGTCCGCGCGTGCGTCGCAGGTGCTGAGCGTCTTGGGTGTGACAACAGCGGAGCATTCGCACCTGTCGCAAAGGACGAGGAAGAAGACGACGATGGTCGCATGCCATTAAGAGAGATAATTCCACATTCGCCGACCTGGCGGAACCATGAGTCAAAGCCGCCCCGTAGAAGGCACGGGGAGTATAGAACATCAGACTCGATGGCCTGAACGACCGTCTCGAGCCGCTCCTGCTCAGGCGTGGCGTTGCCCTGTGAGCCGAAAGAGCGTGTCTTTTGATCGTACAATACAAGCATGTCGTACTCGGCACGGCGCGCGAAGAAAGCAGCTTCATTCGGCGGCAGGGATGCTTGCAACTCAGCCGCAGACACAGGTGGCGCCAGAAGCAGCTTAGGATCAATGCACACTGTGTCTGCACCACGCAGGAAGCCTGTCTCGTGCTCTATACGAGGGCGCACATCGACTAGGAGAATAGACAGGCCGACGCGCTTCACGAGAAACTCTTGGCCCGAATCGTCGGTCGTCCGGTCAAAGCCCGGATACATGTACGTCCATAACTGCTCCACAGAAAGACATTGGCCAATGGGTATCGTGGGTTTCGGTGGCGAGTCTTGCCGCAACATTGAGGACGATGAAGGCGCAGCAGTCGGCCTGAGTGAAGGCGTTCGTGCAAGAGCGGGGGCATCGGGCTGGAGGGGCAGGCCCCCCGTACGTGGTCGTGGAGGCGAGGACGCGGCAGAGAGACGAACATGTGCGGGCGATGTCGACGCCGACGCTGGCACCGCTGAGGAGGGGGCTGAAGGCGTAGGAAGTCGTGGAGCCCGTCGGTATGGAGGGGGATCGCGGGGCGACGACGATGCAGAGTAGGGTGGCGGAGGCATTCCTTCGTCGGGTGCTGGTTCGTCCTCCAAGCCCTGGGTGGCGAGGTCCAGTTCATACGACTCCTGGGCAGAGGAGAGGCTTTCTGCGCGCGCCTTGAGTTCCTTTTCGATCGCATTGGCGCGATTGACGATATCGGGAGTGCGGTTCATCAGTTCCTGGTATGCCAAGAAGATGGGGCCTCGTTGCTGCTTGACGCTAGCCCATTCGGTGTGCTTTGGGACAAACGATGCAACGCTGTTATGTTGTTAGCTTGGCACATGTGCCAACATACAGGCAAACGCACCTAGCTGTCGTCAAATAGTGCACAAAGGCCATTTCAAGTTGGCCCTGTGCATCAGCCATCTGGGCCTTTTCGAGGAGCGTCGACGCGGCACCGATGTAGCTCTTGACGGAGAACGATGGATCCAGAGTCAAGTGCACCTGCTTCCGCAGATTCACTGGGTGCGATGGCGGCAGACTCGTTTCCATGTTGCGAGCCGCCGCTCCGCCGCAACCGAACATCGTTCGTACTCAGTCAGCCCCAGTCGTGTGGTCTAAACTTGCAGCAGTCTTTCACAAAATCCACCCCCCCACGAACACTGTGAGCGAGCGCCTACCTGGCCGCCTGCTTGCGCTTCGAGGCGCCAAGCACGCGCCTGGGGAAGGGGAAGGGGGGTGGGGGTGGACGTAAGATCACGTGACACGTCCCTGGTCCACCGCCGTTCGTGCATGTGAACGAGGCTAGCTGATCAGGCAGCGAGGCGTGCGCGGCCGTCGACGTGGTGGACCGTGATCGTAGTGTGTTCCCCGACAACGCAGGCCGCGCGGCAACACGACACGAGAGCATGGTGCGCCTTCGAAGAACCACGCGTTCTACGTCTGTAACTGCTGCAACAGAGGAGGATGCTCCACGCCGCTCCACAAGGCCGCGTCGTCCGAGAGCCAAGACGCCAGTGTCTGACGCGTCTGGCGACGACTCAGATCCCACGAGTCATGCCGTCGAAGAGAGGCAGCCGCTGCTGCGTACGCGCAGATCGGCACGTGTCTCTTCGACACGCAATGTGCCCACGGCGCAGGATGCCACGGACGAGCTACAGGACCCGCTCGACGATGCTCAAGGAGCTGCAGCAGAGGCAGAGAATGAAGACGAACGCAGTGTCGCAGAGGGTGCTGATGCAGACGAACACAGCGGCATGGAAGAAGACGATATGGTCGAGATTGAAGGGCAAGTATACCGGATAGAGAATGATGGATTGGTCTTGGACACAGATCCCGCTGGCGAGAAGAAAGTCGACAAGAACGGGCGCTTGCTAGGCGGGCGCACATATCGCATCGCTACGCTCTCGTCGCCGCAGCGCGACACGCCGGACCGCCTGTATATGTTATCGATTGACGTTGCACGTGGGCTTGGCTATCGAGATTCGGCATACTTTTTCCGCAAAAATCCGCTCTTCCACAAGATCTTTCTCACGCCCGAGGAAAAGGAGCAGCTTGTCAACGATGGCCGGCTGAACAGCACACTGCGTACACGAAATGTCACTATGGTGGCAGCACGCTCCGTCTTCCAGCTCATGGGCGCGCGTGTCGTGGAGCGCGGGCGTTTGGTCACGGACGATTACTACGAGGCACAGGCACGTGCGAGTGGGAAAAGAGAAGGCGCACCGGTATCGCAGCCATCGATGCAGGATATTCTGCGGGCAGAGCGGCGCAGAGAAAGCGATCGTGAGCGCGAGCGTGGGCGCAGGCGCCCTGATGCCTCCACGCACACCACTGTCGATCCTCAAGGCGAGGTCGTCACGACGACATTTGGCGATGCTGGACATGCGCCATTTGATCGTCATGGCCACACTGCACAGCGGCGGCAGTTCTTGTTGCGTGCCCAAATCACGGAGGAAAACTGGCTCGCTGAGTACGCGCGCAGTGTGCGGGCAGCGAACGCCGAGCTCCTTGCCTCTCGTCGTTCGCGATTGGTAGCATTCCCTCGGCACCAGCACGAGGCTCGTTCGGCGTCACTGCTGGCCACTTCGGCTGTGGCAGCGGCGGAGACAGCAATAGCGACGACATCGTCGTCGTCGTCGTCGACCACAGCCACTGAGGTACGGCACGCCATCGACAGCGAGCACCTCGTCTGCGACACACGTCCACCTTGGGAACGCGAGCTAACCCCCATGGTCGATGCAAGAGCGCGTGCTCATGCGCGGCGCGAGCGCGAGCCCCCACTGGGTCTGTACGATCCACACACACACAGCGCATTGCTTCCCACTGAGGCACAGCCTCAGGCGGCGTCGTTCGCAAAGGTTGACGACATACCCCGTGGTGTACCGCCAGCTGCGCGTCTCGCTGGCGTATATACGACAGAGACATGCCTTATGGCGCCGGTGTGAAGGCAGCGGCATGCTGCTTTGCTGCACGGTGCACTCGATACCAGTGGCCCAATTGGGCATCCGTAGGCACACGATCCTCGCCAAGCCATGCTGCGAGCCAAGCACGCCATGCCGCCGTGCTAGCAGCGGGTGGAAGTAGTTCATCATGTGCCGAGCACCACAGACACAGTGTCTCGTGTAATGGCACAATGTCCAAGGCGCGCATCCACGCGGCTACGAGGAACAACTCCTCACACAGGTCTGGGCACGACGCTGACTGCATCGGTGCTTCAAGCAGCGTGATCAGCAATTCACAGTACTGATGAAACACGCGCGCATCATAGCAAATGTACGGAGGCGACAGTGTCTCGGACAATGTCATGGGCACATCTTCATTGTGTGGCGCTTGCTCGGGTCGTGAAGATGACGCACTCGAGAACGACGCGCCTCGCCATAACGCACGCACACGTTGGTCAATCCAGCGTTCCCAGCGCCTGAGCTGCAGCTCACTTCGCACAATCCATGCACGCTTGCCCGGTGCTTCAAGAGGGTTCTTGCAAGCATGCAGTTCAGGGTGTTGGGTAAGAAGAATGCGCCGAAAATAGGCGCGCGCAGCTGGCGCCCACATCGAATGGGCGCGCGTAAGTGCACTTCGCGCTTCGGCGGTTGCCGCACGCAGCATAAGATCAACAGATGCGACATCAGGGCGCACATGCAACGTAGGCCCAAGTGCTTGCCAGACGAGCATAAGTGTCTCAAAGGCCCGCGCTCGGTACAAGCCGGCAAGCAGAGTGTTGGCCAGGTATGTTGTCGGACGAAGTCGAACAACATGCGCATTCGAATGAACTTGCTTGGCTTCTTGTGGCCCCGATGCGTTGTTGGACGAGCCGTCGTCATGCTGAATGGACCGTGTCTGTGCGATTTCGCGCCACGCATGGCGCGCTGTTCGCGCTGGCCGCGACTCTTTCTTCTGTTGCATTTGTACCCGTAGGTTCACATGAGGTAGGCTGCTAAGGGTGGGCACTTGCATGAGCATCGGGCCACGCTGCCGCGTGAGTCGCACACCTTCGTGACACCACTGCATGACAACCTCCAGTGCACGAGCTGGATGTCCCGCATCCATGTATAGTCGGCAGAGCGTCATGAGTGCCCACATATCGGGAGCAATGCCTCGGCAAATCATGGCGTCCCAGACGGCCCAAGCGCGCGCTAGGTCACCGCGTTCCATGAACCCTTCCATCAGCGCCGTGTGAGCTGCCACAGATGACTCCAGACGCGCCTGGGTGTCTGGCGGCACACGCCATGCGACATTATGCAGCTCCTTTTCCGATGCGACTGTTGCTCCCCCCTCATACAGCCGCAAGAGCGCCGACACACGCTGCGCAGGAATGCGTGCATCGCCTGCTGCTGCGCGCAGCATTAGGATCCAATCTGGAACTTTGGCCCCAGGCAGTTTTGCATTCGCGATACTCGAGCCGCTTATGGCATCGAAAAGTGCCCATGCATCGTGCAAGTCTGTTTGAGATGACGACATGGCAAGTGCACGAAGAAACGACGTCGTCGTGCGGCTATCTTGTTCCGTGTCAATACCGCGCAGCGATTCTGTAGCAGCGGGAAGCTCGGCGTGGCGCCCAGCGCCACTCCCGAGTTCCTTGTACCACATACGCACATGTTCTGCATCATTGTGCGCTGCCGCCACACGGATCGCCAGATGCAAAAAGGGCGTGCGGTGTGCGTGTGAGCACGTCGCAAGCCAGTGTCGGACGAGCGCAACAGGGAGTTTGCTCGCCGTGAAACGCGACGACGCGCTCTTCTCACATACATACGCCTCCATGGCGTGGGCTGCTCCCGGCACACGCTCGTGCGCCGCACACCACAACTGCTCCATGGCGTCGCATACTCTCGGATCAGGCATACCATCAAGGAACGCTGTCCATGCAGACACCAGGAGCGCTTGGGAGTACATGTATCGCTGCTTTTCACGCTTCGTGAGCCAACGCTGCACCGTATCGAGGATACTGGCCGTGAGGGGCCGTGCAATATGCCATGCCCGGTGTCGGCGGATACATGTAGACAGCAACAAGAGGCACAAGCGATGGGCCTCGCTGACACTGTAGCCTGATAGATGCAGCTGCACAAGATGCGCGGCACTAGCGGCGTCTGATACGCTGGATATGCGATGCAATGCGCGCTGCAGCACGAATGGCGGGATGCATCCGGGTCCAAGTGATTCGAGTATGACAGCGCATTCTCGCCAGGTACGTCGCGTACATGCATTGTACCACTGAATGAAGCGTTCCATGGGAATGCCACGAGCATCAAGAGTCGTCTGCACGTTCGATTGGGTCTCGAAACTATCCACAAGAGGCAAGTCTTGCAGCGTCGCAGCTGTATGATGATGTGCATAACGCCAGCGTCCAAGGCCCATGCAATAATCCATGAGCGATCGCACGCTGAGCCACGTAAGTGGCACGTCCCTGGGGATCTGCGAGGTCGGCTTCTTTTCTGCTACTTCAGCCGCACGCACCTGGACGGGCACAGTGCCGCGCGTCACTGCACCTGCCGCCCATGTCGGTCGCACACGCACAGCCCATGCTGCTGACACACGCATGTATCGTGCGTGTGCTAGGGTATCTCGATCAACAGACAACTGGAAACCACACGGTATGCGTCGCCGACGCGACCGCCATCCAACAAGAGCACCAAATACGTGTAGGCTTAGGCTTCGTGGGTCGATGAGGAAAGACGTAGTGATTTTTGCCGTCCTTTTGAAAGCAAGGATCCTTCCCTCGTCCCTGGCCACCTGACGCAATAAGTCGAATCCACTTCACGAACTGGCCTACACGCGAGCCAGAGGCCGCCGCACCAGCGCGTTGCAATGCACTCACTTATTTCCCCTCGTCGCGTACGCACTCTAAATGCCCCCTCCCTCCGCCTCATGGGAGGTCTGGTCACGTGATGTAGCGCCGCTTTTTTTCGTACGCTGTCCGTCCTAAGCCTAGCGAGGGCAAGGTAGCGATTCGAGTCACAGCATACGACCATGACAGACGCTGTGGACAAGCTCGCTGACGACGTTCAGGAGCTCAAACTTGGTGCGTTGTGCTTTTTGATATGGCTAATGCGAATCCAGATTTGTCGACGCTCTCTCCTCTGAGCCCGGAGGTCATCCAAAACCAGGCTACGATCAATATCGGTACGTTGCGTCTTGCTTGCCCACCCTCCCCCCCCCCTCCCCTGCCCGTCTGATTATGTGCGTGTGGGTGTCTTTACTGTCCCGCACGCGCATCACCCCGGCGTGACTCACATACTCACACTTTTTTTCTTGCATAGGTACCATTGGTCATGTCGCCCACGGAAAATCCACCGTCGTTAAGGCAATTTCTGGCGTGCAGACTGTCCGATTCAAGAACGAGCTGGTGCGCAATATCACCATCAAGCTCGGTTATGCCAATGCGAAGATTTACCGATGCGAAAATGAAAAGTGCCCAAGGCCCCAATGTTACCGCAGCTACCCATCGAGCAAAGAGCCCAACCCTCCATGCCCGGTCCCTGGTTGCACAGGAAAGATGAATCTATTGCGTCATGTCTCGTTCGTTGACTGTCCTGGGCACGATATTCTTATGGCTACCATGTTGAACGGTGCTGCCGTCATGGATGCGGCTTTGCTCCTGATTGCAGGCAATGAGCCATGCCCGCAGCCACAGACCTCGGAGCATCTGGCTGCAGTGGAAATTATGAAGCTCCAGCACATCATTATCCTGCAGAACAAGGTCGACCTTATCCGCGAGCAGGCGGCTGAGGAGCACTGGAAGAGCATCGTCAGCTTCGTGAAAGGGACAGTCGCTGACGGTGCACCGATTGTGCCGATCTCAGCCCAGCTCCAGTACAACATTGATGCCGTCAACGAGTACATTGTGAAGCGTGTGCCTGTGCCGATTCGCGACTTTTCTGCAACGCCGCGACTTATTGTGATCCGTTCCTTCGATGTGAACAAGCCAGGCGCTGAAATTGACGAGCTCAAAGGCGGTGTCGCCGGTGGCTCCATTCTGTCTGGTGTACTGCGTCTTGGTCAAGAGATTGAAGTTCGCCCAGGTATTGTGACAAAAGATGCAGAAGGCAAGATTCACTGCTATCCAATCTACTCCCGAATCGTGTCGCTACTTGCCGAACAAAACGTGCTCAAGTTCGCTGTCCCCGGTGGTCTTATTGGTGTCGGTACAAAGATCGATCCAACGCTGTGCCGTGCCGACCGTCTCGTGGGTCAGGTTTTGGGCGAAGTCGGCAAACTCCCTGCTATCTACACAGAGTTGGAAATCAACTACTTCTTGCTCCGTCGCCTGCTAGGTGTCAAGTCAGATGATAAGAAGCAGACAAAGGTCCAGAAACTCACGCGCAACGAAGTACTCATGGTGAACATTGGTTCTACATCTACTGGCGGACGTGTTATGAGTGTCAAGGCTGACTTGGCCAAGGTCTTCTTAACCTCGCCGGCCTGCACAGAAGTCGGTGAAAAGATCGCTCTGTCTCGTCGTATTGACAAGCATTGGCGTCTTGTCGGTTGGGGCAGTGTTCGCCGTGGTACTCAGCTCGAGGTCGAGGGCACATCGCACTAAGCTATCTTGGTGCGCATGCCATGTTGCTCACTTCACACGCCCTATCGAACGGAACGTGACAGGGTATGTGAAAACATGATTCAAAAAAAAATATTCGATTGAAAATGAAAATTTGGGAGATCCAAAGAAATTGTGGCTAAATTTTCCTTGCCACTGTTCTTGTCTCTTTCATGCGTCACTTTCATAGCCGCGCTCTGTACTATCACAGATCTATAGGACCCGATCGGTGCCCGATGTGCACATTGCAATCCCCCACCCATCCATCACCCCACGCTCGAATATATCTGTTGGGCGCGCACATCAGTGTCGGTGCACTGGGTTCACGTCATTCCAGGTAGAATAGCTGCGTCTGTGCCAAGGGGTAAGAAGTATGTCCATGCCAAGATGGGCTTCGTGGACACCGCGCACAGGTACGTGCCCCGTCAGCAAGTGAATTCGACGCACTGACTCACGCGTACACAGACACGGCCGCGGGCACAGATGTCACTGATACTGGGAGCGGCATCGCATCCTGGTTTCGAAGTGGTCTATCTGCATACGTGCCACTTCGGAGTGTAGAGCGCACAAATGAAGAAGAAGCATACATCAGCTTGAGTCACTGGGACCGGTACGTGAATCAGTACGATCGCTTACATCCTACATTTTTAGCTTTCTTGGATTCATCGCATGTTTGGTCGGCAGTGCTCTCTGTTTCTTATTCTCTTTCTTGTTTGTACAGCCACCCATCCTTCTGGCACGACCCCACAAATTCGCGCTTGCCTTTACGTTGGGGAGTCTTCTCTTTATGATAGGGTACGTGATGCGACGTTTGGCCCACGTCGAAGAAAGATTGAGCCTAACCACCACATGCCTCACTCAGATTCGCTGTCTTGACGGGTCCAGTTGCGCACATACAACACCTGATGAGCCCAGAGCGACGGCCGTTTTCAGCAGCGTACGTGGAAAATGGCTAGCCGCGCATACTTACACACGAACACATCTGCAGCTACATGACGTCCATGGCGCTCACGCTCTACTTCGCACTGGGTGCTCAAAAGCGATTGCCGACGGTGCTATTTGCGATCATGCAGATCGGATGCCTACTCACATATCTCGCCAATTACTTCCCTGGAGGCGTTACGACGCTGCGATACGCAGGCACACTCATCGCAAGAGGAAGCACGAGCATACTACCTATATAGATGTGTGAGGGACAGCCGAAGGGGCAGCGGCACGTGTAGGACCATAAAAGAGATGGAGAAAGAAAGGGAGACGCAAAACAACCTCACATTGAAACTTCCCCATGTCATCAAGAGTCAATCAAACTCCTACTTAGTGGTGAGCTTCGACCTTGATGTCTGCCTGGAGCTCCCTCAGGTATTCGTTGACGTCCTGCTGCTCTGACACAGCCTCCTGCGAAGCCGCCGGCTTAGGCGCCAAGTCTGGTTCAGACGACGTGAACGACTCGAGCTGCGAGGCAATCTCGGACGATGAGGGCATCGAAGGGGCCTGTGGCGATGGCGGCGAAGAGAATTCACGCACGTGTCCCTTGTGAGCGTCTGGCGACTTTTCTGGCGCCTTGTACGCCTTGAGCTCACGCAGGTATGCTTCTTGGAGAATGTCCTTGCGAGCCACAGCCGAGGAAGACAGTGCACGGAAGCCGGCCGTGCGCGCCTACTGCATTAGCTCCATCACAATCTGCGTACGCATTCCACGCGAGATACGCACCGACATCATCGAGCGTTGTGCCACAGCAAACATGATGTATAGATCGACAACGGATCAGCGACGAAAAAGTCACCTGGGCGCTTTACCCTCAGCACTTCCGTAGCGACGCTCGCTGCTGACGGCCATTTCGGCCGGGCATGCCCGGAGCGCCAGCGCACCCGACAATCGTCAGCACGTGACCACATGGCCCGCGCGCACGAGTGTTGCCACGCATGCTGACGAATAGGGTGTGCCAAGAGGTCGGAGGTCGGGGTTACCGACGCCTATAAGCGACGCTGTGGGTGGGTATAGCTGTTCGTCCGTGTTCACACGAACTCAACAGACGAATATGCAATCGCTCCGTCTCACTACGCCTACACTTCGCTCAGCTACGCGCGCCTTGTCGATGCGCATGTACTCCACTGGCTCGGACGCGCCTGCTGGCTCGATCGCTAGGAGCAAGGGCTGGAACACTCGTGAGAAGGTACGCACTCGGACTGCCGCCGGCGATGCCGGTTGGAACGATGTCTAACGAGGCAGGCTCAGGAGGACCAATACATTATCCAGCACGAGAAGGAGAAGCTTGAGAAGCGTACGTGTGGGTGCGAGTGCGAGTGTAGACGCACTAACCTTGGGCAGTCCGTGAGTCGATGCACAAGCAGCAGAAGCTTGTCGACGACGTATGTATACCCCGCGTATAAGGCGCGCATGAAACCCTTGACTAACATACATGCTCAGCTCTCGAAGCAAGAGAAGTCTGAATCGAAGCCCTAAGTTCGCTAGATAGGACGTTTCTTTTTCTCACTCCGACTCGCACAAGTATCAATCGATGCTTCTATGTTATTGTTGATGATGGGTGGTGTGTGTGTGTGTGTATGTATTGCAGGCTATCTAAGCTGTGCATCCAACTGTCTGTCACGTACATCTTGCATGTCCACAACGTAGCCGTGCGCGAGTAGCCATCGTGCGTACTGCCGGATCACATGCACATCCTGGCACTCGACGTTTTCTGCGCCGCCTTCGCCCAGACGCGCGCACAAAAGTGTCTCGAGATTGCCCACGACAAAGAGCTGCCGCTGCGCACGAGTCAGAGCCACGTTCATGCGGCGTGCATCTGCAAGGAATCCCACATAGCCCCCGCGTACATTCGCCACATGTTCGAGACGTGCTGCTGTTTCGTCGGACGGCTCAGTCCGCGCTCGATACAGAGCCGCTGTGCCTTCGACAGATCCGCCGCTGGCCTTGACGGTGCTAAAGATCATCACTGGCTTTTCACGCCCTTCGAAGCCATCAACGGTATGCACCTCGATCGCAGCCAACTCGTGTGCCCGTGCGATGCTGACGCCAGCAAGAAAATCCATGGCGTCTTCACTGAGCCACGGGAAGCTAGCGGGCGGCGTTGCTGGGCTGGCCACGGCTGCGGCAGCTGCCGCAGCCGCGAGCATTTTTCGAAGCAAGCGGACTTGCGCTTCGTACGGCGTCACGATGCCAATCTCTGTCCCCGATAGCGACGGATTCCGCTCGAGCAAGTCACAGACCAGCTCCAGCACCATGTCGGCCTGAGGCTGGTTGTGTGGCGACACGCCACGGGTCAGCAGGCCCGTGCTGAATGGTACAGGCGCATGCGTCACTAGAGTCAGTGGCAGTGCCTCGCCATGAGCATTGCGTGCAGCAAACACACTGTTGTACGGCTGCCTAGCACTTGTTGAAGGCGCATCCTTCAGGGCACCGTCGTAAAAGTGCCGATTCGGAAAACTCGAGAGCGTAGGATGCATGCGGAATTGCTCAGATAGCATGATCGATGGGATCGGCCGCATGTCCTGCGCGGCGGCAGGAGAGGCCGCGGTCGCTGATATGGTGTTTCCAGCCGTCTTGCCGCGGCGGCCCACGATCATGCGGCGCATGAGCCGCTCAAACAAGCTCATCGAGAGTCCTGCGTGTCGCGCGTCAGCACTATGCAGCACAGGCGGCAGCTGTTTGTGATCACCAACGAGGCCCAGCTGTGCACAGCCTTTCATAAGCGGGATCAGAGCGATCGGCTCAGTGGCCATGGAGCTTTCGTCAAGAAACACGACGGGAAAGTCAATCGTAGCGAGCTGAGACGACCCAGCCGCTACGGCGGTCGTACAAACCACATCCGCACGGTGCAGTACATCTGCATACATGCGATTCCGCACGAGATGGCACTTGGCGGTCAGCTTCGTCACAGTTTGGCACACATGCCGGAGCTTGAGGCGCAGGCCCGCTGCAGAATCCTGCTTGGCGAGCGCGATCTGCTCTTGGAGCGCATCACGGTACTGCTGCTGCTCACGCAGGTTCTTCTCGGCTGCACAAAGCATGCGGTAGTTGGCATGCTGCTGAAACTGAGCGTCGAACGAGACAGGCTCCAGACTCGCACGCATCGCGGTCGATGAGCCAGCACGTACCACGCGTAGGCCCACTTTCACACACCCCTCAGCGAGGTTGTCGACAGCGACATTGGTGTGGGCCGCAAGAAGGATCGGATGTGGCACTTGGAAGTGCCTCTTCAGAAGCGACACGGTCTGGACGAGGGTGCGAGTCTTGCCAGTGCCCGGGGGGCCCTGCACGAGGCTTACGCGCTCCTTGAGCATCATCGCGACAGCTTGAAGCTGACTCGCGTTGAGTCTTAGGTCAGGGTCGCCGTCCATACGAATAGGATCATCCCTAGCGTACCGCTCGTACCAGCTGCGGATCCGCTGGTCGTTGGCAAAGAGTCCATCCGCATTTTGATCGTATGTGTACATGGGACTGGGCCACGAAGCGATGCCCGTCAGCACATCACGGAGCTCTGTGCCTGCTAGTGCATATTGTTTTTCGGGTGTCATTGCACGGACGACGTCCGCGGGCGAGTACAAAAGTGCGTCCAGCGCAGCTTCTGTCCGCTCATTCACCACATTACTTTCTCCGCGATCTATGCGCCAGCTGTCGAAAGCACTCAGGTCGATGCGCTCGTATGCCTCGCTGAACCGCACTCTCATCTGTGTGGACGTCACATCCAGCACCTCAGCCGGAATCCGGACAGCGCGCGAGGGCGACGACGAGGACGATCGTGGCGCTGCTGCTGGTGTTGCCGCCGCCGCGATGCCTGTGAATCGCCTAGCTCGCTTAGGCAAATACCAGTCCGCTGGTGTGTCGGGTGCATCTGGCGCCACATCGATCACGGTGCCCGATTGGAACTTGTGTGGCGGCAGCCGTCGTGAACCTGGGTACTTGAACACAGCGAGACGCCGGCCAAAGTGCCGTTCTTTTTGCCAAAACGCCATGAGTCCATCGAGCGCTACGCCCTGCGCGATGAGCTCTTCGATCGGCTGGGCTCGCTGCTCGTCGACTTCTGACTCGTGGTGCTCCCGTTCATACGCAAGCACATGCCTCCAATGCTGCTGGTATGTCCGAGCAGCAAGTGTGAGTGATCGGCTGTCTAGCAAGGCACGCTCTCCTGGGTATAGATGTGGCTCATGGTGCTGACGTTGCCGTCCAGCGGCTCTCGCTGCTTGGTGCGCTGTGCGCAACAAGAGGGTCTGTGAGGGTTTCCGCCGCTTCGCCACCCATGTCTCGCTGTCCCATCGCTCACCAATCATGTGTGTGTAGACATGTCCTGGCAATGCAACACCTTGCTGAGATGGTGCAACGGTGCGCCAATCAAAGAGGTCTCGAACGCTTTGCTTCGGAGGCGGCGCGCTGGATGCCTTACTGGTGACGGGGGCATGTTTTTGCATGGTTAGTGGCTCGTGGCTCGTGCGAACGATTGGCATTTCTATGCCTCGGTCCGTCTCTATCATGTTGTCTGCACTCACTATGAGCGGTGCGGCCGCATCGTTAGTAAGTCGGTCCAGCAGCATATCGTGCGGCGAGATCTCGTACGAGAACGCGTCATTTTCTGCCTTCTCAGCAAGCGTGTCAATCCATGCGTCTGGAAGCGGTGCAAACAACGCAGGCGTGTACGTGTCCTCGTTCACGGGAATCCACGCAGGGTCTAGTTCGTGCTCGATTTCACGCTCAAGGTCCAGCACGGGCCCAGAGTCAGACTCGTGCTCATGCTGCGAGACACGACTTTCCCAATCACGAAGAAGCGCGTCTATCGTCGAGGCTCGGATACGACGCGGCGCATGGGACGTCATCGGTCCAGAGGATCCTGCCGCTCGCACAGGTACAGGCACAGGGACATGCCAGACTTGTGGCTGTCGATCGCCCCAGTCGACATCGCGCTGCTCAGCTTGGATCATCCGCCTGCTTTGAAAGTACCGGGTACATGCGCCACGCCGTGTGCTTCCTGCAAGGCGTGGCGCTACGCGCATATAGACGAAGACGGCGGTCGCAAGGGGCCCGGATCAACTGCTTGTCGTCGATGTGTCGATCACGCCAGCGCCACGCCCCAGCACAGCAGCACAATCCACCACGCTTGATGACGGCGACGCGACGCGTCAGTACTTACTCAGCATCACGATCAGCACCGCACGCGTCTCGTGAGCTGCGTGGAACTAGAAAGGTGGGGAAGGGTGGAGGGACTTTGTGTTCAGGCCGTACGTCATCAACTATATCATTAGTTCGCGAATGCCAGTAGTGTGCCGCGGTGAGGAAGAGTTGGTTTGGGTATCTTTGCCATTCGTTTGATGCCGACGGTCTTGTGTGCGCAGCGGACGCTTGCGTCTGCGCTCATTTTCGTCGTCACTGCTTGTCTGCGACTCTGAGTGCGCGGAGGTGTCTGACTCTCCATCTGCATCGCGGCGAATCAGCTCCTCGACAACATCTTCCCAAGCACCATTGTGCTCCTGCAGGAGGCGGCGCACTGTGCGTCGTGAATGTCCGGGCACACTCAGGCACACGAGACGCTCAGCTTCAGCATCCGGCTTGAATGCATCGCGTTCGTGACTCTCTGACATGCTGTCGGGAATACAAGGGTGTCCCTTGTGTGGACCTTGCAGAGAACGTAGCGAGCTGTAGTGCTCCCAGCTGTGATAGGCAAGATGCAATGGTCCCACACATTCAGGCTCGGCGATGTGACTTTTCTTTTTGGCGGATGGGGTATCGATTGTGTCGCTTGTCAGAACATGCCTGCGGTGCCGCTCTCGACGCGCGCGTGATGAGCGCGCCGAGTACGAGTCGTCATCACATGCCACGACGTAGACAAATCCGGGCTGGACGATCCGGATTCGTTTCTGTTTCAGGTGCGCAAACGCCGATAGTTCCAAGTGACCTCCGTAGGTCCCAGGCAATCGCATCTGACGCACATACTGTTCATAAGTACTGCCAGTCTCCACGAAGCCTGCATACAGGTCGGGATGCTGTTCCAGTTGGTCGCACGTTTCTTGCCGAATTTGTGCGTGATATTTTGGATCTCCATACAGCTGATCAGACAAAGCACTTTCATTAGCATGCATGTGTGCACATGCAAAGTCCACGTACCGAAACAGACAATTGCCATCACCTCGTGTGTCGGCGGCGTAGAGTCCCATTTTGTGAAGCTGTGTGTTGAGATCCTGGTCATCTTGTTCAGGATCAGGCGCTGCGTGCGCGCGTCGTCGTGATACTCGACTTGCATTGGGTGGCGTTGTCGTGGACTTGCGTTGCGTACGCGCCATGCCGATGACGTGAACTTTTTTTTTATTTATTTACCGTGCGCGACCCACGTTAGGCTGGTAGGCGTGTCTTTCGCACGTTCGTGACCGAGAACCGAGCGGGCGTCGTTCGCTTACGCACCACTGAATCTCTTTCACCGTCACACACACACACACACACACACACCCGACCTCTCGCAGGCGCTAGCTCTCACCCTCACAACCACAAGCGTCTCCCTGCACCCACACACAACGCTTTCGAATGATTCCCCACGTCCCAACTCACTCTCACACTGCTTCTTCCAAGAGCGCTGCGAGAAGTCCACGTGACGACGTCACAGGTTCGAGGTGCAGTGCTTCTCCACACATGCACATGCCACGCGTGCAATTGGGTCACGACCAACGCGTCATCAACGTTGGTTGGTGTGTGTCGTCGATTCATCGAACCGAGTGCGTTTGGGACGTTGTTTGCGGGTGTGCGTGGCGTGAGTCTGTCCGTGTGGTGTAGAAAGCTCGAGGTGGATGCCTCTGTCATGTACGCACAAGATGACGAGCCAACTTGAGAGGTTGTATGCAATGGCACACAGTAGCACACATGTTCTGCATGGCCAATGGGATGCACCTGTGTCCGGCGCCTTGGGTGGCGTCAGCCTGTCTTGGCATGCGCACACCCTCGAGCTGCGTCGTGGTGCGCGCGTTGAGCATGTCTATTCCTTCAAGGAACATGTGCGCGATGCATGCACTACCTTTATGAATGATCAGCCAGCCTTGTGCATCGTGCTCGATCGCATGTTGTATGTGCACATGCCGCGTGTTGGCGAGGCTTTCACCGTACCATTAACATTTTGCACAGCACGTGTGTTTCCGCTGCAAAAAGGCATTCTTCTCGTGCGTGATCAGCGCGCGCACGATGGCGCCAGTGCTGGTCCACAGGCGTATTTCTTGCAAGGCGTGTTTGATCATCTATCGAGCTGGGCGCTCGTCGAGTCTATCCAGACGGATGCCGTCCACGGCACATTCCAGTCTTTTCCCGAGCTTGGTGAGCATATCATACATGTAGATCCGCTAACGTCGCTCATCGTCACTGCGCGCGCCGACGCCTTGCGTCTTTATACGTACCGGACGTCGTCGGATCCCTTACGGCACACGTCGCCACCAGCGACGCAAGATCCAGAGCTCCTGCGTCCAAGAAAAGTCGCTCGAAGATCTAGTGCGCGCCGATCTCGTCGTTCGAGTCGACATGTGAGTGAGCCCATGTTGTCGCGGCGTGTCTCGGACCTGGGTACATCGTTCTCGATGCTTCCTGTACCGGAGCCGCGACCCCCGCCACCGACCAACCCAGCAGCAACAGCAACAGCAAAGACAGCCGCATCAGCGCCATCTCTTGCTGCGCCTGCCGCGGCTGCTTCAACAACATCAGCGGCGGCTACGATGGCACGCCGAGCAACGGGGCCACCAGCTTCGTCCATGTTCCTCGATGGAGCTGATGCATCACTTGCCTCTGTTGGTGATGTGAATCCCCTCTTTTCCGATTTCGCTCGTGGACATGCGTATGTTGCACTCCTAGACGACATCAGTGTGCCACGCCTCCTGCCACATGCCAATGCCAGCGTGATGGATGTGCATGCGTTTTCCATGGATTCTCTTCTCTACATGGTCATTCCTTCCTGCTCGCGCATATTTTGCCGACACATCATCGCTGGTCCACGCATCGCACCGCCCGTACATACACGCGCCGACGCTGTGCTGGCAGCGCGTGATGCATGTCTTGTCTCGATCGTGAGGCGCCATGATGCGATGGCACTTTTGCATGAAGATGGTCGCTTGGTCATCGCATGCGGACCGCCGGGAACGGCTGCGTGCGTAGAGTGGGGTCGTGGCATCGATGCAGTCCGGTGCCGGGGCGATTTGGAGGTGTGCGTACAGGGCCAATGGTCACCACGTCCCGTTTTCATGCGCCCAGCTTGTGAGCTGACCGCGCACATCCTCGAGTCGCTGTGCCTGTCCCTACCGACACGTGCGTCCAGTGAGATTCTTGCGCGTTTCCTCGAGCGCCGTCTCCCCACATGGCAAGGTCTTGAACATGCGCTGTGTATGGAGCCGAACGACCGTGTCCATGAGGCGGACGAAATACTTGCGTGCCTCGGTCTTTCTCCAGCCGTACAGGAAGGTTCTTCCAAGGCCCGTTCAAGTGCAGCCGCCGCCGCTGGAGTCGGAGCGGGCATGGGCGTGGGCACAGCCGTCACTGCTGGCTGTGGTCATCCAGGCTCGACCACGACAAGCGTCTGTGCGTTTGATGCGTACGTCGCGATGGCACTTCACATGCTTGCGCAAGACTCGTTCCTTGACGTGCATCGTCGTCGTACACATACACCGATACTCGTGCAGCTTCTGCTCCGCATCGTCGAGCGGCTTGGATGGACTCGCTGGTCCGATGCATGGACACGTCTCGTGCCAGTGGCGTCACAGACGATTCGGCCGCCTGCTGGTCCTGCGCCGCCCGAGCATCTGTACGTGCTGCTGGAGCGTGCCACACGGGGGCACCCACCCTCCCTTACAGCGTACGCGGACGATCTTGCATCGTCGCTGCATCTTGAGCCCCTTTCCAACATTCGCACTTGCTGCACCATGGCGGCAGCTGTCCTGGACGTGTATGCCGTCCTGGCCGAGGCCACAAGCGCACAGCCCGTAGCCGATGCGATCTTGCAGCACAGACTTCGCACCTCGTGCCTGCCGCCAGGCATAGCCCTGCCCCTCGAAGAAGTTCTTCGCACATGCCAGCTGGATCCGCCGCGCGATGCGAGTGCGGACATGTACACACTCCTGCGGCGTGCGGATGCGAAAGCAGCGGCGTTTGGCGCTCCGCCAGCGACGGTGCCTGCATCGATGCTTACTACGCTAGCACCTGGACTCGATCCGCTCAGTGCGCAGATATTCCATGCCGATTTCCGACTCCTGGACGTCGCGCGCATGCTCATGACGACACACCCACACACTGCGCGCATGCCGGTCGATGTGGACGATGCTGCGGCTGCCGCCTCGTCGCTGCCGACGTCCGCCATGGCGACGGCCATGGCGAAAGCGCTCGCCGAACGGACGATGGCACAGTGTGTGGGCCGGGGTCTCTTCCGCTATGCGTCGCGCCCTCTGCGGACGACCGGCACTTGGCGCACGCCGCGCCTGTGCCTGACTCTGCGCACACTGCCTGATGGGAATCTCATTTCCGACACCCACGCAGCGAGTGAGCTCGACTGGCCCGAGTTCCACAACGGCGTTGCATCTGCCCTGGAGATAGGCACAGCGCACGTCGACTCCAGCTGGATCTTTGCGCATGCGAGCTCGTCTCGCGGTGGGCGTGCACGGCATGCCGGCTTCCTGCTGGGTCTTGGCTTGCATGGGCACTTGCGGCGCTTGGGCCGCGTGCATGCATATCGGTATCTGGCACCGCGCCACACGCTCACGACGATCGGCCTGGTCTTGGGCTTGGCCGCGTCGTTCCTTGGCTCCGGCGACACGGCCGCGAGGCAGGTCATGGCCGTCCAAGTCGCTGCGTTCCTGCCGCCCGGCAGTGTGCCGCTTCACATGTCGACGATCACCCAAGCGACGGGTCTGCTGGGCATGGGCCTCGTATTTTGCGAGACGGACCACCGCTGGACCGCGGCACGCCTTGCGACTCAGCTCGATGCACAAGTCGACACGGCCGATGCGAATGAGGCGCATCTCGACCTGTATGCGCAATGTGCTGGCCTGGGCCTAGGTCTCGTGTACCTGGGCCGGGCCCGCCGCTCAGGCGGCATGACGAGCGCGTCAGATCACGCGTTGGTCTTGCGTCTGTGCCGCTCCGTGGCTGCATGTGATGATGTGCCGCCCCTTGCGGCAGCACGCACAGCAGCGGCGTCGTGCCTTGCGCTTGCGCTGATGTTCCTGCGCAGTGGACGTGTCGACATAGCCGATGCGCTCGCGCCGCCCACAGCTGCGACGCTCGCGCACATCCGCCCAGATCTCCTGCTGCTTCGTGCGCTCGCACGCTCGCTGATCCTGGGCGACGCCGTGCCGGACGATGCATGGCTTCGTCAGACGTGTGTGTGGCAGGACCCGGCAGGCCTCGATACACCGAGCACTCTCGCCTTCTTCCAGATCCGTGCAGGCGCGTGCCTTGCGCTGGGCCTGCAGTATGCGGGCACAGCCGATGAGCGCGCACGCGTGCTGCTGTTGCGTCAGCTCATGTTCGAAGCGCCGACGGATGCGTCGTTCGAGGCACGTGTGGTCCAAGCGGCCTGGTCCACGCTTCAGAATGTCGTGCATATCTCGCTCGCGTGTGTCATGGCAGGCACCGGTGACGTGCATGTGCTTCGTGTATTGCGCGCCGCACATGGGTGCCTGGACGTGTCGTATGGGACACATCTGGCGACGCACATGGCGCTGGGCCTGCTATTCTTGGGCGGCGGCCGGTTCTCCGTGTCCCAGTCTGACAAGGCACTCGCCATGATGCTCATTGCATTTCTCCCAAGCTTCCCGGCGGCGCCTGACGACTCTCGCGCACACTTGCAAGCTGCTCGGCACCTGAGCATTCTCGCTCTTGCGCCGCGCCTCGTGGCAGCGCGCGATGTGTCGTCGAACGAGGTCTGCTTCTTGCCCATGTCCAGCGATCATGTGCGTCTCGAAGCGCCCACACTCGTACCAGCTGGCACACTCTCTGTGTCGACACGCAGCCGCCGATATTGGCCAGCCTCGTGCATACTCGACCATGTACAGCGCCGTGCCCCGATAGCCGCATCGGCCTCATCTTCATCTTCATCCTCGTCGCCGTCACCCATGCACCAAGCAGCACTCGTACACTGGCTCCATGTCCAGCGGCGCACCGGCTTTCTCTCGTATGCAGACGACCCGCACGGACACCGCAGCATTTTTGCACGCACGGCCCGGTCGGCAGTCCCTCAGCTGGGCGGCGATATCGACGGCACATGCATGATGCGCGATCTGGCAGCATTGATTCACGGATTCAAAACTGCGCCAGAAGCGCAGCTTCTCGTCCACTATGTGTGCAGCGCAAATGCAGGCCTTGGTGCCTTTTGCGCATCGATCCTCCTCGATGGCCTCTTGCGCGATGCACCGATGCTTATGCGTGTGTACTTGGCACTCTGGACGGGCACGTACGAGCAGGATGCGAGTGACAGGGTGCTCTTTGTCCACGACACTCAACTTCTCCACGCTTGGTATGCGTCACCTGCTGATGCTGTTGTGCGTGGCTCACGCGAACGGCTCTTGCCTCGCGACATGCTTGACAGTGTCCTATGGCAGCTCATGTGTCAACTTGCGCCGGCCCTGTCGGAGGTAGCGGCCTACGTTCGAGGCACACGTGCGCCACTCACTCGCTCCGGCGCATCGGCGTTGGCGACTCTTCGTGCGCCGCTTCTCAGTGACCTGGAAATCCTTCGCACATGCTTTGCATCGACGCCACGTCCACTGGCCGTTCATGCACTGCGACATGTCCTGGATCACGACAGACTCGTACAAATGTGTGTGGATGCTTGGTGATAGTGTGCGCGCTCGGTCATCTCGACCTTCCTAGCCACACAGATCTCATCGTATCGACATTCTTGTCGCACGCAACACCATATACAGAATGCCCATTCTCCTACATATATATGTATATCTATGTTGCTGTGTGTGTGTGTGTGTGTGTGTGTGTGTGTGTCGTNGCACTAAACCCTTCCTCCACCCTCTGTATGCATCTAGAAATGAATACCTTCGTCATGAAAAGCCGACAGCAACGTAAGTAGCTCGTCAACATCGAGTTTCGCAGCCCGTGCCTCACTCATGCCGAGCCGCGCAAGCACGCTGTCTACCTTGTCAGGAAACGAGATGCCCACTGTTGATACGCCATGCTCGGCACAGTACGTCTTCCAATTCGCTTCCATCATCTCCAGCACACCGCGTGCGCCAAAGAAGCACGCACGAAGCACCTTGTTGCGCCGCGAAAACACGATCCGTGTGAGTCCGTCAAACTCTTCAAACTTGATGGGCGGCGGCGGGTTCAACGGCACAATCCGCACGACCGAACTGTCGACTTGCGGTGGTGGTCGGAATGATCCACGTGCCACTTTCATGATGTGATCCACTTTGGCATACAACTGGACATTCGCCGATAAGCGCCCCCACAATGGTGATCCTGGGCGTGCGACAAGTCGCATTGCAAATTCACGCTGAAACATCAAGATGGCACATCGGAAGAGCGGCCGGTGCGACAGCAACTTGAATACAAGGGGCGATGAAATTTGGTACGGGGTATTACTGATGACCACATCAAAGTATGGCAGGTCAGTCTTGCACACATCGCCGATCACAATCTCCAGTTTCCGCTGCTCTGGCTTGCCCTGAACACGTTTCGTCAGCTCGGCTGCCATGCGTGGATCCATTTCCACCACGACTACTCGCTTCGCCTTCTCCAGAATTCGCACAGTCAAATTACCTGTACCTGGACCCACTTCCAACACGGTATCTGTAGGTTTAAGATTCGCTTTGTCGACAATGCCCTGCGCGACCAGGGGATTCTTGAGAATGTGCTGGCCGAATCTGTCTGTATTGAAGATGGGATTCTTGGTCGCGGCCACTGTCCCTGTTGTGTTATTCTGTGACGCTTTGCGCGACAAAGAAGTCGGTGTGTTTGCCGCTGCTATCGCCTGTGTCCTCACGTTTGTGAGTTTGTCTGACACAGCACGCGGCATGGTCCCCTTGTTTCAGTATGGAAAAAGGTCAATGAAGGCGAATTGGAGTGAAAAAAATTCTTTACAGTTGTACTCCACTGTGGAGATACAACACACACACACGTACACATGAACATCTCGCTATCCAGGTACGTGTCTCGCTTGAAGTGCAAAAAAAGGGCCGCACTGGGAATTGAACCCAGGACCTCTCGCAATTAAGGCGCGATTCTCCCAAAGCGAGAATCATACTACTAGACCATACGGCCGAGACGAGTCGTTGGCATCAATACGCACCACAAGTAGGACTTCACATGATGAGCATGGTAAAACTTTTACGTCAAGCTTGAAGGCGAAAAAAGGGCCGCACTGGGAATTGAACCCAGGACCTCTCGCAATTAAGGCGCGATTCTCCCAAAGCGAGAATCATACTACTAGACCATACGGCCGCAATCTGATAGCCGCTGCTAAAACATATGTATGTAAATACCTCGATTACAAGGTTTCGTGTCGGCACCGTGCTGGTTTTATGCAGTCGTCGCGAGTCAAAATTTCTCTCCACTCGATCGAGTGAGTGAGCGTCGGCTGCGCTAGGTTTTGGCTCTCTCACTCAACTGACGGCATGAATCGCCCGAGTTTCTTCGGTGCGCAGCGCAAAGGTACCGTGTGCAGCTTTTGCCTAGTAAGGGATACTGACGCTTGGTAAAGGCGAGACCTTTGAACTCCGTGCAGATTGTACGTTGAGGAAAAAGACAACATGAACTAACCGTCTCTACAGTGAACAGCGAATACCGTGAACGTCGGAAAGATGCGATTAAGCGGGTCATTGCGAACATGACGGTCGGAAAAGACGTGTCAGCACTGTTTCCAGACGTGCTAAAGAATATGCAGACGGAGGATCTCGAGCAAAAGAAGCTTGTGTACTTGTATTTGATGAACTATGCCAAGACACAACCTGAGCTTGTGATCCTGGCGGTCAATACTTTTGTCAAGGATGCCGAGGATCCGAATCCACTAGTGCGTGCGCTAGCGATTCGTACGATGGGCTGCCTCCGTGCTGAGAAAATTATCGACTACTTGCCCGTGCCGTTGAACCGCTGCCTGAATGATGAAAGCCCGTACGTCCGCAAGACGGCCGTGTTGTGTGTCGCCAAGCTCTTTGGTCTGAAGGCAGAACTGGCACTAGAGGGCGGCTTTGTCGATCGTGTGAAAGAAATGATCTCTGACAACAATCCCATGGTCGTTGCCAATGCCATTGCTGCGCTGAACGATATCCACGAAGCTGCGCAGGACCTCAAGATCCAAGGCGAGCCCGTCTTTGTTCTCGACTCGGATGTCTTGATGAAGCTTCTCGTCGCTTTGAATGAGTGCACCGAATGGGGCCGCATCATCATTCTCAACACGCTCGCGACGTACCGCAGTGCTGATGAGCGCGAGTCCGAGCACATCTGTGAGCGTGTGATGCCCCAGTTCCAGCATGCCAATGGAGCGGTGGTGCTTGGCGCCGTCAAGGTCGTGCTCGTGCATATGGAATCAACACGCAAGCCAGAGTTTGTGCAGCAGCTCGTTCGCAAGATGGCACCCCCGCTCGTGACGCTCGTGACCAGTGAGCCAGAGGTCCAGTGGGTCGCTCTGCGCAACATCAACCTGATCCTCCAAAAGTATCCGGACATCTTGTCGAATGAGATGCGTGTGTTCTTCTGCAAGTACAATGATCCACCATACGTGAAGGCTGAAAAGGTCGACGTGATGATCAAGCTCGCGAAAGAAAGCAATGTCGACATGCTGCTCAGTGAGCTGAAAGAATATGCCACCGAGGTCGATGTCGACTTTGTGCGGCGCGCGATCCGTGCGATTGGGCAATGTGCCATATCTATTGAATCCGCGGCCGAGCGGTGTGTATATGTGCTGCTTGAGCTGATCGGCTCGCGAGCGAGTTACGTTGTGCAGGAAGCCATCGTTGTCGTGAAGGACATCTTCCGCAAGTACCCTCATCAGTACACACGGATCATTCCGCAGCTATGTGCCAATCTCGACGACATGGACGAGCCTGAGGCCAAGGCTTCTCTCGTATGGATCCTTGGTGAATATGCTGAGCAGATTGACAACTCCGACGAGCAACTCGCCTACTTTGTCGAGCAGTTTGTCGATGATGAGCCAGAGGTCCAGTTCCAGACACTCTCTGCAATTGTGAAGCTGTTCCTCAAGAAGCCCGAGTCGCCTCTTGCGCAGCGCATTGTGCAAGATGTGCTTGAAAAGGCTACGTCCAAGTGTGACAATGCTGATTTGCGCGACAGGGCCTTTGTATACTGGCGCTTACTCTCTAGCACGGACACCGACGCAGCTCGCGCTGTGGCCTTGGTGCCTGCCCCACTCATCTCTGTTCCCCTCACGACCGTGCCGCGCTCCCTGCTGAACGAGCTCATCCGTGAGCTCTCGCTTCTCTCGAGCGTGTACCACAAGCCAGCATCCACCTTCATTGGACGCGGCCGTGTAGGCATGCAGTCGCTCCAAGCTCTGTACGTTGCGAGCATACCCAGTTTCTTGACTAACCACCGATGCAGCTCAAATGACGAGGCAGCCCGCACACGTGCGATTGTCACTGTGGCCCAGGGTGAGAAGAGCGAGACACTGTTGGACCTGGGCGAAGACACATCGAGCTCTACAGCAGCACAGGCCGCCGCTCAGAGTCTTGGCAGCTTGGGCGATTTGCTGGGCGACGATGCGTTCTCGACGCCAGCTATGACTAATACTGCACAGAGTGTGCCTCAAAAAGGTGCGATGGACGACTTGCTTGGCATCTTTGACACGCCAAGTCAGAGCGCAGGCCTATCACAGCCAACTGCTTCTGCTGCAGCCGCCGCCCCATCGACATCATCATCAACTTCATCGGCGCAGCAAAACGATCTACTTGGTCTTTTGTGAGTCCTTCGTTTGTCTATGTAGCCCAACTGTGTGTTGTAAGATTGCTTTCCCTGGCTGCTTGTGTAGTACTAGGCTTTTTTCAACTTGGCCCACTCGAGGAACGCCGGCACGTCGGCGACTATTTGCGAGGGCATCGAAAGCTCCTGCAGCCACCGGGGGATCGAGCCGCCGGCCTCGGCCTGCGTCGTAAGCATCCATTGCACGCCAACCTCGCCAGGCCGGAAGATGGTCCAGTCTTCTCGCACGCCTTCCACACTGGCGTAGTAGCCACGCACGTAGTTGGGTGTCGCGGCATGTGCGATGGGCATACTAATCACAAGAAATGAGCGGTACGTGCCTGGCGGGCCACGAGGAATACTCCGGGTATCAAGCGACAGCGTGCCGGCCTTGAGGGCTTTGATGGTCTCTTGTTCATGGAACACGTTGAATGGATTCTCATCGGTCGGCATCGGCAGCATTAGCACAAGCTCCACAAAGTCACGATTCGCTGTCACGGAGGGTGTGCGGTATTTCATGTGCCAAATTTCTGCCACCTGTGGCACAAGCACCTCAAGGCACTCGGCATGCTCCAATGCCTCGATGTATTGCTGCTCGTGTTGCGTGTGATGCTGAAGCAGTCCCTCTTCAAATGCCTCGAACCCAAGACCCAACTCTTTCGGAAAATGCAGCGATGAGCGTGAGTGCCAGTGAGCACGTCGTAATGGATGTCCTGCTGGGTGTATGGACGTGATCGACTCTTTCGTCACTTTGCCTTGGCCTTGCACTGTGCGCCAGCGCAGGGTGACATTCACTTTCCGCAGCGCCGAAAACGCCTCTTCCATCACCTCTGCCAGAAACAGCGTCCATTCTGGCGTGCCCGGCTGCGGAAGCCTCGCACGCTCAGTTGGCTCAGCTTGCAACCACATAAGACTGACTGACCGGATTGGAGGGAGGAGGCAGGTGGAGAGCGAGAGATCCACACTCTCCATTTAGGCTGTTCCCCACTCACCACCTGCATCTCGGCTCCATCACCAATGGGGAAATAATGAGGAATCCACTATGGCTGGCTGAGCGCACGCGTGCCACAGAGTGCTGGTTGCTCCCTCGCACACACACACGCGACGATCGATCGGGGCCATCGACTTAGCAAGGCAGGCGTGTATGCATGTGGTGTGGCTGTGAAAATGGGGCCGTCCAATCCATGTCAGGTTGGCGTCCCTTTACACGCAGAGGGGAATTATGCCAGTGTGATTGGCCCCTGTTTCGTAGACTCCACACAACGAATGTCCATGCAACATCTAACGATGAACGGCCTGTACATAAGTGGCACGCTCTTTGCTATGAATCGTACGCCCACCATATCCTTCTTCTCCCTTCCACTCAAGAGCGCGTAAGCCTTTGGAGCCGGTCTCCATCCCCACCCTCATCTCCCTCTTTGGCTTGCTATTGCCATCTAGCAACCCACGTCATTGAGGCTGGTCCTCATTCCCTCTCGCTCCGTTAACGTCTCCCTCCTTTTTTCACTCTTCATTTTACTTTTTTCCCAAAGTCCCCAGTGGACTTGGGCCCATTCAAGCACATCCTTTCTGATACACAAAATGCTGGCTCGTTTTGTGCATCTCGTTCCTTTTGTCGTGGCCTTGATATCGGCGGCACATGCCCACGTCCTGCCTCACCATGCCGTGCTGCACGCACGCCATGCAGAGAGCGGTTCATCGGGTGCGCGAGACCCGGCCGATTACTTGCTCCCTGGCTTCCAGTTTGCCTCTGAGCTAGGCAGCTTTCTCGATGGTGGCAGCTCTAGCAGCAGTCGCACCAGTGCTGAGGCAGCCACATCGACTCCATCATTTAGGGCGACGTTCACCACGTCGTCACCGGCGTCCACATCTACATCGACAATGTCCAGCTCGACTTCATCATCGAATGGGGATGGACATGGCTTGGGATCCCTTCTTGGTGGCTTGATTGGCAGCATCCCAGGCACAGATCATATTTCTGATCCAGACGTGTCCAGGTACGAGCAGGCAGATCCTGAGCCACGGTGGGGTGCGAGCGCTGCCTTCTTGAACGGTCTGCAGGCAATCGTTTTCAGTGGCGGTCAGATGGGTGAAAAGGGCCACATCACGAATGAGACGCTCCTGCTGGACATGAGCGGCCTCACGAATCTCCAGAGCATTCGCGCCGCCGTCAACGCGACGCCATGGCTCAAGCACCACAACAACCACTCAGGTGCACCAGCTCCTTCAACGGCGTATGCGGCGTCGCGTGTATCGACGAGTGTGTGCGGTGCAACGGACGGTCACGCTGTGGACACGCTGTGGCTTGCTGGCGGTAAAACCGAAGACTGCTCGTCCCAATCGATGTTGTACACGTACAGCATGGAACGCAAGAATGACACTATTGTCGGTGTTTGGCACGATATTAGCTCGAATGGAACGATGCCCCGTCGCCGTGCGCATGCCCAGGCGGCTTTTACTGGCTTCAACTTCGCTGGCGGTGATGACGTGTCGATGATTGTGCTTGGTGGCCAAGACTGGGACGAGGCTTGCCGCCGCAATCACAAAGGTCATACGAAGTATGCGTTCTCGCTTGACCAGTGGATCATTGGCAATGTCATGGATCAACAGTGCGAGATGCCTCGTCATACGAAGCGCGTCGGCATCCAGACATATGCGTACAGGGACACGCTGGACACCGTGCCAGTGATTGACTATGCGGGCGTGTCGATGCCGGCCATCGAAAATGCGCAGACGAAGCACACCGAGGAGCCGTTCTTGCTTCTTGGTGGCCGCTCGAAGGACCACAAGCTTGTCGATCTGCACCGTCCATGGGCGATTGATCTGGCCTCAGGTAATTGGTCGCGTTGGGTAACCACGGGTGACATCCCATCTCCACGTGTGGGTCACTCGGCTGTCCATGCCATGGATGGTAAGGTGTATGTGTATGGTGGATACAAGAAATATGGCACAAAGCACAATGCTGTCAGCAAGGTGCCGACCGATGAAATGTACGTTCTGGACGCGTCGACAACGCCAGCCGTGTGGTCGAAGGTCAATTATCAGGACCCCCCAGAAAATGGCCCTCTTCCCTCGAAGCGTGCGTACCACTCAGCCGTCATGGTCGACGATGTGATGGTCGTGGCCTTTGGTCAACAGCACAAGGGTACTGCGTACGGTCTTGAGAAGCGCGGTGGTACGAACCAGAACTCGTCGGAACCACTTGTCATGTACATGGAAACACGCAACAACATCATGGGCTTCCGATGGACTGACAAGCTTTCAGCCATTGTGTCTGCACGTCTCACGGAAAATCTCCTCGGCGTTCAGACAAAGACGCAGAACGCCAAGTACTTGTCGACATCGTCGGATGAAAACCAGAAGACCAAATCGAAGCCTTCGTCTATGCCTCTCCCTGACATGTCGCGCGTGCCTACGCCTATTGAGCGGCACTCGAGCATTGTGTCTGTGCAGAGCAAGAGCCATGCCTCGGCGATGAGCGCCTCATCCGTAAGCAGTGTTTCGGCGAGCCGCGCATCAGTGAGCCGCGCATCGGTGAGTCGAGCGTCGGCAAGTCAAGCGTCAGTGAGCCGTGCGAAGGCCGAAGCCAGTCGCACTGCCGCTGCGAACAAGGGTTCAAATCAGGCTCAAGGGCATGGTCAACAACAAGGACAAGAACCAGCTCAGGGACAAGCGCCAGGACAGGCTCAGGGACAAGGCCAAGATCAAGGTCAAGCCAAGAACGGTGGTGGCAACGGTGACAAGTCGTCAGACGGCAACTCGGACTCGTCTGAGCAGGCTGACAAGAACGGCGATAACAAGAAGGAGAATCAGTCGACTACCAGCTCCGGTGCCATTGCGGGTGGTGTTCTTGGTGCATGTGCGTTGGCCGTTGGTGCAGTTGTTGGTGGTCTATACGCGTACCGAAAACGTCGTGAGTCGCAAAAGATTGCCGAACTCCGCTCCAACGGTGTCCTGTATAACGGCCGCGCCGGGGACCCAGAATCCGCACCGCCCGTCTCTTCGCTATGGCTCCAGCGTCCACTGAAGGAAGTCATTCAACCTGGAGGTGGTCTTTGTGACTCCAACATGTCGGCTGCATCTATGCAGGGTCACGTCGGTACACCACTCTCGGCTTCGTCAGCAGGCGGTCGCTCGATTGGTTCAGATGAGCGCCACGAAGTTCGCGGCCCTCGCTCGGCTTACGCGACCGGTGCGATGCCCGACTACACTGGAGCTGGCGTTCCTGGCAGCACGTACTCGGCAATGCCTCAAGAACACGGCATCTTCGATGATTACGTGGCCGCATATGCACCCGAGGACCAGGCACCGTCGCAAGAACCGCACTACTCGTACCCGTACTTCGGAGGCGGCATTCAGCGCTCAAGCGGTGGCGAAGTCACGACAAATGTACCCGATGATCTCGAGTCTGTGTACACGAACACGGTGGATGGAAAGACCATGGTTCATGGCGACGACAATGAGGAAGGTTTGTCTGACCTTGGCATGAATGGCATGCGGAGGTCAGCTTCATTCCGGTTCCCTGAGGCACAGTCTCGTCCATACACGCCACATGACAACTCCATGCTGCGTGTGATGAACCACCCATAAAGAAGAAGATGTTTCTGTGCATGTAAATTTCCCTCCTGCTTGTTGCTGCGATAAAGCCAACTACTTGCGACGTTCCTTCCTCCGGTTTCGTCGTGTACTTGTACTTATGCCATGCCCCTCACGATATAGCACGACACTTTTTGAAAACTCGTCTCATTTTGTTGCATTGCTTCTGCGATTATGTATGTAAAAGGCTGGTAGACTTGCGTCATGATAAATTTCCATCGTATTCTTCTATTCATACCATTCCATATATCTTGAACCCTCTATACAAAAAAAATAATACGCGGTTTCTATTATAGCACCTGTTGACTCAATTCCACTGTCACCACACTTTGATATGTTTCGCCTTGTCTCAAGAGAGTGTCATGACCCGCCCAATTCCATAGTGTTGGTCTCAGAAATGTGGCATGTGGTGCAGAAAACTCGAGAAAGATCGCGTGATGCCGTCCATCTAATTCAGGCTTGGTTGGTTCGATACGGTGTCGCACCTTTCTCGCTCCCTCCTTGCAGGCGTTTGGTGGCACGAACATTTGGACGCCGGTCTGATTCGTCCGGAATCGAAGCGTGAGTCCAGTGGGGCCACTTAGCGTGGCCATGACAGGGTTACGGTCAATGGCATTCCTGCGCCCTGCTGTTTCGCTGTTGCTGGCTGCAGTGCTTGGCCCCCACACGTAAAAATGGTCATAATCGGTATCGGCCCGAATCTGCTGATTAGGCCGTGACCAGTCGTATCGTGTGCCTGCACATGATTCCAATGCACCTGTCGGAATCCCATCCGTGTCCAAGACGAGGCGGTACAAGGGCCGAGCTCCACCACCGAGCTGCAGCGCATGTCCATCCACACCCGTGCCGCGATGTGCGACCGATGAGGCTCCGAGGTTGAAGCCCCAGTGCTGCGTCAAATTCAGCGGCGTCGCAGTAGTGGCATCGTCCACGAGACGTGCACGATACTGGACATGTATGCGCCCCAATTCCATGGCTGACGGTGCTCCGCTACTTTGCACGCCTACGAAGGCTTCCACACGCACGTGCCCTGGATACCCTTGGTCACCAACTGGCGATTCAAGCGCAAAGCATGCACTCTCATCCCATGCGTCATAATCTTTGTCTGAGTACATAGATGATTCACGTATCTGTGTCCACATCGCGCAGTCGAATGGACCATGCTGAAGTAGACTGCTACCAGTGTTGGTGAGCAAGGCTTCCGTACAAGGACCTCCGTGATGACTGATGTTTTGTCCTCCCCACGCGGGTAGCTCGATCATCAAGTGTTCCTTTTTAGCCCTATCCCAGTACACTTGACATCCAGCAGGCAACCGGTTCGCGTACCGGCCAATAATGGGTCCATAAAACCGGCGTCCCAGCGTTCTGTGTTCATTTGCATTCTCTGGTCCCGCTACAATATCATGGACATGTTCTCCAACGCGTACCTCAATGCGATGGATCGTAAGCCCATACGGCAGGATCTCAAGTCTCACGCGACCGTCACGCGTGCCCAACCACATGGATCCCAGCCGAGTGCTCGGACGCTTTCGAACTAGTGTCACGCCTCTCCACTCTTGCCGGTTTGAAAAACTTGGATCAATGTCCCCCACCCGCAACGTTCAAAATGACGCGTTCGTTAACAGAGATCTGAGTGAAGGTGCACGTGACACATACATACATAATGCATGCATGCATGTGGATATGTGCACAGAGTTCGCGGTTAGGATATGATTTTTGCATGACACGCCAGATTCGTTTAGCGCACGGATTTCGTTACTAGACCACCAACAAGACTCGCTTGACCGCGAAACTGTCTTTTCGCCCCCCATCTTTGTTTCTGATGGTACAGGACACTAGACAGTCACGCCATCGGAATGCATCTGCATCCCGCAAGGCTAAGCTGGCACCGAAAGTGAATGAGTCTGAGAAAACTAGCGTGTCGTCGCTTTATGGCTTATCTCCAGCGATGGTAAATACCGCCATTACTGTTGGCCTTTGTGCTACCGCCTTTTACGTGCGTGCCTATCAGATTGAATTGCCAAATGAGGTGGTGTTTGATGAAGTGCACTTCGGAAAGTTTGCTGCGTACTACGTGACCAGAAGATACTTTTTTGATGTGCACCCACCGCTAGCGAAAATGATGATTGCAGCCGTTGCGTGGCTTGCTGGGTTCGACGGCAAGTTTGAATTTGATAACATCGGTGATTCATACATTGAAAATAACGTACCATACAAACCAATTCGGCTGTTCATTGCTGCTGTCGGCTCACTGCATGTGCCGCTCGTGTTCCAGATCTTGCGTGAGACTGGCACATCGACCACCATGGCGCTCATAGCAGCACTAGCCATCTTGTTTGACAATGCTCAGGTGTTACAATCGCGACTGATCCTGCTGGACGCGCCTCTTGTCCTGTTTGTCCTGTGCAGCTTGTATTCGTATGTCAAGTTCTACGCACAGCGCTACCGCCCATTCCAACCTGCTTGGTGGGCGTGGCTGACAGCAACGGGCGTGAGCTTGGCATTGACGATCTCGTGCAAAATGGTCGGCTTGCTGACATTCTTTACGATTGGTGGTGCCGTACTATTTGATCTTTGGAATTTGTTGGACATCCGCCGTGGTCTTTCTATGCGTGTGTTCGTAAAGCACTTCTGTGCACGAGCTTTATGCCTTATTGTGGTCCCGTTCCTGATCTATCTAAGCTTCTTCTACATCCATTTCTCCGTACTCACACAAACCGGCTCGGGCGATGATTTCATGAGTCTAGAGTTCCAACAGACACTCAATGGCAATGAATACTTGGAGACACCCATCAGCATCCACGCATACGACTCTATCACTCTTCGACACGTGGGCACGAATGCATATCTCCATTCTCATCCGAGCAGGTACCCGCTGGAATATGAGGACGGTCGGATCTCCTCTGAAGGCCAGCAAGTCACTGCCTATGAGCACCAGGACGACAACAATCTTTGGAGGATCGAGCCCGTCGAGCCAGTCGACAACGAAGATGGCTCATTCAATGAGACTCGCCGCATGATTCATCACAACCAGTTAATCCGACTCTTGCATCTTGGAACGAACACATATCTTATGACGCATGACGTGGCATCTCCCCTAATGATGACGAACATGGAGTTCACAACAGTCTCCGGCGACAACGAGCAAGAATACGCCAACACCTTGTTTAAGGTTATGGTCGAAGGTGCTACGACTGATGACATTGCTTGGGATAGTCGCCGTACATCAGTGCGCCTCGTACACAATGACACAGGTGTTGTCATGTGGACTCGCGCGGACGGCCGTCTTCCTGACTGGGGGTATGGACAGCTTGAAGTGAATGGCGACAAGAACCAAAGAGAAAAGACGGCTATCTGGACTGCCATGGACGTTAGACCGGACCCTGAGTCACCGTTGTTCGAGAGCCGCTCGAACATTCCACAAGAACCTCTTGCTCCTATCCCGCGAAGCTTCCTCCAAAAGTACACTGAATTACAGGGCCTCATGCTATCACACAACAATCAACTCACAAGCAGTCACCCATACGATAGCCGGCCACAGTCGTGGCCCGTTGTGTACGATGGCGTCGCATATTGGTCGAAGGACGAGGCGCAGGAACAAATCGCCTTTTTCGGCAATGTCGTCAGTTGGTGGTGTGCATCCTTTGCTGTTCTTGCTTTCGTTGCCATCTTTTTCACTGACTTGCTTTGCCGCCGCCGTGGCTTGTATTACTTGTCGACGGCCGAGCGATGTCGTTACTTGCACACAACGGGCTTCTTTGTGTACGCATGGGCATGTCATTATGTGCCATTCTTTCTTATGCATCGACAACTTTTCATTCACCACTATCTTCCTGCGCATGCATGCTCAGTGCTTGTCTTTGCAGGCATGCTGGACTTTGTCACGAGCCGCTCTATCGACCTACCGATTACTCCTGCGGGACCGGAGCTCCCAGCGGAGCGACGTCGCCCGGTGATGAGGCGACGTCAGGGCCGTTTGGCCCAGGGCTTTGCGTTTGTCTTCGTTCTTTCCCTGGTGGCCATGTTCCAATTCCTCTCGCCCTTCACATATGGAAACGTCGGTTTGAGTGAAGCGGAAGTCCGCGCCCGACAAATTCTGCCTTCCTGGCGGCTCCAGTTTCTTAAAAACTAATGATTTATGATCGTGCTAGTCGCTTATGTAGAGCTTGCACTAATGATATACATGCATATCCATGACGCTGGGCCTCGGTAAAAGACGAAGCTTCGCGCACGTGTGTTTCGAGATGCGCATCCGCTTCAGTAACAGCATCGACCAATGCGGCACGAGCCGTTGGCCCAAGATTCGCCACATCATTGTTGTCCAACGAATCGAGAGCTTGGGCCGCTAAACGACGCACTTTGAAAGTGGAATCGTGTCGCAAAGCGAGTGCTAAGTGCTCAACACACACATCGAGCACTTTCCGTACAGTGTCTTCACTGTTGGGTATCGCTTTGCCCTGTTTTGGACAGTACTTTCGCCGTTCCATCGCACGTGATACACATGTGGCGGCATTCCAGCGCAGTTTAGGCGTGCGGCTCCTTATCAAAACACCGCATGCTCTGTGAGTGGCACATTCATAAGCTGCGTCAGGAGCCAGCGGCAACATAGAGCCAAGGCCACGGACGGCATGCACAGCTACGCGATCGTCGTCATGGCCAAGCGCGTCATATAAGGCTTCAAACACAGGCTCTTCGAACGCTTGCATACCTGCACACCCATTTGCCCATGCCCAGGCCGCACGATTACGCACCAATAGATCAGCATCATCTAAGAGTCCTGCCGTGTCCCAAAACCATGTCAAACACTCATCATGTCGTAGCATCGAGACACTGTTTGGCTCACTTGCCCATAGCACGCCCAGCGCACGCACAGATGCGGCGCGAATCGTTGGCACCGAATCTTGAAGCAGAGGCTCTAACATACGAATACATGTTTTCAAGGCTTTTGGGCATTTCCCGGTAGAGGTCATGCATATGTGCACATAGTCAGGCCACAACTGGCAAAAAGCTTCTCTAGCTTTTATTGCTAATTCTCTCCGAAGTTGCGAGACAAAATACTCGCATGTCTTACCATGCAGCTCCCGAAATCTCGCGTCTCTTGCTGCCAGACGGAGAAGGACTTGTAGCATTTCAGCCGCACTAACGCATCGTTGATTCAACGCAAGATCGCGCCGAAGTGCGTCTAGAACAAGCCCATCAGGTGCACACACGTCCCGATCAACATACGCTGTTGCCACATGCCATGCGTTCGAGACCAACTCAACGTCTGCATCTCTATTGTCTTTGTTGCTTGGGGTATCATGGATCAAATGAAGCAATCGCGTGGCCGCGTCACTTGGAGGTTTGGGCCAATACAAGAGGATCGCATATGAACACACGACCGTCATCGGATCGCTCGCACCGCACCAGCGTTCCACAGGCGCACGAAGCACATTTGCATGGGATTCATGCAGCGGCGAATTTTGGGTATATTTGACGAATGCAAGGATAGACTGCAACACAGGAAGTGCTGGCGTAATGGGGCAATTCAGCGTCTTTGCCAGAGCAGCTCTTGTCTCTATCAGATACGTCCCCCATCGTTCAGAATGGGACGTGAAAGCTGACGGCCGTGTTCTGGAGAGTCAGCTCTTGTAAAAAAAGTAAGAAACATACATGGGATCACGCGCCATCGACCAGGAGGCTGATGCATACTGGAAGAGAAGAGACAAGATCAAACATGCTTGAGCTGCATATGGCCCAGGTACGAATGTGAGCACGCCCAACTGTCCATCACAAGGGAGAACAAGTGGCCACATATGCATGAACTCCTTCGCACAATGTTGCACCAGATCAGCAACACAAGAAAAGCATTCGTTCTGGTGTTCACCGTTTTGATACATGGCCGGCACAACGACTTGCGCTAGATATGGTGCCGCGTCCTTGGAGATCGGTTTCGGCCATACAGACAGAAGTCGGCGAACAGCGCGCAGGTCAGAAGCTTCTTGGTTCGCATACCATTCAGCCAGTACCCGCGCAAGTCCAGCGTACACATCCCTTTTCGCGCTCAATCGCTCACGCCACGAAGGCAGGACAAGTTCTAGTGCCGCGTACACAGCTGCATCGTCCTCCTTGGCACATGCTATATTCATAGCCAACATATAGTCACAGCCAACATTCTGCGATCTTCGCTTCTTTAAACTAGGCAGGATCGCATGTACCTGGCCGATCAACATCGCGCCTGAAACTAGGACGATGTATGCATAGCGCGCGGAAAGAGGGAATTTTCGTCACTACCTGATACTACGCGCTTCCTTTCTCTATTTCCCCCTGTGCCTGACACACGCTTGTTGCATTTCCTTACGCTCCACCGCCACTCTATTCATCTTCATGCTGTGGAGTAAAGTCAAAACCAGGCTTGAACCTACACGCACTCACCCAAGCCCACCCAATTGGGTGAGTTTTCACAAGTGAGCACGAGGTGGCGATGGAGCGGGTATGCTAGTTGACGTAGTGGATGCAAGGTCATCCGAACGAGCCACACCCAATTCTTCCGCAATATTGCGAGCAATGCCACGAGACGTGCCCAGGATGGTGAGCATGGGATTCACGCCTGATGCTTCCGGCAAGACAGACCCATCTGCGACCCAAAGACGCGAAGCGCCTCGCAAGCGACCGCGCGGATCACATGCAGATGTTGTCGGGTCAGCCCCCATGCGACAGGAACCCATCTGGTGAGCAGAGCCAAGTGTGCAACGAAGAGTTGAGAACCCAGCACGCTCGATCTGCTTTTGGAACTCAACGAACGATGGATGCATAACATCGCCCTGTGGTGGTAACGAGTCAAATGGATAGCTACCTGGCAGTAGCTTCTCTGGCACAGAGCTTGGCAGTTTGTTCTTTGGGCACTCATACAAAGGCACGTCAAACTGGGTGACTGCAATGGCCGAGGCCCCTGCATTCATGTGGATTTCTGTCGCTCGTTTGACTCCCTCTAGCATGCTCTTTTGGTCAAACTTGCTCAAATTGTAGTCCATAAGCGCCCGACCATACTTGTCTAGCTTTACGCGGCCGCCATCGCGATCACGAACAAGGACAATTGCCGTGTAGCTGTAGCGATAGCGCGACGCGAGTTTCTTGTGCTGTGCACTGTTTTGGAAGGGAAGAATCGCACAGAATAGCGACGGCGCAGATGCCATCACTTCAATCTTCGCACCCCAACCGTGGGGATCCACGAGCTCTGCAGCATTTGATACGGTCGTTAAACTGCCTCCTTCCCACGGATATACGGGGATGTCGTAAAAGCCGTGCACGAAAGCGACTGGGTGCAGGTGCAAATGTTCGCCAATCTGCTTGTTTTTCTTGAGCTCTGGTGTCCGCAGCAGAATGGCAGGCGTGTTAACACTGCCCGCCGATATCACGACACCCTGCTTGCCGTGGATGCGGACAGACTGACCTTTCACATGTCCCATTACACCGGTCGCTTTGCCGTCCTCCATCAACACACGTTCAACGTCACAATGTGTCAAGAACTGTGCGCCATGCTCGGCCGCATCTCTAAGATACGTCATCAAAGTGCCATGTTTGTGTCCAGACGGACAGCCAAATGTGCATTTGCCGCAGTAATGCGGCAAGTTACCGTTGTTCTGCGGCACAGCACTGACGGGCTGTCCAGCTCGGCGCGCCCCTAGCATTAGGAGCGTATTGGCTCTATTGTGCGTAATATTGTCAGTCGTGCCCATCCGGTGTGCACATGCATCGAGGTCTTGCGTAAATAGAGCCGACTCAAAATACGGCATGCCATACTTTTTCGACCATGCTTGGCGCAAAAAGTAGCGAGGCGTCAGCGTCGCACCCCAGTTGATTGTCGAGCCACCACCGAACCCGCTACCAGCCAGTACGCCAATACTCATTGTCGATGAGGGCACGAAACCCAAGCGCTCGAACATTTGGTCGAAGCCGAACGACTGTGTCAAAGGCATCTCTTCGGGTCGAACATACAGGCCCTTGTCGACGACGACCACTTTAAGGCCACGCTCTGCTAAATAAGCTGCAACGACACCACCACCACAACCTGAGCCGACAACGACGACGTCCGTTTCCAAGTCTATGGGCTCAGACGTCGGTGACAATGGCAAGTTGTCGTTGAGGAACTGGAAGTTGTAATGTGGAATCGCCGTTTGTTCCTCAAAGCCAGGGGGCGTTTTCCAGTCGTCGGTAGGCCCAGTCGGATAACCAATAGCTTCGGTCGCCTTCTCAAAGTGCCGGTAAAACACCATCATCGTCAGACCTATTAATCCGAACTGCCCAAGTCGCAGCACTTGGATCGGCGACGTCCTCCATGCTAGAAGGGTAGTGACAATGGCGTCTTGGTCCACATCCCAGACAGGTCCCACACGTCCGATAAGAGCCAGACACCCAGCTCGTGTAGCCAACGACTTTAGCAACAAAGTAATCAAACTCCGGAGCGTGAACGAAACTGTTTCGTGGACGTGCATGGCGATAAGATTCACTCCATTCGGTAGGTCGGAGAACGAAAGATCCGCATACTCATTCGCGCGGGCTTTGTCTTCGGCACTCAGATCAGATGGTAGTGTGTTGAGGAAGGACTCCTTCTCCTTCGGGGTCAGTGGAGAAATGATTGCATTGGCGATGGCCTCCAACGCTCGTTGCTGATCTTTGCTCCATAGCTCGTCAGCGTAGTTACGAGATTCGTCTATAACGAGATGGCGGTAATTCATCCTTGTCGATACCAAAAGAGACGATCGTCAACCCAAGGCATGCGTGCCTTGAAAGAAAGTGCCTGGTAAGACGCGACTGGGGGGGGGGTCTATTTGTAGTTGCGCACGGCTCGGCATCTACAAACTTTCAGTTGAAATCGACATGTCTTTGGGGTTGCGCTCCACCCAAGGCCATGTGAAAAGTTCATCTCGCGCAGGCGCTCCAATCTCGGCTTCTCCACGCATTGAATGGGTTTCCCAGAAATTAAATGGTGAATGTTGGGGCTTTTGCCACACAATCACCGATCGCGTGAATCCTGACGTGTAAGCAATACCGGAACTGGGATTATTATTATTATCATGATGGCTCGGTTTCATCTGACGTACCATAGCCTGTTCCTTGGGCAATAGGGCCGAGGCACTCGAGCCCAAAAAGAGAGAAGATCCATCCGATATCATCCGGTCGGAGGCGCAGGCGTGCATGATTCCGGCGAAGGTCTCGAGACAGTGTGCGTGCTTGACTGTACGAACGCCACGGCTGCACCTCCAGTGCCACGATGCCACGCGTGCGCAAGTTGCTTGCAAGGCGAGCAAGGAGGCGAACGAGGCCTTCATCTCCCTGGTTCAGATGAACCCACTTGTTTAGTGAGAAGCACAAAATCAAGTCGTACATGGAATTCTCGGTGACATTCGCACTGTCTGCGTTGGCGCTGTGAGTGCGAACCCAGTCCGCCTCAATGAAAGATATGTTTGTGGGAAATGCAGGGCCAGGTTCGAGCGATGCTGATGGTGGCAAGGGAAGCTGGCCCATAAGCGAGCCAAAGCATCGGGGAAAGTAGTGCATCGCCTCGACCGAGGCTGCTGTTGAAGCCGGTTCCCGTTGGGACCAAGCGCGGCGCAATGCAGAACGAGCCTGCCTCACGAGTTGCGAATCAATGTCAACTCCCTCAGCGTACGAGGGTGGCGGCTTCATGAGCTGGCACAGCTCCAGGAGTGGCTTGGCCGCATTGCATCCAACGTCGAGTACTCGCTCCACAGGCCGTAAAAGGGATGCATGTGTGCCACACCACTCGACCAAAGCGATGATTCGTTCATCCACATCGTCTGCGCGCCCAGGTGCAGGATCGGTCGTGCCTGCTACACGTGCGCGACGCATGCCATAATAGCGCCGGAAGTTGCCATGCACCGGCACATTCATTCATAGATGCATCCACAACTAGCCTCTTAGTTTGCGAAACCGACGACGATGTGCGTACGTGAGTCCTTGTGAGCCGGGCTATTCCTGCAGAGTTGTTCTTCCACAAGAGATGCTCGACGCCCAAGTCCATGCGTTGGTTCAGCGCCTGGTACTGCGAACACACATGCACTCCATTCATATTACTAAGCATAACATAACATATCGAGAGGTCGATAAGAATTTTTCCACCTTACGGCTCATTTCAATCTAGCAGGACCGCCGTTGGGCGACAAAGAGAGGCACCTTCTCACTTTGACTGGTGGTGCAGCGACGCTCCTCATACAGCACGTATCTGTGTGAGTGGTGAGTGTACGTACACGTCAGTCTAGGCCCAGATGATACCGCTGGCACTGAGACTGCCTAGATCGACTAGATCTTGTGGCGCACGAGTCAGAGCTGTCGCTTTGAAAGCGACGAGTCATACGTCAAGCGCTCATCGAGCACCATTCTCCACTAGTGTCGCACGTCATGAAGAAGTACATCAAGAAACGTTCACGAAGCTCAATACGCAGCCATTCACTAATCTTCCAACACCACTACCGATGGATGTGCGTGACAAACACGCATCGCTCCGTCGACGTGGTGTGAATGTGGCAAATGCTGACCAGGACAACCTGATCGGCACCTCGGCTGCAAGCGTGGAGCATGCGAATATCGACGAGCTGTACTTTCCGACTACGCGTAGTGTTGAGACGCTGGCCTTGTTCCAGGCGTGTCTATCCACTGGGCTGATCGCTCGTGCTCATAAACTTATGCAAGAAATGCGTGCCGAGGCGCATAGTCGCCTAAAAGAGGTGTATGAGGTGCAGCCGGAGCAAGGAACTGATTCTTCTGATCGCTTATCGCCTATTATACCGTTAAAGCTCTGGTCCTACAATGCAATGCTTCATGCCTACTTTGTCAAGGCAGCTGAGCCGGACGTCCATGACACCAAGGTTTGGGTTACGCATGCGTGGAACATGTGGGAAAGTATGATGCGCCCAGAAGCTTTGCGTCTCGATCCTCAGCCGGATGCATCTACGATCGCAACGATGGCTCTCGGCATCGCTCACTTGCAGTCTCTCTCACTGTACCCACGGGGCAAGCCTACCTTCGTTCAACTTCTGCAGGATACTCGGACACTCGGCGTATCACTAGATTCTGTCTTCTCCTCATCTGTGCGACAGGGCGGCATGCCTGCCGCTGAAAGCTCTTCGTCTTCTCTTCTGCATGGTGCACAGATCAATACGCACGCGCTTGTGGCGCAGTTCCGTTCCGCTGCGTCAGTGCTTGGCGATAAACAAGCGCAGAAAGAACTTGATACGATTGAAGAAATCCTTCTTGCGAATGAAGCGCGCTCGACTGAGCATGACGCATCGTCGTCCTCTTCATCCTCTGCGGATCAACGCGAGCAGCAGCAGCAGCACACACAAGTCGCGTCTGTGCGGCCCGTGCTGAAGAAGGACCAGGCCACGGACATGTTGCATAAGCCTTTTAATCTCCAAACGCTGCAGGAAAGTCTTGCGACTATGGAACAAGCTCGAAGACGCTCCTCTGACTTATATGAGCGCCAGCGATGGCTCGAGCACTCTGCTCTAGAAGCGGCGCGCAAGCGGCTGGAACATGACACTGAAAAGCTGCAGGAACTGGGGTTGGACTCGAGCAGGTTCCAGTCGAAGACATTGCAAGCGTGGATGTGGGACTGGTACCAAAAGCTAGAAGTGGCGCTGCGCAAAGACATCGAGCGGCTGGGACGTCAGACGAGGCATGCTGTGGCCTCTTCTATGGATGCGCAGCTGTATCCATTTTTGTGCTTGTTACCAGCGTCGAAGATGGCCATGATCGTCATTCTTGAGATTATGCGCATGCAGGGCATCAGTGGTGTGGCTGATGGTATCAAGACGACCCGTGCGCTGATTACCGTCGGTAAAGCCATCGAGACAGAGTACAGTGCCGTCATGCTAAACAAGCACCCTGAAATCTTCGTCCAAGCGCGAGCAGCCCAGCAGATGCTCGGCAAACGCAGCTTGATTGACCTTGCCGCGCGACGTGATTTGAAGGCATGGCAGGAGCGATGCCGCGAAGAGAATATCGAGACCAATGTGCCGAAGTGGACACAAATCATTCGCGCGCGTGTGGGCAGTTTCCTTGTACAGCATCTGCTCGATGTTGCCACCGTGCACCGGAAGGCGTATGACCGCGACGGCGAGCTTTGGGAGGAAGACCAACCAGCGTTCTATTCAGCATATGAATACATTCAGGGTAAAAAGCTTGGTGTTATCCGTCTGAATGAAGTCGTGTCGCAGCGTCTCGATAAGGAGTCCGTGCGTGAAACACTGCATCCACGGCACCTACCGATGCTTGTACCGCCGCGTCCATGGCTTTCGCATGATTCCGGTGGCTACTACTCCATGAAGACGAGCGCTATGCGGTATAAGGACTCGGTCGAGCAGAGCTCGTACTTGCGTGCAGCCTCCGAGAACCATGGCTTGGAAGTTGTCCTGGCCGGACTCGATGTGCTCGGCAACACGGCCTGGAATGTGAACAAGGAGGTGTTTGATGTCGTTCTGCAAATCTGGAACTCGGGCGAGGCCCTTGGCGACCTACCGCCGGCCGAAATGACCGATCCAGAGCCTGAACGTCCACCACCGGATGACATCAAAGCGAAAGGCATCTACCTGCAGCGGCTTCGCCAGTGGAATACCATCCGATCGTCGAACCACTCGCAACGTTGTGATATTAATTACAAGCTGGAAATCGCGCGCAGCTTCCTCAATGAACGTTTCTACTTCCCGCACAACATGGACTTCCGTGGTCGGGCGTATCCAATTCCGCCACACTTGAACCACATCGGCAATGACCTGTGTCGTGGCTTGCTCAAGTTCGCCGAGGCCAAGCCACTGGGCGAGAAAGGGCTTCGCTGGCTGCGGATCCATCTCGCGAATGTGTGGGGCTATGACAAAGCGAGCTTCGCCGAACGTGAACAGTTTACCATTGATCATGAGGCGGACATCCGGGACTCGGCAACGAATGCATACCATGGCAAGCGATGGTGGCTGCAAGCTGACGACCCATGGCAATGTCTCGCGACATGTATTGAGCTCACGAAAGCGTGGGACTATCCGGATGGGCCAGAAGCTTTCCCATCCCAACTCCCTGTCCATCAAGATGGCACCTGCAACGGTTTACAGCACTACGCTGCACTGGGCGGCGACTTGCAGGGCGCGAAACAGGTGAATCTCCGCGGCGGCGATCGACCTGCTGATGTGTATACGGGTGTTGCTGAGCTTGTCATTGAGCAGCTGAACCGGCGCGCCGAAGAAGGTGATCCTACTGCACAATTGCTTAGGGGCAAAGTCACGCGCAAAGTCGTCAAGCAGACGGTCATGACGACTGTGTATGGCGTGACTTTCATCGGCGCTAAAAACCAGGTGATGCGCCAGTTGGTAGACCGTGGCGACACGCCAGCCGAAGAGGTTTGGACCGCAGCATCATACCTAGCCAAGGTCATTATGGACTGCATCGGTGATCTGTTTTCAGGTGCTAATATGATCCAGGACTGGCTCACTATCACCGCGCGCATGATTGCAAAAAGTATTCCGCCAGAGCGCGTTCCATATGCGCAAATGAAAGTGACACGCAAGGGATCTAAGGCTGATCCTGAAGCACACACGAAACGCCCATCTGTCACGTCCCGCGAGGGTCGTGAGCAAATGACGTCTGTCATTTGGACCAGTGCGCTCGGCTTGCCCGTGGTGCAGCCGTATAGACGGATCAAGAAGCACCAAATCACCACAGCCGTACAGTCTGTGTACATCCGTGACCCTAACCAAAACTTTGAGGTGAACACGTCCAAGCAAGCTTCTGCCTTCCCACCCAACTTTATTCACTCTCTCGATGCCACGCACATGTTCCTCACGGCGCTTGAGTGTCATTCTGCCGGCCTCGTGTTTGCTAGTGTGCATGACAGCTATTGGACGCACGCCTGCGATATTGATACCATGAGCGACATTATTCGCGACACTTTCGTGCGCTTGCACTCGCAGGACATTCTCGTCCGTCTACGCGACGAGTTTCTCCAGCGCTACAAGGGGTACAAGGTACCGGCATCATCACTAACAGGAAGCACCAGTGCGCGTATGCGTGCGAAGACGAAAATGATGATGGGATTGAGTGAAGATGACGACGGCGAGCTCGGTCTTACGAATGAACCTGGATCTATGCTTGACCATGACATCGACGGCGAGGCAGACGACGACACGGACGGTGATTCCTCTGTGGCTGACAAGCCTATTGACATTCCCTTGGCCCATCGTTCAATCAAGCCTGATGCTCATGGCTTTTACGAATTGGCCGACTTGCTTCCTCCCATTCCCAAAAAGGGCGATTTTGATGTGTCGGAAATCAAGCGTTCCCTGTACTTTTTCAGTTAAACGATCTGTTTTGGTCTATGAACGACGCTTGCGTGTACAGAGACACTTGTGGAAGAGAGAAGAATGCCCATTATAAGTAGACTTGCGTAGAATCCTCCACACAGCCTTCTCCTCCACCCACTCCATTCGCTTGCCTGAGTTGTGCGCGTGGATCTCTCTTGTTTGGGGAAACATCGCCATCAGACACCAGCTGCTGGTTCCTAAAGAACTAGTTTTCCCACCTCGTAATTTCTTAGCGGAAGCACGCTACAAAACCTCTCTACTATACAGAACAAAAACGAGTACATGTCGGACTTGCCCCGAATTGAAGCGCCTCCCAGTGCGAAGAAAGCTGGCGAAATACCCAACGTGGATATCAACCGAGGCAACACCATTCAGTTCGACCAATTGGGTCCTATAGTCGTATGTTGACATGGTCATTCCACCCACTTACTCAATGAACATCATACAGGTGAACTCAGATGGTGTAAGCATGCCTTTAATGCACTGACAAAGCTCGCATAGACCATGTCTCGCATTCCGAATTGGCACGAGATGACTGACGTGGAGAAAGAACGCACGGTCCGGATTCTTGCGAAGAGGAATCAACAGCGCACGGAAAAGCTCCGTGCTGAGAGCAATTTTTCATCTTAAAGAACTTGAAAAGAAAACAGATACGTTTTTTTTTTTTCTATAGTGAACTATAAGCTCATGAGTCCGTCATGCTGTTTAGATAGCAATATTCTTCACCTTCAGGGGAACGGCAGCAGCGAGTGTTGTGGGAACTCACGATGCCAAACCAGAACGTTTGACACCAGAGGCATAATTCCTACTCTTTTGTAGGGGAGATATGCACATGAAGCTACATTTCGTTTGAGCATAAATTGCCCACGGCGCCGACGACGAGTCCATATTCATCGTGGCACCTCGACCGACCTGTCTTGCGCGCATCACCATTCGTTATGCGAGCGTCGGCGTTCATCGAGACCCCAGAAATTAGGTATGCAGACGTATTCCATGTCAATATACTCACTCAAGGATGAAATGGTTTTACGATATGGTCGAAGCCGATTCTCGAGCAAAGCGGAAACGAGCACGACACCCCAAGGTCGATGATGTATCGTCAACTTCACTACAAGCTTGGCAGGCACCTCCTAACTTGGAAGATATGTCATGCTCATGCTCATCGGCATCATCTTCGCGCTCATCTATGTGCTCTTCGCCACCTTCTATGCTATTCGCAGATGAAAAAGAACAAATTCGTTCCGCGAATCGAGCGTTTCAAGCCGACTGGGGTCTAGGAGAAACATCTTCGCTCTTACCCTTGCCTCTTGAGCGCCAGCCAATGCTTCTACCTGAAGAAGATCCAAATTTTTTATCAGATACAGACGCATCACCTGGTGGTGAGTCGGATGACGACGCATTCACATCTCCGAGAAGCTCGACTCCAGTTGCAACGCGGCGTCTTCCTGCCCCAAAGCAACCAAGAAGTACACCTTCGCATCAGAGCAATGGTTCCAGTGGCTACTTGCTAAGATTTAGTCGTGGTCATCGCCTTTCAAGGTACGTCCCGTTCTTCTGCAGAACAATCCATGTAACCATACAGACAAAGCTCGTTAGAACGACATTCACCAGTCCCTATTTCGACCCGCCGCAAAAAGACTTGATCTACCTATGAAGGAGTCAGCTCGTAATTCAGGGAAGAACGAAACTGTAATACCATCATGAGATAACAAAAATCATTGATACATTCATACAATCATCATGGATTAGGCCATGTATATACGAAGTATTCCTACAAGCGGAATTACTGCTTCGCAGCAAGCAGGCGCTTCTCTGCCTCCTCGAAGTTGATCACGTTCCAAATGTTTTTGAAGTACGTGGCCTTGTCGTTCTTGTACTGGAGGTAGAATGCGTGCTCCCATGCGTCAATACCAATTAGTGGTGTGTGCGTCGTAAGAGGGTCTTGGTTCGCAGTAGTGACAATGTCGAGCCTGCCGTTCTGCGCATTGTAGCCGAGCCAGCCCCAGCCACTGCCCTGAATGCCGGCCAAAGCTGCGTTGAACTTCTGCTTCATCTCATCCACACCACCAAAGTCGCGCTCAATAGCCGAACGCAGCTCACCACTATCGAGCTGACCACCGCCCTGCGACGATGGCGCAAGGTTCTTCCAGAAGAGCGAGTGGTTGATATGACCACCACCGTTAAACGTCACCATACGCTGAAGAGCAATGGCTCCCTTGATATCGCCCTTGGCAAGAGTCTCGGACAATTGAGTCTCGAACGTGTTGAGTGCGTTCACGTATGTCTGGTGATGCTTAGCGTGGTGCACCTCCATGATTTGACCAGAGATGGCTGGCTCAAGAGCTCCGTAAGAGTATGGAAGCTCAGGGAGGGTGTGCTTGCTGCGCACACCCATCCGAGTAGCCATAGAAACAGCACGACGCGAGGCAAATCCAAACATAGTAGATCGTTGTCCAGAGAATACTACCGCAAGCCCGTGGTTCCCGCTACTTATATTTTTCCGTGGTTCCGTACGTGTGACCATCGGTCCGTGCTTTCGAGCTAGTTGCCCCACGTTTATGTGTCATGCTGACAAACCTGCTGCAGCTATTTTCCGTGGGCGTCACGAGTCACCCCTTCCTACCTTCTTTCTGGGCGTGAAGGGCCGTCAGTCTATTGGCTCAATCTTTTTGGCACATCGTCGTCTCTTTCTAAGCAGCATGTCGACATCATCAGTGGTGGCACTCGTCCACCCCGATGAACGTCTGGAGCGAGTGCTGTCAGATATCGAACTTGCATGTGTCCATCTTGGGTCCGTACATCATTCAGAACGTGCGAGCGCCACAACTCTGCTTCTGTCGCTGTCGCAGTCTATCTACGTCGTAGATGATGCGTGCTTCGTTCTTGCTGCATCGTCCTCAGCGCACAATGATATGGCCCATTTCCACGTCTTTGGCGCATTAATTAACAGTGCATCACGCCTTCTCCCTGAAGATGGACGCATTCAAGCGCGCTATCTCATTGATGTGCGTGACTGGCTCCTTCAATGGGCACTTGTTCAAGCCCAGCAGACCGTGCGCTCCGGGAGAGCTTGGCCCAAGTACGTACAAGCTCGCTGTTTCCGTGCAATTGTGTTGCTTTCCATGCGCATAAGCTGTTCATCACATGAAGATGCATCCTCTTTTATTGCGCTCTCTGCGCGCATGACGGATTTGTTGGCGTCGGAGGATGACGCGGACCTTGCTGTCGGTCTTGGCCTGGCGCGTGCGTTGGCAGAAGAATTCCTCCACTATGGTCTTCGCCAGCACGACGTCGACACTGGAACAGACTCAAGCGCTGGCGCTGGTTTTTGTGCGGACGACTATATGTGGTGTGCAACAGTTATGGAAGTTCAAATGGTCCCAGTCATTCTGCCCCCTCTTTTAAATGCACTGCATGCACTTACGAAACGTTGTGAGTCTGCCTACTCAATTCAAGATGACGTGCAATATTGCCGTACCTTGGGCTTATGGCAGGCTGCTGCCGAATGCGCGAACACGTGGCTATCATGGAGGTGTGTGCCACTAGACCCTGTGCGAACTGATCCTTCGGTGACCACGTGGACTCCTGCTGAACTGTGGCGCCTTGTTCATGAAAGCACGGCCCAACCTGTTGATGTCAGCAGCTCATCCTCTACGACGCGTAAAGTCTCAGCACATGTGGCAACTTTGCTTTTGCATCCCTGAGATTCCGACATTGCTGGGCTATGTTGCACGTATCGCTGTGGTTGCAATGATCCGCACGTCGACCATGGTTGCCCCTGCTCTTGCTGCTCGCTCTCAAGACCTAAGCCACGTGTGTGCCAGCCACGCTAACGTTACTACCCGCGCCGTTCATGAAGCTATGCTCCATGTGGCATCATACCTGCCTTGGGATGTTCATGCATCAACAACATGGCCAGCTCAGCGGGTTGCCCTCTTGGATGAACTGAATCAGGTCCTGCATGTGCTTGCGGCGCAGTTGAATACATTGGATACTGAACGTGTGGCACTGCTTCAGCGTCTCACGCATGTGTACACCCAATTGATGCATGGGCAAAGCGGTTGCGTATTGATCCAGGGTGGTATCGTAGGGGCTAATGTCTTGTTGGACTCACTCGTACGTGTTACTAAAACATGTTTTCAGGTGGCTTTTGAACTCGTACCAAGAATGCGCGATGCCGAAGATCCGATAACGGCAACATCTGCGAGTGAGGCTGCAGTTGACGAGGTACTTTCACTTTGGCGTTCGCTTCTGATCACATTGCCTCCGCCAGATGCCGCGTACACGCATCCGTACGTACGAGATCATGTGGTGCTTCCATATCAAGCTGGCCGACTTCACGCTGCTATGCTCACTGCAGAGTCTGACTGGGATGACTTTGTCGCCGCTGAAAATACAAGCGACGCAGATCTCTATGACGAGCATTTAACATTGTATGCGGCACTCGCACGCACTTGTGTATACCAAGCGGTGCAGCAGCTTGTGGCATCTAAGCCTGCGGTCTCTGACCGGGGGCATATATCGCCAGCTATATGGGAGCAATGGCACTGGCTTGCGTTAATGACAGGGCATCTTATTGCTGACGATAGTGCGAGTGAAGTGGCACTAGTACCAGAAGGTATTCAGGCATCTTGTCCTGAAGCACAGGACCAGATCCATGCACTTCTTCAGGATTTCATGTCTTTATTAGCTTACCTCGTTTCCAATGGACCAAATTCTTCTACGCCATGCAGTCCTCAAGCGCTAATTTCTACGCTATGGCTTACGGCTCGTTGGATACCCGTGTATCTACTGCGCGAGTCACCTAGCCGCGTAGAGGCGCCATTTGCTGGTTCCATGGGCGAGCGCTTCCTGGATGAACTCGTTCCATGCTTGCGTACGGCTCTTGTTGCATGGAGATCCGACTCCGATGTGATCGTGGCTATTTCTCTTGTCTGGGAGGCTCTTGCTCGATCGTCAGGTGCTATGCAAATATGGTTAGCGAAAGAGCCAGTGTTTGCGCTAGTCAAAGATACGTTGGCAACGCTTGAATTGCTTCCGGATGCAGCACAGCCGTTTATACTACGCGCATTGGTACGCTGCGTCGATGCGACGCGTGATGGCCATGCGCTAGCGGCTCAGGTACGCGGCATGTATTACCCATTGATCATGCACGCAGCGCAAGCTCGCTTTGATTCGGCGGCACATGCATCTCCAGTCTCATTATCATCTGCCTTATCATTGTGGCATGCACTGGTTGATGCAGCAGATCCAAGCACAAGTGGTGCTGTGCACATCCACATTCTTTCGCAACTTCCTGCCATGGTGACATCTGTCGAGCAGCATCTTGCAAATACGGATGTGCAAGTATCAGCTGGACGTGCGACACTGGCTCTGTTGCGTGCATTGCCCGAGTTGCAAAATACATCGACTTTGCTAGCAGGATCAGCGCAACATGTTCTTGAACTGCTACGTGCCATGCTTACATCATTGACAGATCAACCACGCGTCTCAGGTCTTGATGCTACGTTTGAAGATCTCTTGGTCTTGTATTTGTCATTACTGGAAGAGCTTGTGCGAGCGTGCGCATCATCTGATGCGGCAGAAGCAAACGCCCCTCATGCTGATGACTTGCGCTTACTGTGTCTTGGCGCTTTTGGGGCCGTCATGCCAATGTTGAAGCGAGATGTACTGACAATTCCAAGCGTTGCCGAGGCCTTTGCTCAGCTCGTGCACGTGCTGCTCATCATGGCGCGATCGGCGCTGTACTCATCAACACATGGTGCTTGCCCATTTCTGGAAGGAATGACTGCTTCTTTTGACTTGCTCGACATGGGCATGCATTCTATCTTGCCTCAAAACGTGCAGTCCAACACGGTCATGACTCTTATGAACCCCTTGCAAATGGTTCTTCGTGCCGCCGTGTTACACTGGTTGGCACTGCTGACTCATTTACCGAGAGCATTGCTAGTGGTATCGCGCAGGGCATTGGCTATGTATCCGAGATACTGCCATGCCTACAGACCGGCGCGAGTGTACTAGTTGTGCAACAAGTGTGGGACGATGTCATTGCCGACTTGTGCACGTTGCTATTCTTACGGGTGATGCAGCCGGCTATGCTAACGCCCCTTGTCCTCGCACTACGCCGAATCGTGCTTTGTCGTATTGACGCCGCGGCATTGGGTGGTCAAGACACGCTAGTCGCGACTCTGTCACAACGATGTGCGTTCGCTCAAGTACCGGGAGTATTGACAGAGGACATGCTGGCTCATGTGCGCCAGGCGTATGCTTCGACCGTTGAGCAAACACTGCAGCGAATTTTCGCAAGTCGAGCGCCGCCACCTGTTTCTGCGCCATCCCCAGCCTTAGCCGCTCGTGCCAACATCAAGGCAGAAAGAGCGGCAGAAGTTGCATTTAATCGGGCTATGCGTCCATTTGTCCTACAAGCGCGTGGGACCCTTCTTCTACATTAGCAAAAGCATTATAAAAACACCTAGGTATCTGATGGTGGCGAGAGTGAAGGGGATGACGGTTTTTTGGTGGTTGATGAGGAGGGTGAGCCAAGATCTATTGACGCATCAACGCTTGTATCAGGCTGCGTAGATAGATCGGCACTGGTATCGGCACTCATATGTGCTTTGCTCTTGTGACGAAGAAGCTTTTTAATATATTCATGCGCAAATATCTTCATTTTTTTACGTTTATCTTCACTGAGTTCTCTCAAACCCGGTTGGCCCTCAGGCAAACGCGGTGGCCATGTCTTGGGGTTGCGCTTCTCTTTGTCACACAGCACTTGTGTTAACTGGAGAAGTAGGGTTAATGGACTTACTGATTTGGTACTCACCTCTTTGGCATGCCGTTTGAATCGCTCGCGATCCAGCTGGTCCCGGACCTTGGACATTTGCTTGATGACTAGCGCACCAACAAGCTTGCGTAGGTGCCGCTCGAGCGTCTCTATATCAGTGTCTTCATGGGCTGACGCTGAACGTGCTCGCTTGTCTTTATGGACAATGTGTGACTCTGAGGAAGACGGGCTTGCACGCTTGGACGCCGATGTACTTGCCATATCTTGTCCACCACGCATCTCATCATGTTGCTTTGCCCTTCTTTTCTTCTTTTCTCTTTCTTTCCTTTCCTTCTCTCTTTTCTGCTCTTCCAGCTCCAGTTCTTGCTGTTGCAACAGCCGCTTCTGTTGGGCCTCGCTGTCCTCATTCGCACGGCGGATGATGTCCTCAATGGATGGAAGAGAATTTTTATGCATCTGAGCTTCATCTTTCTTCCTCGGTTCTTCCTTCATACGCGAGCTACGTGGGACGTCAGGAGCGGTGGGTACATTCTTGTCGGCATCACGGTAAGCAAGCAAAGAGCGTCTGAGTTCTTCAGACACTGCCGAGCTTGTGGTATCGTCATGCGATGCCTGTGTAGAACTGGACGCTTGGGCACGTCGACGAGCCGCCCACGCCCCGCCATCTTCATCCTCTTCCGTGCCGTCTTTCCGTGCGATGCGAAACGTGGTTGGGAGCTGCTCCCACTTGTGAACGAGATATTGTGCGAGCATGGCTACTTTCGACAGATGTCCCTCGAACTTCTTTTCCGATTCCGACTCTCGCTTGCAAGCTTCTAAGATCTGTTGCACCTGTAGACCCACGCCAGAGTCAACGACCTTGTCGCGAGCTAGGAGAGGCCATTTCTCCAAGCACTGGAGTGCAAGATGGACGAGTTCCCAGTCATCGACCCACTCGTCCAACACACCGGCCATCACAACGAATCCGTGCATTTTCACCAGCATCTTGTGCACAGAGATATCATCTGTCAGTCGCACACGTGTCAAGAGCATTTGGACCATCTTGCGATTTGCGGTTGCATCGCGCATGACCGTCATGACTCGTGCACATTCATCCTCAGCGATGGCGTGCAGCGTGGGAGAAAAGTCTTCGTCGAGAATTTTACTCCGTTTCCCCCTGGGTAGTGATGCACGCAGCTGAGCAACTTGATCAGCGATGCCGAGCGCCGTGATAAAGCGGTCATCCATCGTCACCACATCGGTCTGCGTTCGGCCGCCGAGCGTACCCACACAGTTCGGCTCGCCACAATAACAGGGCTGCGGATCGTTGCCATAACGATCGACATTATAATTGAACGTAAGCTCCTCGCCCGCGAGGATTCTCCGCTTAGCAAAGATACCCATCCGCACATGCCGTCCCACATGCCACTTGCTCACGTAGCAATTTGGACTGCAACTGTGGTTGATGAAGCGCGAGCGCCCACCACGCTTTGTTGCATCAATGTACTCGTCGCGTTGCAGCATCATAAAGTAAAAATGTTCAATGTGTTCGGTTTTGTATTGCGCCATGCGTCGCATAAACGTATCGTGATTAATTACCTCGCCGATGTACTCGTACACAAACTCGTCACGTCCCAGGTCCGTTTGTGCTCGCAGTCCATACCCTTTGTCGGGCGTCTTTACGATGTCTACTTTGGCATATGCATGTTGTTGGAACCGCTGGTTCGCACAATGCACGCCACATCGGCACACATCTCGCAAGCATTCAACTTGTGTGAGTCGATTAATGCATCCCGATTCGTCAGTACACGCCAACGCAGGTCCAAGTGCCATTGTACATTCGCAGGAAGGGTCATCCTGCCCACGTGTGCGTCCCATGCGCGACGTCTGGTATACACAGTCGTCGATCTCCTCGAATGTGGCCAAGGCCGCATCTTCTGCCTTGGGAAAATGCGTCACTAGTCTCGGGCCGTTCGTGCGCTTTTGTGGCGACGCTGACTGCTTCTCTGACTGCTCCGACGCTTTTATCGAGCTTCTTTCGCACGAACTTGCTCTATTCGATGCATCGGTGTCTTCTTGCTTCATCGTACGTCGCAGTCGCGCACGCTTTCGAACCGACGTTCGCAGGCCCTTAGGCGTCGCCCACGCAAAGACTTTTCCAACACACACCCCCCTATCGAATTCGCCTGACCGCCTGAAGGCCCCGGCCAAAAACATGCTGACTAATATACTACAATTCCTCCACCGTTACGCGCTGACCACAACTCCGGCACTGCTGCTGGTTCGTGGGCATCGAGCTACGAAGCGGCTGCCAGTCATGCACATGCTGTGCGTCGCGACGTTGCTGCCATATATTATCACGAATAGTTCTCTTCCGAAGACGGTCTAGACTCTGCTGAAACTTTCGTGTGCGTTTTCGCGCCTTTTCGTCATTTCGCCGCTGATACTCGGCATCGAGGCCTTCAGCGGACTTCCATTTGGCATCGGAAAATGCATACGCTTCCACCTGACCACGAAGAAACAGCATCATGTTACTGTAGGTAGATTTGTGCGGATTCTTTTTTAACAGATGGGGAAGCAGCTCGGCATCAGCCAACTCGGCGTCTGTCAGTAAATAATCTTCCTTCACCTCCGTCTTCGTCAGCAGGCTGTACCGCTCAGCATGTTCGCGCTCACATGACCGACACACGCACACATTGAATACACGCAAAAAAGGCTCATACATGATATCAGATGAGCCACACATCTCACACACTGGTCGAGTGGTTGGGTCAAGACTCACACCCGGCTCCATTTGATCGCGGAGGCGCTGTTTTTCTCGTTCTCGCTCTTTGCGCTGCTCCTCTAATGCTAAGATTGCATCCTTGCCATCGTGCTCTTGAACCAGAAATCCACCCTTGGAATTGTGTAGCCGTGTAAGATCGAACTCGATGTAGTCACCGAGTGCCTTATCACGAGGTAGCGCTTGCGAACCTGGACCTGAACCCGGACCTGACAATGCCGGTGGCGTGTGGTGACTGCGTTGGGTTGAGGCGTCTCGGACTGACGACGGTCCTGCGTGATCGCGTTGCGCTGCCATGGCCCGAAGTCTTTTGCGAGCCAGCATTCGATTTGCTTGGACATGATCTGCTGATGCATCTTTGTCTGACATGCTAGCGACTATCACAGTCAACGTCGAGGCTCTGGTGCTTGTCCAACATGTTGCAGGAGACACATTTACCAATGATGTGGAGAACTCACCGAGGCCAGAGTGCGTCGTTCGTTCTTTGTTGGGCCACTTGAAAGCTCAAACTGTTGCTGGTGCGTGTGAGTCTGCGTGTGTGTAGTTCATCGAGCTAAGGACTGGAAGTGTTTCTCAAAGCTTCAATTACCATTAATGTCATGCACGATGTCTTTGGTCTTCAAACACAAGCCTATGCCTTGTTCTTTGCGAGACATGCATGGCAGACAGCGCAACGCTTCCCATTGCCTTGTCCAACAGATGAATCTTGGTCTTGGTGGGCCTCATGGACTCCAGATGAGCGTGCAGAATTCTTCCATGGACTCAGTATTCATTCAAGACATCGGCCTGATTTGATCGCGCGTGACATAAACATGACCTGCAGCGGCACGTGTACCGTCCTTGACGTTTGTGCGGCTATTCAACGTTTTGATCAACTTGTTCTACGAGTCAGGCGCCTTGAGCGCCGCATGTACAAATCACGGTCTCGCCGACGGAGGTATATGCTCGCGCGCATGCCCGCTGCACGGCAAGTTCCAGACGATGTGATTATTTGGGAGGAAACTCACGCTGAAAAGCTTGCCAAGACCACAGCCCGGACAGGCTCTTGCACGTCCAATTCTTCTATGCTGGACGAACCAGATCATGTTATTTCTATTGATAAGCAAATCAAGCACCTTGCTGAGTTTCTCTACAGAACTGCGGACTCAGACACCGAATGTCTTTTACAAGTCTTGCGCCGCCTGGTGGATGTACCACATCCTGTGATTGATACGGACACATCCGTTGACATGATGCCCAACTATCGCGCTTGGACACAAATGTATCCTGTTCCACCTATTTGTACAGGTCGCGATGTGCATGCGGTAATTCATTACTTACGTGTACATGAATATGTGCACATTGACAACCCGAACGAGTCCAACATGGAGTGTGTAACTGTTCATTGGCATCCAGAAAAATGCTTGGAGTCCAAGTTGCCTTTTCATCTTGCAGATATTGTCGACATTCGTGCATGGTCAAAGTTTACGCACCAAGGCGAAATGCACGTGTCCATGGATGCTCAAGAAGCGCTTATGCAGCAGCTATATGCGTTTCTTGTTCATGTCATGTACGAGATTGTAACTGTGGCAGAGCGTTCTCAAGTTCCTACCATGGTGGACGATCAACTAGTATGGACATGCATAGCCCGGCTTGGGCTTGTATCAGTAAATTTATCTCTGAACCCGGATCTCTTGGCATCAATGGCACGCATTCGAGCCGTGTCGGAGCCACCCGTTGCATGGGCTTCAATGTCGGATCCGTCACACAACGATGTACCAAGGGAAGATTGCCTATCGGATCAAAGTTTGTCTGAAGAGAACAGCTCTGAGGAGGAAATGCTGAATTCCATGAATGAAGACGATGACGAAGTATTGTCAGACGAGAGTTCAAGTGCGGTCACAGATGATTCGTATATCGCCGATTCATTTATTGATGACGAGCCAGTGGTATCAGAGCTGGAAGGCACGATCGGTACTTTTGGCACGCTTGTCCCATTTGAATATGCCCCTGCTCTTGACGAGGAAATTCATTGCGAACCTTTGAGATCTCCGATTCAATCAGAGACCAATGGAGTCGATGTGGAAGAGGAAGGGGAAGAAGAGGAAGAAGATATAGAAGAGGATGAAACAGTATTGGATGGTCACATCGATGTGCAAGATGAGCGAGACGCTCAACAATACGTGACACGTCTTAGACACGACTGGATAGAACAAGTGTCTACGAATGTATCAGATGGGGAATCAAAACGGCCATCAGAAGCATGACAATAAAAAATGTGACAAAAATCAGCTCGTCCGAAATCCAATGACCTGGGATCAAGTCACTTGGCAGTACAGTCAAGCGCACCGTTGAATCAGCACTAGCACTCACCAGCATACGTGAATTAGGTGAGAATACCATGCATGTAGGTGGGAAGCCATGAACATGGTTCATTTTCAGGAGCGCTTGCAACGTGCGAGCACGAAGCAACGTGACACACATGTCTGACGAGCCAACGGCCAAGAAGCGGCCATGTGGACTCACTACCATGGTTGTTGACGGCTTGTTCGAGATAGTGCAAGAGGATTTCCATGACCATGTATCAGCATCCCACATCGCCACATAGCTTGGTCGGATCTTGGATCCTTTTGTTCCGCGTGCATTGATTAGCGCGTAAAATGCATTTTTTGTGCCAACTTCTGTTGCAGTACCCCTTCCGTACTTGCCCATGCGGAACGTGGCACCTGTCCCCGACCCAACGACTGGCTTTTCAATCACCTGTAAAATGCGTGGTGCAAATGTGGGTGTTTCTCCTTCAATCGTCTGTGGAGTCGTAGAGAATATCACAATGCGTGAAAGCGTCGTGACGGCTAATTGCCGGCCATCATGGGAGAAATCTGTATCATAGATTTCCTCATTGAGCGAAATGACCCCAATGCTGGAGGAAAACACAGGAGCCATGCTTGGATATCTGTGCAGCTGTAGACGACCGTCCGTGCTCGCGACAGTGAATAATTTTCCATCCGGTGAAAATTGCGCTGTTTTCTACACTGTCAGTCACACATGCATTGAAGCATACCTGGTAATGCTCAGGATCTGTAATACCTAACGATGGAATGGCCGTGATCGGACTTAGCGAAATACTCGAAGACCTGGCATGTAAGCGCGAGATGCGAATAAAACTTACGCCTGTCCCATTTGAGCTTCAGCGCGTGCTGCTGGGTGTTCATGTACACTAAATTCAAATACACGCACATGAGGATTTTTTCCCTGCTTCATCTCGTCCGCAGGCGCATTGATCCCGCAAACCAAGTGCGATTGCAGCGTTTTGGAAGGGTTCACACTCAGACACATTGGTGCATCTTCATTGGAATTCAGCATGATTTCGCCACATGAATGCAATGAAGGGATTCCGTCTGGCAGCTGAATCTCGGTTGCTTTCTGAGGAAATAGTTAGTCCATACTTTTCATGGCTCTACATACAATAACATTCGGCACACCAGTGCGTCCAGCGCCACCTCCCCCGGCATACACAAAGTGCTTAGGATCGATAAAGTCGATCGCATAAACGGGCGATCCCGTCGATAGCGTTGCTTGAGCCATGGGCGACATGACGTGCAGAATGAAAGTCTGTGAACAACACGTTCCAGCGTAGCTGACCCACGTTTCTTACCACGCCACTAGATTTACGTGGACGTGCACGCGACCTGTCGACATGCTTTCAGATCAGCGAATCGGGGTCCGATTATGGCTCCACTCCACGTGATGCTGACAAGTTTGCCACTCAAGCTCACGTACTTTGGCGTGTGACCATGGCGCCACTTGAGGAACAGGGGGAGGATGGGCTTCCCAAGCGAGTGCTCACGCGGGCACAATTAGCCGAACGCATCGCACAAGGGGAGGTGCTGGTAGTGCACCGACGCCTGGTGTACAAGTTGGACAACTGGATCCACCGGCATCCTGGCGGCGACGTTGCAATCCTACACTTCGTTGGACGAGATGCCAAGGATGAAATCGAGGTGTACCACTCGGACGAAACCATCGCTATGATGCGCCGTTTCGCTATTGCACGACTTGCAGATGAAGATGCGACTGATCTCAAAGCAGACGCTTGTTCCGCCCGCTGATGCCGCCAATTCAACTGGGTTACCGCAATGGTGTGCTTGAGCATCCACACGCCCAGCTTGCCATGTGGGATGCGTACAAGGTTGCGAACCATAATGACCATGTTAATACAGAGCGAATCAAACATTTCCCACTGCCGGTAGACATGCTAGAGCCACCGCCGACCGAGATTTCATTAGGACGTGAAGCCAAAATTTCAGCAGCATTCGAGGACTTGCATCAACAACTAAAAGACGCCGATATGTACAAGCTACGTCCTTGGAATTACGTGCGCGAGTGCATTCGATATGTCCTCTTTGCTTACGGTGCCTATGCGTTTTTCCAATGGGCACAAAACATGCCCACGTCTGGCGCCCTCCGAACACTTACGTATATGGCATCGGCCGCATCACTTGGTGCTCTGTGGCACCAGGTTGCCTTTACTGCGCATGATGCTGGTCATACAGGTATCACGCATATCTATTGGCTGGATAGGCTTATTGGTGTGTTGGTTGCATCTTATGTTGGTGGCTTGTCACTATTATGGTGGTGCGATAACCATGATGTGCATCATCTAGTGACAAATCATCCAGAGCACGATCCAGACATTCAACATATGCCTATTTTTGCCATAAGCCCTCGATTTCTCCCGTCCAAATCCAAGCCGGAGAAACATGAGCCCATGGGTCTGTGGTCCTCATACTATCGACGTGTCATGCCGTTTGATGCGGCTGCGCGCTTCTTGCTGCGACATCAACACAAGCTGTACTTTGTAATCATGTCTGTCGCGCGCTTCAACCTATATGCCCTATCGTACTCATTTCTTTTCCTTCGCGCGCGCCGGGATAAATGGTTTTACATCGAGTCGATTGGTTTGTCAGTGTTTTGGTATTGGTTCACGGTGCACGTTTTGGCAAACCTCCCGACCTGGCCACTCCGTATCGGATACCTGCTTTTGTCCCATATTGTCACGAGCCCCTTGCATGTCCAGATTGTTCTCTCACACTTTGCACAAGACACTCGCGACTTGGGTCCCCAAGAATGTTTCGCATCTCGCCAGATTCGCACGACTATGGACGTCGCGTGTCCAACATATCTGGACTTTTTCCATGGTGGTCTGCACATGCAAGTAGCGCACCACCTTTTCCCTCGCCTTCCCAGGCACAATTTGCGTGAGGCGCGCGACAAATTCGTCGAGCCATTCTGCAATTCACAAGGTCTCACGTACGAAGAAATGAGGTTCGTGCCCGGAAACAACAAGGTTGTAGCGCGTCTTCAAGAAATTGCGTACCAAGTGCATGTTTTGTGTTGTGTCGCTCAAGCACAAGCACAAGGCACTTTATGATCCTGGTTAACAAGCTTGAAGATAGCAGTCGGTCGAATGCAGTTCAGTTCGCACGCCCCGCAAGACTGCCTCACTCAACAGTTGCTCGTTCATCGCAGCCAAGACTGTCTTGCACCAAGTCCAGTACACAGGATCTCGCACACTTTCAGCGTATGCACGAATGGATGACAACAATGCCGACACACATTGAATCACAAAGCCCAACGATGTACCGGATGACTGCATTTGTTGTAGTACACATTGAATCATACTAAGTCGTTGTGTAGAAAACTCCGCCTTCACAGCGTAAGGGTCATTCGAACGCGAAAGGTATACATCAACGCCCGCAAATAAGTCACAGGCATGATGAACAAGGAGGTGTGTGAGTACGTGTTGCTGTGTCACTCGGTATGCAGCTATGCATTGAAACCATATCGCGATGCATTCAGATGCATTTCGCTCGACTGCCGATGGTTCATGCTGTGCCATACACACGACGAACTGTACAGCGACATCCCTCTTGCGTACAGAATCACTCAATCGTTTCCACGACTCTTGACCAAGTGTAAGATAGCCGCTCCAGTCACGTCGGCGATGATATACAAGCACGTATGCACATGCTGCCCAGACACTCACCAATGATGTTAAACATGCGTCATCCTCAGCATGTGCTATAAGTCGCTCCAGAGGCATCGCCTCAGAATGTGGCAGCCAGTGAGACGGTCGTGACACGTGCTGACTATTTGATGTGCCACGTGAGAGCCAGTGAAACAATGCAGGAGACAAATGTGTCTGTAGCTGATCCGCCAATTGGGTATCCAAGGGCGGCTGCGGTGTCTCCTCTCCGAGAAGGGCCCCCAGGCCTGGGTCGGTGAGCCAAGCAGCATCATCGACAAATTCATCATCATCATCAGTGTCAATTAAAACGGGCTGCAATTGGCGCGCGCGTGCTTCGAGATACACGCGAATCAAATTCAAAACTTCGTTGGCGACCTCCATGGGTAATTCGCCCGATTCGATTAGCTCATGCGTCCACGCTGGATGCAAAAGCCCCAAGGGCGGATACGCGTGAGATACCCCACCACTATGCATTGTTGCGTGTGTGATAAGATGCTGGACAGACCTGAGCAACACGGCCATCATTCGTGTCGTCTCCCGTGCTGCTTGTTTTGCTCGACGAGCACCAAAAGGCTCGTCCTCGGAAACATCCCGAATAGACATGGGAGATCTTAGAGCGTGAAAAACATCAACGAGCCATGCCACGATAGGCGAGATATCGAGTCGATGGTGTCGAAATAGGACTCCTGCATAGACAACAGCACGAATACATGCAATTTGACTAGATCGATCAGCGCGTGCAAATGGCAAGAAGGAGCGAATCTGCCTTAGGCGCTGTACAGCTGATTGGGGCTCGAAGTACAAGAAAAGCATGACCAAGGAATAATGATTGAACAGCATCGCGAATTCAAACGACGTCGGAGGCTGTGTGCAAGAAAATGCCATGACACGCACCGGGGTCATCCGAGAAAACAAGCGAGCCAAGCGACGCTGCGCATCTGGGCCGACTTGAAGTGCAGAACTTGCTTGTCCCAAAAGCTGAAGAAACTTGTGGTATGCCGTTCCTGTGGGCTCAGAGTACAAGAGTCCCATGTCGAACCGCCGCAAAAAGGGAGCAAAGTCGTGGTCTACCTCACTGGGAAGGTCAGCTAGTCGATGTGCGTTAAAAATGTCGAAGAAGTGCGTTAACAAATGATCTGCATGTTCCAACGACCAGTGCCAGCGCGAATGCAACAAGAAGCACCGGTGAATAAGAAGATGAATGTATGCGTCGCGGCGCTGCAAAAGTGCTCGGGGAGCCGCCTGTTCGACCTGCTCATTGAAGCGCAGTTTCATCCGCATCATGAGCCGCTGTATGCCAAGCCAGTGTGCCTGAAGATCGCTCTTGTAGCCCGCCATGCCCGTAGACGCGTGAAAATGAGACAGAGCACATACCGCAAAGATTGTGTACCATATACGTTCACAATCAACGAGCAGCGAAGATGGCGACATGCCGAGCCATTCGTTGAGAGCAGCTTCCAATACGTCCCAAAATGCTTGAGCATCAATTGCCTGCAGTACATGTATTACACACACCCACATTTCAGCCGCTGTATCACGCACATGCTCTACGCTAATGTACGACTCGACAACGCGACTAATGCCCATAGACAGAAGACGAAGAACAAGTGGATATGCAGCTTCCATGATAGAGACCTCAGTGACGCTTGTGCATTCAACGTGCATCGCGCGCCAGAATAAGTCGACCCTGAACCACAGAATCCAAAGAACAACTTCTGGTGAGTGTGGTAGATGCAAGAGATCCTGGGCCCACGCACATAGCGCATCACACGCCGCTTGCGCATTGAATGCAGCACCGGATACGGCGGTTACCACCGCTGGTACAGCAGCAACATCTTCCTGAATCGCATGCACCCCAGCATGTATTGACGACCTTGTTGCTGCTTGCCAAGAAAACCACGATCCTAAAAAATAAAATAAGTCCCTAGTCGATCGATGATGCTCCTCCAGATGATCTGTCAATGGAATAATAGCGCGAGCAATCTCATCAAAGCCCATGGAGACATCCAAGGCCTGCTCGTATCCGCGATAAGAAGTCGAGGACTGAATAGCTGCCGCAGAGGATACACGCAAAAGTGCATGTAAACGACCACGAGCGAGATCGGTGTCTGCTGCAAATCCCAATCCGACAGTTGGTGGAACGATGCCATAGTCCAACTGAATACGGCGTACACCATCCCATGTAAGAAGCTCTTGAAGCTCGTCGTGCCATTCTTGGGGCGCATTTTGCCATTCTGTTGGTATGTAAACGGTTGATACGGGTAATGGGACTGAATGGTGGGATGCAGTTGCAACAGGTGTTTTGGACAAAAACGCAGGTGCATAGGTGGAGCGAGGTACAGGTCTAGGCGCTGTCGAAGTGGATAGAGCTGGTGATGAATGGATTTCTTGAGCAACATTGCATACCGCCTGCGAATGAGGAACGTAGGGAAGTCGAACATGGGAAGTAAGATCCCCACGGCGTGTGGGTACCCCATCAAAACGAGATTTCTGTTCAACAACATAAATGCCCGAGTCAGGGCGCTTTTGCTGGGAGGCAGAGGGAGCCACACGCGACTGCCCATGGCTCGCGGGCTCAACAGAACTTTGAATCCAAGCTGGTGCTGATACGGGGATGGAATGAATCCGCTCGGTGCGATTAGAAAAGCCGCGATGCCTTATTGCAGAATTGCGTGCGTGTCTGCCATGACCCAACTCGCCAGAGGGTACACGTAGGCGTCTACGTCGACGCGTCTCTGTGCGAGATAGCATGCGGTCAATTGCATCGCCTTCACGTGCAGGAGGAGATGCCTGCTTGGAAATAGTCCACCACCGCAAATCAGACTCTCGAGGCCGGGGCTGCGGTGATGGACTATGGTCTTCAGTGGCTTCTTCGTCACTTGACTCGGCAGACACATCGCTAAGGAGCGGAATCGGCGGTGAGTCTCGGTGCGTGGTCCGAATACGCCGACGAGACTGACCAGGCTGGAGGTCACTCACGGGTGAGGAAGCATGGACATGATGTGGTCGTTCGGATGAGACGCCGGGATGGTCCACGTCACCATGACGCATAGCACGCAGGTCATCAATGCACGCACGTGCCATATGAGCCGGCATCATTCTCTTCAGCACGCGAAATCGACGTTCATAGTCGGTGCTATCCTCAGATGAAGTCGTAGGAGAATCAGATTCTTCTAGTGCAGCGGTGGATTGGGCAGGTAGAGTATCTGGACCAGACGACGGAGACTCGCTACCAGCCGGAGATATGTGCACAGATAAAGAGCGAGAGCTGGACGTGGATGATGAGGTCGCAGCATTTGACTGGACAGGTGATACCAGTTGCATTCGTGATGCATGTGGTGTGAGTGCGTTATCTTCCACTTGTGTACGTTGCTCAGCTTGTGATGTGTATTCTGGCGGAGAGGTCCATTCAGTCTGTGTTGTTTCGTCAGCTTGATCATCAGGAACGACCCATGAGTCCGAATCACGTTCACGGAAACGTTTTCGGTGCAATCCAGGCTGAGACACTACGGCATCTTCCCAGTCATTTTCATAGAGTTCGCGTTGATAACGAAGCGCCTCAACCGTGTAGGGATGTATCTGGGAAAGTTTCCGCCTGCGCAGATTTCTACGGTGCTGTACTGGCACAGAAATACGCGACGAATGCGACAAGTCAGAGACAGGGCGTACATTGCCGTTTGGGGGCTGAGGACGCCGCGGCCGCGTGCCAAGAATGGTCAAATGCCTCCGACTTCGGTATGTAAGAACTGGCTCACCAGCGTCAGCATCGCTTGCCCATCCTACGGCCTCCTCTTCGTCCGAAGTCCCTACGATTCCAGCTCGTACACATGGAGGTTCATCATCCCTTGCCATACACAGTAGCCATGGATCAAAGAGGCATGTGTCAAATAAGCCGTGGCTGAACTACTAGTCAGGAGCTAGGCCTATCCGTGCATGATGCAACGTAATTCACACGTGATTCGTGGGCGGATTCGGCTCGGTCTTACACTCACATGGACCACAATTATGGCATTAAATAACAACAATTACTTACGAACGTCAGCAAATGTACGACATATGAGAATGGTTCTCCTCAAGTGCGGAGCACGGACTGTAGCCACGTCACGGCCTGCGATGTACGTAGCGACTCACGTGAGGTGTTCCGGCGTAGAATCGAATGGGATGATGTATATGTGGTTAAAGCAGGGGTCGAGGCACTCGAGACCATACCGTTGAAAGGAATATGCTGTTCCAAGGTCGGAAGACCGACTGTCTTCGTCTCAACTTGTACTCGAGGAAGCTCAGACTTATTCTCATCTGGCACACTCACAATGGACCATTTTCGCCTGTGTGGCTTGCTGGGCTTGGCGGCGGGGGCATTGGTGATAGGTGAAAGCACGGATTTGGGAGGTGCGCGAAAATCGTTCACACTTTCAGCACGCGATAAAGGTGGTAGAGAAACAAAGGCCGATGCACAAGATGCTGATGGAGACGAAGGCACGAACGTAGACATAGACGTTGATTCAGGCAAAGCATGCAAAACTGGGCGCAAAGAAGCATTCGACCTCGTAGGTGATGTCAGCGGCGACGAAGACAGCACAGACGTATCCAGTAGGTCCGAGTTCGACGAAGAAAGTGAGCGAGACATTCGTGGCCTGGTGGGTGTGTGAGGCATGGATGAGCAAAAGTTGGACGTGTAGCAGGTGACGCACACTCGCGCACGGACATTAGGTACCTTGGATGCAGTTCCGCGCAAAAGAAAAAGTCCGGAACAACAAGAAGCACAAAACACATTCCCACACAAACGGCAGTGGTGCTTGCGTCGCCAAATATTGAATGGCTCCGAACAGCGCTTGCACCGCTTCACGAGACTGTCAGGGACCCATACCGGTGCATGATAATCCTCAAGTGAGGGCAGGGTGGTTTGTGAGGACGTAAACAGCATGGACTTGGATTTTGGCCGTCTAGATTCAGTGCTCATCGAAACTTGCTCCGATTCTGATAAGTCACCATCAAAAATCGTACCGTCGCTGCTGAGAGAGGTAAAGGAGAGCGGTCGCTCAGAAAGTTCACTGCTCTTTCGGATGGATGGAAGACTCGTTTGAAATTCGCTTTGTGTGTCACGAATGGCAGAGACCCAGCTGTCCTTAGCTGCTTTAGTTGATGCATACAGAGAAAAGCTACATTGCGGCGATAAAATCTCGAACTTGTGTCGCAACGAAGGAATAGGCCGACTTGATATAGAGGGCATAGTCCGGGAGCTTGACAGTGATTCTGAAGGCAACATTGGCCATTCATCGTAGCTTATAACTGTCATATCTGACAGGTACAGTTTGTTCGTTAAATGTAAAATTTCATTGGCGCCGCCTAAACCATGGGTTGATTGGGAGGAACATCGATCAATCGATGAATCACTTGAATGATCATTGGAGTGATTTTGGACAGAATAAAGCAATTTCGACGAAGAGAGCTGTGACTCATCCTCAAAGACCAAAGATGAAGTGTCTGAATTAGCTGCAGCAATAATAAGGCAGTCCGAGAAGAGGTAGAACCGACGCGGCTGAATATCTTTCCGACGGGTTTTAAGTAGGGTACCATACTTAATCAATCGACGACCCGGAATAACAAGTGGTTCATCAAGGCCAATTAATGTGCGCTGAAGTGTGATCGCTGCAAGCGTGAGTTCGTGTTGTCGAACATGTTCGTTGACAAACGTGGCAATATGGTCCACAACTGCATATGTTTCGCTTAGCCAAGGATGGTCTTTGTGCTCAAGAGGCGTATTTTGAAGAAGTGCATGGAGCAAAAGTCGGTAACGCGGTACTCGTTGCACGATACTTAGCAGCTGCGCCTCCAAACCCAGCAGCGTCCCACGTGAAGATGCGCCATCAAAGTTCTTAGTTGCCTCTCGTAGAAAAGAACGAAACCGCTCATTGGATCTTTGCTCATTCTCAATGCACTGCATCGAGTTGGAAAAGTTTTGCATAAATAGAGAATACATCTTCAGGAAAGGGGCGATAGGAACGAGCAAATCCCCAATGGCGTCATGCACAGGATCCCAATCCACTTTCGTCTCAGCCTGGTATGTCTCCTTCAGTGACTTTTGACTTGAAGAAACCATCCTCTCTTGAAGACGTAAGAGCAACTCCTTACTGAGCTGAAGAATGTCATGAAAGTTGGCAAATATACGGTTCACTGCGCTACGCGAAAGAATAGGTGCTGAATCTTGGAGTGAAACCAGCAGAGGGGTATAATAAAACTGGTGTTAATATGAACCCACGTACCTTATCTACAAGAGCAAGAATGTTCACATAGGCCTTCTCCGTCTCGTATAATTCGATAGCAAGGCACTTTCGCTTGGCGAGCCGGCGATCAGAGAGTGTGTGTGCAGCTCCTCCTTTACCTCCTGATTCAATCTTCGTGCAAACAGGCTCCAAAGAACCATTGCGTGGGTTTGACCATGCCAGGTTTCGCGCATTCTGATGCTCGCCCAGCGATAGACGGCGATCTGTGCTGGCTGTCATGAGGATCGAAGACCTTGGCCTTGTGGCGACAGTCCTGCTTCGATGCCTCTGCACCACAGACGCAGATGGCCAGCCTGCATTGGACATAGCACTCCAAGAGCTGTCCGTATACAAGGGTACAAAGTAGGGGAGAGGATAAATTTAAGTTTTGTTGGATCCTTAAACACTATGTTGCAGCTGCGCGCCTTGACCCATTGTTGTTGTGTCCGCATGGACGCCCATTATTTTGAGTCTACGCGTTCGCGTTGGGCCAATCCAAGAACAAACACGTGACTCACGGATGGACTAAGCAACATGTAACTGATAGACGTAACGCTACCTGTGTCAAGACAAGCTAAAGGGGTATCTCGATTAGGGTCTTTTAATAGACACAATCTGATCAAGAGGATTGAGGCAGAGTATCTTGTGCACCTGAATCTTGCTGAGATGTGGAAGGACTGTCCACATGTGTGATGGGTGACATGCCGGGCAAAGGTGGCATGGGGGGCATACCTGGCATCGGTGGCATACCTGGTACGGGGGGCATGCCTGGCATCGGTGGCATACCTGGCATCGGCGGCACACCTGGCATTGGGGGCATGCCTGGCATCGGTGGCATACCTGGCATAGGTGGTATACCTGGCATACCTGGCATACCTGGCATAGGTGACATACCTGGCATTGATGGCATAGCAGTCCATCTAGGGTCTACCTCCTTAGAAAGCATACCAGACACTGATTGTTAGTTCAAGCAGAAACGTACTTAAAGCCATCATCAGCTCAGGCCCAGACGGTTCATACTGTATGGTTAGATACAAAGTGAATGGATATAAATGCAACGTGCCTTATACGTGTTCTTCCAGAGATACGACAAGCGTTCCCAGTGCTCAGAATTGGTAGGGTCAAATGAGGCCTGATCAAAGGCCCGTAAATCATTTTTCGCCTCAGTATCAGAGGAAGAGGCTGATGCTTCTGGTGAGGAGAAAGAGTTGCGGTCATGAAAAGATCCACCTTGAGGAAAGGCTGCTTGCGACATCTCGGAGCGACGCGAGGATGGTGCTGAGGTTGGTGTGTCTTTAGCAGATGGGGCCACTGATGTCGTCAACGATCCTTGCTGTCTTTGCGAAACTTGACCGAGGAGTTCCAACACGTTGGCTGGGAGACCTGACGATGTGGGAGCGACTTGTCCTCTATCCTCAACGGGCTTGGACGACGCACCGTTAGGTGACGTGGTCTGATCGCGAATCTGTTGTAGAATTTTCGCACTAAACGTTCCGGCACGATCCCAAATATCAATCACTTTCCGAACTTTTTCACGCTGCTCTTCAGGTGTATGTTTCAAACTATCGATGCCAACCTGAGCTGCTGGGTCCTGCAATGCGTGTAGGAATGTGCTTGCATTCGTGGCCAATTCAGAGGACGGTATATTTGAAATAAACCCGACTCCATGACGACGAACAATTTCTTGTGCGTGTCTGGCTACCGCATCAAATAAATATAATGAAATGAGCTTCGAGTTGGGTGGCGATCGCACATGTGCTTTGACCATCACTTTGCACAGTCCCTCTGCATTTGCCAAAGCTTGCGTGGCGCTCTCGGTCACTCGCGCCACTCTTGAGCCAGACAATTTGTTCGAAGAGATAGTCTCGTATAGGAGAGCGGAAAATGACTCATGGGTTATTGATGAGATGCACACGTACCTCGATGTCAGTCATGCCCTCACACGATGGCACACAGACGATCGGATGGGCCATCCGATTTAAAAAATTGGTGGGGTCATCTCAACAGGGAGAACAAATTTATTTCGAGATGTACCCACGGACATACACGTAAGCATCGTGTGAACACGTTGGATCTATTCCTCTGACGCTGCTCGGTGATTATGGTGTACATTAAGCGCTGGGGCGAATTCAAGGCGCAATCATTAGACTTATGCAAAAGAAGACCATCAAAAGCACGCCTTGTATTAAAAGCGCGTCCAAAAACACAATTGCTGACTGTGAAGGTGACGGATTCCTCAATCTCGCTGAATTTTCGCTCGAAGTCGTCGATTATTCTGAATCGACTGGATGAATTTCAAAGAGACATGTTTGTGGTCATGTCTGGCATCACACCAACCAGCCCTAAGCAAGAGTCTTCCGGAGCACATGCTACTGAGATGCATGAGGAGACAGCTACGAGCAAACCAACCACTCAAACAAGCCACGCCAAATCGGGCAAGAAGAAAAAGAACAAGAAAAAGTAACAATTTACAACGCACGGGTTCTTATAAATTCTTTGTATTTGTACTATAATGCACCGGCTTGGCTCAAGACTCCGTGCAAAAGGCCCTTTTTGTCCAAGTCCTGGAGTGAATCAAGGCCACCCTGTCATGTTAGTCGGACCATTCATGAGCAAGTGACGCACCAGTAGTTTGGAGCCTGCAATAACCTTGGGATAGGTACGATGACCAGTGAGGTCCCATAGCAGCGGTTGAATAGAATGGGCGTCGGCTTTTGTGGCTGTAAGTCCGAGTTGCGACGTACCTCTTAGATCGACTTCGTGCGTAATAAGACGAGCATTGTACGTCGCCAAGAGTTCTTTCGCACCCCTCGAATACGGGCAATATGATTTGGAAAATACAGTCAGCGGAGTGTTTTGGAGATGTTTCCTACTCCACTGGACAGGGTGCTCCAGATATAATTGCGCGTCAGAAATGTCGCCATGATTCAAGCTTTTCAGTCGGGTTAGAAATTGCACATGAGCATCGTTTGGCAAAACACTATTACCAGATACCCAGTGCTGCCAATCTATCCATGTCGAATTGTCCACGCGAAACGAGGGATCCAACATTTCCCCCATCAGTACAATTAGCAAGTCTTCCTTCGACGGATAAGTCTCACCGCTGCGCCCATAATCAGACAGCTTAGCTTGATTAGGCACTGGTATTCCTGGTATAGCGCCTGGAATTTTTCGTATGATTCGCTCGACGTCGTTGTCAATTCTTGACCTACCTGAGCGGTAAGATGGGTTTAGCCGCACAGAATGTGAGACGGCCCATAGGCATACGACAAGAAATAATGTGCAGACAATAATCATATTTCTTTTTCTCTTGAACCATGCAAAAGGAATCTTTACGATGGACTTGGACCCAGCATCAGACGCTGGGTTTTGACTCAACCCCAACTCAAGTCGCACACTATCCATGTTTCCTATGATGGTGGGGAAATCGAGTGGGGTGATGAGGCTGTAACGAAAGTGGAGATGTCGGCCGAAACACTTTTTTTTTCTTCGTTTTCGATCCAATTGCATTGTCCTCAAATTCTGCCACAAACACGCTAGAAGCCCCCGATCTAAAACCATCGTTGTTCATCTGGGCCGACGAGCATGAGGGTTGAGCACTGTTATTTCTGCTCGGCACCGTCGTACCCGGGACGAGGCATCACATTCGTGCGAAATGATGCGAAAGTGTTCCGGTTTTGCAAATCTAAATGTCACAAGAACTTCAAAATGAAACGTAATCCACGCAAAGTGCGTTGGACCAAGGCATTCCGGAAGGCTGCTGGCAAGGAAATGACGGTGGACTCGACACTAGAGTTTGAAAAGAGACGCAACGTCCCTGTCCGATATGACCGTGAACTTGTGACTGCGACGCTGAATGCCATGCAGCGTATCCAAGAAATCAAAGCCCGCCGCGAGCGCGCCTTTTACCGCGCACGGATGGCTAAGGCTGCTGGTGGCAATGTCAAAGCGAAGGCCAAAGAAGTTGACCGTCTTGCTGTACATCGTAATCAACATTTGCGCCGTGCAATCCAGGCAGATGCTGCCAAAGCCGAGCGCCAAAAAGTCAAAGTTGCAGCGCGTAAGAGTGCGTTGGTGAGCGCTGGTGACGATGGAATGGCGATGGGTATGCAGACTGATGAGTAGTTCTTTTGTACAGTAGTCCAACACTATATATGGCCCCAAAGTTTGAATGTACGCGCCCATTCTCCGCTCGCGAGGCGATGTCCATCTGAGCTCACGTCGACGCTCATCACTTTGCCCGAGTCGCCACTGAGTGCCTTGACAAGCTGCCAATCGTCGGCACTCCAAATCTTCACCAGGCCATCATAGCCGGCAGTGGCGAAGTACATCCCGGATCGGCGAAGCGCTCGGGTATCGTAGTCGGGCGCATGGTCTTCCACATCCATAGAAACGTTATCATCACTTGTCCAGGGTAAGGGCTCCGGAGCTCGCTCATCAGCCGCTTGGAAGAAGCGCACATCTGCGACAGATGAGCGATGTGCTGGGATAGTGTAGATGCTGCTCAATGTGCGAAGATCCCATACGCGTGCGGTATCGTCGCCTGAAGTCGACACTAATTGGTATCCATTCGGCGCAAATGCCATTCCAAGAATTTCCCTTGCGTGTCCATCAAGTACCATGGCCGTGCGACCCGTGCGCACATCCCAGACTCGCCCAATCCCATCCAGCCCGCCAGATCCAACCAAGGCGCCATCGCATTGAAAATCCACAGTATAAACTTCACGGCTGTGTCCCTCTTGAAGCATGAGCTCCTGAGCTCGTGCTACGTCCCATAGACGCCAAGTGCCGTCGAAAGATGCACTGGCAAGATAATCGCCCATTAGGGTGAAAAGCAATGCGACAAACACGTGCTTCATGGCCACGAAGTACGCTCAAAGGCCGCCTCTCGTTGCCCAATGACCACGTACATATAGTTCCATCGCCGGCGCCAGTCGCCAAGTTGACAGACGAACGGTCTTGGCCAATCGTGGCTCGTGGGTGCCATGCCAGTCCTGTCACACGATCTTCATGTGCTTGAGTTGTCGAGTCAGCCACTGCGTTCGATTTGAACCACGCCACGTACCGTGCAATGTGCCTAAGGGCGAGGCATTAGGCATCTCCCAAAGCGCTGCTTTTCCAGACCAACATCCGGTAGCAAGAATAGAGGAGTCAGGAGAGAATCGGACGATCGACACAGGCCGCTCGCCAGCCACCTGTGAGCCGAGGCTGGTATATGACTTCAATGGGTCAAGCACTGACTTGCGCAATGCGGCCATATCGCCCAATGAGGACTGTGCTTCGAAATGTTGCTGAGAAAGCCGCCTTTTTGCACGAGAAAGGGAATACATGGCAATACGACGGCGTGCAAGAAGCAAAGCTGTCGAACCTTCGGTAAAAAACTCTTCATCTTCGTCGTCGTCATTCTCCTCTGATGCGTCCGCTACCGGCGCGTGGGACAAATGAACGGCATTCTTTCCGTGTCGTGCGATAAGAACTCCCAAAAGACGCGCACGTCGATCTGCCTCATGCTCACCAAAGAGGGTCACAGGCTCATCGTACCGTCGCAGAGTTTCGCGCACGTGTATATCAGATGTAGGCACAGGCACCTGTTGCGCGAGTTTGCGCTGTTCAAGCATCGCATTCGCCGCTGCATCACTTGCACTGTATACGCCGGGACCTTGTGAATCTGATTTTCCGTCATCAGTACGCCTGTTCATCTCCAACTTACCTAATTCATCCCACGCAACACTACGATCTGCCATCCCAATGCCAACACGAACGATGAAAGTGCCCCTTCGCGCCGTACGCGTCGCTTTGAATCACGTGATGAGAGGATGAGCGTGGCCGAGGCCAGCGAGCCAGCGAGTAAGGCACCCGATCGGTTGTAGAAGGACCTGCTCACTAGGTGAATCCCACGCTTTTCGTGCTGGCAAGTGACAGACAAAGACGATGACGACTCCAGCGCATCCGAGCGCAGAGCAAGTGCTGGCGAGCATTGAACAGGCAGGCGGCGAAATTCAAGATTCCCGGACTCTCTCGCCTGTGCAAATGCTGCCGTTGAATGAGCAAGCGAGTCGTATTCTCCAGAGCTCGAGTGATGCACAAGATAAGGATGATCTCCAAGCTGAGGAAGCTGCTCATAAAGCTGCAGCTGCCTGGCAGATCGGTCTGCAAGGTATTTTGCTTTCACTTCAAAGCAAGGAGATGATTAATTTCCGCAGCATAGATGCGCAACCTTTGTTTCTCACGCTGGATGGCCGTCAAACGATCCGTCTTGGATCGCCCGAGTATCGTCTATGGAGTGCCCTTCCCGAAACGGGCGAGGGGCGAAGTCAGCCAGATCTAGAGTCTATGCTGGGGAAAGATACGTTCAAGCTAGCCCAATCGCGTGCGTTTCGTAATAAGATTGTTCGGCGTCTGCCCGATGGAACGTTCGCCCGTGCGGAATCGACACTAGACCAACAGCTAGGGGACGAGACGCGATCCGAACTTGTAGAGCTTGCTAAGACAGGAAAGCTGCAAGGAGAGGGTGCAGATAAAAAGATCGCTGAGCTCAAGAAGCGAAAGATGGTCGGTCAACGAAAACTCTTGTACTTCTCAATGGCCAAGGGACCGCAATTTGCTCTTACGGTGCAGAAGCTTGAGACAGATCTAACTTCAGATATGCTAGCCTCTGGAGCATGGAAGAAAGCGGCGTTCAAAAAGTACAACTTCGACGCAGAAGGTGTTTTGCCTCCATCAGGTGCATTGCATCCATTACTGAAAGTGCGTGAAGAGTTCCGTCATATCTTTTTCGATATGGGATTCACAGAGATGCCAACGAATCGATTCGTGGACTCGAGCTTCTGGTGTTTTGATTCCATTTTCGTCCCCCAACAGCACCCAGCTCGTGATGTACAAGACACGTTCTTTGTCGCGGATCCTCCATCAGCCACGGAAGTGCCAGAAGACTACCTGAAACGTGTGATACAAGTCCATGAAAATGGGGCATATGGCTCTATTGGCTATAGGTATCCGTTCGACGTCAAAGTGACAGAGAAGCTCGTTTTGCGCACACACACGACAGCGGTATCCTCGGCCATGCTGTATTCAATCGCACATCAGCCGGGTGGGTTCAAGCCAGCGAAGCTGTTCTCTATTGACCGCGTGTTCCGAAACGAGGCAGTCGATGCAACGCACCTGGCCGAGTTTCATCAAGTCGAAGGTGTGGTTGCCGACTATGGTATCACCTTGGGTGATTTGATTGGATTCATGCAAGTGTTCTTTTCCAAGATGGGCGTCAAGAACCTTCGCTTCAAGCCTGCTTACAACCCATACACCGAGCCGAGTCTCGAGATCTTTTCTTTCCATGAAGGGCTGAAGAAATGGGTCGAAATCGGTAATAGCGGCATGTTCCGTCCAGAAATGCTACGACCCATGGGACTGCCAGAAGATGTGAATGTGCTCGGCTGGGGCTTGAGTCTCGAACGCCCGACAATGATTCGCTATGGTATCAAAGACATCCGTCACCTTGTGGGGCACAAGGTGCCTCTTGAGAGCGTCGAAAGAGCCCCTGCTGTGCGCTTCTAACGAGTGCGGTTGCTGTAGCCTAACGTAGAACCAGGGGAAGTACAAAAATCTCGCACGCGCAGACCGAATATTCGTTGCCGCTTTCGTACGCGTGTGTAATGGCACAGTACTTTCGTCCCCCAGGGCAGTTGTGGCGATGTCAGTGGAAAGTCTCCACATTAAAATGGGCTAGATTTCCTCTCATCGATTTCCTGGACGCACCGCGCCCACTGCGATTCAATCGAACCGTACGCGAGGCATGCTGTCACGCCACTTGACTGTACTACGTAGCGCATGTCGTGTTTCGCACGATCTACGTGTACCTTCAACGCAGGCTGTGCGAAAGTCAGCTTGGTCCGTTTGCTACTCACGTCGACCTCTGCACATTTCCAGGTCAGATGCGGCGTCCACCGCGGCGCTTGATATGGGGGTTGCCCCAGCTGTGGAAAAGGACCATGAGATATTAAAGGAGCTTTTAGACACTCGCCACTCTTCAGGCCATGTACTTTCGCAGGGCGTCCCTACTGGATTATTTCAAATTGACCATTTGCGCACACCAAGCGACTTTTTGCTGCTTGCACAACGTACCCTCATTCGTTGCCAGCTGCTTGTTCAGCGCATAGCTCGTGCGATCGGAAATCCAAGTGAGCTTGCACGTGTGGTCCGAAATCTCGACCGCCTAAGTGACATGTTATGTGGTGTCATCGACATGGCCGAACTGGTCCGTCATGCACACCCCGACCAGGGTTGGGCAAATGCAGCAAATGATGCGTACGAGTACTTATGCAATTATATGAATGTGCTGAACACGCACACGGAGCTATACGATGCCCTCCGTTGCGTAATGGAGACAAAGGACATTTACCACAGCCTGTCTCAGGAAGCTCAAGCTGTTGCACACATCTTTATGCGTGATTTCGAAAAGTCAGGCATTCATTTGCCGCCCCATGAACGCAACCGATTCGTCGAACTCAGTGATCAAATCATGATTCTGGGCCGTGCGTTCTTGCAGGATATGTCGACAGGCACGAGTGATACCATTGTCGAGTTTCCTACCGACCTGCTGGATGGCATGGACACTTCGATCTTTGCGCAGAACCTTTTCCGCCTTCGTCCATCTAAAAGCATTCCGGTCGTCCCAGGAAGTTGGGAACTACACTACATTAGCAAGTATGCGCCTAATCCACAGGCTCGTCGCTTAGCCTACATGATTTCCTACACTGGTCGCACGCAGCCAGTCGCCGTTCTGGAACAGCTGCTGCACGCCCGATATGAGCTTGCCAAACTCACCGGGAAACAAAGCTTTGCCGAGATGACGCTTGTGGATAAAATGGCCGGCACACCTGAGCACGTTTTGCGTTTCCTACGTCTGTTGGCCGACGCACAGCGACCTGTCGCTCAGCGCATGATTGCCGAGTTTGGTCAGTTGAAACACGCGCTGGAAGGTAGCAGCCAAGTGGAAATCTGGGATCGCGAGTACTATGCTGACGCATATCTTCAGCGGCATCACCCATCACAACTGGCTCCATTGTCGCCATACTTGTCGTTGGGTTCGATATTTACAGGGCTATCCCGCCTCTTCTATCTATTGTATGGAATCCATTTCCGCGCCGCAGAAACACTGCCCGGTGAAGTGTGGCATCCAGACGTGCTGAAACTAGAAGTTGTCGATGAGACAGAAAGCAGCGTCATTGGTCTAATTTACTGCGACCTTTATACTCGCGACGGCAAGCCGCCTAGTGCTGCGCATTATACTGTGCGTTGTTCGCGGCGCATCGACCTTGACGACACACATCTGGACATGGAGCTTGGAGCAAGCGCGGACTTACCCCCTGTCGCAGACACGGAGCATCTACTGGGTGTGAAGGGGGCGACTGGGTTTGGTCGTCCCGGTCGATTCCAACAGCCAGTTGTTGTGCTGATGACAGACTTTGCGCCTCCCAACATCGGGCATGGCGGTGCATGTCTCTTGCGCTGGCACGATGTGGAAACACTTTTCCATGAGATGGGTCATGCTATTCATTGTACGTGGATAATACAACCGAGAAGCTTCTTCTAACAACAGCTATGATTGGGCGCACAGAATTCCACAACGTTTCGGGCACGAGATGCGCTACTGACTTTGTCGAATTGCCATCGATCCTTATGGAACATTTCTTGACAGATCCTAGTGTCGTCGCGCTGACAGCACATCATCACCGTACTGGCTCGCCATTGCCGTATGTGCAGCTACAAAAGCATTTAGCAACGCAACGAAGCTTAGATGCTCTGGACACGCACCAACAGATCCTTCTCGCATCACTTGACCAGCGCTACCACTCAGAACGTGCTGGTGCCCCAACCTTCTCGTCTTCGCAGGAGCTTGAATCGCTACAAGCTGACATGGGACTGTTCCCACCGGTATCAAATGCAACATGGCAGGGCCAGTTCGGGCATCTATTTGGATATGGTGCGACTTATTACAGCTATTTGTTTGACAGAGCCATTGCAGCGCGGGTGTGGGAACAAGTCTTTGCAAAAAAACCACTTTCTCGCGAGGCCGGTGAACGTTTCAAAATGGAAGTGCTGCGACACGGGGGCGGGAAGAGCCCATGGGAAATGCTTTCGCGGCTTCTCCATGAAGACAAGATTGCCGATGGTAACGCAGGTGCCATGGAGGCTATCGGACGATGGGGTCTTGGACAAAACCAATCGAACGAGACCATCTCCGCGCATCTATAGATTATCAGCAGAGGTAATTAGTAACAGCGCCAAAACCAATCAGATAAAGTCCGTCTCAGTCTCCCCGATCCTCTCCCCGCATTTGCCACCTGTGCTCTCGTTGTTGCTATAACAGACATGATCATTCTTGTGCGTTCGGAAAGCTCGCTGACCGTAGCACCATTTGAATAACTCGCGTTCACAACGTATCCTGTGGATTCTCGAAGAACTCAGTATCCCGTATGAAATCAAACGCTATAATCGTGGCCCCGATCACCTTGCGCCAAAGGAGCTGAAAGAAGTGCATCCATTGGGCAAAAGCCCGGTGATCACGGACACCGCCCGTGATAACAAGGTAGTTGCAGAGAGTGGTGCTATTATCAACTACCTGATCAAGTACTATGGTCAGGGTCGTGGTCTCCCATCGAAGGATCGTGAAGATGACAACGATTTTTGGACGCAATTCAGCGAGGCAAGCTTGATGCCAAAGCTTGTGATGAAGTTGATTTTCATGCTTGTTCCATCTCAGTCGCCATTTTTTGTGCGCCCAATTCTCAACATGATCGGTAGCCAAGTAAATGGCCGTCTGGTTGATCCTGACTTGAAGGCCATGATCAAGCTTACCTCAGATACTTTGACCAAGGAAAGCGGCGATGGCCGCGCTTGGTTCGCGGGCGGTGACAAGGATGGCAACCCTACAGCGGCTGATTATCAGATGCTGTTCCCTATTGAGGCCATCACGAGTGGTCGAATGGACCCCGCCATGGTTCCAGAGCCGTTGAAAAACTGGATCGACATGGTGCACAAGCGTCCTGCCTACATACGTGCCTATGAGAAGGGCGGTGCTTATGATTATGCAAAGCTCTGATGTCTTTCTTCACAACGACAACGAACATCTGCCGGACCCAAGAGGATCATCGTGTCGTAGAGACGCCTGTAGGCCGAAATTTTTTGACGCGCCGATAAATTTATTAAACACCTACCTACATTTCAAAATTTTAATGAATTCGTTGTAGCTTCTCTACCAGGACCACTTCATGCGTTTGCACCCGCGTGATGACGACGCTCAGATTACTCAGTCCATAACATCAAAAGAAAAAGAAACTAGGTGCGAAAACGATGTAGAGAAATGTGCGGTCATTCCAGCTTCTCACGTTGATGCGCCATACTCGGCATTTCCACAGCGTGTAAGACTTTTCATCGTTTTTACCGCGTCTGCCTCTGCGTTCATGAGTCCATTTGCTATAAACATATACATGCCAGCCGTTCCGGACATATCTGAACATCTTTCTATTTCAAGTGCCGAAGCACTCCTTTCCGTCACAATGTACATGATCTTTCAAGGATTGTCTCCTTCTATTTGGGCACCTTTGTCTGACACTTACGGTCGACGGCCGATTCTGGTGTGTACGTTTTTGGTGTTTCTCATTGCCAACCTTGGCCTTTCATTCGCTAATACGTACTGGCTACTTCTTGTTCTGCGCATGCTTCAGGCATGCGGTGCTAGCAGTGCCATTGCCATCGGTGCCGGTTGCATCAGTGATGTGTCAGAGCAGAAAGAGCGCGGATCGTACATGGGCTTTTTTCAATTTGGTACACTCCTAGGCCCCTCTATTGGGCCTGTTGTCGGCGGATTCATGGCCCAGGCATGGGACTGGCATGCAGTTTTCTTTTTTCTTTCAGCGTTTGGTGGCGTCTACATGTTCTTTTTGTTTTTGATGCTTCCCGAGTCCTTGCGTGCCTTAGTGGGAAATGGTGCAAAAATACCTATTAGTGTATGGCGCACGGTAATTCCCCTTTGGGACATTAAAAAAGCCAGTCTGTGCCATGAATTCATGACCATGCCTCCTAAATTGCACATTCGTACAATGGGTTTTGATTTGCCCTGGCGAATGTACCTGCAGCCTGACATTGCTATGATGATTGCTTCGTACGCTATTCCTTTTGGCGCCTTTACAGTCATGAGCTCAACGCTTTCTCCTATCCTGTTTGACAATTACAATCTTAAACCATGGGAAATGGGGCTCTGCTTTCTGGCAATTGGATGTGGCAGTGCTATCGGAAGCATCGCTGTTGGTTACTTGCTTGATTATGAATATGCACGCGAAAGACATATCCATGGTGACAATATCAACCTTCATAAGGTCCGATTAAAATATATGCCGTACTTTAATGTCTTATTTTGCCTGTTCTTTCTTGCCAATGGATGGTTGTTGGACTATACGATTCATCTTGCAGCTCCGCTAATCATGCAATTTCTTGGTACGTTTTTCGATACACTAACCTCAGCGAGCGTAGCGGCTATTATGTATTATAATTGCATGTGTGTACACTTTACAGACTAACGACAAGAAACACAGTTCTGGTGGATATCTACCCCCAACGAGCTGCTTCTGTCACAGCAGCTCTGAACATCGGACGTTGCTTGATAGGCGCCGGATTTGTTGCTGCTTCACAGTATATTATTGATGCCATTGACTATGGGTGGACGATGACGTTGATGGGATTGGTTTGCCTTTTTCTACCAAACCCTTTGATATGGGCTGTTATGCGCTTTGGACCCGGCTGGAAGAGAAAGCGCGAGATTCGCCAGCCTATGAAATAGATGTATCAATATGATGTAAATTTTTTTTATTCTCATATCCACATTCTCCCGGATTTTCCCCGACGTGGCTGTTCGACGTGTGGCACAACACTATCTTCTAAGAAGCAGCTCACACAGCCTGGGAATTGTTCGCGCATTGTTGGGTCATACGAAACAATCTGCCAAAGCTTCCCCAAGAGCTTCCAGGAGAGAAGTAGAGAAACTTTCTTCACCATGCAGCATAAGGAGGGACCACCTCTGCCATTAACGCAGCCTCGGGATCGGGCCGGGCGTTTTGTTGATCAGGATGAGACTGTTTTTTCCGCGTTTCTCCCTCACATAAAGCTCATGATCGTCATTTTTGCAGCTGTTTCTGGATTTATGAGCCCCTTTTCTAGTAATATTTATGTTCCCGCCTTGGATACTATTAGCAAAGAACTGAGTATTTCAAGGGCGGACACTTTGTTGTCAGTGACTACATATCTAATCTTCCAAGGCCTAGCGCCTTCGTTTTGGGGGCCTCTATCCGACACGCTGGGAAGAAGGCCGATTTTGGTTTGTACATTCACTGTTTTACTAGGCGCGAACCTCGGATTAGCTTTTACAAACACATTCTGGCTTCTCCTAGTTCTGCGCATGCTCCAGGCGTTTGGCGCAAGCAGCGCAATTGCGATTGGGGCAGGACTTATCAGTGATTTGGCACGTAGAAAAGAACGGGGAAGATACATGAGTTATTTTCAGTCAGGGGCACTCGTTGGCCCATGCATTGCACCTGTCGTTGGCGGTCTAGTCACTCAACGATGGGACTGGCATGCTAACTTTTTCTTTTTGGTTGCGTTTGGAGGGCTTGTGAACCTCTTGCTGGTCATTTTTCTACCGGAGACACTAAGGTCGTTGGTCGGTGATGGATCAATGCGTCCGTGCGGCATATGGAAGACGATATTTCCTATGAGACTAACAGCATCTTCCGGCTCGGACCTATCTGAAGCCCCCCTGATGGAAAAACCTCCTCGCTTCAATATTCTAAAAATGGGGTTCGAAAAGCCGTGGCTTGTGTATTCTCAGTTGGACATTCTTTTACTTATAATCTCTTATTCCGTTCCATTTTCTGTGTTTTCCGTCACATCCTCCATCTTTTCTCCCACGCTGGCTTCCAATTACGGCTACAATCATATTATAATTGGCCTATGTTATCTTCCTCTCGGGGCAGGCTTTGCAGTAGGGAGCATAATTGCCGGACGCCTGATTGATTGGGAGTATGCACAAGCCAAGAAAAAACACGGCATCAGTCTGAATTTATTCAAAGCGCGTCTAAAGCTGGGTCCAATTTTCAATGCAATCTTCTGTTGTGGCATACTCGCATTCGAGTGGTGTTTACACGAACGAGTTCATATTGCTGCACCACTGGTCATCATATTTTTCACCATGATGTCATCCATGATCTATTTTACCGCCATGTAAGTCTAATATTTGCTGACATTAAGTAATGCACTACTTGTGGATTTATACCCTGATCGGGCTGCATCAATTGTTGCATCGTTGAATATTTCCCGATGCATACTTAGCGCTATTATTGTCGCTATTACGCAATTCATAATCAATGGAATCGGAACTGGATGGACCTTCACCATATACACCCTTGTGGGTGTATTCATCCCTATTCCTGTAACGATCGTGTTGATACATTACGGCCCTAGATGGCAGACAAACCGAGAACAAGGTGTCCCAAACAACAAAATGTCTTTGGCTCCCCAAGAGCGAGTTTAGGGATGCAGAGAGGGAATATGTTCGTGGACTGCCTAATAATATATTCGAAGGCGTGGATTTTGGTAGCTAAAATCGCGCGGAGTAGACCGAACTAGAAGCTTGCTCTGTATCCGAAATGTACTAGTTGCCTAACACATGTTGTGTGCAGGAATATTGAAAGGCGCATATTTGTGTCCTGAGCCTATTCTATCCTTATATCATTGCGTAGCAGATGAATAGGGGGCGCATCTAATCCATGTATTTGATCCACAAAGAGACTATTACAGAACAAAATGATCTATACATATTGATAATACTATCAAACTATGCTGCACTGACTCTCACAAGCTATTTGGTTAAATTTTCCTTCGGGAAAAGATCATAGTCAATGTCAAATTAACACTGCTAGCTTTTACTTGCTGGCAAGATGCATACATCTCGTTGAAGATGGGACCATAATTTTCCCCTCTTACCTAATGTCATCTAATTTTTTTTTGGATAGCCTCCAGTAGTTACTCTCGATCTGTCATTTATTCGACCGAGAAGCTCGGTGTCAAGGCCCAATAGTATAAACTTAATCGCATCGCTTTGACCATTTCGACTTTGCCCAATGATGATAATTACAAAATCCATACTATACCTCATTGTGCTGATAGGAATTGTCGTTGCTGATGACGAGTGTAGTAAGCCACCGGATGTACAAATGGCAGACTGCACGAGCCGATGCTTGTACAAGGCTGGCCACGCAGCATGGCCCCACTGGTCACAGGATCCGAAGTCAGATGATTTCGGAACATCAATGAGCTTCATGTGCCGAACAGAGTACAGAGAATACAAGACTTTCAATGATCAACTACGCCCATGTCTACAGGGATGTCCCGTTGAGGACATCCAAAATTTCGACAAAGTATATTCTCAGCACTGTCAATGGTTTTACAAAAATCAAAGCAAAGACTGTGTCAAGAGCAGCGCGTCTCAAATCATTTCGAATAACAATTATTTCTTGGTCGGTGCACTTGGAGTAGCTGCAATGACCTTGTTGTAATGTCATCAGCCATCAACGGTGCATAAACTAGCAGATTGTACTCAAGTTAACGGATCGTTTGCATTGTTATGACCGGACCGGCTTGTAACATTCAAGCCCAACCATGTCAAATTATATGGTCATTCTGATAGGTCGGATAGCATCAAAACTTAGGCTTGACTTTCATGAAAATGCTTGGCGTTTTACGTTTTACTACATGATTCCGTGAGAACGTGGCTATTGGGCCAATCAATTGACACGTTGTAATAACACGTAATCGCTAGTTGTCTTTCTCTAGGCACGCATACCTGGTTGCTTAAAGCATAGACTTGCATTCGAAAGGGCAAAACACAAATCAGTAAGCTCCACATAAAACAAGCGTTAGAGACAAGTTTTCCGAAGTACCTTGCAAACAAGCTAACGAACTCATCGTATTAAAAGTTCTCGTGTATCATGATCGCCCAATCGTTTTACTTGCAATGGCTCAAACCGCAAATGTTCAATTCAGCGGAAAATGTTTAGCTCTGGTCTGTAGGACGGTCATTTCCAATATGACGGGCGAGGCTCGCTTTTCTGACTGCGTAGATATTCATATTTTTAGCGTAGGAGTAGACTTGAATACGACTGACATCCAGCTATTAATCGAAGTTCTCCTTCAATACAGTCTGCGTACATGAAACGCATTTGATAGCCCTCAAATCTTTGATTAATGTGTGTAAATGGCATGAGGTAGGAGATAGGATTGAACATACTGAATCAGATGTGACAACGAGATTATCCAAGTCATGCTGCCCACATGTTGGTACTCGTACAAAAATCAAAGACATATGATTTACAAAGTCATTGATCATCGAAAGATCAACATAAAACTATACCTGCTATTCTAACCAGGCACTCTGACGCATGCCACTGGAACAAGAGCTATGCTTCGAAAATATATCGCAATACCGAGCTTTTTGTAACTAATCGAATAGATAATCCTCGATTAAGTGAAACTTCCTCTGTGTATCACCCTGAACTGGCAGAATTTACTGAGATGCTATAACAGTAGTACATACGAGCGAAAATTATTGGTTTGATGGTTAGTAAAAGCATTAGAACGACTAGCGTACATCGAACATGTCATACGTCCTAAGTTTCGCTGGTTCTAGCTCCACTTCCCTTGCATACAGACTCCATCAATTTGTGCCGTCGTCACAAGTTCGCAAGTTTTGTAAGAGACGACTATGAATCATACATAATGAAAACATTTTAGGTTGGACGCGCTTAGAAGATGTTTGAATGTTCAAGGTGACAGAAATGTGGTGCAATACGAGAAACTGAATCTGCCAAGTGAAGATAGATCGATCAGCATTCACACCGACAGTAGGCATCGTTTGGCGAAAACTCGGACTTGGTCGCACGTAGTAACAGCAGTCACTATTCTACATGACTTTGAAAAAACTAGATTACATCAATTTGAACCAAAGGGTGATAGGATTCGTATACAATGTAACTATTGGTAGAATTTTGATTCATTCCCTTCACATACTTCGCCTAATCCACCATTCAACTTCACTGTACTGCTAAAAATTAATCGACTTGTTCATAAATCAATTTTTAAATTTCGAAACTTAGTAAGTGTGAGTGCCAACGGAAGCAGGACATGTGCCAGGACCGTGTCCAACGCCTGTGCCAAAGTAGTAACCGTGGTGGTCGTCAAACGTCCAAATAGGATCGACCGTATTAGCACCAAAGTGGTTCTCTTGTCCAGGGTAGAACTTCCAATTGTCAGAGTTCACAGGGTTGATCCACACCTGTCCCGATGGGTGCTGGAAGCCCCAATCGCGAGGTGGCATGTGAGGGACCCAGTCGCGACCATTTGCAATGTAGAAGAAGCGACCGCCAATCCTGTTATCCACAGAGCTAGCAAATTTAGCATTTCCTGTGCGTGGCATAGCAAAAGCAAAAGCCTTGTAGATACCGTGTTCGAGACGGTGCTCCAAGTCCATGGCAGCTAAAGCTGTCATTGCCGCACCAAGAGAGTGTCCAGTCACTGTCACACGTGTGTCATTGTACTTCTGCATGCACTTGACAATCTCTGCGTAGGTGTCATCCCTAACGTCCATGTAAGCATCGACAAAGCCAGACAAAAGCTGACTACCCTCATCATATGCATCGTTCAATTCTTTAGGTGGATCCCGCAGAGCAAGGTTTACATCGTGTAAGATGGACAAAATACTTGCTGTAGTACCTTCGAAACTAACCGTAACACCGAGTGATTTTGAATGAAAAATTTTGGCACGCTGAACCGCCAAGCCAATCCATTTTGTCCACACAATCTCGGCATCACCTACCGTTTTCCCTTCATCATTGAAATGGCAGTAAGGTTCATGCGCCATACCAGCCGCTTGGGAGAGGAGAGGCAGGTCCACCGGCAACGATGTTGGCTCTTCATACGATGTCGGTCCGAACACTTTACGCGGTTCAGGAACGCACAAAACGAATGAAATGAAGGCTAGAAACAGGAGAATGAGGCGCATGGTCGTTGCTAACGAAAAGTTTCGCAGACACACGGGCTGGTATTAATATTTGCATAAGACCTAGCCGGGAACGCACATTCTGTTTTGCAACAAAGGAAGGTTCATATGCAAGATATGGTCGATCCGCTCATCGATAGGTGCACGTGTACAAAATTTTTTTTGCCCTACATATCAATACTCTGCCCCTTCATAAATCAATCTGGTAATTACATTTTTTGGATTTTCAACCCGCACCGAGCAGTGCGACATGCAACGACAAATGCACAACCACAAAACATATTCACAAGCCCAAATATTTGAGCATGTAAATATTGTCCATTGTGTATTTCAATGAGATGACCCGCAATAGGGCTTCCGCTCAAACATGCAAAAGAGAAGACAGAGCATGCCATGCCTATTCTGAGGCCTTGCTTTGTAGGATCCGACGTGAGGGAGGCCAGAGCCGCTGGAAACAAACCTTGAATGGCAGACGAAAATAATCCGTAGAAGACCGAAAAAATCCACATAGAAGTCGTATGTTTTATTGTAATCCAGCATGACATCATTACGCCCGCCAATAAAATAATGATCGAAATAGTATTCACTGGTCCCAAAAGCCGATCAGCTATCAGTGATGGGATAATTCGACCTGGGATTCCAATGCCGTTCATGACTAGAAGCATGTTGAACGAGACGTCTTCAGAAACATGAACAATATCTTTCGCATATGCGCGCAAATAAAAATATGCGACAAAGTTGCCCCATAACGCAAGGAATATGCCGATAGTGTAAAGAAGATATGTTGGCTCTTTAAACGCTGATAGCTCAACTAAGCGACCATTCTTGCGCGGAGGCAATCTCGGTTTCACTAGCAAAAGAATGATAGCAGAATTGAAGACAATAACAAAACCCATCGCTCGTACTGCCCAGGGAAATCCAACTGAGGGTAGTAACGTTTTAGCAATAGCTGGGAACACTAGTCCACCAGAGGATGTTCCACTGGCTTGAATACAAATGGCCAAAACACGTTTTTTCTTAAAGTAAGAAGATACTAGTGAAACCATAGGGGTGAAGGTCAAGCCACAGCCCAAGCCTTGACATACACCTTGTGCCAATAAAAACTGCCAATACGTGTTGCAAGCAGATGTTGTAAATACACCCAAAATCTGTAAAGCGAAGCCACAAAACAATAACGTGCGAACATATCCAGCGTCAGCCGCTCGACCAGCAAGAAATCCCATAAAAAATATACAAGAGTACTCAAGCGAGCCAATCCATGATATATTGGACGGGTCCTGGTTGAGTGTTTTTACGTAGTAAGGCTGGAAAATGCCAAAAGATGTCATATATCCCCACGAATTGAACATCGTGAGATGCGACGCGAGCACTTGGGTCCAGGCTACTAGACCCCCATCGGGCGGCTCATCAACCTGCTGCTCTTCGACATGTGCAGACTTTTCCATATTAGCGTTATTCATTCCATTGAATCAAGGTACAGGAAGAAGAATGTTTTTCTCAACAAGCTTCAGCCACTCCACAAGTGGCAAATCTCGTTCCCTCCCCCCAAAAAAATGTCCACGTCAAGATCAGCGTGAGGTATTTACGCTGAAAACATTCTTTGCAGCGGGTCTCAACTATTGGCGTGCTTCAATTGTTTCAAAAACCACGCAAATGCAATTACAGTGGCGCCACACTGCTTCATGTTCAAATCAATTAGTAAAAATGGGGACACACCACTCTTCCTATTGAAGGCGTAATTGAGATAAGGTGCATGATGAGTCAGTCATTTGCTCACCTGGCGGCGACCAGGCGCAATCTCCCGCTCCACGCATCAATGGCCATTCTAGCATTTTTAGGATCATGCTTAAGGACACTAGACAATCCAGCTTTATATCATTCTATTCAACAAGTAAAACAAGATCCGTCTACTGGACCTGTCATTGCATTTTATATTGAGGATCAGACTCAGCGTTTGCCCGGCGCCGCGTTCACTTGGTGGACACGTAAGTCGTTGCCAAAACTGCGACGTCAGTTAGATCGGTTGCATGTGCCATTGTTATGTTTACGTTCATCATATCCACATCTTGCTGAAGTACTCGTCAAAGTTGATAATCCGATACACACGGTGCACGTGAATCGGCGATGGGGAGGTACAACTGGTGCCGAAGATGCGCGATTCAAGCAAATACTAGCTGAGGCAAATATCACACATCATGAATATACGGCACACACATTGCACGAACCCTGGGAGATCAAAACTGGACAGGGTCAACCTTATCGTGTCTACACAGCATTTTCGAGGCATTTTGCGAAAATAGTGCCCCGTCTATTGGATGAGCCACCAGTAGCACCGAATTCAGATGACACCGATAAAGTGGTGAATAATATTCAAATCATGTTTCACACTGACCACTATGCGCAATGTCTCGACTGGTCAAGTCCAGAGTCGGAGCACAATCCAACATGGGCGTCCGAATTTCCGTGGATTCCTGGATCAGAAACAGCACATCATATCTTGACAGAATTCCTTAAAACCAAAGTATCAAGATACTCGGAGAGTCGCGATATCCCATTCGAATCTGGGACATCTCAACTTTCCCCTTATCTAGCCCACGGAGAAATTAGTCCACATCGTGTACTCCATGCTCTGAGAGAGGTTCGTTTGAATCGTGACACGCCAAAACCAGCTATTGAGTCCTCCAAAACGTTTGAAAGAGAACTCATTTGGCGTGAATTCAACTATCATTTGTTATATCATCAACCTGATCTGGCGACTCAAAATCACAATGAACAATGGAATTTATTTACCTGGTCACAAATGGCAACAGAGTCACAGTTGACAGAGTTTTCGCGCACTGGTGAGCTTCCACCATCCACGGATGAACAAAATGCTCTTAATACGGCGGCTGCGTATGATTGTTGGAGAGCAGGACATACAGGCTTTCCTATTGTCGATGCTGGAATGCGCCAATTGTGGAAGATTGGATGGATGCACAATCGCGTTCGCATGATCACAGCCTCACTGCTAATTAAAAATTTGCGCATTCATTGGCGTCTGGGAGAAGAATGGTTTTGGAATACACTAGTTGATGCAGATCCAGCCAGTAACCCGGGAAATTGGCAATGGGTGGCAGGAACAGGCGCCGATGCTGCTCCCTTCTTTCGCATATTCAATCCTGCAAGGCAAGCAGATCGTTTCGACCAGAAATGTGCATACGTTCGAACATGGGTGCCCGAGCTCAAGACGAAAACGACACAAGAGGTTGCAGCTATGTATGAAGCATCACCGAGAAAAGCCGCAAAAGAACAAGACGAAGACTTTCTGGCTCTAACTAACCCCTCGTTGACAAGTCAGTGGATTCACTCTTCACCAAATTCAGGTTCTACCAGTAATTCTGTGAAATATGCAACTCCTTTCAGTCACGCATTTTCACAAAGATATGTGGCCGTACCCGAAACAAACTATCACAATTTGATCGTCGATTTCAAGAAAAGTAGGGATCTCGCGCTATCTTGTTATCAGACAATCAGGAAAAATTCTGAGTCTTCGCTCTCATCTGATACTACGCCAAGAAAAAAATTTAAGACCAAGAAATAACCTTGAAGTGCTTAGACGCCAGAACCGAGCTGAACAAACCAAATGGCATGAGATGGGTGACATCAAATTGTGGTACTCTAGTGAATACAAATCCCAAGATTCGCTAGTCTTTAACAGCAATAGATAAAGAATATTTCGCAGGTTTACAGGTTAACACCGGTGCCAGCGAGAAATGGGTTTGGCTTGAACACTTGAATGCTGGACGGAAGAACCATTCAATTTGCATATTGTGTAAGATGGGCAGTGACAGCCAGATAATACACCATACAAACATCTTTGCTTAGGGAATCAGACCACCCTCTAAGTATTTTCACTCATAATCTAACGGGTCAGAATTATACTTGCGCACCAAAATCGTGAGTTCGCATTACCCTTTTGATCTGAAGAGCAAACCCGGAATTTCTTTCTTCTGGTTGATTCGCCGACGTCCACGATCGAGGAGCATTTTGGAGTTCAATTCGTATTGGTGCACTAACTGCACATTTCGGTAACCAAGAAAAAAAAGATTTTGATTCTGCCAAGTCTTTGAAGCTTTGCGGTGAACGACCAATATGTTCTTAATTGAAGATTAGACACCCAAATTCCTTACAAGATGGAAAAACTATGTTGATCTATGATTCACGACCGACCAAAGGCAATTTTTGGGATTTCATGAATGAAATGTAAAGCCTAGTGTGTTAAACAACCTAATATAGTTGAAAAGGATAATTTAATCTCCCGCTTGTGGCGCCCGAAATTAAGATGGGAAGAACAAGATATTGAACTATGATTACGTTTTATTCATACCTACATATCATGACGATACCATCGCCAAAAAGATAACTCGTAGGCTGTTTCTTCTTTTAGTTTTACTAGCTGTCAGATAAGGGGGGCGACCTAGTACACATGCCTAGACGATTTACGAATCAAAGAGCACCACACGCTCGCGCGGCAAAATTTTGAACTCACGATACGCGACCTTAAAGCCATCATAAAAATAAAAGGCGCACAGTAATAAAGAGGCCATTACAAAGTCGGATGCCAAGCCAGGCCGATTTAATTGGGGAAAGCGTTTAATAAAAACAAGGTACTCCGTGCGCAATCGGGACGAATGAGCGCTAAACCGATGCGTCATCACACATATTTAGGAAAGGCACTTCCATTTATAACTAGAGGTCTTCGGAATTGCGTGGCGAATAACCCTGTTACAGTCTGACTCGCACGTCGGTTGGTTTGGATATTGAGTCTATAAGAACATTACTGAGCAAATTAAACGAATGTGAGAACTCCCACCATCATGTTTGGGCACTTCTTGTTCGCTATAGTGGCAATTTCCGCTGCTCATGTGGTGCATGCAGCTCGAACCTTCTCGCATGTACATGAGGTCAGCGATACAGATTGGGACTATATTGTAGTAGGAGGCGGTCTTGGTGGCCTTGTTGTCAGTAAACGTCTTGCAGAGGATGAAGGCAAAAATGTTCTGATTATTGAAGCGGGCCACGATGATCGCGACGATCCTAAAGTTTTCAATGTTGACAAATATGGTCAATATATCGGCACCGACCTTGACTGGAACTTTGTGACCAAAAAGCAGCCTATCGCTGGAGGAAAATCCAAGACAATTCGCGGAGGAAAGACTCTTGGTGGTAGTACTTCCATTAATGGCGCAGCATGGAACCGTGCACACAAAATTCAGTACGATCACCTTGGAAACATAACGGGAGATGATCGCTACAATTTCAAAAACTTGCAAAAATACATGAACATGGCAGAGTCGTTTGTCCCGCCCACAGATGAGCAACGCGCTGCTGGTGCCGATTATCTTCCTGAAGCTCATGGAAGCCGTGGGCCGCTGTCTATTGGATTTTCCGCTATTCGTAACAAGAATAAGAAACGGATGTTTACCGGTCCAGGGCAGGGCTCTTTCTTGAAATCTATCCAAAAATCTTTAGGTGTCGCTCATCTTCAAGACGAAAACAGTGGAAATAACACTGGAGCCGCTTATACTCCTACATCGATTTCCCAAGACAACAGGCGACAAAGTGCGTGTAACTATTTCGAACAATCGGGCAATAATGTTGGCGTTCTTCTTGGGTGGACTGTTATCCAGTTGTCTTGGAAAAATCAGGACGAAGGACGTGTGAGTGGTGTCGTGATCAAGAAGAACGAGGACGGCAAACCACACACTGTCGAAACTAGCGGAGAGGTCATTCTGTCAGCAGGCGCGCTCAACACTCCTGGCATTCTTGAGCGCTCTGGTATCGGAGCCAAAGATGTGCTGCAGAAGCACAGCATCGAACAAATTATTGACCTCCCTGGTGTAGGTAAAAATCTGCAAGAACAAACGATGAATACAATGGGTGGCAAGGCAGATCTTGATTGGTCTGGTGGTGGTCCATCAAATATGATTGCCAACACCGCAGTAACTCAGCTCATGTCCAATGCCTCGAACGTTTTCAAGTACATTCATCGAAATATGGATAAGTGGGCGCACAGCTTGGTCTCTCAAGGACATGTTGTGAATGCTGACGCCATTCAAAAACACTGGACACTTTCTGTGGATGCCACATTTAAAAAAGGTGCACCAGTCTGCGAACACTTTTTCGACACGGGCTACCCCGCTGATTCTTACGGCATCGATACATGGTGCCTGCTACCGTTTTCCCGTGGATCAGTTCATATTACATCTAAAAACGGATTCGACAAACCCGAAGTGGACCCGAATTACTTTGCAATTCCTATCGACATGGACATGCAAGTCGCTGCTCTACGCGCAAACCGCCGCGTTTTCCAAACGTCTCCGCTTCATGACCTTTTGAAAAAAGATGAAACTGTGCCTGGCTTCGATCATATCCCTGATGACCCGAATCATGGCTCCTATGCAAAATGGCAAGCTTGGATTCTGGGAACTGATGGCACGGGCGGTTTTGGCAGTGTCTCACATCCGATTGCCACATGCTCGATGATTCCAAAGAAAGACGGAGGCGTCGTCGACCCCGAATTCAAAGTGTATGGAACTAACAACCTGCGCATTGTGGATGGATCTGTTCTTCCCATCCAATTATCTGCCCACTTGTCAAGTTCATTGTACGGTCTGGCTGAATTGGCGGCTGATGTGATTCGTCATTAATTATTTTTAATTCATTGAGGCTCATTCATATTTCTTGTTGAACATGTCTTGAAACGTGTCCTTTTGTAGAATGAATTCATCTTAATTTCTAAGCGAATTTATGAGACTCTTTAACACGCTACTCGATCTTCTGTAGACGTACTGATTCATTTGCGCATCAAATCGAAAAGTGTGTAACTCAGATACCGAATATAGTGTCATCTCTATTTAATTATGGAAAGAGCAGCTTGATTAGGATCATACGGAAGATAAATCATAAGAGTTTACTGGAGATTAAAATAGTCTTGTTCATGACTTCACGGACCGTGAATTCCTTAGCAGCTCAGTTGTGGACATGAGATTTACGATGTTAATATTAAGAGACTATGCCAAAATAAGAATTTATATGCGACGAAATCAATGAAATTCAATCTAGTTTTCTTAAAGTTCTACGACCATCAACAAAACCTAGGTATCGACTTTCACTATTAAAGGCTTCATCGAAATCCACTAAGCCATAACGTTGAAGTACACGTAAATGTAGTCCATGCTAAACTATTCATGGTGACTTTCTGGGTGTTGAATAAATTTTGCGGTTGTATGCACCCTTATTTATGTAGAAATCAGAAGAGCTGGCGTCAAACATAACTCACTGTGTCTGGACACGCGATAAATAGGTTTTGATAAACGGAGGGAACTTGACACGCATTACACACAGCCTGACTATTAATTTAGGGTTAACCACCCAGGCAGCACCAAAAGAATCCAATAGGCCGACTTTTGTAGCAAAAGTATGGCATTGTTCCTGTGAGTAGCTATTGGACGTGTCGGGTTTAAAACTGGCCCAGTAATTATTTTTGGCTTATACCTATAAATTGATGTAGATCGTTTCGTTCATGAGCACATCCTGTTGCAACGCCTATCGACCTGATTAGCCACAATCACAAGCGAACTGGCGCACCATTTCGTTGCGTCATATTCATGGCCACGAAATTAGTGCATTCGTTACTTGCACCCACGCGAAAACTGTACATTTGCCCATGACGAATCAGCGTCGGTAATACAAAGTTCATCACAGGGCCAACGAGAATTCGCCACTCTCGTTGAGTGCTGAAGACCGTACTTAGTCATCTACAATTATTAACGACACCTAGTGTCGCGAAACCATTTTAGGAAAATGGGTCACCACGAATGAAGTGCTTTGTGGGTCTTTAGTCAAAATTTGCAATGGCATTTGTAATAAGTATCGTTAGAATCCATCTTAAAGCGCAATTCAATCAACATTGATTTCAAACTGTGATCTCGATTCTATTATCGCGCCAGTGGAATTCAGTATTTGAGCTTTCCGAGACCCAGGCGCTCATTATCAAAGTCAAAAATGACTGAAAACATCTGGAAGAACGGCTCACCAAAAATCCATTCGGGAGCCCCTTGAAAACTTGAAATTGTCAGCAGGCACTTACCGTTATTCCGACCCCCAAACATTGCATCATGCCTCATTTTGACTTCTTTCCCTGCAACTTTGATGTTGACCTCAGGTGGATCGTCACAATTGTACCACCCTTGCCAGTCACCTGAGCCAGACTTTTTGATCTCCAACCCATCAATAGCATCCAGTACATTCTTGACGTCTTCGTTTTTACCTAAAATAAATCTGGTCCCCGAATCAATAATACCTCTAGATTCGATACCATTGATTTGCATCTTGGCCTTCCAGTGGTAGTCAGAACTGTCAACATCGATCCAAACAGTTTCGTCAGACACTTGTGACACATCTATCTTGCCGACATTAATACAAGCATCGTTAGTCTTCTTGAGCAGAAACTGGAAAACATTATCATAATCCGAGTTCTGCTCTTTTACCAGTTCAACGAAAGTATGCGGCTTATGTGTATCGAACGAGCTAAAGGTAGGGAATGAAAGCCCGAATATACCCACCAAATTTTCATGATCCGTTACCGCAGCGAAGTTAGAGCCCGTACTTCCGAAAACTACATTACTGGCCTCTACACCACCAACTCTGACCTCATCAGAATATAAGGAACCGTGCACTCCTGAGTCCAAATAGTTTTCGGTAAATTTCTTATGCTGGTCTTTCGATGTCTTCGAGTCTTGCGGCTTATACGAACCCCCTCCAATGATAAGGTCGGGTGAACCGGTGTCGAAAATTATCTTCTGCTTTTGACCAGGTGTGCCGACTTGGATTTCGCCAACTAACGCATTCAAATCTGCCAATTCCTGCTTCACTTCACCCGAGTCTGACCGTCTGCCTAACGTAGTATCATTGACAACGCCAAGGTGCTTGCCTGTACACTTGAAATGTATCTTGGCATGATTTGCATACTTGGCAATCACTCTCTTAGCCTCCTGATCGAGACGAGCATTTCCACGAACGTATTCTCCCCTCTCACTTCGTTAAAGCGGAATGCTAAATTGAGCCGAATTAAAGCCCAGGGCATTGAGCACGTAGCCAGTCAAAAGGAAGGATATCCCCATAATTTTTCAGGGGGGTGTCAATCCAGCTATTTTGCGCCGTAACAGGCCTGCTTTTAATGCCTACAGCCCGTGCCAGATATTCGAGGACCTGCGGACCTGTACGGAAACCTTGATGACGCTATAATTAACAACACGAACTAAACCAGCAATTGATCTTAGGGGAGGTCAAAATTTCGCCAATGAAATAAGACGAGTCCTACCAAAAGTTCGTGACAAGTAAAAAAATGTCGCAATGTGGGGCAACCTATAGAATATTATTGGAAGGCGTTGTGCACAAATACGCAGTTTGACCTTTGCTCGTTCAGTCATTCATGTTTATTCAAGCGTGCATTTCGCACATCAATAACTAGCTCCGCACAACAAACGAGTTTGTACCGTGATTTTGCTCAAGGTCTTATTGGACGTGCCATAGAACAGAATGCGCGGGTCCAATAACGGAGCTTAATCTGTGTGCGATTGCACTTCTAGGACATGTAAAAATGTAACACTATTCTATATCTCTGAAATACGAAGAGATACGAGTCGTCTCGGACATACAAGGACACGACGAAGTAAGCCTAGATCAAATAGCATGAAGCGCAAGAATGGAGCCATAGGTTAATAAATACTACTCGTGACGCGAGCTAGATTTACCTACAGTTCCCATAGTTAAATATTCCTACATTTTACTAGCGGGCAAACTCGTCAGACTAGTTTCTCTAAAAACAATTTGTCATGAGCTTGAAGATTGATCCCAGATGGGCATGAATTCTGAGTTAAGGTGAGATTTCTCCACAATAGCAGCTCTTTCTTGCAGATCTTGTCATCCGCCTGTCAATATTTCTTTTAAGCATAGAAATATGATTTGACTTCGGCAAGCCACAAATCATCGCAGGGTCCATCAAATGCCCAGAGTCCGAAAATTATGTTTAAAAACCATATAACTTTATTAAGTGCAGGTGCAGCGAGTATTTTAGCGCTGTACCATAGAATTATTACATATGGTCTAGTTTGCGAGACTCAGGTATGTAACCCAATAGCAGCCACCCACCCATCGTTTCACGAAATCAATCAAGCCATCAAATATGACGTTCTTAATCCAAATAGATATGTTCCAGCAATAAATGTAACAATATGTCATATATATACTCTCTTTATAATAGCACATTTGCAAAGCAGCAGCGCAAATCACGCATCCATGAATGCAGGGCTTTCCCTACAGAAAAGAATTGAGACAAGAATGACTCCACACTCAAAACAGGCACCAGAAACAACGCGCAACCTGTGGGTCGATTCAACTAAGACTTGCGCCAAAATCGCCACATGTGAGAAGAATGATTGGCTAATGGAGATTCGCAGATTCCAAAAACAACGAATTTTTCTTACTGTACGTGAGCCATAAGACGAAATGAATGCCTTTATAACTCGAGATATTACCATTCGTTGTCCGTAGCAATGGCTGGGCTCAGTTGTAGTAATTGGCAAATTTTGAATCATGGCAATGGCATTAGCTTCAAATGGTTCCAATACATACATGAATAAGCAAGATCTACCGCGGCATGAAGTCAGAAACCCTCTTCCCCTCTGCCATAAGCTTGAATTTGGACACCGTGGCTAAATCTTGTTCCAATCTATCACTCTTGCTCTTGAAGCTAGCGTGTGAAGCCAAGATACGGTCTTGTGTATCAACAACATAGCTAAACTATATGTTCAAATATGAGACATCATTCAATGCCGAAGCTATTTCAACAAGTTTCTGCGTCCATAAATCAATAGACCCGGATAGGTGCGCCTCTCATACTCCACACTTTGTCGGCATTCATTTAATTCTCTCAAATTCCACAAATATCACACACCGCGATATGCCCCACCGCGGCGAAAACC